TCATCAAACTGACTTTGTTTAAAATGTACTACCTTACATATAAAGTATGGGCTAAGATTGAAAAAAAATAATCTGTTTTGATTTTATTTACACGCTGTAGATACATGTAGATGTTTTTTCTGCAATTCGACCATAGAACCTCTTGCACCTTATTTTCACGTATTGCACATTACAATTGAGCCATAAAAAATGTATATTATTCGGAATAAAATGTGTTTTTGACTTATGATGCGCGTTGTTCGAGCACTGGCTGTACGGCGTCCAAAATGTATCGATAGCGGTCTCTGTTTCATTAGACTTGAGCGAGTGGATTGGGCGCAATAACATTATGTACTGTAAATGCAAGCCTATTTGATTATTTGACTGGTGTTTAAAATGTAATTTATATTAGTGATTAGATCTTAAGGAACCCCGAAAATGTTGAATTCTGGTAACATATATATTTGCTAAATAATATCAAATTAAAAATCGAATATTTAAATTTCGCGCCCAAACACTACTTCTGCAAGATCGCGATGCTATGGCGTCCATGACGTCACACCCCTTGGCGTAAGTCGATTATAATATGATCTACGTTTATTTGCAACAAACAGTTACGTATGAACAGTGATTTAAGTAGTAATTATAATAATAAGTTAGAAATTGCGTGCGTTTCCACGATGTACAAATACATCGATTAAAACTCTGGGAAACTATTTGTAAGTGTTCCAAAGAATCGCAAAGTGCGCCAAAAGGGGCTGCAACTTTGTCGGAAGGTCATAATAATATTACTAAAAGTATGTTATGTGCCGGCCCTAAGCTGCACTTTATTAGGCGACAGCCCTAAGCTGTGCCACTACGGGGAAACTGCTGATAATGCGCGTATTCGATACCCGTGCGATCGGTATGTGACGCTACCGTTGCTGTAACCATTTTAGTATAAGAAATTAATTAGAATAATTGTAAGAGTCGACCTGGGAGACACCTAATATAAATTAAATGTAGGAATATGATTGTAAGCGTCGAACTGATGCATCGTGCACAGGGAGACAAGTAGGATTAATTAAAAATAATATTTTTTATTAAATTAATTATTAAGTAAATGAGTTTTTTGCAACCACCGGTGGCGACTAACATAATTAGTAAGTAAATATTTTATTTTTTGACCATTTTGATTAGAAGCTTCGTCTTATGTTTTATACTTAAAGATCCCAACATAATTACCTGAATTATTTGTTACAGATCACAAATGACATGTCAAATACAAAACAGGTGTCAGTCAGTGAAAATTATTTGAAAAGGTGAAATTTTTCCTTCTAAATTTGATTGCCAGCCAGATTGCATTTTAAAAATGTGAAAAGAAAATCAACTATCAGAAACTTTGCTGTTATAATAAAAACCAGTGTTATTATCAAATAATTAATATTTAGGGCATGTTTCTGCTGTTAGCTCTTACGGAATCAATGTTTATTGTAAAAGTATTTATTGTAAGGTTATTTTATTTTAAATAGATCCCATCATGATGGTGTTAATGTGAAGGATACTAGTAGAACAGTTTTACCAAGGTCGCACGGTGGTTTATAGTACCTTTATGTGTCACGTGACAAATGTGTATAAAATATTTTAATTTATACTATTTTAACGGATTATGAATTAAATCAATTATTATTAGTCAAATATGAGACCGTATAACTATTGTGCCTATATTTGTGATTATATATGTATTTTGATAGTTTTCAAGTCAAGTTTAATTGTGTTGTAATTGTAGACCTGTACAGCGCATCGTGTTTAGATGTTATGGTATTGCTCCAGCAATACCATAACATCTCAATACTCGAAGGTGCAATACTCCAGTATTGCACCTTCCATCCATCCTATGCTCCCCGCTTGTTTGTCTATCATAAAAAATATTTTTCAAGAGTTTATTGCGCTATGAAGAATTACTACATATTATGCAAGTCTCATAATAAGAATCAGTGTGCTACTTGGTGACGTAAGGCATAATACCGATCCCCTTATGTTCGATGTATATAATATTCAAACCTTAATACTCGCCATTACTACCAAGTACACAATAAGTAAACAAAAAGTAGTTCGTGATAAATGTCTTTCAGTTTTATGACCCGGATTATTTAAAAACGTATCCTGTTATTTTATTTTCACAAATTTATTAATTAAATAAGTAGTTTGGTGGTATATATTATAGAATTATGTTTTAATATTCGCCATTTCTGTTCGAAAGATAACAATCTCGAGAATCGGGCTCATATCAAATAATTCAAAGTGATTAAAACCGCATTTATTAAGCCGCGCCCTATAATTTATACTAAAAATAGCAATAGCGAAGCTCACGAGATAATTGAGAGAAAATTATATAAAAACTAACCAATCTCAATAAATATTCACAACAAACGCACGACTATCCGTTCTTATAGACGTCCGTAATTGTATGTTGGTTGCATATGCGAAGGGAATGCGGTTCATGGCCCGAACGTATAATTCTAACTCATAAATTTTCTGCCTCAAATAATACATATTCTGTGGCAATCGCGTTGATTGATGTCAAAATATAATATTTCGGAACTGCAATTCTTACTGGCATTTGCCAAAATATCTTGCGAACGTATAATACCTACATGTTGTTGATTGTTAATTTCTTTCTTTAAGAAAGGTCCTCTTTTACATATTATAAAAAAAAATAGTAAACTGTGTATATTGAGAGTTGAACTGACAAGTTATAACTTAGACTTTTCTTTAATTAATTACTTACAATTTTAAAAAGGCGTATATTATTAAAACTTTGATCGTCTGAAAAAAAAAAGAAAAATCTAAAGATTCGCCCGTGGAACATAAGTATTTTTTCGATTGAAAAATCCGAAGGTCACGCTGAAATTGTCTGACAATGTTGGTTACGGGGCTGGGGCATGTTTGTCCTCTCCAAACATACAAAAAATATCATAAATACTAAAATGACTGATTGACATCATGCTCTCCACGTTCTCAGATCGAACACGACAGAAAACCACCGTGAAATTATTTATGTTATCAATTTAAAGAAGCTTTACACTTTACAGCCGCATTCAAAGTACTCGAGAACTCAAATTCATGGACAAGAGTCGCTATATTTCCATTCAAGGATTCTATATGAACTACTTCATTATAAACACGCACCTTACCAGCTATGCAGTTTTTATAATACATAATTTGTATTAGACTAACTTGAAGTTTACTTCACAAAGAGGAGAGAAGTATTATCATAGTAGTAGTATTATTAATATAAGTGTGTATATTTGCTCTAACGGTAGCAATTAACGAGTCACGGGTTCGATCCCCACCAAGGCAAACATATTTCTAATCGTTTTATAATTTTCAGAAAGATAGATTTCGTCTGCAAAATCTGGATATTTAATGGAAGGTTGGAATATCGAAATTCCGTCCACGGGTATCGGAGTGGATTCGTGAAGTCCAATCGAATCATTTTTGAATATCCACGGACAAAATTGGTCGACATCGCATTTCGGATAGATTTTATTTGGCTGGAAAGAGAAATATTATCTGCCTATCAAGTGAATCCTATTTTTGATTGTCTTCTCGCATAAAAGGCAACGCGGAGTATTAATCTAACAAAGATCAACAATGTGCAGTCTTCCTAACACGCTGATATAATTGAGGCACCCTACAGCGTCGGATAAAATTGAACAGTTGCTATGTGATAGACCGCAGGGCGTACTCCTCACAGCCCCAACGTGTTATTAAAACATTTAATACGTATAAAATTATTTCGCCACCGCCCGTGGTGACGAGAGCGTTCCGCTAATTTGTTCGTTATCGCAAAATAATACACATTTTTCAACTGAATGTCGCTTGATAGTGGGTTAGGGACAATTGCCGAACTGGGGCAGACATTTCTGCATCTGTCATACGGATTTCTCTTTAGCTTTGGTTAAGCGCGAGGCGATGTCGTGTTCACAACCAGTCACTAACTGTGCGTATAATAAAGTCAATTCGGAAGGAGCAAAATTAAAATTAATGGAGCTAGCATCTTGACGCTGTGATGTACACGGCTTATTGTGTATTTACCTCACATCTCACCCAGTGATATTGTCTAGGCATCGGTGTCGAGTAATAAAGAAAATAAACAACTTTATAGTTATTGTAAAAATATTTACTTCAAAATTATTAATTCACATGTCATCAATAATTACAACTATGGGGCTTACACATAAAAGCGTACATGTAATTAACATTAAAAGTAACCTATGTTTATTGTTTTTAAGTTTACACATCAGTTATGCGGTACAGTGCTTACCGCATAACATTGTTTAATTACAGTAACCTTTCTATTCAAAACAATTATTATTCATGCCATAATGTCGACAAATAAAAAAAATTCTATATAATTGATCGGATTATTTATCACAGAGTTGGTCTTTTTAATGACGCATATTCTAATGCATAAATAAATAACCTTAGATCTATTGTTAAATCAAGTCCTATACGGATTTTTCAAGTGTGAAAAATGAGTCACAGTTAAAACTTAGAACGCATAGGCGTAACATATATTTTTACAATTCATTACATAATTTTTTTGTCAATTTAAATATGGATCAAAAATAATAATCATTTGACTAGATTGGTGATAAAGCTAGATAAGGATTTGTTTTATTACATGAGTTTGATTAACGATGATTTAATTGCCAGAATTGGTGTTCTAACTTAACTATCGTACTTAAACTTACAACTACTTAGATTCTTAAAGATGCTCTTGCAGTTGTATAATATATGTCTAACATCATAGTCTCATGCATAATGGTAAAAGATAATTTATTTATTTATTCAGCGCAACGGCAATTCTACTTCTCAGACATAGCTATCGTTATTGTTACGGTTAAAATATATTTACAATCATTAAATAAATCATAGTCAAATTATAAAAGCTAGTATCGACGGTAAGCTTTTGTATCTCGTGTTTTCACACTTACCGTCTTATTCCATTATCCATTTATTCATTATACACAAGTTTATTTTTTAAACAATTTTGTCCAGTTCATGAGTTTTGGAGCAGGATTAGTCGAAGTAGAGGGCAGCGGCAAACACTCCGCCTGCGCCTCTTGAGAGCCTACAACAGGGAAATATCGACATATACAAAGTATAGTAACTAAGGTAAAACAAAGAATACGTACTAAATAAGAAATCGAATAACATTTCCTTTATTTATTTACTTCTGTCAACATATGAGACGGAGGAGCGTTTGAAAACGTGAGTTTTTGCTAGAGCATAATTAAATGTATATGACTAACCTATCTCTGAAAAGCCCTGGAAATAGTGCTTATACCGGACAGACTCCCATATGGCTCTACGCTACTCAACTACATCCCGCTCGCCCCCTCCACTGCCCGTCTTGTCCGCGATACACGATCGCGCCACTGACGCGAACAACCTAGAAACAAAATGTTTTGTCATTTATAATCATCAACATCATTTAATAGTTCGCACAGCTGAACCATCAACGAGTTTTAAATGCTAAGACAGGCCAGCTACATGGGGTCAGCTTAGCTTTATATTCTTACATATTTTCAGGATACGTACTCGGTTGTCAAAGAAGAGATTCGTGATTGTGAACTTATTAATTGTGTAACATTAACAACATTTAAATATATTCATAGTCGATCCTTTAAAATTTTACAGAATCGAGCCAGAAGATGAAACAAGACACCACTCGAAAAGCGGTTCAAATAACAACACCAACTTTACAACTTTCTGTCTGCCACTGAAAATACGTCGAGACGGTATCAAAAACTGTTCAACGACACAAGAATATCTACAAGCACCTACCCTATTGTGCTTATAATTAAAAAAAAAATAGTATGTAGTAGTATTTTATATTTATAGTAATTAATAATTATCACTTATTACTTCATTTAAGGCCATTGCTTTGTATAAAGATGCTATCACTTAAGACATGTAAAAATAAGAGAAAATTCATTTGTAAAGCAACTATAATCTAATTTAAAAACCGAAAATGAATTGAAAAAGTTTTCGACTCGGACAGGACTTGAACCGGCATCGTCAGCGTTCCGTGCTGTTGCTCTCTATGCCGGAGACGGTCCAACGGTCTCGAGTCGAAATTTGTTTAATTTATTTTCGATTTTTAATTATATAGTGCCTTCATGTGCTTGTAAAAAATAATAAAGTTTTCAAAACTATAATCTATTCAGTGCATGAATTGCATTGAAATAGCTACCATCTCACTGTGTAGTTGTAATGTACAGTGACTGTAGACATGCATGGCCACATCGGTTTAATGCTAACACTGTACAACTGGCGATGCGAACTATCTTGACTTGTCTGATGTAGCCTAACATATAATTGAGTACACGGTATAACAATACTTCCAATCCGGTTGTCTTCTCAAGTTTACCTGGGATCGTCGTACTCGTAAGCGTTGTGCTGCTCGTGGAGATGGTATTCGAAAATCAACTTTTTAAGCTATATTGCGTCTTGCAACAACTACTTACTATTGTGAAGATTAAGTTACAATGAGACTTGGTGATTAATGTATAGTTTCCTCTTAGTTCCCAGTACAACAACAACTTCACTTAGAAAACAATGGATTACTTAAAATGTTAAACAAATAGACCTAAAGTTTCACTTAATTAAATATAAACGTGACGTAAATACAAGATACACAGTAAAATAAAATATCTAAAAAGTAATAACAATAATTTTGTAACCACGACTTAAGTATTAATTTTTTTTTTTTTTTTTTGGATTGGACTCTTACGTATTGTGTTCCTAAGGAGCCACGAATACTAACCGGGCGTTTTGGGCGAGCGCGATAGCGCTCGCCGTGTTTGCGGCTAGACCAAGGGTGCCCCGAGGGGGGCATCGGCCTCGGCTTGGACCGCCGCAATGCGGGTGGGAGCTAGAAGAGCTGGACGGAAGCTCACCCGGGTGAGCGGTACGCGAAGCGAATGACCTCGCCTACGCCGACGTAGGCGGTATTGCGGGGGATCGGCACCGGTGTCGGCCGATCGCATAGCAATACGTAAGTCGACGGCTTTGGTTAAGTCGTCATCGGGGTCGGTGAGAACGTTACGCGGCCTTCTCCAGCGTGTATTTATGGGAACGGTGTAGTTGGCGGCCCGGGCCACCAGTGGGTTCGGATGCGTCGCGGCTTTTTTAAAGAAACGATCGGACGTTTCCTTGAAGTACCGACTGAGGGTCGGTAATTCGAGATCGGCGTGAAGATTTGCATTCCGTACGCACCAGATGGCTCCAGTGGCGGTTCGAGTGAACCGATTCTGAAGCACCTGGAGCCTGTGCAATGTACTGGGGTCGGCGTGAGCGAACGCGACGCTGGAGTAGGTAAGGATCGGACGAATACAAGTTTTGTAAAGCATAACTTTATGTCTGAGGGACAGTTTGCTACGCGCGCAGATCATGGGATAAAGCCTACTCATGACGTAGCAGGCTTTACGACAGACTCGATTAACATGATCGCGAAAAGTTAACTGTTTATCAAGCGTGACGCCTAAGTACTTAGTGGATTTTTGCCACGGAATGTCTTCGGCGTAGAGCTTGACACTGGCGGGGCGTCTGGACGGTTTTGTACGAGAGCTGAGGGCTCTACGAGTGAAGTAAATTGCCGCACTCTTATCGGGGTTGACCTCGACTCTCCATTTCCGGAACCATGCGCCTAGGGCGTCGATCGCGGTCTGGAGAGTGGAAACGATCCGCTTCGTTCTGCAGTCGGTGGTGTAAACGGCCGTATCGTCGGCGAAAAGCGCGATATGGGCTTTGTCGGTTTTGGGAATATCGCTAGTAAAGAGCGAAAATAGGATCGGCGAGAGGACGGATCCTTGCGGAAGGCCTGAGCGAAGGGGTTTCGGAGTAGAGAGGGCGCCCTCTACGCGGAAGCGGAAGGAACGATTCAACAAGAATGAGTGGATAATTCGCACCATTCTGTCATACAAGTTTTGTATTTAAAGATACCACTAGAAAAAATATCAACTGAATTCAAATTCTTATTATAAAAATCACAGCTTCTTATAATGAAACTATTTTTCACGTAGTTAGTGCTCGCTGTGGGAATGTGAAACGTTTCCTTGATGCGGGAAGAAGAGCGGGGGACTTTAAAACCGATTTGCTCGAGAATAGGTATAGAGTCTATACTGCTATGTATTAGTTTGTACAGACAAATAGCATCTAAATAGTCACGGCGTGACCTTAGTGACTTGATGTTGTGTCTGTTGGAACTCAATTCATAATTTACGAAATTCGAACCTGATTTATAATCTAACGATTTTAAGAATTTGTTTTGAACTTTTTCAATTCTATTAATATGATTATTATATTGGGGACTCCAAATTACACTACAAAATTCTAATAAACTACGTACATATGCGTTAAATAGTATTTTTAAGGTTGTAGTCTTTTTAAAAGGCTTGGAAAATCTTAACATGAAACCCAATATTTTAAAAGCTCTAGACACTATATTATCAATGTGAACATTGAATTGTAGCTTGGAATCAAGAGTGACTCCAAGATCCGAGACTCTAATAGAAGTGACTCGACTTAAGGTCCTATCAAATAATTTGTAGTCATATTTTAAGGGGTTATTTTTGCGACAAAAGGTTATTGTATTACACTTTTCTACATTAAGAAACAATTGATTTTCGTAACAATAATTTTCAAAAGACTGAAGATCACTCTGAAGGTCAATACAGTCATTAATTGAATTTATGACTTTAAATATTTTAGTGTCATCTGCATAAAAGCAAATGACTTGTGTTTGCTAAACAAGTGTGAAGGTCAAATATATAAATCGTGAATAGCAAGGGCCCCAAATGGGATCCTTGAGGAACTCCAGAGGGTATCGGGGGGAACCTGGAACGGTATCCTTTCAGAGCAACAGCCTGACTACGGTTATTAATGTAAGAAGCTATCCAACGTAGAAGATTGCCATGAATGCCGATCCCCAAAAGCTTGTCTAAAAGAAGAGAATGTTTTATTTTATCGAAGGCCTTTGAAAAATTAGCATACACAACATCGATCTGTTGTCCTATAGCTAAGGACTTTAGAATATAATCTGTAAAGGTAATTAAGTTAGTACTGACACTACGACCTTGAACAAAACCATGTTGCTCATTAGGAATATGATTGTGCAGTAATATACATAAATGTCTAGCTAGTATTTTCTCTAGAATCTTACCGAGTATGCTAAGTTTAGATATGGGTCTGTATTGTTTGACGTCATGAGGGTCGCCACCCTTTGATATAGGTGTTATCAAAGCTCTTTTCCAAATATCTGGGAAACAGCCTTCAGTAATTGATTTATTGTATATTATGGTTAAAGGTACAGAGAGTTCAGAGCTAAGTTTTTTAATTAGGAATGGGTGAACATCGTCGTTTTCCGTGTGGTGCCGGATTAAGAATAGTACCCCCCCATATCCTCCCGTGGGTGTCGTAAGAGGCGACTAAGGGATAAAAAACCGATGAACGGGCAGCAGCGTTCATTCGCGGTTCAACCATCCAACTGCGCTCGCCAACCCGTCTGCCAAGCGTGGCGAGTATTGGCTTATACCCCCCCAAAATGGACAGTATGACCAGCACCAGGCCCCCAGTCCCCGGCAGCCCCGTAAGTCCTGGCTACGGTAGCGGCCATGGTAACTGCGAGGCAGGGGGTGCTAAGAATCACCGGCAGAGATCCGGCTACCTTTTCCGACGACCATTGTCCCTGGTAACATACAATGCACGCACTTTGAGGATGGATGAAAAGATTGTCGAGCTGGAAGAAGAACTGAATAGGTTGCGGTGGGACATAATAGGGTTATCGGAGGTCCGACGAGAGGGCGAGGACACGATGACCTTGGAGTCCGGCAACATGTTCTTCTACCGAGAGGGAGGACAGCAGTCCCAAGGCGGTGTCGAGTTCATAGTCCACAGATCCCTTGTCAACAACATAGAGGTGGTCGAAAGTGTGTCGAACAGGGTGGCGTACCTTATACTCAGAATATCTCAAAGATATTCGCTGAAGGTCATACAGGTATACGCCCCGACCTCGACGCACTCAGATGACGAAGTAGAAGTTATGTATGAGGACATCAGTAGAGCCATGCATTCTTCGAAAACACACTTCACTGTTGTGATGGGGGGACTTCAACGCAAAGTTAGGGAAGAGAGGCGAAGATGAGTTGAAGGTGGGAACCTTTGGCTATGGGCACAGAAATCCTAGGGGACAGAGGCTGGCCGAATTTTTGGCGAAGGAAGGTCTTTACATGATGAATTCCTTCTACCAAAAGCCGCCGCAAAGGAAGTGGACCTGGATGAGCCCCGATGGAAAGACGAAAAATGAGATTGACTTAATCATGTCCACTAAGAGACATATATTCAACGACGTCTCGGTGATTCACAAGGTGAAAACCGGAAGTGATCATCGCATGGTACGGGCCTCGTTGAATATAGATATCAAAGCCGAGAAGTCTAGGCTGATCAAGTCAACCCTCAGACCGTCTCGTACCCAAGTCAATGATCCCGAGAGCTTTCAACTCGAATTACGCAATCGTTTCTCGTGCCTGGAAAACTGCGCGTCAGTGGACGAGCTTAACGATGGGCTTGTAAAAACTATCTATGCGGTGGGCTCAAAATACTTTAAGTCCCATCGCAAGGAAAGACCGGAAAAACTTTCAAACGTAACATTAAAACTGATGGCTGAAAGGCGATCAATATCAGTCCAAAACCCCGATGAAGCTGAGTCATATAGGCAGCTCAATAGACAAATATCGAAATCTTTGAGGCGCGATATCCGCTCCTTTAATACTAAACGTATTGAGGAAGCGGTACGGCGTAACAAAGGCGCGAAGGTCTTTGCAAGAGATACGTCTATTGGGCAAAGCCGGCTGACTCGACTAAAGAAGGAGGATGGTATTGTAGTTAGCTCCACGCCAGAAGTCCTGAAAGAGGTCGAAAAGTTTTACGAGCAACTTTACTCGTCGGTTGCTAAGCCCGTCGTGAGCACGGCGACAGACCCCAGAGCCAAACTTACCCGACACTACACCGAAGACATCCCGGACATCAGCCTATACGAGATTAGGATGGCCCTAAAACAGCTTAAGAACAATAAGGCACCGGGTGAGGACGGAATCACCTCGGAGCTACTGAGAGCTGGCGGTACCTGGTGTAGTCTCAGATTGCTTAAGAGGCTTTTTACCTCCACCTTGCTCAAAGGCACAACGCCGGAGGCATGGAGCAGAAGCGTAGTGGTCCTGTTCTTCAAAAAAGGTGACAAATCCCTCCTGAAGAACTACAGACCGATCTCGCTTCTGAGCCATGTCTCCAAGCTGTTCTCTAGGGTCATCACGAATCGTCTCGAACGTAGGATCGATGAATTCCAGCCACCCGAACAAGCCGGTTTCCGGAAAGGCTACAGCACCATGGACCACATACATACGGTGCGGCAGGTGATACAGAAAACCGAAGAGTATAACCTGCCATTATGCTTAGCGTCTATGAGAAGGCCTTTGATTCGATCGAGACCTGGGCCGTCTTTAAATCTCTCCAGAGGTGTCGCATCGATTATCGATACGTCGAGGTGTTTGTATAAGAACGCCAATATGTCAGTCCGAGTACAAGATCGGTGTACGAAGGCCATCCCAGTGCAGCGCGGTGTTCGGCAAGGTGATGTTGTCTCACCAAAACTTTTACCGCTGCTCTGGAAGACGCTTTCAAGCTCCTAGAATGGAAAGGACTGGGCATCAACATTAACGGCGAGTACCTCACCCATTTGCGTTTTGCCGACGATATTGTGATCATGGCACAGTCTTTGGAGGATCTAAACACAATGCTCGAAGACCTCAACAGTGTTTCCAAGCAGGTAGGCCTGAGTATGAACATGGACAAGACAAAAATAATGTCGAACGCCCATGTAGTGCCTACCTTTGTATCTATTGGAAGCACTGTACTCGAAGTTGTTGACGAATACGTCTACCTGGGTCAAGTAATACAATTAGGTAGATCCAACTTCGAGAAAGAGGTCAATCGTCGAATCCGACTCGGCTGGGCAGCGTTCGGGAAACTAGACAAAGTCTTTTCATCCCGTATACCTCAGTGCCTGACAACTAAAGTGTTCCAGCAGTGTGTGTTACCAGTGATGACGTACGGTACCGAAACATGGTCTCCTACCGCGAGCATGGTGCACAGACTACGCGTCGCTCAGCGTGCGATGGAAAGGGCTATGCTCGGAGTTACCCTGCGCGATCGAATCAGGAATGAGGAGATCCGTAGAAAAACTAAAGTCACTGACATAGCCCATCGAATTGGCAAGCTGAAGTGGCAGTGGGCTGGGCACATCGCTCGAAGAACTGACGGCCGTTGGGGCAAAAAGGTTCTGGAGTGGAGACCACGTACCGGACGTCGAAAACCTGGTCAAGGTAGCAGGGAAACGCTGGATTCAACTGGCGAACGACCGGTCGTACTGGAAGTCTATGGGGGAGGCCTATGTCCAGCAGTGGACGCTGAACGGCTGAATCGAATTGATCGAACATCGTCGTAACCAGGACCTTTGTTAACGTCTAACTGGTCGAAATGTTCCTTAACCAAGTCTTCGGGAATATCAAAATGGGAAATGTCTACCAAAGGATGTGTCTGAGAATTTGCAGTTGCATAATTTTGATTTAAGTTTGGAGAATTGTAACTAAGATTATCATGTTGAACAAAAACCGAATTAAAATAATCGTTGAACATGTTGCAAATGGTATCACCATCTTCAGAAGTAAAATTGTTGTAATTTATATAAGTAGAGATATTGTTTACGCCTTGTTTAGATTTTACATACGACCAAAGATATTTAGGTGAAGCACAAATATTTTCTTCCGATAAGTTGATAAAATTAGTATAACACTGCTTTTGTAACAACTTTTCTCTAGCACGTAAGAATTTGAAATCTAAATAATCACGGGGGTTTTTGTAACGTTTCCATTTAGAATGAATTTTTAATTTTCTACGTATAGTTTTTATTAACTCTTTAGAATACCAAGGGGGGGGGGGGGGATTTGTAGATACTGATGCAACAAAATTAATCATTAGATTGTTATAAAATGTATAAAAATATTCTACAGATTGATTAATATTTAGCGATGATAATTCTTCAACCCATTTAACGCTGGCAATTTCTCTTTTTATGCTGTCAATATCAGCCGCATGATAGAACCGTTTAATTCTGCTTTTCTCGGCAATATATCGAATATTGCAGACGGAAAGCCGAATATCAAGTGCCTTGTGGTGGAGATCCTCAAAGACAAGGGTAGGATTAGCTGGCTTTACTTTACAATTTATAGTACTCAAGACGAGGTCTAAAACCCGATTGTTTATATTGCGACAATTATTAAATTGGCGGATATTACTAAAATTCATAAAGTCCATCAAGGCATTTACTTTAGTGTCGTTTATTGTTGTATATAAATTAAAATAAGTACAAACGTCATTACTCGGTTCCCAAATCGCATTAGATATATTAAAGTCTCCGAGAAGAATAAAAACATCATTAGGGTTGTCTAATATAAGTTTTGCGGCGTTTTCAAAAAACATTTGTAATGAGGCCAAATTATTATTATTATGCGGGAAGTAACAACAAGCGATGTGCAGGAAAACATTTTTGTAATTTCGTGTATGCGGTGATCGCGGAGGAGCACGGTGCAGCGGCACGCCACACGCGTCGACGCTCACCCAAAACTCCTCGGCCGACTGTGACGAGCACCAATCGTCGCGGCGGCGCACGCGCAGCCCCCGCTCCACCGCGGTCAGCACACCACCGCCCCGCGATGGCCCGGCTCCCGTCTCACCGCTCGTTACCGAGTCATATCTATGCTTACGATAAACACTGTACTTATTATTAAAGTATTCAGCGTCTTTAAAATCTTTCGTAAGCCACGTTTCGGCGAGACATATTATATTAAAATGACTTTTTAGAACATTGGCAAAAAATAAATTAGATTTTGTACGTAGGCCCCGCACATTTTGGAAGTAAATATTAAACGAATTTAAGCTATTATCTACCATATAAAGAATTGAGTGGAAACAAATAATAAATAGCGCAAGGTAACGTAGGTAATAACTAATGGTTTTATACTATGGGTTAGGATGAGCACTGACATACGTTTACAGTATCTATTATATGATTGATAACAAAGAGTCTTCATAATGCACATAAATGTTATTCTAGAAATAGTATATTGACGTAGAACTAGTCATTTAATCTTTAACAAATCTGATTCTTGTGAAATGCGAATAATGCTTGACTTTTCGTGTTTACGCATAAGAATTTTACAGTCCCTAACCCACAAATAGGAATAATTCAGTTCACTTTTTAACTCGCGGGCACGTTTTAATAACAGCTTATTGGATGGAGTGAGGTGCTCGTTGATAAATATTTTGGACTGGGGGCCGGCTAGCTTGATATCGGCTGTGGTTACTGTGCGGCGCGCGCGGGCGGCTGCAAGCAACTCGTCCTTGCGTCTGCGCCGGGTAAAACGTACCACAATGGCCGGGGGCCGGGGGGCCTGCCCGTCGTGAGTTGGGAATTGTCTAACTCGATGAACTGTGTCGACGTCGGTGGGCTCAAGCCGAAAACCCGTCACTGCACAAATGTCGCTCACTATGTTGTGTAGGTTTTCGCCTGATTTGCTTGGCACTCCTAAAATTTCAACATTGTTCAAGCGCGAGAACTGGTCTTGCAGGTTATGATTATGTTTGAGAAGAGCGACTTCCTCTCTAGAACTGTCACAGTCGGTGGAGATTTTAGTTATTTTCAGTTCCAGTTCGCCCATTCGTTCTTCGATGAGATTTATTCGCGTTTCCAAACTGGTCCAACTCAACGTTAACTCCCGCACCGCATCCACTGTATCGTGAGTGTCCCTTTTCACCGTATCAAGATCCAATTTGAAACTATTAAATTCAGATTTCAAGTTCTTTAATTCCCTCAAAATTTCAGCGTTTGTAGTGTTGTCGGTAGACACCACGGCGCGGCACGTTATACACCGCCAGGCCGCTCGCTTCTCGGGGCCCATTTTCTTGTAGCTGGTTTCCGAAACCCCAGCACACACGTAATGATAAGCACCCGAACACTGCGCACACGACACCGAGTCCGTCAAAGGTTCATTGCATTTGGTACAATTCATGTTAAAAACAAAAGTAGTGTTATAGAAAAAAATAAGCACGCAAAACACTACCGCCACTTGCGATGATCGCGGGAAGAGTGAATTAATAAAGATGATGCCCAAAATAATTTTTGTACGCGGGCGAAGTCGCTGAAATAGTAAGTTTTATTATAGCCCCGGATAGACGAGAGTGTTTAAAGAAACATTAAAAATTGTTCTAAGTTGAATTAGGAATACAAGATAAAATAGGAATTCAAGTTGTCTACCCAAACACCCAGGTGTTTAAGGAACTTCTTTGGGCAACGACAGTGTTGCAACGATTACGCACTCACTTATATGCCTTGCGTTCGACTGCAGACTTGGCGGCCCTCATCTTAGCTTTAGCTCCTGTTCTTCTTATTGATGAGCGTTTTAAGGTTTAGGTCTTCGGCTAGCCATGGAGCAGGTGTTTTAATTTGACTGGCCTTAATGGTACATGTTTATCATAAAGATTGGCGATAGCGTTGATGAACAAATCGACTTTGCCGTTCAGGAATCAGAGTCGTCCAATCAATCGCCGAAGCATCGTTACTCAACGCTTGGAGTTAACCTCCAGCGAGATTGCGGCGAAGAATAAAGGTAGGTTTATGTTTAGGAAGTTTGATGTTGAAAGAAAGGTAGATCTAATCGTGATAGGAGAAAGGCAACGGCGGGAAACTGACCGCGTCGAAAGACTACGTGAGGAGGGGAGGTAAAAATGAAATCTAACGAGGAAGGATTAAAGCCAGGAGATTTATGCGTAGCACTAAGAGGTAGATTGTTAAGGTTGTATGAGTCGCAGATTGATAGTCAATTTTTCGATCGATGGTCATCTTTTATGAAATCACCACATTTTCAATAATCACCCATTAATATTGTATTATTATATAAAGCACCTTAAGAATTAAGATTTCGAGAAGAGAGATTTTCGAGGCAGAACAATACTGAGCTCCGACTGCACAGCTGTTGCGCTGCCTGCTGGTGTGTTGCTAACGTTTTAAAGACGCTGGTGGAATTTTACCATCTTCAGGGATACCATTTCAGATACATCCAACATAGTTTTTAAAAGTTCTTCCATTTTTTTAATGTGGGTAGGTGTAGTAAACAAAGTATACGGAAGTGAAAAAAGTGTTATAGAATGGAAGAATTAGCGAAATTAGTGCCATGGGCTATTTATAACATCACTACACACATTAGTTTTACTTTTGAAGTAACTAAAATATTTTAAATCCCGAAAATTGAGAGCACGTGTTTACACAATGATTTGTTATTTATTTGATTATATTCCACAAAGAATGACGTGCTTTGATGGTATTTAATGTATTATGTTTTCTTCATTCATCACCTGATGTTGTTGGGTGAACTGTTTTAATTGAAAAAAAAAAAGATATACTGAATATTTATTATTTAAAAACTAGGTTTGCACACGAATTTGAAAAAACGAACTATACAATTTTCTTGGTTGTGATCTCCTCTTTGTCCCTGACTTTAAAATATCTGTTTGGACTTTTGGTAAATTTAGTTCTGGAGGTAGTAGACTGCAACAAAGATCTTTTTTATGTTATTCATGTTTGATCTTGCCTATGAAACACTGTAACTAAAAACCATTTAACAGACCCCAGTGTGGGGAAAGAGCTGACAGAACAGAAATAGAGTAATATTTAGAATACTGTTGCAGACAAAAGCTTTCATATTATACTTACAATGTGAGTTAATTTATCTATTGGAAGTGCAGCCATTAAACACCTTATCATATTATATCCTTTTTTTAATTCAAATTGAAACATAATAAAATGAATGAAAGTGTGAAAACGCTAAAGCTCTTTTAGTTTTCGATACATTCTCGTTTAATGTGAAGAGTCCTTAATGGGTTATTTGACAAATCATTTAAAATTGTTTTATATTATTTGTAGCTCATTTTATTAAATTTGTATTTTAATAAAATGAGCTACAAATCGTGTGTAAATGCTGAAACTGTTTTACTATTCTAAACTTATACTGAATACTGATAACTATTATAAGTAATCGACGCTATATTTTTCGTATTATCAAATAGACAAAGAATTACACAAAGAAATTAACCATACATGAGACTTTATAGGGCCTTCGAAGAACTTCGCCTTATGGCCTAAATTGTAAACCAAAAAATTAATCGTTACAATAAAGTACTTACTTTTCTATTTCAGGGGCACAGTGGACAAACTCATGAGACCAGAACTTATAAATTGGATTCTTGATAAGTTCGATAAATGTTATAAGTAGACCCCAGGGGTGTGGTCTATTCACAATCAGTCTCTCCAGCAACATCCTAGTGATTTGCTCTTGAACTGCCTCTGAATTGGCTTCAGAAAATAAGTAGAGTAGACAACAGCTAAAATAGTGGGTGTGGCTGTTCGGGTAGCGCAGTTGATTGGCTATTGCATTTAAGAACAGGTACCTGAAACGGAACCAATGTTTATGTCGACTATTTTGAGTGGGGATACACTATTATAGTATGAAATAATTTCTTATAATTGCTGTTATGTATAATAATGCGAAAGTGCGTGTAAAAAAAATTAGACTACCTCCCCTCGTAATCCAGATCAACTGTAAAATTCTGGAATATATCCATATGCGCCGAATGCGCAATCGTGGACACGTTCGGGGACTGTCCTTTTGCCCTAATGTGGGCAATGGCCTGTGTTCCTACGTAGAGGACTACTGCATTCATAAGTTGGCTGTTGTATCTGCGTCCGAGCTCATTCACAACCTGCACGCAATATTTTAAATAATATGGCTTTTTTTTAATTTTGTCTAGTGTAGCAGAGGAAACAATAAGTATTTGAAGTATTACCTGCATATGGCTCCTCAGTTCCGAGAGGAATGTAACCGGCGATCTCGCCTTCAGATACGCGTCCAAGTCCTTCTTGAACTGCGACTTCGGTATCAAATTAGCGTAGTTGATGACTGCGCGAGGCGGTAGGTTGATTTCAGCCAGCAAGTCAACCTTCAGGTTCGGCGTAAACGGGTCCGGGAGGCGCATGCTCCGCGGGAATGCCGAAAGGATCAAGTTTCTCATTTGAATGCAATTCGGCGGTATCTCGTCGCAAAATCCATAATGATAGTCGCAAAGGAACTCGGGGAAATCGTGAAGCAACACCAACAATACTTTCAGGGAACCCTTGTATAGTGACATAACCGGCGATGCTAATTCCGTGTTCCTTAGGAACGGATCTAAGAATTTGAACAGATCAATGAGGAGTGTCGAGTACATTCCCCAGCCCTAGAACATGAATGTATCATTATAAAGTGAGACGTCGCCAGATGCAGCGTACGAGAAATCGATGCAATGATTTCAACCTGTTCTACGGCGCTCTCATGCACACAGTGCACAATTTTAAATTTTACATGCACTATATACGGTTAAAAACATGCACACGAAGAAGCAAGTTGTACGAAAACATAAAAAGCATAACAATGATAATAGCAGCCGCGTGAACAGGCATTTCACATTCTGTATTTATTTAATTATTATCAATGTCACACAAAATAACTTTCATCTTACTCAACGTTCAACGTTGCATCGAGTTTTCGAATTTTCCATTTAAGCAAAGCAAGCGACATAATATATAGTAATCAAATTTTAAGCAATTAAGCAAACTTCACTGAATTATGATTTATATGAACACTAAAATTAAGAGAGAATGATAGTTGTTACCAGTGCGAATAACTTGGTGGCATAAAATTAAAGAAAATGTTGTAGTTTTATACAGGTATAGCATAAGTCTGAATCAAAAATCAAATTAATGTATATCAAGAATATTGTTTATAGTAATTGTATTAATTGTTGGAGTATATAAACATGTTCGACTTTGAAAAAAACTCTTTTTTCGGTCGTTCTTATAGTTTTACCATTTCTCATTATGAGACTATTGAACCAATTGAGAACATTTATTATTTTGACCATGAATATGACAACATAGACAATGCAATGGAAACCATAATGGGAGAATGAACTATATAATAAAAACGACATAGCAACAAAATATGTCAACGAACATAAAATACTAAAGATAAAGAGATTTATGCTTAGTTGTACCAATGAAAACTTATTAATATACGTGGCATAATTGTAAACTAGTTTGGTTTTGCTATTTTATTTGTATGAGATACTTAGCAATTAGGTGACGTTGACAATACGCCTAGGAGGACAGTGTAATAAGTACTTAGCCTCACCGCTCAATGGCGCCACTATTGTAAGATATATTTTTATCATGCAGTTCATTCTTTTTATTAATGATAGAGGAGGAGAGACAAGCTTGGGGTCACTTGATGGTAGGTAAAATACTGCTGAGTGTTCTCTTATATAGCATCTAAACAAGATGCGCTGTCGACTTATTTTGACTTTGGATATTCGGAAATCCAGACTGATACCTAAACGTGATTCGTAACCTGAACGGCATTTCGATATTCCTACCACCCATCGAGTGTGGAGGTTATAGCCGCCATAGATGAGTACTCTGCAAACCTCACGAAAACGTATTTTTCAGATGGGTTAAAGAAGTTAAAAGGAAACTATGATGTTGAGTATAAAAAGCAACTTTTCTAAAATTTTCGTTTATCCTTTGTAGGTAAGTACTTATCGGACTATCCTCGTACTTATTTCCTATTGTGGTAATATATACCAACGTTTATTAACAACCCCAAGGGCGTTAGTCGCTTGACACAACTAAAAGAAGGGTAAAGCATTGGCTGTCCGTGTTTCAATAAATCGACTCAAAGTATTCTTTATTGAAACATGTTTCATGGACAGCCACAGATTATTTAAAAAGCAAACTTAATAATAAGTTAAGGTGTTATAGATAAGTTTAGACAAGTACCTTCTGTTGCGGCGTGACTGCTAGCACACGGTTTATAAAGGACCGGTGTGCGACGAGCTCTAGCCACGCGTACGCGAAACCAGGCGCTTGACTCGGACGAATTATACGGAATGTATGACAAAACGCTGTTAACACCTACATAAATATATTTTATACTAATATTATAAAGCTGTATAGGTTGTTTGTTTGAACGCGCTAATCTTAGGAACTACTAGTTCGAATTGAAAAAAAAAATGTGTTGGTTAAAGCATTTATCAAGAAAGGCTATCCGTATGAAAGTGTGATTCCTCTTTAGACGATGCAAAAAAAATATCCGCAACAGTAGATGCTTTAAGTTTTAAGATTAACTCGCAACACCAACAGGCCACGACCGACGTCGTGGGATATAATTTTATAAGGATGCAGGGAAGATTCGCAGAAACAAAATTTGTCTACGCTAATCTACGCGGACGAAGTTGCTGGGCACAGCCAGTTATAATATATTTGTTTAAAAATTCAGCTTGTCTATCATCGTGTAATAATCACTGAAAGTACCAACATTACTACTTAAAGTACTTATACTCCCATAACTCACCTGGTAGTTCATGCTTTCTAAAACTGGTTCTGCCATGTTCATGTCAAGGAAGAGTATTAGTAATAGCCTGTGATAGGGCAGCTGTTGGAAATTCACGCCATGTTCCTCGTGGTCATAGAGCAGACAACCCGCGATTATACCAAGAATCTTGAAAGAAATGTAGAACTCACATTTAATAGTATATAAAACTAGGTATTTAGAGACTGTCTCGAATTAAGACACACGATATATAAAAATTTCAAACCTCTAGCAGTGGCCCTAAAGCGGCCAAAGTAACGAAAGAAAGTTACCTTATTTAACAAATTGAGTTTCGGAGTTGGATTGCCAGCGTCAGCCGTATTCTTGATCAATAAGGACACGAGCTTTATGAACGAATCGCACATTGTGTAAAACTTCTCCTTTTTTGTGGGCACCTGGGGCGGATTCAGTCTCTCATCCGTCAATTGCTGATAGACATTCTCGATGCACATCTGCGTGGCGATCCTGAAGAACCTAGTAATCATATCGTCGGACTTCAGGATCCCGTTCATGTTCATTCGGTGCACGTAAATGTTGAAGTTCTGTCCAATCTCGATGTCCGTGAGTGGGCTCAAGAGGACGTTGCGCCACTCGCGAAGCAAATTCTCAGTCTTCTCTTGTAGTCCATGAGGGTCCTCGTAGTCGCGGTTCTTAAAACAAAACGTCAATTACTTCTAAATCAAATATTTACACAGGCTTGTCCTGCATTACTAATTACCGTATAAGTGACAAGAACAAATATTTAAGATGCTTAACGTTGTTACTTTTGAGTGTTTAATTCGTTGAGTTTCTTAAGGAATTGAAGAATTTTTACTGAAGTAACAATTTTCTACATGTCATCTACACAGACAAATCAAATCGATACAACAAATTCATTTATTTCTAGTGTACTTACTCTGACTTGCATTATTCCGGTGTGAATGTGCGATGTGGGGCCCAGGGGTGACCTTTCCCCCAAATATGTGCTAGGGTCTTGGTTTATCCTAATTGCTTCAATTAGCGACGCCAAACCTTCAGGTGGGGGGTTGCGGGAATGCGACATCATCCTAACTAGTGATTCGGTCGTATGGTAGAGATCAGACTCGTTGGCGTACATATTGTTTCTGTCGTCCACTAGATAGAGCTGAACAAGTTGCATCGCAAACGCCACAGCAACGTAATTGTTACCGTTGTCCATTAAGTGCGCAAGAGCTAGATCGTACTGTGAAAAAAAAAATGTTCAACACTTTTATTTGCCTCGCACCTCTGCAACATTACTGGGAGCGAGTGTGGTGTTTCATCATCCAGCAGCAATTCTAATTTAACTCACTTGAGGTATGTTGATGAGATGGTTTCTAATGAGGCAGTCAATAGCCTCTAGATTATATTTTAGTTCATCGCGACATTCGATAACGCAGCTCGTAATCTGTTTCGTGGTCCACGCGTGTCCATAAACCCGGGCGTCTTCGAGGAGCTTCAACACTCGAAGGTGAATGTCTCTGTATCGTGTCATCATTTCGACGTGTTCCGTACTAGCTCCTGGTTGCACAATATGCCCATCTAAAAGACCCTCGACGGCCTAAAATAATGGTTAAAACTCAGTTTGAAATACCAAAAAGTGTGCAAAATACCAAAATAACATTTATTTTTAATTTCATGGCTAGCTCGAAACTTAATGCAAAATTGTCTCTTGACTGACTGATCGGCTCCAAATGAAAAAGGCCTTAAAAAGCGATCAATTTTGGAAATACAAACCCGCTGTAACAACGTAAATCCCGATACGAAGTCTCGGTTTCTCCTCGCCATGATCAGGCACTCGAGAAGGGTGTGCATGTTGGTCGCCTGGACAGCAAAGGACGCCAATGACAGGGCACTCGTGAGGAACATTTCGGCTGCTGTTATTAACCCGCCCATCTCATCCGCGCCGTATATTTGCTGGAAAGGCTATGTTAAAAGGGTACAACTGGAAAATGTATTGTATATTAAGCTATATGACAAGTCGTTTACCTGTGTAGGATTTATTACTTGGCTATAAGTAATCTGAGGTGCTAGTTGGTCCTGCGAGGCCTGTTTCGGCATGAACATACCAGCGTCGCGCACTGGTACAAATCCTGGAATGTTGCAGGCGAATTCCTCGTAGACAGCGATTTGCGTTTCCGTCGGACCGCCAACACGTAGTCGTACCCTCTCGGGAATCCTATCAGTTTGGTAGCCTAGAACGATGGTGTCATAGTATCGACGACCTTCTTGTCTAGCGATCTTTCGTATTTCATAATCGTTCATTAATCGCTTATCGAGTTCAGGTAACGCTTTTTCGACCGCTGTCTTCTGAATGAAAGCACAAGCTAACTCCATGTTTTCTCCAGCCATTACAGCCGACGCACTATCGATGATGTCCTCAAAAGATAAAAAAGAGTTTCTCAAAAGAGATAATGGATGCATTACTTGCATTAAGCTATCAAAGAAATGAGTGAAATATTGACGTGATTCTAAAGTTTCGTGGTTAAAAAATACATTTTTTTTTAATTTATTCAAGATACATCAACAGATGTATCGTTACGTTAGATTTAATAAAAGACGTATACGGCACTAGTTGTTGGTACTAACAATTAGTAATAATAATAAAAAAAGGTTTACGTGTTGCGATGGATAGGTAAATAATTACGATTTTATTTTTTTAAACTGGTATGGAATCGGCAAGTATATCAATGTTGTTTATTTTATTTGAATTGAATTATATTCATTTAACATGAGTATGATCAGTGAGAATGATCCTAGGTTTGTTCTACAGCATGGAAGAGTGGTTTTATGAAGTTTCAAGAGTTGTATGATTAAATCTGAACATTCGCGTCTGTCTCGAAGCTTAGACTAATTGAAAAATGCAAGCAAACAAAAGCAAGTCTATCATGATATGAACAACTATGAGAAATTCCAGAAGAAACAATAACGGCATTAGTACTAGATACTGGGTCTGTTCCATTTCCACAAGCTGAAGCATCAGTTTAGACAGATTTAGAAAATATATCTGCTGAGTGTTCTCTTTTATAAAACGGTTTTAGGATTGTTAGTAGGGTAGCAACTACCATTCGGTTACTATTCGGCATTCTGCCTATTTGGCGTCTTTTATACTTGGCCGAATACCGAATGCTTAAATTATGAGGGACAAGGAGTTAGTCGATAAAATTAAAAATGAATTGATTAATTGAAAATGTATTCACCTTTACAGTATTTTTTATTATCGCGAAGACGATAATAGGCGACATACTCATACATTTCGGATTTTTATATATCAATTAAAAGGTCCGGCTGGTATTAGAGGCTCAATACGTTCAAAACAAAAAAAAAATATTTATAAAACGGAGAAATACACTGTTCTCAATAGTTTAAAAAAAAGGAGGAATAAAATGCATTCTCCCTAACATCTCTACACATTGATAGCTGTTTGTGCCAATCAATAGCTTAGATTATTAATAAAAGCTGCATAATTCGCTTCTTAAAACTGTAACTTAGATTCTAATTAAGACTTAGATAATTAGTGCTATGTTTATCAATATTATTAACTGCAAGGAGTAAAAGGGGGTGATAACAACCAATTATAAAAAGATAATCTATTGGTTCCGATACAGATATACACGACTTAATACTATGTTTTTTTTACCATTTACGTTATGAAGCTCGTTGAATTGATATAATTATTTAATGATATAAAATCGACCAAATATATCCAACTGAACTTGAACTTGGCATTTACTTTTTAACATTTACGATATGTGAAGATCTTTTTACAGTCCGAGATAATTTGGAGGTTTGAAAATTGAACACGCAACTATTTTAAACGTTAAATGTTAAGAGGTATTAAATCAAGTCTTTTTATTACCTTGTTAGTGATTGTATAACTTTAAATATTATAGTTTCTACAACAACTACGCTAGGAAAGCAATTTACCTGCTGGGGTGTCGTCGGCAGTAGGGCAGTTATGAAAGCAGCCTTCAAATTGGTTGTAATTGTATTTATAATTTGTTCCCGGCACGTTATCATCGCCATACCCGCTGTCAAGTTACGCATCATGTGATGGGCGCAGGTGCGCATGCGACCTTCATCAGGATCGAGAGCGAAATCCTTTCGGATAATTTGCTCACACGTCGTCAACGCATATTTAATGGACCTATCTACGACGGGGTGAATCCATTCTTGGATAGAACGTTCAATCGCCGGTTTTACAAATTGCTTCAGATGTGGATAGCTTTGGAATAACAGAATGTGCGGGTTAAAGCTAATCTTCTGTCCGAAAGCAGATGTGGACGAAACGTTCACGTCCAGATAATTAAATCGCGGTTCGGGCATGCCAATGACGCCCATCAATGAAGGGTCATTCATTAGACCACTAGTGGGCGTGGGCGCTGCGGCAGATATATCTTCGGTTGGAATCATCGGCGTCTGTGGCGGAATCATTTGTATCTGTGGAGCTTGAACGATCGTTTGGCTCAGCGCTATCACGTTAGGTTGCGGCTGGGGCGGTTGTTGTTGCGGCTTCGGCTGAGATAGTTGGAACTCGATAGTTCTTATTTTATCAGGATCCTTCAAATAGAGAGTTGGTTTTAAATCTTGTATATCAAGTAGTAGGTTTTTACAAAGAACTTCTATCTCAAATTTCAAGTTCAACTTCAATTCTGGCTCTTGATGTAATTCGGCCAAAACATTCATTAACGCCATCGTCCAGGGGTTGGGCGGCTTGAATACGACGCTCTTAGCGCACGATTCGAGTACTTTCGCAACAAATGGCACGACATACAGAAGTTCTTGTTGTCCTTTGTGATAAGCCTCTAGGAGCAGTGCTTTGAGATCTAAATCTATGTGAAGGATGGGTAAACTTCGCGCTAATGTCAGCATGCCCAACCAATGACCGAGATTCTTCAGAAGAGACCGATCCGAAAAATTGGCTATGCCTTTATCAGAGCGTAGCAGTACCCTAATATTTCTATACGTTTCCTTCGTTACTAAAATAGTGATTTGCCTTATCTTCAACACGTCCAAGAAGTTCGAATACAATACATGGAAGTTCAACTCTATCGACGCTCTTTTCATGACCAAATACTGTGCGAGCCATGGAAAATACTCCTCCGTAATAATCTCCTTCAATTCGTCGCATTTCGCTTGCAGGTTTAGCTGACTTAGATTATTGAAGATGAACGCAGTTTTATCTTGTATAGCTTCAGGTGGCGTATTTATTTTGTCATCACGATCGGTGGCGGTCAACAAAGTATCAATGTTTGTAGCGTTCGCGATGGACGGTCGACTACCGATACCGCCGGCTGTACAGTTCGCAACCTTGGATATCACGGTGATAGAGCTAGCTGGTACTGTTGAGCTTCTGAAAATAATAGAACATAGTTAAACTAAACGGGAGAAAAACCGAAACAATTGAGAACACATTACAGAGCTTTTTTGTCGTTTAAAACGCGATATGTTATGTGTACTACTCGCGTAAACTATAGACAGTATTTAAAAAGCATTCCATTTGCTTTTGATAGATGGTATCAATGATAAGATTTTGAATTCTTTTTGTAGAGTAGTCTTAATTTGCTCTTTATAAGCCCCTACACCTTTCCATCTAATAGCACTCACAAAAACGTATTTTTATCTATTTTAGTTAAGTATTTTTGCATGTTTGTAATTGTGTTAAAACATTGACAGTTCTTAAAAAAAAATAAACTGCAGTTGCAATAAGTTCTCTGACCTGTGAAGAGTAGCAAAAACTCTTGGGTTGCAATAGTTACATCGAAGTAAAAACTCAATCGCAACGTAGCCAATGGCAAGACACTAACTAATCGTAGCATAATAAAAAAAGAAAGTCATGACGAAAGCCAGGTTAAATGAATGTTAAAACAAAGCTATATATATTGAAATCATAGAATAGATTACCTGTATGGAGCTGTAACGGTGACAACGCTTGCTTGATTTAACATAGCAGCTAATGTTGCTGGCAATACGGCACCTTGTGGTTTTGTAGGTGGTTCTTGACTCTGCAGACCATACTCAATGTATTCAATCAAATGAGGTGGAAACTCGCTAAAATGTGGAATAGCTCGAACATGTTCACAATACTTATGATAATCTTTTAGCCTCGACTTAAATCTATCCAAAGCAGCTATACCAAAGTAGTACATTTTAGAGCCCTCTTGTTTTCTCAAAGCATCTAGAACAAATCTAAGTGCTAATCCAAGAGAAACATAACTCGGTACAAGGCCCTTTTCTATGATCCCACCGAATAGCTGTGCTGTTATGTGAAGTTCTTTATCAGGGTATTGAGGAAAGAATTTATATTCTTCAAATAGATTCCTAAGCATACAGGAAAATACCTCTCTTTCTCTCTTGTTTGGTGAATCTTGAAACTTTTTCAACATCTCTAGTACTTCATCAATCGATAATGTAGGGTGTGGAGGATGATTGTATATTCTCTGGAAGTATCCATTAGCTTCATCTTCAATTTCTTTTGACACATTATGCATTATTTCAGGAAAGTGGATCGGGTCCGGTATCCGATGCTTGTCCATAGCTGGTCCGGGAGGCATTCTTGTCAGAGCACCCATCGTAGCCACATTTGCACCATGTTGCATTGGTATAATAGCGAAAGGACTATTTGGCCCAGCGCCCATTAGCCGCGATGGCGACCCTGGAGTCGTGACTAAAGGTCCTAATGTTCCTGGCATAGCAAAGGTGTTAGATGGAGCCCCGAGAGTTAAATTTGCCACATTCGGCGTCAAGGTAGCTATTGAATCCACATGTGGAGTAAACAATTGCCCTCCTAAGCCAGCTGGATTGAATGGAGTTTCGAGCACACGAGCGTGGGTTTGCCTCGCAATTCCTGTTATGTTAGGCCTTGTTTTATTTAATATCATAGTTTGACAGTTGGTTATTAAGGTATAAATTGCCTCCTGTAATTCTTGCTGTACATTTGTAATGCAGAGTTGTAAGCACGTCAACATAGTAGCAATCGTTTCTGGTGGCAACTGTGCCGCTTTCGGTAGCTGCTCCTCTGGTACTTTTCCTAGGACTGGCGGGCATCTTCTTTGCAAAAATTTAACCATTGCTGTTACAAATGTCTCACCATGATCTCTTATTTTATCTGTGAGCCACTTATCCAATTTTAGATATTCCCTCCGAGATGCTAAACATGCTAAATCAATGATAAAGGGAAAAGACTGAACATTCAATAGCAAGGATAGCGCCTTGAGGTCCTGTGCAACATCCAATATTCGGGAAAGCTTTGACTGATCGCAATCTCCTCGCATATACCAATCCGCCATTGCATGCATAATAATTGGTTTTATGTTTGGATTTTGCGTGTGCCATGCGTGCTGTAAGATTATACCCGAATTTGGATGATTGCCCAGAAAAATTGGAATAAGTGTCGTCAGTAATTCTTGCCTAAATACGGTGATTGGTGGATTTATCTGTAAAAGTGCTAAGAGCAAGATGTCGGGGCAATGTTGAAGCGGAAATTTAAATAACTCGTGTACTTGCAAATAATATCCTCTTTCTGAGGCATACAATAGAAGCTCGACTAAATATAGACAACGCCACGTGGATATCTCCTTATTATCGGTTTCGGGAGGCGACTTTAGTAAATCTATTGACACTGGATGAAATGGATAGTCCGCAAAACTGAAAATATCCGGGTGCTTAAGAATATTTGTAATCAAGCTCATCTGTCCCTCTAAGTTTGTCCATCTCCGGCACAAATACTCCACAGGAAAGATATTTGCTGGATATCCTGCACTCTGAAGACCTAGGCGTAAAATATTAAACAACAAACTCAGTCCTTGCCTGTCTGGAACAATGAATTCAGGTTGATCCAATTGTAAAATCACTTCTTTCCAATTCAGGTTTGACGCCAACTCTTTAAGCGTTTGTACAAACACTTCAGCATTCCATTCGCCGTGCGCGTGGGCGGATTCCTTTTTCGCTTCGTGATTGACCCAGAAATTTCCAGGACTTTGTATCTGAGGCGTTTCTTGTACAGTTGCCTGATATCTGACCATTAGAGATATGATTCGGGCCACATCGATAGCCGTCGGTTCTCTCGCTCCAAAGTTTAACATGTGCGTTTTACATTCCTCAACGCTTGTCGTAAACGTGTATCCGAGGTCGCGGATGACTTCCACTAGAGAATTTTCCATCATAGTGGTGGCCATATCGCTTGACGTCATTTCTACCAGTGGCGTCCTAGTATCGTCCGGGTAAAGGAGAGGAGCTAAAACTATCGGGACTACTTCTCGAGGAAAATCAACTCGTAATCGTTTTAGAAAAAGCTCCTTCGTTACTTCAGCCAATCTAAAATTGTCGAATGTCAAGCTAGTTAAAAGAGTTTGTAAAACTTCAGGGCTGCATTCTTGGAGACCGGCACGTTCCGCTTGATGACTTCGCTCTGAAAGATAAATACGTATTATATCATGTTGAATGAAATTACTTAGTAATAAAAAAACGGTATTATTATGTCAAGAATTTTTATGTTCAGAAGAAAATAAGGATAGATTTTTATCTTGATTTCAATACCTGCATCTAGGTAACATTGAACTAGATCCAAAAAACGTTTCTTGAGATGCTGTTTAGCTAATGTTGCTATCTCGGGCTTTGAAGAATGTCTTCTTAACACAAGTGAGAATGCGACATCTTGTGCTGTTGTTAATTTGAGCAATCGGGCGAGACGAGGTAGCAATGTATTTGTGGCCTTAAAAACCTGTAACAGATTGATCAATTAAATAAAATTACTTCACTGATAATAATCCCTTAAATGTATTTTGTTTTATACATGTTTAAACGCTATCTATACTCGCTTAATAGGACTATAATCTTCTAGCAAGATACACATATTTTCGTAAACTATTTTTCTAATTGAAAAAGTTATTGTCTTTTTGGACTAACATCTATTGGTTATTAGTAAGTACATAGAGTTTAGAAAATGAATAAATTATAACCGGAATACACAATATCTTAAGTTCAATTTGCTTGTCATTCTCACAAACATTTATATAAAACTTAAGTCATTTTTTTAGTAAAAATTAAGTACCTACATCTGCATATCGCCTGTAATGTCCACACCCAGCGGACCAGCTGCAGTTAAAAAGATATTTCTCAAAGAATTTTAATTAAAACTTATTTAACAATGGACTTAAAGTAAAGTATATTATAGAACTAATATCAACAAATAACACGCACTACGTACCCACCCTCTAACCCTGTATTCTTTTCCTGACCTTTGTGTAAAAGTATAATCTTTTATATTAAATATTTCAAAATTAACAGATATAGTAAGATTTTTTTTTAACTGATAAAAATCTTTTTTTTCTATTAGCTTCAGAATGGGTTGTTGTTTTCCTTTATTAAATGCTTATAATTCCGATAACTAATCAAAACAATATTTAATAGAAGAACATTAGATGTGTGTACTTATTATGCTAGTAAATGTAGTCTTAATAATAACATTTTTAAGACAAACAAGAACCTATATATATGATATATTTTCTTAACGTGCATGCCATTTACTTTTTTTATATTTTTTAAAATCCATTATGTATCCAGATAAACGCAAATGGAAACACAATGATTGCCAATCTCTATGTACATAATATATGTGAAGGAATCATGATTTTATGATGAAACAAACTTTCACGTACGAACCTTTTGTAGTGCCCTGGCTGGATTATCTACAGTTCTGCACACTACCGTTGACTTGGCTGGATGATTAAGGAGCACTGTGAGTAGCTGAGCAAGGAGGGATGCGTGGACACTGATGTTAGCAATTCCAGAACGATCGGTGTCCCACGCAGTTTTGACTGCTTCAGCGAACAGGCCCCTCAGTACTTGGTTTTCTGCTTCCAAGCCATGGTTGTTGATAATCTATAAATATTGTACTAATTAGTATTATTACAACAAAATTTACACTGTTTACAGTTACAATTGATATTTCAAAGACTTAAATTTTCTTAATTCTTTCATAAATGATATCAGACAAAATAAATATATTGTCGTTGTAGCGAAAGACTCAAAAAAAATTAAATACAAGGAAAGCACGAAATTCAACTCGTGCCTAGAATTCTTATTAAATTTTGTATTTTATTTTCTTCCTGCAATACCCTTTTTATTAAAAACAACACCTTAGTTCAAGAAAACACTGAGAAATGTATATTTGGTGAAAATAATATTATATACATACAATCACAATTTTCCACAGTGATCGCGTGGGTGAAGCCGCGTTGGCCGGCTAGTAGTTTATAATACTATAACACAATTAAGTAAATAAAAAATATAGTTTGTAAAACGTATCACCAACCTTAACTCATTGCTAACCTTAAGTTACTATTAAACAAATACTCAACCATGTAGATAAGAAATTGAGATATGAAATGATTATTTGATATTCTTGATTATGATTGTTCTTTAAAATTGATTGATGTACTGTCGTCAAATCGCAAATTGAAATAATTAAAGCTTAAAAGATGAATGTTAACTCATGAACTGAGCAACATCAGTAAACACAAGTTGATTATAGTGTTATATTGCTTAAGGACCCAAACTATAAACTATAGCTTTTCAAAATTTAACACTAATACTATCTGCTTAACAATCTACATACAAAAACAATCTGTAAGAGATTGAGAAAATTGATTTTTGTGGACCTGAATAAGTATCAGTTACAAAACAATATATATATTTATTCCACACAAACAACACAAGTTTCACTGGTCAATACACCAGCATGACTTTCGGTATTTATAAATCAATATGTATAGGGTAATATTAACAAGCAAAGGCCATTTTAGTATAAATAACTGAAAATTAAATAACTTCAAATATTTTTACATACCATGCCATTTAAATGTTTAATGCAGTAAACTCAAAACTACAATGCTATTTTCCTTTTAACCTTTTAGCCCCTAATATATGCCCTTATAAGTTTTCAAAACTGTTCCATTAACACCCTGTATATCTATTTGAGGAAGGCTTTAGGCTATATCAAATCATGTTGCAACCAATAAGAGTGAAATACCAAAGGAAACATGGAAAGAACAAGGAAAATGATTCTAATTTCAGAGTTCCTGTTGCATGCGCTGTAAAAACGGTTCAAGATACCCAAAAAATATGTATAGGTAGAATTCTTCTATGAAAGGATTTTTTTTTAAAACATTAATATTACTTTTTAAGAATATACGTTTTTGGATAAGTTATGAAATATATGTAAAAGTGTATTTCTGTTCCCCGCAGACCAATTCTGATAAAATGAAATTTATTGGTGCTAAAACTACTTTCATTGGAATAATATGTCAACCGAAAAGAATTACCAAAAATTACAAAAGCCAAAAAAGATAAAAGACACAGTTTGCTACAAAACTGTGTAAGATCAAACAATTGTAAAACAAGCCCAATTATTTTTTTTAATTTAAGGACTAAGTACAAATGTAAAAAATTAACAATTCCAAAGTAAAAAACTTGACCCAGAAATAAAAACCCATTATAATAGCACAAAGCACTGAGATACTTGACCAAATAGCCTGAAAAATATCCATAAAACAAGTTCACGCAGATGGCCTCTCCCACATTTTAGATTTAGAAGTTATCATTGCTTGGATTTTGTACAAAGAAGGACTTGAGTAAATATTTCACAAAAAGATTTTTAATTTTCAAATTGGCTGAACAACAAAGAAGTAAATATAGAAAATAAATTGTATAAGGCTTTCACGGCCATCATTCAGCATATCATTGTCGCATATGATTGTGCTCGAAGAATTAGACGTGATGGCGAAGCGTCGAAAACCTCCTCTCACTCACGTCGGCCGAACAGCCCGAAAGACAATGATATAATATAGAAAAATAGAGAACACTTCCATTCCAATGACAGAAATTCATGCTGCTGATGGGCAGAAGAATTATCAAGTTCAACAATCATGCAAAAGAAAAGATGTTCAAATGTGCTAAATGTAATAGAAATGTTTGCAGAAAATTTGTTTCAAAAACTGAGTTTATATGTAAAAAAAGGTTTTTTCATTAATTTTTTCAAAATAAACATTACTTTTAATTTGATTTGGAACTGTATTATTTGCAAAAAAACCTAAATTTTCATCTACAAGTCAAATTGTGTCCTTTCGTAAAAATAGGTAAGTATATAATCAAGATCTGTAAATCTAGTGTTAAGATTAACTTGCAAGAATGGACTTGAACAATGGATGTCGTGGCTTACTGCTACAATTTAAAATAACTTATAAAGCTGAGAAGGTTGTTTGCAAAAATAAATAACATTTATGATGTCCAAAATAACTTTACTATGCGGACGAAGTCGCGGAAACAACTTGTTATAGTATTAACATTTAACACAACCGTATCTTACGCTACTTAAGACAAGCAAGAAAAATGGCTACTTGTGGCATGTCTCTTCTATCACAAAATATAAAAGTCGCTGTCATTAAACACAATTTTGCATTTACTAGAGCAAATAGAATTTAGAAGATCATAAACAACATTTGATCTACTAAAAAAGTAAATATTGACGTGTCATCCGTAATTTATCAATTATACCTACCTTATTTTTTGAAAACTGTTACTTAGGTCATCAGACATGTCCAGTCATTCTTGAGAGTTCATCTTAACAGATAGACAGATACTGTCGCGGAATTATTTTTTTTGGTAATTGACAGAAAAATCTTTCTCTCATACATATTTTATGTGTATCTTGTACCGTTTTCGCAGCGTGCGCATTGGAAACCTACAGGGATGGATAATTTTGCCCAATTCTACCGAATTCTAAATAGCCTATAGCTTTCCTCGATAATTGTGGTTAGATAATAAATAAAAAGAGTTTTTCAATTCAAACCAGTAGTCCCTGAGATTAGCGCGTTTAAACAAACTCTTCAGCTTTATATATTAGTATAAATATAGATATGTATACATTGAAGTCGTCATGGTAGAGCCAAATATTTCGATTTTTAATCACTATTCAAACAGTTTTCAGTGTTCTATGCTAACAAAAACAGCTTATGGTTTTTTAAATATTAGGCAATTGTCAATAACGAGCATCGTCTTGCCTTAAAAATCCATAATTAGTTATTAAATTTTTCAATAAAACAAAGACAAATATTCCGAAACTATTATTGTAGTGCCAAATGGCAATCGACAATCATTTAAGGTCATCGACCTCGGAATCAGGATTATAGAAGTTTTCCTTTTAAGGAATTATCAACGTGTAATTAAAAATAATTCTATTTTTCAACACAAACTAAAAATGTCTATATCATTAAAAAAAAATTATATATATATATATAAAATATTATAACAGACGAAGAAATTAATTATTTCTGCGTTTATACCCTTTACAAACATGGCGACAAAGAAACAATGTAAAATTTTTCTTACCTGCGATAATTCTTGACTCGTCTGCTTGAAGTTCTTCTTAGTCAAATTTGCCACAAGATTATTTATTTGCAATAAACTAAACGTTAAAGGGTCCAGGTTCATAGTTCCATTAACGCAATTTCGAAAGCTTCAAACACGTTTGAAGCTTTCTAGGTATTCGGGTTATAACAGAAAATATTTCTTTTTGAACAGTTTTGAAGCGAACTAAACGTAATCCTAAGGTCAACATCACCAATTAATTTTTCACATCAATATAAACATAATTCTCTAGGCCCCTCCGATAAATATTAGAGCGAATAAAGGAGCTGAAACGTGCCACTGACTCCACATCCGCTGATGGCTACCCGAAACCAAAGACTAAGGAGAGAAACAGAGTAAATTGTCTACAACCTATGTGGATACGGAATGATCTTGACAATCGGTGATGTCAGAGATCTATAGAAAAAATATATTCTGACGTTTATTATAACATATTACAATACTTTCCATTACTTTGTGGTTTTGATGTTAAAATTTAGAAGGTTGTAGATGTCATAAAATCCAAAAAAAACGAAGCTTGGCGGGAAACTTGAAAAAGCGCGGTAGTCCTTAAAAATTTTTATAAGGCATGTTTTTTTATAGTTAAAGTGAATAAAAATATATATTGCTCTAAGCTGCTAAAAAGCACAATAGCAATGAAGGTAAATGTGGAGGGCGGATCGAACTGCAGCGATGAGTGAGAGGCACATTTGTGTATACAGACTGTAAAGTTTTTGCAGAATCCACACACGACAATAGGTTAGGTAACATGCGCCCTCTATACTTAAACCATAATTTTTACGCAATATTATGGTTTAAGTATAATTTTAATAATTTTAGCATGAAATTGTGGTTTTATGTCACGGTTTCATATAAATTGGACGGTCTTTTACCGATAATGCCAAGTAAGAAAAAATACTGTATATGGCCTAAAGGGTCTGCGTACCAGGTCATAAAATCCAAAGAAAAAAAAGAAACAACTCTACGTTCATAATTAAGTTGTCTATGAAAGATACGACGTATTTTGCAAATTAAAAACAGGTTAGTTTTGTAAAATTATAATCATCATATTTATTAAAAACAATGATTGCGCATTATAGCATAGCATAAAAACTTTTTTAACAACTATTCCTTCTTATAACCTTTTGTTGTATTAAAAAAAATCGATAGATAGATAGATCCATTATTATAAAATTAACAGGAATTTTTTTATTTGTGTTAATGAATTTGAATTATTTCGATCAATGTCGATAATTGCCTCTTATTCTCACAACATAAGTAATATTAGAAATGCCACATACGGTGGGAACCGTATTACATAACATTAAAAATATTGTTGTACTAAATGTAGTCTACTGTTACTTGTCTTAGCCATAGTATATTCGCATTGAGAAGTCTGAAAAGAATGTTTCCTATACCATCTATCATAAGACAGTGTTTTCTCAATTGCGTAAATAAATATGACCTTGAAAAATTAGACGGCTTATACAAAAAAAAAATAAGTTTAGTAGTGCTCTGTTCTGGTATAAATAAAAAATATACTACAGTATTCTTATTCATACCAAGTCATAGAATAAAATATAGACATGCCAGTTCCATTAGTCAAGAACTATATTTTATTGTCTTCATAATTATTACATTTCCTTAAGTTAATAGTGTCTATTAACTGTTATTGTTTTTAGATATATGGCGATATTCAGATTCCTTCGAAGGAATCTAGTAAGCATCTCCTTTCCTACTTTGACTGCAACTTTAATTTGGTTGGATTATAGTCATACAAGGCAGTGGAAAGAAATAACAAAAAAGGAATAAGATGGCAATCTTTGGAATAACAAGCCGTTACATCTGGTTTGCTGTACCAATGACTGGATACTTTCTTGGAAAATTCCTGGATGATCAAGAAACTTTGAGAATGACAAGTTTCAGAGATAAATCTGCACTTTTTGGAGGTAGAGTTAAAGAGGGTGATCTTCCATCTTGGCCTTGATCCGTTTTGTTTTAGTTGTTCAAATAAATGTAGAATATTAAAAAAATCAGTTGTTTTAAACTTTAACAATGTTGTTTGTTATTCTCAATATCTAATTACCAACAAACTTAAGTTCAATACTTGGCTGCTCCTGTCCTTTAACACAAAAGATTGTGATGCTTAAGATTGTACCAATTTATTTAACCAAATTTCTACCATTCAAGTTCTGGTCTATATATAGTACTATTAATAATAAATAAACTATTTGCATACATTTATTATATTTTTTACTATCATTGTTCATAACTGAGTATTTAAAGCTTTCCAAATAATTTAAATAAAAAAATATATATATAATAGTTATATTATCAGTAAACATTTGTTCATACTATTAAAAATTCACATGGTTCTCTTTGCCATGGAATACCATAGAATTATCCAAGGAGCCCACCAACCCACTCCGAATAATACACAAAACACAGCAGTAAGCACATATCTGAAAAGAATAGAAATATTTTAAACATCAGCTAAGAATTGCTTAGGTGATAGAATGAGTCAATTCTAGCTCGCCTGTTTTAAAAAGTAAAGGCCCAGTAAGTCCTTTTTTAATCATACATACATATTAATACTCACCTGTTAGTGACAGTAAATGGTAAATTATCAAATGGTTTTGAGTACTCATCATGGTGCAACCTTATTATTGGTCTTGAAGTGGGCATCATTTTGATAAAGGTTCGACCCCGACAACCCCCAACTATCAGCTGACGTAGTCCAAGCATTATGACCACAATAAATGGGCTAATTATAGTTAAGAAATGGAAATTCTAGATTGGCCTTTATAGTTCACACAAGATTGACATCTTAGTCACCTAAGTGTCACTATTTTTTTAAAGAATTTTATTTCAAAATAGTAGTATACACTAAGGAGGAACTACACATTATACATCGCGCTAGTTGATTTTTTTTATATTTTCATAATAGATACAAAACTATAATAATAATAGTAATGAATTGGTATTTAATAAATTTGTAACATGAACCTATTAAATATAATAATTTATGCATATATGTAGTTGTCTATGATGACATTATTTTTGATACATAACATATTTTATTGTAAGTTACAACCAGAAGAATCTAAATAGCCACATTTTTGTGCCTCTTTCATTTTTGTACTCGTGGGAAGTCCCTATATTACACGGTAACAGTTACAATTTCAGGACTAAATAATTATCTCTTATTTAAATACATTTGTATAATAGGATATTGTCAGTGATTTCCAAAGTGGCCTATATCGACCGCTAGGAGTCTATGACAACCTATTAAGGGTTAGCGTCAGCGAAAAAAAAGTTGGAGGTCCATGAAATGAAAATGGGGTCCACGATAGTGGCTCCCAACACCTACACTGATAGTACCTATTTACTTACGTCATACTATCTTCTAATATCAAAACATATACATTATTTATAAAAGTACCTATGAAGTAAAAAAAATACATTTTTTATTTATTCATGTGCATGTGTTTTTACTTTAAGTTTTTAACACTAAACGTCACAACAGTTAGAAATTTACAGAAAATCAATATCAGGTAAGTAGGGGGTCTACCCAACAGGGAAAAATATGCCAAGGGGTCTACGACACACTCTTACGACTTGGGGAACTCTGAATTAGATGGATAAATACTGGATAGTTTTACTTTAATATCAAACATGGGCTAATTTTGAATTCGGTTCAATCGCAGGTCGAGCTTAATAATATTTTTCTTATTTACTAAATGTACATTTCAATTATTAGTACAAGTAGTAAAAAATGTATTAAAAACATAAATGCTAAATGAAAGCAAAGTTCTGTAAAAAATTATGATAGGTATATGGTTTGAGATCTATGGAGGTACATATTTCAATGGTCAACCCTGAAATGTATAAGATCATAAAATATACAGTGGAATCCGGTTACGACGATCACGCTTAATACGATTATACTATGTATTTAATGTACCTTATGTTTAATTTATTAGCTCCATATACTAAAATTAGAGCATAAGACAATAATATGTTGTACGTTTTATTTTTTGTATGTCGCTTAAGTCGCGTCTTTGGTAGGGACTAGGAGAAGTCGTATTAAGCTGGTGTTACTGTATATTTTTTTTAAAACACCTATTATGTTAAATGACTTATCTGAAATAGTTCTTGAGTTTGAGGGGGTGAAAAATGGTTCTTGTAATCATCGTTAAGTATACCCTTGTCGCTCCTCATTAGTTCTCTCGAACCTTGGTGACTGCTGACGAGATTACCTATATACGCTTTTTACCCAAAAACGTTTTACTCGTTCTTTAATAGTTAAAACTTTGAACATTTTGAGATGTCAAATAAGAATGGCGGGGTAATTATTAAAACTATACTTTACTACTAAATTACAGTTATGACACTGTAAATGTTTTAGTTTTATCTGATTATAAAAAATAAATTATCAATATAAATGAATTTCAGAGGTAGCAAACCTTTTGATTACTTTTACTATTTACTTACAGACCTCATTTTTATTGACATTACCCTTTAAAACCGATTCGCTAAAAGAAGATCATGAACCGATAAGATATTACGAAACAAAGATTACTACTCAATCTGAGTTAAGAATAAGTACAGTTACTTTTAAATAGCTATATGCAACAGTAGCCCATTTTTTGTTTTAACACTTGCTCAATATGGATGCGGCAAATCATTGGCCGTTCCCATCAAGCAAAGATATAGGCTTTCCGCCTGTCAAAATACCTTTATATCATTAGGCGACATGCATGTGGCTAGCGGGGTTTATTGATTCCCAGCGGTCTATTAATGATCCTGGAAAGCCTGCAACTGAGGACCTGTGTATAAATATGAAGTAGGGGCTCCTACTAACTACCAATCCTACTCCTCCTAAGAAACTAATACTATTTTAAATTTTACAATATATTTTTCATTGGTATTTTCTTTTTTTTATATCAAATATACATTGTTTATTTTTAAATAATCTTTATCAATAATAAATATGTTTATGTTCTGTATGCACATAGTACACAGTAAGATGCCTAATCGAAACTAAATTGAAATAGTTGTACAGACATTGCATAAATTATGCAGTGTGACTTTTCCAGTTTTTGAAAGCTGGTACCGATTATTCACAGAATCGATGTGACTGTATGTGTGATTCGTGAGGCAATTGCTCCCAATAATGTAGTAAGTACAACAGTTGTGATGTAGTCATTACATCCAAGACCGTCTTTAGAGCATGTCCTGTGCATGTTAGATAGGGTCGGGGTCTGTTTGTTCAGACAAAGACAATACTTTTTTTCCAAGTACTTCTGAGTTTGCAAAGCTGTTTGCGAACGCAAATGTGATGTATCTGTATGCAGTGTTTATACAAATGAACGGACATTCATGTTTCTGATCCAGATACTTTTCGGTGCTCCGGGAAAGGAAGAGTCATAAGACACCATAGATGAAAGCTATACATGTACACAGAATAGTGGTATAAATGCACCATAGAGGTTCTAGGCCCAATTGTGGGTTCTGGAGAAAAGTGGGGAAAATTTTTAACAGTAAAAATCTATGGTCTGCTTGATACTAAATAAAAAAGTTGACACAATTTTCGTTTATCATTTTATTACATGACATAAAATATACAAACATTACACATTGAAAATTTATGTTATCATGATATGACTAAAATTGAAATATGACTTTCATATCACGTAAAGGTGACTGCCCGCCAGTTACATAAAATGGCCCCCAGCTCGCACTCCAATACTCTGTTAAGTACCTAGCGATGCACTTGAACCACGGGCCAACCTGGAGGAAACACATTTAAATAAAGGGATAAGATAATCTTCAAGTACAGAAATATCCACTGTATCCTACACTGACAGATAGAAAAAGCAACTTCAAAAGCATCCCAATAAATTTCCGGGACAGCTCAAGGTCCCTGAAAACAATGGTTAGTAACAGTTACAAAAAGGTTAGTAATAGTCATGTTGCCAGCCGGCTAAAACAAATTAAGGAAAGATAATGAATAGAATAATATAAATTAATATCCTTCTGAGAAAGGTGCATCCACTCTCGGCAGGATTTGCGATTCTTTAGAATCCACACAACTAGTTTTCCTAGAGTTTTTATCCACATTGTAAAACTGCACACATTTTGTAACCAATTTTTTTATTTCAAACACGGTTTATAATTCTAAAAAAATAAAAAATATGGTCTAAAAAAATTTTGAATTTCTAATTTAATATTTTCAGCAATATTAACTGTTTGGTCAAATGTCTATGTCAATTTGCATTGACATATGACCAATGACAATTACAAACATGGCCGCTGAGACGATAAAAAGCCGAGAAAAATAAAAGGGTCAAAGATGTTCTACCAACAACTTGAATGTGTATTGCCTATCCTACTTTGAATGGTTCACCAACAATAAAAAGACGGACTGTGTTCCATACTCACTTTTCTTTATGCTAAGTTTCGTCATACCTTTATAGATAATTCCCATACTGAACGATGAACGAACTGATATTCACTACTATTTAGTTATACTATAAAAAGTTTGTTTGTTTGAACGCGATAATCTCAGGAAAGACTAGACCGAATTAAGAAAATCTTGTACAGATTGGTCCATTTTTCGAGGAAGACTTTAGGTAATACGAGTGAAGTAAAAGTCAGAAATGTGAAATTGGAAACAGGGAAATTATTCATCCTTAAGCATAAATGTATAAAAGACCTATTCTTCTTTTAATAATCAAAAAATCTGCGACAGTTGGTATGTCTATGTCTTTATTTTAACACTAGCTCACAATAGTATAAGATAATAAAATTTAGTCGAAATAAATTATAATATAATCAGTGTAATATAATTTGTAAAAACACATTAATGTATAAACCACAGAGTACATGCGCAGAATAAAACCCTGACCACAGATGAAATGTTGATTCCACATCAAAATAAACGTAATTAATTCGTTTTTAAAACATTTCTTAAATTAAATGTCGCTTAAAATATTTGTTTCCAATAATTTCGTAGGAAAATTACAATATTCGACTTGTGATTACACATTAAGTACATCTTCACCTTAAGCGCTGTTTCTTATGAGGTTAAAGAAAGTAAATTATTCTAATTAACATTTGTCTTTTTTTAGTAATCAGTTTTTTATAAAATTGTGAGACAAAACTAATTCTCTCATTTTACTTTACTATCAATTATTTTTTGGACGAAGTTTCGTTAAAGTAAACTATTACTTCTGTACAGATTTTATAACACTAGCCTAAATATATTTTTTAAAATTCCAATTAAATCAATATTTGCATATTAAATTTTGTAACACCTAATATACCTAAGCCAATAATAGGTATTGCAAAACTTTTGGAATATTATTGAATTAGGAAACGGTAATTTAGAAATTCTTGCAATATATAAAGGTTTATTACATTCATTAGTATTAATTGAATAATAAAACCAATTCTTTCAATTAATTCATAAGGGAATTCTTAAGAATATAAGATAGGCTGGATTTATTTTTATATACCAAATTTCACTTCTGCAATCGAAGCTTGAAACTTTACCATCTGTGTATGGTAGTAACTTACCCGGGTAGAATTTCCTACCGTCCATTTAATGCTCAGATTTATTATATTAATAGGACAAAAAGGAATAAAACCAAGAAACAATATATAAAGGATTGTCGTTTTTTTTTTTTAATATAGGGCAGTAGTTATTGGTAAATGTAAATTAGCAATTTATAATTTGTGGATGTAGGCAGTTTAAATTTTTTAAGCAGCAACCCTGGCTCAAAATCGCTCGAAAAATTTCCTTTTCAATCCACGCCCGGTAATGTCGGCGCATGCTTTCTGCTGTATTTTTTATAAAATCTGATGTGACGGGCAATAATCATGGATACAAGGAAGTTAACTGAAATTCTGAGTGCTACTATAGATCCTAATCAAAGGCAACAAGCGGAAGAACAATTGTCTCAGGTAAGAATGTGATTACCCACATGTGTAAATTACAACACGACCAATTTGTAGGGTAGCATCATATTATTATAATATGGCTCACGATTTGAACTATTTTGCATATGCGGTTACGATGATATTTTTCATTACTGAATGTTTTATACTGTCTACCGACTTTATTTACTAATATATTATAACCTCGAACTTTCTAGAGAGATCTTCGTACTTGTTCAATTGTCAGATATTTTGTTTTCGTTCTTACGAAATAATGTTTTATATTATTATTTTTGATTAAAATCTTTTATTCGACAAATAACTTGTCTCTGGGAATTTTGTAGTGATTTGTTTAGAGTAAATTGTCACCAAACATTTTCATTATTTACAATCTAGGTGTGTTATTGTTGTTTCATCACAGTGTTCTAAAAACACTACTAAATTACAAATATTTATTCATTCATGGGATTTTTGATTACAAAACTTGTGTTACCTTAATTTAGATTTTAGTTTTAGTGTTATATTTAGAAGACTAGCATATAGTAGATACTAGATATCTATGATATATGAGGCAATAATGTATGAAGTACATTTAAGATTAACTAATTGACAATGTTGCCTCTTAACACTATTAACTAATTAACAACATATTACACTCTTAACACTTCAATTGTAAAATCGTCTATATTTCACTTTCAAAGAAGACACACATATATTTTGAGTGAAACAAATTATTAAATTAATTATTCAACTAGTTACAAAAATATTAAAATTATCAAATGAATTCATTTTTCTACAGAATCATTGTCAGCTTATTTCATATAGATTTTTAATATTATATGCTCTCATCTTACAAAATTCATGAATGATTTGTCAACAAAGTAGGTTAACACAATTTAAGGTTTTATTAAAATCATAAATGAAATATAACATTTTTTATATTCCATTTCATATAATTTCTTATTGTTTGTGGTCTTAAAGTTCTGTGTTTTTTGCAGATCCACAAAATCATTGGTTTTGCCCCATCACTACTTCAAGTGGTTATGTTAAATGAAGTTGCTAAGCCAGTACGTCAGGCTGGAGTAGTATATTTAAAAAATATGATTACCTCAGGGTGGCATGAAAAGGAACCAGAGGAAGGGGAGCCTATACCATTCAGTATACATGAACAAGACAGAGCCATGATAAGAGATATGATCACTGAAGCTATTGTTCAGGCACCTGAACTAATAAAAGTGCAACTATGTGTTTGCCTGAAGACCATTATCAAACATGATTTTCCAGCAAAATGGACACAGATAGTGGACAAAATACACATTTACTTACAAAATCCAGAGCCTAGCAATTGGATGGGTGCATTATTGTGTCTGTATCAACTGATCAAGAACTATGAATATCACGTCTCAGACAAAAGAGCCCCACTCAACGAGGCAATGAACTTGTTGCTACCTATGATGTACACTCTGATCATCACTTTACAACCTGATCCATCAATGGAATCAGTTCTTATTCAGAAACAAATATTGAAGTGTTTTTATTGCCTTGTTAAGGTAATTTCAAAGAAATTATTGTTTTCCACGTAATTCTTTTCGTTCTGTTTCATTTATATATCATTTCATGTTTTCAGTACACTTTATCATTAGATTTGATTACCAAAGAAGTGTTCACTAAATGGATGGAAGTTCTTAGACAAGTAATGGAAAGGCCTGTACCAGATCATACACTAGAAGTTGATGAAGATGAAAGGATAGAACTGCCATGGTGGAAATGTAAAAAATGGGCAGTGCATACATTATACAGATTATTTGAAAGGTATATATGGCAACATTTACATCCTATTAATATGAAAGGAATGTTTATTGAAGTTTATCCTTCTTTCAGATATGGAAGTCCAGTCAATGCTCGTGTTGAATATGTAGAATTTGCAGATTGGTATTTGACTACATTTACGAGAGGCATCTTAGATGTATTATTTAGAGTTTTAGATCAGTATAGAAATAAAGTTTATGTGTCGCCTCGTGTGTTACAACAGACTATCAGTTACATTGATCAATGGTAAGTGTATCTAGTGCAAGTCCAGAAAAAACATTTAATGTTGTTCTTTGTCATTAAATCAGATCAGACATAGTGACAAACTCATAAATTACTTATCATACATACCTAAAAGTAATATACACAATTCAAGTATTTTTATATTTACAGTGTAAGTCATTCCTATGCATGGAAACTCCTCAAGCCTCACATGTTTGCTATTATTCAAGATGTGCTATTTCCACTTATGTCCTACTCTGAAGCAGATGAAGAATTATGGTTTGAAGATCCATATGAATACATAAGAAGTAGATTTGGTGAGTAAAATAGTTTCTCTATTATTTTTATATGCTCACTTCACATAATATGTCAATTGTGAAGTTCATTAAGACGAAATCATAAATATAACTCAATACTATTTTTTTTTAATGGGTTTTAAACTAAATAGAAAGTAGTTTAATATTTTAATTTATTAATTGACTTTACAATATGCCCTTCAATATTTTGGAACTTAATAGCTTTTTTTTGCTAAGTTGATAATAATTTCTAAAAGATCTTATTGTATACCATATATACTTTGTGAACCCTTCATTAATTCTCCTTTTTACTTTTAGATATATTTGAAGATTTCGTTTCACCAGTAACCGCTGCACAGATTTTGTTAGGCTCCTGTTGTAAAAAGAGAAAAGAAATGCTTGAGAAAACAATGCACTTTTGTATGCAAGTACTTGTAAACCAAGCATATGGTCCCAGGCAAAGAGATGGTGCCTTACATATGGTGGGCACACTGAGTGACGTTTTGATTAAAAAGAAAATGTACAAGGATGAAATTGATAAACTTCTGAGCCAATACGTTTTCCCAGAATTCAACAGTCCATACGGGTATATGAGGGCAAGAGCTTGCTGGGTTCTTCACTGTTTTGCTAGCATTAATTTTAAGAGTGAGGCCCTCCTAGCTGAAGCTTTGCGGCTTGTAGTAAATGCCCTTATGACTAGTACCGATTTACCCATCAAAGTTGAAGCCGCTATTGCTATTCAAATGTTATTATCATCACAAGATAGGGTCTATAAAATGTTTGAGCCGCAAGTGCAAGAAGTTACGGCTGAGTTGTTAAATGTCATTCGGGAAACAGAAAATGACAATATAGCGAGTGTGTTGCAAATAATTGTTCCCATCTACACTACGCAGTTAATGCCAATGGCTGTTGAAATCACAGATCACTTGGCGACTACATTTAGTAAAGTAATAGAAACCGATTCCGGTACAGATGAGAAAGCGATCACTGCTATGGGGCTGCTTAACACAATGGAAATTGTGATTAATGTCATGGAGGATAATCCAGAAATTATGTCGCAATTAGAACCTACCATTTTACGCGTAATTGGACATATATTACATCATAATGTTATAGGTATGCTTATAAATTATCTTAAAAAATATATAAAACTACTCCCTGTCTACTATTAGCATTTGGCTTCTAGTTTTAATATTTTCTATTGTGGCCGCTATTACATTCTCTTTATGCCTAAGAAAGTATTGCATTGAACTAATGCCTTACAAATAAATAACCTTGTGCAACATAAAAATTATTGTTACTTATTAACAACCTAACATAATATATGATATATTAATAAAGTTTTATAAAGGGGAGGTTAAAATATATTAAAGTCTTTTTAATCTTAATATTAAACAATACAATATGATTAACCAATACCATGTTTATACAAGTATATATTATCAATTGGATATAAAACAATGAATTAGATTTTCAAACATTTGTTTCCCACATTTAACAATTATAAATACCATAGAAATATATTATATTTTGTTTCTTCCAGAGTACTATGAGGAAGCAATGTCACTCTTAACGATTGTTACATCGAAAACAATTTCGGAAAATATGTGGAAAGTTCTAGAACTACTCTACACTGTGTTTGAAAAAGAAGGCTTTGAGTATTTCACTGATATGATGCCGGTTCTCTATAATTACGTCATCGTGGATACAAATGCTTTTCTTTCCAATGAGAACCACATCTTGGCTATGTTTAACATGGCAAAAACAGTAAGTATTTATTTTACCGTAAAATGTGATACAGCACTTAGCGTCTAAAGGGATATCATCAATTAATCACGTACGACTTGAAGGGCCGAGAGGGGACGAAAGAATATAGTAAGTTTTTCAACCAAGAAACGGGTTGATTCGCGTTGATTATTTCCATTATAATATATATTTACTAAAATTCGGGCCTTGCGACGAATTTCACATAATTTCTGCTTATTACCATGCTCTGCGTCTTCTTAAAATTGACTCTTCTTTTTTGTTCAAACGAATTTTGCTGACGTTATTTATAATTTTAAATCATTATTGAGGCTTATGTTTGTATTTTGACCGCCTCTGTTAGTAAATGGTTATATATGTTACCTAGTATTGCGTTAAGCGCGAGAGGCCCTGGGTCCCTCGAACGCAATAGATTATTTCGGTCGGGTAGGGTGCAAAAGTCTAACAGCAATCCAGACAAAGGAATGTGTCCGCCCCATGTCCCACGGGAGAAACGGGATTTGAGTATGATGTTAGAATTATAATAATATTGCCAATAAATGTTTTACCTATCAGCTGAGTATGTAATTTACGAAGTAACTGTTGTTGTGACTAGATAAAGACAAGGTGCAGTTACAACTACTTTATTATCTCTTGTAGCTACCTTACATCTACTATACTAAAAGCGGGTAGGCTTGACTACCTACTAACACATACAACAACTGTTATTACGGTTATGTTGTGGAAGTGCGAGCTTAGCGAACGAGGCAATGTCGGAGCTCGGGTTGCAAATTATTTCGATTCGGGATAGACTGATTACATATGTCACTAGACATAATGCAGAAATGTCCTTATGTTATTTTTTACAAACTGCGATTTTCTATTTTTATAAATGTTGCCCTACAGTGTTAGATCTGCTCCTAGTATTACTATACCTGTTGCTAATATGCTGGCGTAGTAAATAAAATACAAAATACGACGGGCTCGTCTGTCTAATGGCACTGTTGCATGCCTAATCACGGGTCGTTGGTTCGATCTCCGCCGGCTTCTACATGTTTCAAATCTATACTTATTTTTTGATATATGTTGAACTTCATCTGGAAATCTGTATATTAAATGCGAGGTAATAATTGAATATACGGGTCAAGAACCGCTGTCCACGGATGAAGCCGTCAAGTTTAATCGTGTTTCGTATTAAGATTTTATATGGCTGGCGTATTTCACCTTCCATCAAGTGAATCGCATGCTTGTCTGCTCCTCTATGATAGCAATAAAAATATCGCTAGTTATTTTCCCAACCGGCACCCAGAGCAGCGTGCTGGGTCTCTCTAAAACCCTTTCTGCTGAACTTTCTGCCATGCAAGACATTTTTTTTCTGTTTCAGATCTTAAATTCCGACGCGGAAGACGAATCTGAAGTATATGCAGCTAAACTCCTTGAGGTCATGGTACTTCAATGTTCTGGGAAGATTGACAACTGTCTACCTTCGTTTGTGGAGCTGGTGTTGAATAGATTAACAAGGAAAGTCAACACAGTAGACTTGAGAATTATGTTGTTACAGGTATAAATAAAATATCATAAATTGTTTATTTAAATGCAATATTACAAGAAATTCAGCCAGAGAAATTTTAGCACATATTTAAGAAAATACCAGAACATGGAATCGTTTATGTACCTACAAGTAATGATTTGAAGTGTGGAGTAAACATTCAATTATTAGATACACACTTTATTTGTAATGTATAATTAATACCTTATGCTGTACTAAAACTTTCTTGATTGCAGGTGCTTATAGCAATATTATATTGTAATCCTCAACTGCTACTGAACATTCTAATGAAGCTGCAAGTCGCTGTGCCCAATGCTTCAATAACGCAGCATTTTATAAAACAGTGGATACACGATACTGATTGTTTTGTGGGGTAAGAACTAATTTTTAGTAAACTACCCATATCCTAGGTTACCTAACTTAATTTGGATTATACGGATATAATCTTATTTAATTTGGTTGGCTTGTTGGTGTATTTGAGCAATGTGTAGCTAATAACTAACGGGTCTCGGGTTCGATACCCACCGTCCAACATTTTTCCAATGAATTTATATATTTTTTGAAACATGTTGGACTTCTGGAAATCTAAATAGAGAATGGGTGGTAGGAATATCGAAATTCCATCTGGGTCCCGAATCACCCTCAACAAAAAAAGTCGTGAAGATTTATCGGATTGGTTTCAGTCTGGATTTCCGAATATCCAAAGCTAAAAGTGGTCCACAGCGCATCTTGTTTAGATGTTATATAGCTGGGGTATATCACCCCCCCATCAAGTTAGCCTTATGCTTGTCTTTCTTCCTCTATCAAAAAAAATACACAATATACTATTTCACATGTGTTTTATTTTATATACAATGCATAAACTTTGTACTTTTAGATGCCACGATCGGAAACTATCGGTTCTCGGTATATGTACACTCCTAGAAATGGGTCCACAGAGACCGAGCTTGGACGAGGTTCTTCCAAACATTTTACCATCATGTTTAGTGCTTTTTGACGGATTGAAGAAGGCATACGAAGCTAAAGCCGAAGGTGAAGAGGAGAGTTCTTCATCAGACGATGACGAAGAGGAAGATGGAGGTAAATGATTATTATGTTAATACGGATGAAATAAGATTTTTGCATGTCAAACCATCAAGGCAATGTCGTGAAGAGATTCACGTCTCTTTTTCTCCTTTGTTTTAAGATGTTGATTCGAGAACGGCAGTATTTTTTTAATATAGTACAGTAGAACGTACGTTTAAGACGATCCCGCTTAATACGCCACTTTACGTAAGTCCCTACAATTTGAGACATATCTTCATACATTTCTTAACGCTTAATACGATCCCTCACCCCGTTTTGGTTTTGATATAAAATCACTTTCTACTAGTATCGAATATAGGGGCACTAATGGGTCTATAATATGCGGGAAAGCGCGTACAAAAAAATTGAAAATCTTTCAAACAAACCAAAGTATGTAATTATTTTAAATAAAGTAATTTTAATAACACTATATATTTAATTTATTATGTTGTTCGTATTTTTCGTATCACAATTATGTTTTCCCGCTTAATACGCGTATTTGGTAGAGGCCCTGAGAAATCGTCTAAAGCGGGTTTTACTGTATTTTGTTTGTTCTTTTCTTGATCTTCAATGTGTATGAACTGCCTATACATGAAAAATGTTACGTGAATTTGGTATAAGAACAATCTTTTATTGTCACTCACGTATAATTATTTCTAAATGATTATCATCAACTTCTACAGAGGTATTGTCGACTGATGATGATGACTTCGACCAAATGAACAACGAGTATCTGGAAAATCTATCTAGAATGACTGCGAAGAAAGCTGCCGCTGAGGACATTACAGTCACTACAAAGATTTCATATGAAAGTGATGATAACGTAAGTTTTTACAGTAATTCCCGCGTTCAATCAGGTGTGTTCTCGTCATGTAAAAACAACATTAGGCATCTTAATAAATATGATAATACGTAAAATATAAGAATCGATTTTGGATTGAAAAATAATTACGACACGGGCTAAATTTAAACTGGAATCTACATCGTTCCGTGCTGTTGCTCCAACCTATTAAGCTACCTTGTCAATACTAAACGTTCAAGTCCCGCCCAACATTTTCAATCCAAAATCATTTTTTTATTTAAATACCAACACGTACAAAATGTATAAGTTTTCAAACATATAAAAGTTCAGATGAAAATTCAAATATAGTATTAGTAATTTCTTTATATACCTCAGCTTAAACATAATGCACCCCTCTTGACGGCTTGCGTAACACGATCTGTACCAAACTGGGCCGGTCATTTTTAACGCTTCTATTATATAATACTCAGTAATAACTTGGATTATTGACATAACATGTCACTTACTAGATTAAAGATGGTTCTAGCCTAACAAGCAAGTGCGGTTTATTTACCGAGGCATTATTCTGTTTCTCTAATAAAATGAAATATTATTTTTCAGGATGATGAAGATTACATGCCGGATGAGTCTGCAATTGAATGCTATGCAACTGTTCTGGACTCTAAGGACTGTCCAGATGATGAATATATCAGATTTAAAAATACACTTTCAGGTAAGCACAACATTCTTCATACCCAATGTTTCTACAATCCTTTAGTCCCCCTTTATTCTGCATTACATCGGAATAAAGAGGTATAAAAATGCCCCAAAAGTACAGCACAGAGTAAAGTCGATGTCGAATTTGATTTGAACTGGACCATGATAGGCCAACTCCCAGTAAACATAGTGGATAAAAAAGTTATTACCTTTGCCCGCGTTAACTAGTTATTTTGGCAATAATTCTTTTTTTTTCATACCACTACGACGTCGTTTTACGAGCAGACATTTTTAGACCATATAGAGGGGAATCATTGGTCCCTAAACACGCAACGGAACCTGTTAAACATGAAAAAATCCCTGTTTTCACATTTTCTATTGCATTTTCGCTCCTGTCGGTCGCAGCGTGATGTGGCCTTCCTCGATAAATGGTCCGAAATATTAGTTCCCGAGATAAGCGCGTTTAAACAAACAAACAAACTTTTCTGCTTTATAATATTGGTATAGATTAGCTCTATCACATTGAGGTTCATGAATTTGGAGATATTCCAAATAGCTTTATATGTGAGCGGCTGTGGGATGTAACGTAACGCAAACAACCTTAACGGATTGATAATTATTTAGGAGTTTGTGAATGTGACCATTTACGCTTTAAAAATTCCAGTTCGTTTCAAGGAATTAAATTCTTATCTGAAATTTTTCGCGAGCAATGTCGACATGAATTTTATTACGTTATCAAATCCAAGTGTATCATATTTCACTTACAGCTTTATCAACAAGCGAGCCGGCACTTTATCATGCTCTAACAAGTGTTCTGGATGAGGCACAAAAGGAACAGTTGAATGCTGTATTTCTTCTTGCTGATCAACGCAAGGCCCAACAAGATAGCAAGCGCATTGAACAGAGCGGTGGTATGTTATATCTACGAATGTAGATGTGTCATTTATCATATTCTATTTAATAACAATTGCATATGCGTAACTTAATATTGTTGTTGTCTGAATTTGCTTTTTAAACACGCTTGACCCATTTCCATGTTCTTGTTGGCACTTGTTCTGTTTCCTCATACGACCTGGCTTACCATGAAAGAAACGCTTTTAATTCATTAACAGCCCTTTTGCCCAATGCTGGGACTCTGGTACTCTACGAGGCTACCTCGACGTACCGCTGTCATGCTTAACTAGAAAACCGTAGATTCAAACTTCAAAATCTACTTTCGTACAAACACTTGTTGACTAGCCGAAAAATGAATGTTATTAATCTTTGCATCCAATAATTGACACGGTCGTGTTAATAAATATTGCTTTGAAATGTGCAAACACACTGAATGGAGGCTTTATATTGCTTGTTTGTACCTTATAAAGTACCTAATTTAAAATCTAAGCTACCAATGCACCATGCTAAGTGATAAGTGCAAAGCATGCTCGGCATGATTTTATTCTAGCTAGTTTAATTTATTAAATGAAAACTTTAAAGGAATCATTTCCTTTTATTCAAAATCAAAGACACTTAATAATCAGCGTGGCAGTCTTATTTTCTCTCCTGTCTTCCGAAACTTCGGTTTTGTGCCCTGCCCAACGCTTTTTTTCATGTTTCATTTAAATGTACTCTCGTACAACTAAGCCACGGGAGTTCTTATATTTGTAACTAGAAGTGACATAATTATTTACACACAGGTTACTCCTTCACCGTACCAGCACAAGTACCAACAACTTTCAAATTTGGATCTTAATTAAATGCAACCGTAAGTTGTGTGCGAAAATATTTAGATTAATTTAACTTATATTATTTGAAACTAAAGGAATAATTTCATATAAATTAACAATCATTGCTACGGATCACAGAATTGTTTTTTAATCCTCTTTATATACTAAATAATTCATACCATTATGTTCCGTATTAGCGTAGTGTTTTAATGCTCGGTCTAATGTAAATTTAATGGAACAAGAAAATGCCAATAGCAAACAGGCTTCAAATAAGATAAGTATCTTAATTAATCGACACTAATCATTATGTAATTATTTTTTATGTAGAATATTTATTTTCATAAATAAGAGAAGCATTAATTGATATTTTTATAACGCATTAATTCATGTTTTAATCGCCATGTTTTACTTGTTTTAATTATTGTTACTCATACTGTTGGAGTATTTCAAAACACATACTAGCACAGTTCCCAGGGTGGAATCATGGCGCCATGTTTTTAACCTGTTATGATGATACTATGCATTAAGGACGTTCGCACAAAATATGCTGAATAAAAGAAGGAAGCGATATAAAAGTGATACCTCAGCCCTTGGTCACGTATTTGTTTGATAAAATATCGCCAATATGCGAACGTAACGATAATAGTTTTAAAAATTGGCATTTAATGGATTTATTTTTGTTTTTATCGAATTTCATGAAGCTTTGTATTAGACAAAATGTAATTGTTATGAAATCAATATAATGAATATAAAATTTTTGTCTTGTTTTCTTTGTTATTCTGAGATCTGATCCACCATCTATGCGACCTCAGGTAAGAAAATTTAGGGTCATTTTATTAAAGAATCTTGGGATCTTACTAACTGACTGACCCTATTTGGTCATTTATATGTATATACACGATTTTTCGTTACTGATTTTACGTATATATTACAGATTGTATTTACCCAACCGATACAATTAGTTGTTCTACGATACAACTCAAGTACCCTCGCTTTTAACTATTGAAAAGGACGCGTACGGAATATAATAAATATATAAAAACATTTCTAATTGTTATGAGGTTTTAGCCGTCATTCTTGAGTTGCTAAATTTTGTTCCATTTCTTAATACAGATATCTAAAACACTGCTAACTACCAACCCTGATTCTGACCCTAAGAACTTGTCCTTGACCATGCCCTTCACTGGACTAAGCCAACTTTTGATAAGTGGAAATAAAATGTCTTAACGGAGTAACCATTATTTGTTTGCACCTGTATAAAATATGAAAAACCCCATTGCCGCATTTTTTTACAAACTTTAAGCACTATTAACTCCGTGCTGTTCATATGTAGTGGACCGTCATATTTTTTATTTTTAGCAATTATTAGAAAGGATGTTAATTATATTATTGAAACTCTGATAAAAAGAAAAAAATGGAGCAAATGGAATTTGATATATAAATTGTTGCTGGGTTTGCATACTAATACTATAAATAGGTAATTATATTCACGTGTTTAAAATACTAATTACTTGCGAAGTTGCACTCGCAAGTAAATTCTTATATCGTTATCAAAAAGCTTTAAATAACGACACGTGATTGAGACATTATACGATATTTATAATATTAGTATATAGCATGGTTTTAGTTTTAATTTAGATAAAATTTGTACAATACAACATTTCATAAATGCTCGTTGTTATTTGAATTATAAAAAATTACAAAAATGTCTCATTTTAATATTGGGACAACAATTTGAAACTTGTATGCCGTCAGCAAGCAACTTTTAGCTTTAGGGCGTTAAAAATAATTTTATTAGGAAACAGGTTGTTCATGAAATTGTTGTATTTATAAGTATCTTATGACTAAGATGGCACAGCAAAAAATATCAAACGCTTTACGACGTTGAAGGCTACTAAATTAAAGTTCTATGTCGCCTTTTTGTGTCGTTATAAGCCATAAAAGTGATAACAATAAAGCAGCAGTGACCCATACTTTTTATCTGTGCTTCTATACAATAACCGGTTATGTATATAGTTAAGTATATGTGCATGCATACAATCTAAAACTGTACCTACTATTTTTAACGCAGCCAAGTATTACAAAAGAGAGAACTATTATTTTTTACTATTAAATTATAAAGTGATCATTTATCTATTTATTGTCTATAGTATAGATCTTAGTGTCTGGTTACAAGGGAATCAGCGAGGTGGTACCGACTATTGTATTTTATTTTATATCAGATATCTAAACTGGCTAAAAACTATTTTTTTTCTGTTTGGGGTATATATTATGCTTACGCGAGAACACATTTAATAAACATAAAATATATTAGTTGATTTATTTACAATTTGTTTTAACTACGGTTTTCAGCAGTCGTGGTCTGCCATAACAGCATCCGAAACTTTCGGCCATAGTTATAATAAACTATTGAATATATTTTGCGTTTTAAAACGTTACAAATGTTTTATTTAAATATTGTTTTGTGTTGTATTGTTAATCATCGTATGATCTCGGTTTGTATGCATGCATACTGTTTTTATTATATTAACCTGAGAAGTCATGAAAAATTTATTTTAATTTTTTAATCTTTAATAATGTTTGTTTTATATGTATAATTGCAATTACATATATGAATTTATCACCCAAAAGTTTTATGATATATAAATATATGAGTAATCAACAATACTGAGAAAATATAAATTTATGTAAAATTATGAAAAATTCAACTATATGTTATGTGTACACTGAAAGTAACACTTTTTGGAATAAAAATAAAAACCTTTGTTTCAATAGTTTTATTTTTTCTTTCCTAATATGCCATCACCCAAATTACCAAATCACCATAACATAAAAAAATGTTTTTACAAAACTTAATACCTAAATATGTAAATAATCGAGATAACAAATACTTATAATAACCTATCATCTTGCTGCAGACACACCAATATATAGATGCATTTAATATATGTTAAATTCATAGAGCATGCAAGGAACCATTCAAGTAGTCGTAACGATAACGCCTTTTATCTTGTAGGGCTGTAATTTTTGATGCTGTGTCACAATCCCGACAAACACCGCAAAATATACTGGTTACAATGTGAAATGGACTCTGATAGTAGACACCAGGATCCTTGAGCATTTTATTCTTTTTATGACATCGAACATGTAAGAATATTTCAAGTAAAAAGAGCATCACACACACGATACTAGGAAATATCATGACAGTGGGTATTGTGAGGAGCACTCTATAACTGACAGTGTTAGAACCTGTCAAAATTTGTTGCTTCAGATTTTGGAATTCCTTAGTTTTGCTCATGTACCCTTCAGGGAATTGAACTTGTTTTCGTGTTTTCTTTTGTATTGTTGATTGAATAGTTACATCTTTGTGTATAATGGCTGGTTCACCTGTTTCCTCATTTACGTGATATGTTATGAGTTCACCAGTTTCTTCATCACATCGAAATCGGTTAAGGATAGTCATATTTTACCTGAAGGCAATTTTATTGATATCATCTCATGTATTTTTATTCAAAGAATAAAGGAAAGCATACTTACGTGCTAAATATTCAATGGTAATATCCTAAAAGTAAAGATCAATTTCGCAATGGTGCGGTGCCTACAATCTAACAACTAGAATTACTACTGTCATATTATTACTGTAACATTAAACAAGTATGCTCCTTAAAAACGTATTAAAACAAAACAGAACTTTATGTTGTTTTCGATTGTGACTCATCCTCATAATTTTCCAAACCACAAAATTATTGTCAGTTCTTTTTTTTAATTTGACTTATGACTTTCCTGTGGATTTGAATTCTAACCACAGAATTTAAGACATTCTTCATTTATAATTCTTGCCATAATAAATTCTATAGATTATTTGAAACTTTCGAAAATGGTGTGTTATGTTATATAGTAGTATGAAAAATAAGAGTTAAACATTTGTTCTCCTCTTCCTTGTATGTTAAAAGTATGATGCTATATCAGGGTGGCCTTGATAAAGCATCATACTTTTAACATTCAAATATTTTCCGTTTTTTTTTTGATTTGATTATTAAATTACAGTCGTACTGGCGTATAAAAGTTTATTAAATTTAGCGAATATTGAGCAATTTTCTTTTATATGACAACTCTACACTAGACTCGTAATATACGTCCTATATATTCTTTGTAAATCGTTCTATATAGTATTATAGTCTTATACACAGTCGTAGTGTTATTAAATAAGTTAAATATTGTTGTAAAATAATTATAAAACATTACATCATTAGTTACATGTCCATTGTCTGAATTAGAAATATACGTCTTGAACTGAAAAAAAAATACACAGAGTATATGAATCGATGGATTTGTTCCTTAATCTATACAAACCACAAATGACATACTTTAGAATATCTATATACTTTATGGTTTCCGGCGTCTCGTGTCATTACTCCGCTGTTCAAGAGACGTATTCCATGTATCGTGTGTGTAATAATGACTAATTTGTGAATTTTCTAATTAAACTTGTTTCGTTACAAAGTAAGTATCTTCTGGCTATGCGTATATTCGTTGCATAAAAGGAAAAATCCATGCTAATTTAGGATGTTCATGTTTATTTGTGCATTTCGTCATTTTCAAGTAACTTATATTTGCAATCTTACGTACATTTATGGTGTATAAACGGTAAACACCTAACATAACTAAACAGTCTTCATACAAAAAGAAATATTGGGTATCACTTACGGACCAAGTGCAAAAAATTTACATTGAAAATGTTGTTACATGGAAGAATTCAGTGGCGGTGGCTAGACCACGTGTGAACGTCAAGAAAACGTAAAATTATTAAATTATGATAAACATTATACATTACAACTTTTCGGATTTTTCTCGGCCTCCCCGAACTTATTCATATTAGATATTGTTTCACTTGTTAACTCTTTGATTTCAAACATTTTGAACTGATCTTCTGATACCTGTAGGTATCAGAAGTTTTAATCAGCTTTGATTCAAAAACAAAATTTTATCAAAATGTCGAAGGTAGTCAAACAAAATTTTATCAAAGTCTTTCTAGATGGTCTAGATATCTAGGTATAAATGTGAAGGACTATCCATAACTGCCAAAACAAACAATGAAAGAAAATAATCATTTTTTGAGATACTGATTATTATTAGATAAAAATTCAAAATTAGCTCAGTAGCATCGGAGTTAACAATAAAGTGATACAAGATCTGCCGAATTGTTATCGTTAAATTTTTTAAAAAGAGCTCCAGCCATATATAACTACATATATGACAATGTGGTGTATCTAAATTTAATTTTTTTTTTAATTTAGAGCTTGATTTGTACAGTAAGAACACTAGAGCCTATTGCAGTGGTCTTTCAATACATCATAATCTAAATGCAAAAATTCATTTACTATAAAAAGCATTGCCATATAAGGTCGCTTTAAAAGTAGAGTATGGTCGAAAATGAATATTATAATTGTTACAAGTTTTGTGAGAAAAAATATACTTGACAAGCTGTCAAATTTTTTGTTCTCGAAAAAAACACTAGCGCTGTCTTCATTTAAAACTAGGTATCCTCATTCACTTTTAATAAATTTCAACTTCTATTGAGAAGAGAAATGTACTTGTAAATATTTAATAATTAACAAAAGAAGAAACCTGAGCCTAGCTAATTTTAAACCCTTAAATGCCCCCATTAAGGGTTTAAAATTAACAAATATAATTATAGTACAATACTAAGTTTATCCAAAGATCACAAATTGCATTTATTCATGTTGCCAGGCACAGGTCTACACTCACATAGAGTAGGATTTTAAGATTCTAAACCTACAATGCTTTTAATGTGATTGGGCTGGTACTAGACCGTTACTACCAACCAAATAAGATTTTGCCAGAATTCAAGCCCAGGTCCTCCTAATCTGTAGTTAAGTGCAGTAACCACAAGACCAATTAGGCAGGTATCAATTTCATTTAATGATGTTAGTTGCAATTGCTTAAAATTTAATTAATTTTACATAAAAGGAAAAAATAATTGGATGTTTAATTTACTTACAGATTGCTTGGTATACAAAATGGAGACACAGTAAGTTTTTAATATATTTAAAAAATAAATAACCAAATCACTTTTCTCTCAATGAATTGTTATTTGCATTAAGCACTATTAAATGGGAAACATGATCCTTACCGTTTGACAGGGCTTATTGTGATAAGTTAAATACAAGTTACATTAACATGATATTCACAGGCATTATCCCCAAATTGCTAAACTACTCTGCCTTATTCATATTTAATAATACATAACTGTTCTGTAGTAAATACTGTCTATAGTTTACGCGAGTAGTACACATTTAAATAAAACACTTTAACGGTTTAAAACGCGATATATTAGTGAAACTTATTTTTAAGTTAGTCAATTCTGTAAGGACCCGGCCAGTTTCGCCAAATACCAACTTCGACGGAACAGATGGCGCTAGCGTAGCAATTTTTTACTTTGACGTCAGAGACATCCTCCATCTTTAGTCTCCCCGTGACCACGGCTGCTGCAAAGCATCCGAAACGTCGGGCCGAAGTTAAAAATCATTTTAGTTAAAGTGTTTTATTTAAATGTTCTGTAGTACATGACAAAATTTCTTAATAATCTAAAAAGATAAATTGTGTATGGCTTTCACGGCCATCGTTCAGCATATCATTGTCTCTCGGGCTGTTCTTGATGGCGAAACGTCGAGAACCTCTTCTCGCTCACATCGGCCGAACAGCCCGAAGACAACGATATGCAATATATCAATAAAGAGTGCCCAATAACGTTTTTCCGTGTTAGATTATGAAATATTATAATATATATAGTAATTCAAATTATACTGCATCCTTTGGTTTTTAACTATTTACGTTTCGGGAAAGTTATTAACTATTATTATAATTTAACTACTGTTTGAATTTTGTTACATGAATAACTTTGTTTATTAACGAAGATTAGTTAATAAACAATACTCCTTGCATGAACAATTATGGACCTGTCAACCTCTGTCAAAATTGTCTAGTTTTAAAAGTTCTATTAATTATTATGGGGTTCTCCATTGATATAAATATACAATTATACAATAGATTGAATAGAAAGCCAAAGTTTGTTAATTAGCTTCACAACACAAAAACCATATTCCAATTATGATCACAAATTGACAAGATATTGCATGATTGCAGAGTTGTAAAACATTATAATAATGGATCATCTGGAGAACTTACTACATCTTTGGAAACCGTAAGTAAATAAGTGTTTTATATAATTGTTACAGGTCCAAAGATGATTCACCTACAAGCGAAAACGAAACAAAAGATGACAACACACAAAAAAGAAAAAGGTCAAAGAAGCATAAAAAACAAAAGCACGACGACCATGAAGTTGAAACACCTAGAAAGAGAAGAAAATTAAGGAATAAAGATCGGAGTGGCGAATACAGTGATACATCTTTATCAGATATAGAAGATTTGCTCAGAAAATCGCGACAGTGTAGACAATCTAAAAAGCATCCAAATCCAATTGAAGTGAATACAATAATAATAGAGAACAGTTGTAATAAACCACAATCAATTAGTAGTGAAGTTAAGTCAGATAAAAAGGTTGAGACATCTAATTCTGATTCAGAAAATTATCAAGATGATTGTACTAGCCCAGATTTAATAGGTTCAGAGGATGATCTCAATTTAGAGGAATTAATGATGCAAAAAGAATTGCTTCAAGCCAGTCTTGTTGCCATATCATCAGATACTAGTGATGATGATGTTGTAGCTTCAGAAAACATTACAGAGATTAATATTTCAACTAAAAAATCAAGGGAAAAGCCGTCTAAAAAGGAATGTGTAAGCGGAACCGATAAAAATAAGAAAGTATCGCTTGTTACCGATAGATATAAGTCTCGCGATGATAAATCTAAAGAAGAACGAGATTGCCGTGAGCGGAAAGAGAGACAAAGACGTAAAATGGAAGCCGAAAGAGATCGTCGCGAAAAGGAGCGGGATCGTGAAAGGGAACGAGAACGGGAGAGAGAAAGAGAACGTGAGAAAGAACGAGAACGAGAAAAGGAAAGAGAGAGAGCACGAGGAAAAGAGCGAGACATAAGACTCAGGAGAGAAAGGGGCAGAGAAAGGGAGCGAATAGAAATAAAATCTTCAGAACGGAGGAGGGCTAGAGCTAAAGATCATTCTCCATATCGTGATAGACGTTACTTTCGTTCGAGAAGTAGTCGCGACACGCATGCGACAGACTCACGTCATAGAAATATTAGAGATAAACGCAGAGTAAGTAAACAGGAGATGTATTTTTTTAGGCTCGGGACCATCTAAGTCGCGATTTCTTTGCAGGTTTTTTAACTAAATTCCCGATGAAATCTCGCTTTATGTACTTTAAGATAAACTTAAAACCTTATAGTATTTGAATTCGTTAAAGAATCGAGTATTAAGTTAATTTTAATAATAAATGAAAAAATGTTTACTTTACATGATTTGGCATAAAAAAATACATTATATTATTCTTTCCATTTACAGGATTCTACTAATGATATCCACCACTTGCCTAGTTCTAGTGACGAACTTGATATATCTATTAATACAGATGATGAAGAAGAAACAGAAGAACAAATAATAGAAAAACGAAGGAAGCAACGCGAGCTACTACTAAAGGTTCATTTTGCACTTAATTATCCTATCGATAAAAATGTAAATATTTTATATTATTGTGTTTTAACAGCGTCTAGGAGGAAATAACAACAACGACGGAAGGAATTCAAAAAGAAAAGATGCAGATAATGAGGAAAACACGAAAAAGTCACACGAAAACACGAAAAATCCAAAAGTCAATGCGACAAATATTATTATTAACGCGAAAAAAATCACATCCGCGACACTCATCTCGCAAGGAGATGCAACTATCGCAGCTGGCAACAAAAAGGAAGATAAGGACCCTGAATCTATAAAATTAGAGAAATCTGTTAAAAAAGGCGAATGGGACATGTTTGCCGATCAAGACAACTTTGATAATGTTGACGTGAGTTTAGTGGTGTATCTTTAAGTTGCTATTTTGTTCAACCGGTGATATCTATCAATATGACGGGTTTAACAATATAACAATTTTAATGAAACTTTCAGACCCCCACCACAAGTAAAATGAAAAACAAAATGGCACCAGAGAATCCATCTCTAACGGACAACTGGGACGATGCGGAAGGATACTATAGGTAATTTGGTGTACACACATTTGTTGTTAACAAAATACTTATTAATCATATTATAAAGAAATGTAGGGTCGAGACTTTTTAGTAAACGTCACTTCCTAAAATATCATATCACACCAACTAATATATAACAAGAAGCACTACACGTGTCAATTAAGATATTTTCCACGTTGGCTTGCTCCAGTTTTGATCCCCCTAAGTATGGCCTGATAAAATTCATATCGCTTGCATATTTACTCTGTGGCAAGTTTTGTGGCATTTTCCTTTTTTTTTTGGTAAATTATATCTCATATTATCTTTGACTACTGATGTACTTTTTAAAAAATAATTATTATGGACATATCCAAAAGGCATAATAATTTGTATGCAGAGTTCGCATAGGAGAGATACTGGACAACAGATATTCCGTTTATGGATATACGGGCCAGGGTGTATTTTCCAACGTGGTCCGCGCGAGGGATCAGGCGCGAGGCAACTCTGAGGTGGCTGTCAAAATTATACGTAACAACGAAATAATGTAAGTAATTACCAAACTGAACGACCGCCTCTGCAGTTCAACGACTAAACTCGAGGCATAGCTTCGTATGGGTTTGAATCGTTGGACCACCCTATTATCCGCATAGTAGTCTGATCTTTAATAAAATAGCAATCAGTTCAACAGACAATTTTCTCCTTAAACCTGAAAAACTATAAAACTATATTTTTCATAAATTCATATTTTGAGTAGTAGTTCTTCAGATTAGTGCATTCAAACAAACAATCTCTTCAGCTTTATATATTATTTTAGATAGATTGTGCTATTAAATATGTATGAATATATATGTGTTTTTATATTGTATACTAATAAGAAGAAAAATTTAAGTATGTATTTATATAATAGTAATCTTTACTCTGAAATTATCTATATTTACGCGAGTAGTACACATTAAAATAAAACACTTGTACGCGTTTAATCGCGTTTTAAACCGTTAGTGTTTTATTAAAATATATTGTTTTGATTTGATTGAGCCAATTGAGTATCAATTGACTCAATCATTTGTTTATTATTTCCAGGCACAAAACAGGACTCAAGGAATTAGATATACTCAAGAAGTTAAATGATGCAGATCCAGATGACAAGTTACATTGTCTCAGATTGTTTCGTCATTTCTTTCACAAACAACACCTTTGTATGGTCATGGAACCCCTGTCGATGAACTTGAGAGAAGTCCTCAAGAAATATGGAAAAAATAGCGGAATTCATATTATAGCTGTAAGAAGTTACATGCAACAAATGCTATTGGCTTTAAAACTGTTAAAGAAGACTGGAATCATACACGCTGGTAATTTTTGTGCTTTTTTTATTATACCTTACAAATAAATTGATGGTAAAACTCCAGGAATACAATGTTTAACATGTAGTGTATATATCATAGAAAACTGTTTGCCCTAGACGGCATGGCGGCGTATATTTTGAGTCATCCTTGTAACTATTCTTTTATTGCAGATATTAAGCCAGACAATATATTGGTCAATGACAGTAAACTGTTATTGAAACTGTGTGACTTTGGGTCTGCCTCAAGCGTTTCAGACAACGAAATAACTCCTTATCTGGTGTCAAGATTCTATAGATCGCCCGAGATTATTTTGGGCGTGCCCTACGATCATGGCATAGACATGTGGTCGACCGCTTGTACCATTTACGAGATGTCCACGGGCAAAATAATGTTCAGTGGTAAATCAAATAATGAAATGTTAAAATACTTTATGGATCTCAAAGGGAAGATACCGAACAAAATAATAAAGAAAGGGCAATTTAAGGAATCTCACTTTGATTCAAACTGTAATTTTTTATATCATGAACTGGATAAAATCACTGAAAGGGTAAGCACAACCACATATATTATCACCGGCCCTAGTAGCTTCTTTAGCTGGGGCTAACGACGCCTATATAGACCTTTTTAGCGATCGTATTTTTTTTCAAGATTGTTATTAAATTTAGCATGAAATTGTGGATTTTACTAAGTGAATTTGATTGAAGTTGTTAAAAAAAAGTCACTATAAGCGAAGCACATTTCTTGGCTTTCTCCTTCTATGGCTTTCTCCTTCTATGGCTTTCTTTCTGTCATGCTATTTATAACACATTAATGACACTTGAAATATCTATCTGTGTTCATTACAGGAAAAGATCGTCGTTATGTCAAGTATAAAACCAACGAGAGACCTGCTGTCAGAATTGGCACCGTCACTAAATAGACTACCAACCACGGAGGCCAAAAAGATGAATCAGCTCAAAGACCTGCTGGAAAGAATGTTAATGATAGATCCTACAAAGCGTGCTTCGGTGAACCATTGTCTTACACATCCTTTTATTCAGGAGAAAATATCCTAGTTACTTTTTCGAGAGAAAAAAAAACTAATGTGATTGTTACTTTCCTATTTTTGTACAAAGATTGTTAAGGGCGCATTTTTCCTTCCTCCTAGCAGTTCTTAAGTTTATTCAGAGTCTGGGAACTCTGACACGTGAGCTGGGCGGATAACTAGTTTGTGGGTGCCCAGGGACTAGTACTTCAGTGTTTCCGGGGTCGTTAGTTCCATAATTGATTGGCATGTTTAAAATCTTTATTGTATTATCATTAGCTAGAGGCAGAAAGTCTATTATTTTTCTGGACTTGCATGAAACATGTTGATTATAAAAAAAAATTATTTAATCATATTACTAAAATATAAAGATGAATCTGATTCAACAAGCTTACGTTAGTCGCTGTCACACATTTTAAAAAATGTGCTTGTACAGAGGGACGCATGTCTATGTGAGGCTTGTACATATGATTTTATTATACATTGATAAAACATCGTATTGCATTTTTTTTCCGATAACTTTATTTACCAGTCCTAAGTTTTTTTGAGTGATTATTTTGGCCCGGTTCCACCAGTATGAACAGGAAGTTTTGGTGAGCGCACTTGAGGTCGCCGTGCTTGCAGCTAAACCGTGGGCGACCCGGCTTAACAAACATTCCATGACAAAAATTAGTTTTCGCCCCTAATATTGTCTAAAAACCTGATATTTTATAACATTTAATTTTTGCACCAACACGGCGGTCTTAGCATAGCGTTAAACATTTATAAGGCCTAAGTTAGTTTGTTTTTGCACTAGTTACATTAAATGAAGAATCGCACTATTTTTTATATTTATTTGTGGAGTGAGAGAGGACCTACTCTCTAGAACCTTCTAGGAGGCCTCAATAAAATAGGGCAATGCAGGAAGATAGATTCTTAAGGAATAATTCCTTTATACATATTTTTTGAGTATCTTGAACCGTTTTCGCAGCGTAAACCTCTAAAGATTAATAGATTCCCAATTTCTCCTGGTAATGAATCCGAAGTAATCCAATATGGTATAGTAGAGCCTTATTTGGACTTTGACCTGAGAGAAAATGGAGGTATTCGAAAGGGATTCGGAGCAGTTTTCTCCAACACCACATCTCGGAAGTCTATCAAGGCCTTATATATACTATTTGATATTTATTTGGAATAGAAATACATTTATTTAGAAACAAAACACAAACGAAAATTAAACATTTACAATGTACACTAAACTACTACACAAAAAAACTTAAAGGAATTCACTTATAACACATACAATAAAAATGATAATAAATTCTCATAAATAGGTATATATACTATATTAACGTATATTCCGCTTATATTTGGAAGGTTGCTTTGGTATTTTGGTATAATTTAGAGCTATTTTTTGGTTATATTTATTTGAACGGTCACTGCGTTACTGAAGACATTATACATATAATCAAATGGTCGTTCTCCAAATAGCTCCCATCATGAGCATGGGGAGAACATTTCTGTGACCGTTTCACTCTATTGTTTCCCCGAATTCGAACCCTCTCCCCGCCGAACCCCATGCTAGTAATATAACCATTTAGCTACAGAGGGGGACTGTTTACATTCTTCGCTTTTATTTCTAAATTAATCATATATTTATATTGGTATTTAAATTAGTAAAATACATTTTTTTCAAATAAATAATTTATATACATTTTTAAAACTTCAGAGAACTTCAACAGTGAAAGCTACCCCACATTAAAACAATCAATATAATAAAAAACAAAAATTGAAGGGTACATCAATTTACTAAAGTATGCTCTAAATAACGTTTTTTTTATGAATAACTAATTAAATTCAAAACCTTAAAAAAGAGGAAAAATACTTTTTTTTTAAATAGCAAAAAATAAAAATTACAAATAGTTGATACAAGAAATAACCAAAATTAATTGATTCCTAATAAATTAATTAAAACTAAATTGCATAAACAAAAGAAGATCGACTAGAAATATAATTATTTCAAGGTAATAATATAATCTAGGTAACAATAAAATGAAAACAAACTTAAAAAAAGAGACTGTTCACCATCCTGAAAAGAAGCAGACTCGGCAAATAAATAAACATTGTATCTCCAATAGTGATGGTCTAAACATTGATGGGTGTATGCATCAAATCAGTCCGGCCAATAAAGCTAATGCAATTTGAAGGAGTATGATCTAAAGCATTCAATGGATGGGTCTGTATCCACCCTTTGAATGCTGTAAGTACACAAAGGATCTAATACTATAGCGGAAACTGACATCAAAGACCTGAAGATGGACAGAATATAAGATTTGCAGTAAAGTAAGAGCTAGACGATCCTAATCTCATTTTGAGTGCTTTAAAATGGATTAAATAAAGTTTGTAGCTAACACGGCTACAGGAAGGGCAGACTGATTGCAGAAATAATAATAATACCATATTGGTTTTCTTCATAGGTAAATTTTTTGAGATTTCATCGTCATTATCTCGACCTTCTTTTAACAGTGTTTCTACTTTTACTATGTATGCTGCATTATATGCCGTTACAATTTGAGAAAATGGGAGCATGTAGGGTCACAATGTTACATATGCCGCATCCATAAGTGCTCTACTTATATCAAAACGAAAGGTGGAAACTTGCTAAAGTATAAGTATACCTTCCACTGAATTGAAAATTGTTGCTCTTTAGCATAGCCCATGAAGCATGTGTGTGGACTCAATTGTTCTGGACTTGAGTAGCATTACTTCCTAAAGAATATATAAAAAAAGAATACCGATTCTTCTATAAGTCGGCACAAATGATGGCTATACCAGCCAAGATTAACATAGTAGCTAGATCCTGGGGCACAATATTAATATTTACTTTATTTATGCCACTTAAGTCACGGCCTCTAAAAATCATAAGAACATTATTATTACCAACAACATCCTTCATTGCCTTACTAACAGTTGCTGACCATGTCCGATCTCTATTAAGTGGTGCTATATTGCAAAGTCTACATGGATAGGCTAATGGTGGATAGGTGAAAGAACAAGTCCATATGTTTTTAACAGTTACTTGTAGATCAATGAAGCCATAGTCTATAGCGAATACATCATAATATATTTCCCCATACATTTTTTTTATTCTTCCACGGAGTATCGCGTCTCCCCCATTTTTAGATCTATATTGGACTATATCTCCAAGGCTTATATGTGTTGGGGTTCTGCTCTTCAATTCTTGAATTGGAAGATTCATACTCTTAATTAATGGTCTAGATGTGCACAATGTTACATAAAATAAGTCAGGACTTTCAATATAACTGATATTCACCCAGTGTTTAGAATTATACTGGAAATTTGGTACCGTTAGTTCGATTTCCATTCAAGATTCGTTTGTATCGTCTCTAAAATAAAGGAGATTACCGCAGTGCTGGCTGCTTCTCTTCTGTTTTAACAAGTTTGCTAGTCGAAGTTAGTTGTTGAAGTTACTATTTGTTTATTTCGAAATAACTGATAGAGCTTAGTTTCAGACTACACTCTACAGTATATATAAATTATATTGCACGTCACTAATGTCAATGTTGTCATGTGATTGTCATCTTAACAAAGCAGAAGGTGGAAATTGACAATAAGTAAGATTTTAAATAGAGAATAATCTGAGAAATCCGAATATTTTTAAAACCAAAGTTTAAGTTTAATGTCTACAGCAGTAACTCAAATTTTGCTTTGGCCTGTTTTTCTTATTCACCGATAGAACCCTACGGACAATATAAATTGAATTCACTTTAAAAGTTATTGGTCACCTGCCACATCCTAAAATAAAACTAAAGCGCAATGTTTTGAAACATAAAAAAGATGTTTAATACAGAACACGTAGGACGTGTTCGCGTTCTTTATAAATTAATATTACGCGTTCATCGTGCTTTGCCAGCGGAGCTAAGAGTTATTGGAGACAATTACGCAAGAGACGAATTCAAAAGGCACAAAAATTGCAATCCTCAAGAAGCCGCGATATTTCTCAACGAATGGACGGTAAAACAATTGGATAATTTTATCCTGGCATTATGTAATCTTAACATCATATTTGTGAATTGAAAGACACATGTAGTTAATATTACATTATGAAATAATGATTGGTGAAATTCAATATATGTAATTAAAAAATCTTTGATTCTGAATTATGTTTCTAGCATGTAAACAATTCAAGGATTTGACTGTCCTTTAGTTTGACTATATTTTTGGAAACAACTTAAGAATTCTTTCTTCATTAGTTATGATTTGAATTCAACAAATGATATTTATTACATATATCACATGTAAATAACCCAGATCTATGAATCAATACTTAAGTTTCATATACACATAGTGTAGTGTATAGTCCCATTATTGGTTTATTGGTTTATTGGTTCATCAAGCACCCAAACCAATTGATTTTTGTGTGCAAGTTGGATTTAGGATCTTGAGCGTCCTAATTTTTTTCTCAATTGGAGCCTATCCTTGTACCTCTTCTGCCTTATGTTAACACTGTGCTTCTCGCTCCTTCCTTTAATCTGTTCAAATATTATATGAATTAATACTGATGTATAAAAAAATCCCATTTCAGGATTATGCAATCAACTTAGCGAAACAGACGAAACCCTTAAACCAAGCAAAACAGAAGGTTGTGGGAAATTATTTAAATCCGCAAATGTTGGATCATATGACTGAGGACCAACTTGTTCAACTCTATGAGTTGCATAAAGCGGCATCACAAGAAAGTGATGAAGATTCAAAACAACTCCCAATCGATACACAAAATCAAAAGTGAAAATAGTAAGACATTTATTTATGAGTTCTTCTATAAATGTGAGTGATTATTGCAATGGAGTACAGATATTCAACTTTTATTTTGCTCAGAGGGGCTGGAATTATCAGACAAAACTATAATCCTGTTATAAATTTGTTTCATACTTGAAAAAGATGTGATCTATGTCTACTTTAATAAGTTGTACATACACAAAGGCAATGATCACACAACTCAAGTATATAGTCCTAGAAATATACAATATAATTAAATCACCTAAAGACATAATAAAAATTACAATTGTTTTTTAGCTTATATAATTTTTTAAATAATATTTTATGTTAGAAGTTAACTGTTCAGAAATAAAACTACTTATGAAATTTATTTATCGAAATCAGTCCATTTAATCTGGATACGTTTCAGAGTGAACTTTTAACGCGTATCTTAGATAGAAAGAAGTTTTGCCACAGGCGAGACGAAAACGCACGACCGTCAGCCAAATGAGTTGATAAGCGCATGCGCCTATGTTGGAATACATATACATATGGAAGGGAAAGAAAAAAATAATCAATAAGATAACAATTTATATTGTAACCAAAATAGAATACACACTCAGAATTGTATTAAAAATATGTACAAAATACTTCTTCAATGTTCCTAATACAGCCTAACGTAATAAATGCAAATATCTGTCAACGGTTATTCAAACGTATCACAACACTGTCGACCTGGCCACGGAACACGCGCAGGCGAACGGCGACGCGTCTAACGATTGAAACAACTATATAGCTATGTATTGATTAAGCATCACAACGGCGACCAGCGATGCGAACTGCGAGCCAGACAAAAGCATGAAACAGTATGGGACGAGTTCACTTCGTAGTGTCTACTGCCGGTCTTTGTGGCCAGGTTTGATTTTCGCGCGTGTTTTCTCATCTCAAGCCAAGGTCCGTCGCAGCTGGCTTTATTACCCATATCCAAGTGTTAGCACGTCAAAGCCAACTTCAGCCACTGAAAATAAAGATATTAGATATTCAGTAGAATAACAATTCCAAAAACTGCCCCGTATCTGAATGTTTCCACACGTTGCTTAGCATTAACTAAGACAAGTAACGGGATCGAGTTGCCAGGCCATAGACTTTTTTGTTAAATTGTTCTGTTTCATTCGCCCATATTTTTGGTAATTTTATTAAATGTACTATGTATAATAATATAATATTTTTTTACATATATTGCTTTGTTATAGTATTGATTATACAATAGATAAATATAAAGCATAATAAATAGATAATAATACCCACCTCTGGAAATGTTAATTTTACTTTGTACGTACGCGTAGAGCAGTTACTGAAGAACATATCTGAAATTGGAATATATAATGTGGTCCTTGTATACAATATACTAGCAATTAAGAATATAACCCCGAAAATATGTACATATGTATTCTTATGAAGCCAATGTTAAAAAACTGCAAGCTAAGTTTTTGTTAGTATATCGTATGAGCATTATGTTTATAATACAATAAATACACATTAATCTTAAAGCCGACGCCTTATTTTGCAAAATAACTTGTCGCTATATAAATGTGTTTTTTTTATATATTAGAAGCGTTCATAGGATAAATTTTACAGGACGTGTAACATGTATCTTTGTTTGTTTCGAAGTAAAAAGCTCATTTTCTTATACGTTGCAAAGACTACACAGATTGCGTTTGGCGCGACGGTTACGTATGTATTTGGCGATACATGGCGTTACTTACGAAAAGCTCTATGCAAGAGGACCACTGCGGATACGAAATCTCCAAACCGGAGCATTCCATCCTTCCTCATATATTTTAGAACCAGTAAAGTCATCGCCCTCTCCGGGACCACGAAACCGACGTCTCTGAGCGCGTCACGAAACCGTTCCACCCTCAACACACCCATTTTTTCTGTTGAATGCCTCTTGAAAACTTCTTGCCAATACTTAAGGCTGTATATTAGGTCCTTGAAGTCGTTTAGGTTAATACGACCTGAACCATCCTTCTGTTGAGCTGCTAAGGAAATTAATGTGTCTTCAATGCCGTTTTCCGTTGCCCCGGGCTTGACTAAAACAATTTCTTACATTTCCCAACGGAACCTTTCGTGAATGGTATAATATCCCAGAATTTTCCCAGAAAGCCCCGTTCATTAAAAACGGTAATATCCAATGTTTAAAGTTAAAACGCGTATTTGCTTTACTTCAAATATAAAAGTTAATAATAATAACAGCAGTACTCAAAGGTTTTCTCGGGCTTTCTTTTTCTTTTGATAGATACATTCAAAAGTTGAGACACCATTTCAGACATTGCAATAGGTTTTATGTTATTTATATTTTTTCCTTACACATACCGCGTGAGTTCAAATCAAGATTTATTTAAATATCCTTCGCCAAGTTTTAATTAAATGACGAAGTAAAAATGTCACAATTGTGGCCGTTCAATGCCACGCGAATGTTGCATATATCACGGGTTGACGATGACGTGTAGGACGCGGTAGCTCATTAATTAGACCAGGAGCACGTAATATTCTGGATGCCGGTTCAAGCCTAGTTCGTATCGTAATTTTTTTAAATCTAATTAAACTTTTATTTTATAAAATGTTTCAGAATTAGAGCGAATGCTCTATTCTAAACGAGCTTAAATTCATCATATTATGATATACATTGTAAAAAGGATACTTCCATAGACAAAACGACTTGCCTACAAGTCTCTATGGTTGCACAACTTTTTATATAATCATTTGGTAAACATCTCTCTAACAACTCTTGTAGTTCAAAAGCATTAATAGTCTTATGTTCATCAGCTAACTGAAGAAACTGGGAGTCATAGAGTTCAAATGTATTCGAGTTGATATCGGAGGGAGCTTTCAATACAGCCGCCTTTAGTGTTTGGGGAAAGCTGTCTAAAACATTCATTTTGAGTGGTTTTACAGAACACACTCTGAGAGTGAAGTTTCCCTCTTGACGGGGCTCGAAGGTGGTTGGAATGACTAAGTATGAACCGGCATCTAAATTGCATCTGAAATAAAATGTGTATAATGAATAGTATTACAAACATTTTTCTCTTACGAATAGCTTACAATTGTTTTTCGAGCAGCTATGACAGGTGTATTTTCAAGTTAAGAACCCACTAGTAAAAATACAAATAAATAAATTTACTCTTTTCTAAACAATTTTATATAATTACAAACTGTTCTAAGTATTTTTTAATCTGTATTACTTCTTTTTTTTAATTATAGATATTATGTGCTACGAACGAGGCCGTGTAGACTTTCTTATCTGTTTAAGTATGAATAAATCAATAAATAAAAGATCAGTCAATCCCCATTAGGACAGACCGTCCCTAAACTTTAATAGTATATGTACTATTTAATTAAACACTTTAAGGGTTTAAAACGCGATATAAATTAGTTAAACTGGGAGACTCCTCGGCTGCTGCAAAGCATCCGAAACGTCGGGCCGTAGTTAAAATAACTTTCAAATAACTTGAATTAACATATGTCGCGTTTTAAGCTGTTAAAGTGTTTTATTCAAATGTGTTCTCGCGTATATTACAGACAGTATCTATGTGTCTAGTACACTAGTTAGTTGGAGATTTGAATCCAATGACGCAATCGTCAATTATTGTTTGCCTCGTGCGTTGTATGATCGCTCTAACGCGCAAACATCACGGTCACTCCAATATTAGCTTAAAGACGCGTAGTTTCGACATTACCTTTCACTAACTTGTCTGCTATTCGTGTATTGTGAATTGATTGAACTTTTCATTTTCTTGAAAAGCGTCGACGGCGCAATCTCAGTGAATGCTTTTGTTATCTTGTAAATACTGAAACCTATTACTTTCGGCTCCATTATGCTGTGTTGACTGAGCGATATAAACACTGTGTCGGGATCGTTGAGTACTATTTGAACTTGTGGATTCATGTGGAAGAATTCTGGAAGTTTAAAAAAAGAAGGTTTAAAAAAAAATACGATACGAGCTAGGCTTGAATCGGCATCCAGAACGATTCGTGCTGCTGGTTTAACTATTGAGCTACCGCGTCCTGCACGTCATCGTCAACCCATGATATATGCGAGTAGCTTATACAAAATGTTCTCTCACTCTTTAGTTGCTAATACTCTGCTTTGAGCCAAGTCTTGCGAAGTAAAGACGAAAGCCGTGAGGTTGAATCGCGTTTCGGTTTCAGTGTGCGGATTTTCGAATATCCAAGACCAAAATAGGCTGACAGCGCATCTTGTTTAGATTCTATACGGCTGGTGTGTTTCACCTCCCATCAAGAGAACTCCATGCTTGTCTCTCCCCCTCTATTAAAAGTTCTGTCCTGATGCCTTTGCCTTAGCAGTTACTATATACCTGCGTGATTTCTACAACCGCCTGCTGTGACGCCCTTCATCCATCTGCCCTGATGAGATTTGATTTGCCATTTATGTTTATCAGCGAGTGTCGCTTCTATTTGACTAGTTTCACCATCCATATGCACTAATTCTAACCGGGAGAATGTACTTAAGAAGTCAGTATACAACATCCAGAAACCGGTTGTTATCGACGTTAGTCTGTCTCGCTCTGATGCGGGTATTAAACTCCACCTGAAATTATATAAGAGTTAATAACAATGATGAACAACGGTACTTTGACTTCCCACAGCTGGATTACGTGCATCCTCAGCGACCCCTCGGCAGTAACAGGTCTCTGAGGGCCCCGGGGGCCTTCTTACCTCAGCTTTGGAATGAGATAAGCGTAAAAGAAAACAAGAAAGGAAGAAGAAAAACTTTTTTACAAGAAGTTTTTTTGTTCACATATATAATTTTGGAGGCTTATATAAGTTCAAACTATGTGAAAAGAGGTGATGAGGGCCCGATTCTTTATTTCTTGTTCACCTAGTTAGGCTACTTGGACTTCCAAGACGTTTGGAGTCGTACAAACGTGTTCCTAGGGTTCTCTCAAAGCGATGGCGTCTAATGACCCACAGCGAGCGGCGAGACGGATCAAGGAGGCGACCTTTGCAGCTCCAAGATCTCGCTAATCTCGCTTTCGCCTTGTATGAAATGGGCATTGGTTTGGGATTTGGAGTCGTACAAGCGTGTTCCCAGGGCTCCCTCAAAACACCGTAGAGGGCTGGTGGTGTGTTTAGTGGTTTTGGTCGGCTATACGATTTACCACACTCCCCACGTCACACTTGCCCAACGTGGGCGTGCATTAGGCATTCACACCATCAGAAAAAAGGGGTCCTCTCTCAGAGCACCGTAGCAGGCTAGTGGTGTGTTTAGTGGTTCTGGTTGGCTATTGTCTCCAAAGAGGGTGCAGTACGCTTTACCACACTCTCGAAGTTATTATTGCCCGACGCATTAGGTATTCACACCATCAGTAAAAAACAAAGGTTCTGAGACGTGACAGTTATCTCACAATATTTTTCCTTCACAGAAGAGGGCGTATAAGTATGTACACAAAGTTCAGAAAAAAATGTGGGTAAATATATATATAACTATAACTGGCTGATAGAATAATATCTTACGCTTGTTTGTCCAAAATGAAATGAGTAAATGGCGTATCTCCAGGTGCTAACGGTCTCCCTAATCGCACCAAGTGTACAAATCCGACTGTGGTCTCCACCTGTAAATTTAATAAGTCAATACAACTATAGAAATATTTATTTCCCTTTAAAATCGATCTTGACGTTATAGATTATTAAGTTGTAATAAACAAATGCAATTTTTAAGAGAATCTTTTTATATATTATTATCATTAATCCCAAATTTCCAAAAAACTTTTTTTTATCTATAGAAAGTTTATATTGTAGGATTACAAACATAACTCTATTTTCAAACGTATTGATGTAAATTACGTTAGATAAGTCAAACTCTAAGAACATTCCTATTATTGTAAATCTCCATCTTCAAGGTTGCCTGCAAGAAATCGCTTTTTAGCGATAAGGCCGCAGTTTCTCGTTTATTTTTTGGAATATCTTCAAATTAAATCTTCTTATTTTGTTATATTGTGGTGACGATAGTATATTTGTTTTGTTTAGTTTGTTAAATTAAATTAGATTTAATACAACCGATTAAAAATCCCACTCACTCGTTCAATATTGTGTATCCTGTAACGAATGCCGGATTCTATCGTCTTTACTGAGTTAGTTCCGCGGTGTGCTGTTACTATGCTAGTGGTCTGTAATAAATTGTGTAATTTCGATGGATCCCCAACTTCTGATACAGTCATTGTTTCAGTAATTCCACCAGTGAGGTCTGCAAGGCCGTCGTGTAGGTTCCCGTATTTCAGAGCTTCGTACGAACCATGCATTCTATTGAACAGGCAATACATATCGTGTGAGAGATATTCATTCATATAATCACGGACCAAAGATCGCAAAATATGTTTAGCAAGGGCATAAAGTCAGCAGAGAAAATCAGTACAGAAGTTAGTCGTAAGCAGGACACGGTAGCTCAATTGGTTAAAGCGGTACGGTACGCTATGGATGCCGGTCCGTATCCTGCTTATGTCGTATTTTTTTATATTACGAAACCAATGACACAAACCATGTGTTAAGTATAGTCATGTGCCTTGACTAATAAAGCAGATAAAATATTGGCCAAAGTCAAAACCGAAACTTTGATAGCTAATAGATAGTGATAAGTCATGATAAATACTCTTAACTAAAAACAGACTTACTTGGCGTAAGCTTTCTCTAATAATGCAGGCCAGAGCTGTTCCGAATGGCTACAATGCATAAACGCGAGCTTTCCGTGTACTGTTGGCAATCTGTCATCAACTAGAACTTCCACCCATTGGCCACACCACCAGATGCGAAACCTGAAAGAAATAGTAAAAATAAAACACTTTAACGGTTTAAAACGCGGAAATAGGAAGCACGGGATAGATGCCAATTACGGAAGCGACTAGAGGAGGATAGGGCCCTCAAGGGGCTGTACAACCATTGATAATGATGATGGTTTAAAACAAACGCAACATATATTAGTTAAACTATGTCCGGGTCGAGACTGTATCTCCCCGTGACCACTGCCACAAACCATCCGAAACGTCGGTTTGTAGTAAAATAATTTTTAAATTAGTTTAACTAATATTTTTTGAGTTTTAAATAGTTAAAGTATTTTATTTAAATGTTGACTACTCGCGTAAACTACAGACAGTATTTAATTATATAAATGTCATAAAATATTTAAACTTCGGATAGTACCCAATACATTAAACAATTTCTGTATATAACAATATTTTAAAAAAGTAAATATTATAAGTTACTTTTACCTAAAAATACCAGCATAGTTAGAATCCAATTTTTGATCTCCAGGTATGACACGAAAGAACAGACCCTTGTACATGTGGAGTAGACCGAAACATGATAATAACCATTTATCACCTGGAAAACAAACGCTTTATTTACTTTTACAGACATTAAATAAAATAAGCCTTAAAGCCTATACTTTCGCCAGGCTTATCGTAGTAAACGACGTTGTAGTTAACAAATAATCAAATAATATATTGAATGACATTTTGATTATTGTTATAATATTTATTTACTTTCGCAAAAATAACGCTTCGCATTTTAAGGAACGGGGCAAAAGTGCAAAACCGCAAATAAACAGTAATATAAACTGATTCGTTTTATTATTATTCGCAAAAACATATATATATAAAGAAATATATAGATCAGATTAAATAAAGACCTCTTAAAACCTTCGCATTACTTTTATATGTCCCAAATACATTAAAAATAAATTCAAAAAAAAGTTAGCTTCATAGTCTTTGTCTATTTAAGACAAGAAATCAAGAATGGAAATTGCATATTAAAAAAATAAGCGTCTAATCTAGAAGTTATTACACTAGAGTAAAGTGTTGTGATTAAATCTTGGCGAAACGTTTGTTCGACATTTGTCGCTTTTAGTAGCCGTCAAAGCTCACTAAATCATGCTGGAGTCGCGTCGTTTATAATTAAACCCTTATAAGAGTGTAGATAACAGGTTGAAAGAAAGTTGCATAAAGTATTCGCTTCGCTGTAGCATAGTTCGTTGGTAGCAATGTATGCCTAATAACAATAAATGTTGGATCCTTATCTAATCAATTTGTAATTCTAAAATATGTTGGACTTCTGAAAATCTGGATACTAAATGGGTAGGAATAAGGACATTCCCTCCGCGTCACTAACCAAGTCACGGATGAAGAAATCCTTTGAGTTTATTCGCGTTTCAGTTTCAGTCTTTCGAAATATGAAAAGGCCAACATAAGTTGACAGTGCATCTTTAAATGTTATACCTACCATCAAATGAATCCCAGGCTTGTCACCCTCGATCATAAAAAATCCAGGCATAAAATAAATTAGTAAACCAACATATATAATAAGAATTCGCCAAAATTATTTTGTCGCTTTGCTTAGATATAAACTTTGTTGTAGCTTTGTTATCTTTTGTCAAACGAGTTGTTACGAAATATTGTGGTTTCGAGAACTTACCGAGCGTGCCGGTGACCACGTCGAACGCGTCATAGCCCTCGTGAATAAACTTCGGGTTTGTGTATAATTGCTGAGGACAAAAGCATAACACTTATTAGGTACAGCATTAAGTGTGAGTCCAAATTTCTCAACGAAGGGTACTGTACCATTCGTTCTAACCTAGGCTCAGAACCCTTCGTAGGTGGGTTATTAATTTCAGTCATTGTCAAAATTATTTTCAAATAACATTTCTATTCATATAATTTCTCACGTGAGTACATACATTTAAAAATAAACAGGATCTTGACAATTAGTTTAGAATTTCCAAACGGCAAACAAGTGATGGGCGGACACATATAAAGAATATAATAATTTTGGACCATAATAAAAGTAAAGGGATTATTTAGTCATAATCTTCATTTCCACACGTTGAATAAATATCATAAAAAAATAACGTTCGACCAGTACGCAGACATATTTCTGTGTCTGTTTATTTCAACGGTTTTATTGACCGCATCTAAATTCATATATTTCGAGGAATCGAATCTTGGACCACTACGCTTAACGCATTATTAACCATTGAACCCCAAAGACTGTGAATTAATAAAATTAGTACCAAGTCAAATCTAAACCCAACCGTTCTAACTGTTTTTGCAGACAAACATGCAAAATTAAAAGATGTATATAGTGTGGGAGTACTAAGGTTATCTACTCGTACGCATAATACACCTTGTGACTTTTAAATCCGTAGGAGGCAGTGACCTTGGAAACCAGATAAATAAACTACATAATTGGTATTCGGTACTTCTAGGAAATATTCAATAGGTATATTAGATACCATATACAGTTATACTAGACACTGGATGACATTTGTTGTAAACAAGTCGACGTGAGAATAATTAATCGGTTTTCCTTCTCACTTATTTCTCAATGGTATTTGGCTTAAGGCTAAATGCTTAACCTAGTCACATGTTCTTTTTTAGAAGGACAGGTGAGACCTTAGCCATTTGACTACTACAGAGAAGCAAATGAGCGTTTGTTCGAGATCATTTACTTCGAAACAAAAAATGTGTATAGATTTGATTATTTATTTGTTCGGATGGAAAGCATCTATCTTAGCTTTTTAAACGATTATATATAGATTTTACTTATTTTACAAGCGGAAATTAAACTTGAATCCACTGCGATCCGTGCTGCTGCTCTAAAATATTGAGCTACCGTGTCGCTCGAGCTCATCTTTAGAATCCATTGCTACATGCACCTCTTGCGCAATTTGATGACGTCACCACCACTAGTTTTCAAATGGGCGGATCACGAAAACAAAAATTTGATACGTCATTTAATATTATTGTTGTTCAAATAGAAAATGCAAGTTTCTTTAAACGATAGGTAGTTTAAGAATAGTGAAAGTTTAAGAGCGATAAGGCCGCGTCATCTTTGCAAACAGTTTTTTTTGTTTATACGACTTGGTTTAGAAAAAATACTATACTATATAGCGTAGATATAAATTATATTTCGAGTGTTGGACAGAGGTTTTCAACCTTTTTTTAAACTGGTAAGAGCGGAGGAGGTTCTCAATTCAAATTGTATATTTGTTTTTTCCGGGATATAAAAATATATTATTCACATACTCGGGACTAGACAATAGTTTTATATCTGTAGTATAGTAGATTACTAACAATGTAAAACCATATTAACCTAAAAATCCAGCGTGTGTCTTTCGTTATTAGTTAGCTCAAATTTAGCGGTTCTGTGGTAGACAAATAAATTGCTAAGTTTACCTGAGGTCTCTTCCATTCGAATTGGAACGGTGGCACTTGGTGATAGAACACAGAATTTTGTGTCGCCGGAAAATCAGGGTCCTCCCACAGTTGATACTTCTGGAGGCAGCTGGCCTTGATGTTTGCATAATCCGCCATGCCCCGGCCAGCTACAAACAGACATCGTAAACTCATTAGCAAAATTGTTTAGTTATTTGTTAGACGAAAATTAAATAAAAAGAATTCGATGAAAAAGACGCGATTGGTAATAATAATATTAATAAAAACTCTTTATTGCACAAACATAAGACATAAGAACATGTACATACTTATTATCGCTTTAAAAGCGAGACCATTTTTTATAGGATTACGTTCTATCTATCTTTTACACTGATATTTTTTACACACCTTCCTCTACCAGGTTGTACTGTGCTTTTATTACTATTATCTATTTTGGCCTGGGGCTATCCATACTAACCGGCCGTTTGGGCTAGACCGAGTGCCCTGAGCAGCCCTGTACTAGTACTGTGTAGTACTACTTACTATGTAGTTATATTGTTAGACTTCTATCCTATGGCCGGCTCTCATAATTCCAGTCCAGCGATTGATTCAGTACTAGATTCCTACCTACTTGTATAATATAAACAGGCACTACAATGCACTGAATTGAGTAATCCAATTTAGAAACTGGTTTTGAATAGTGTCTATAGTTTACGCGAGTAGTACACATTTAAATAAAACACTTTAACGGTTTAAAACGCGATATATTAGTTAAACTTATTTGAAAATGATTTTTAACTTCGGCCCGACGTTTCGGATGCTTTGCAGCAGCCGTGGTCACGGGGAGACTGATTTTCAAATAAGTATAACTAATATATCGCGTTTTAAACCGTTAAAGTGTTTTATTTAAACTGGTTTTGAGTTTTACTTTTGCGTCCGGCGCTACTGGAACAATTTTGACGGGGCCGTTGGTCTAATGATAGCAATTATAAACGGGTCGGGAGTTCGATCCCCACTGCGTCCAACGTGTTTCAAATTTTTCGAATTATAATGTTTCTAAAAAGTCCAACATGGAATATCGCCGCCAACAGATGAGAAAGCCGTGAAGTTTAATCGCGTTTCGGTTTAAGTCTCTGGATTTCTGAACGTCCAAAGTCAAATAGGTCGAATGCATTTGTATAGATTATATAGCTGGGGTATAACACCTCCCATCAAGTTAACGCTATGTTTGTCTCTACTAGTCTATCATTGAAAAAAAAAAACAATTTTTGCTGCCTGTTTTAGAGCTTGGATTGCTGGACTGGAATATCTAAAACTGGCCCTAATACATACTGCACTGTCTTCGTCAAAAGTCATTGACAGGTTGCCTAAAATAGAAGATTTAAAAGGAACTATAAAAACAAGTGGTAAAGAATGCATGAGCTACCGTTATCAAACAGTATTTAACATATCAGACGTTCGGCTGAATATAAAATACCTGCCATGAGTAAGACTTGCACAGAAAATAAGAAAAGTGAGATATTTTTGTGAAATTGTCATAAAAATAATGACTAATATAAATAACATGTCATCGTTCATTATGCCGATGACAAAATAAAAACAAGGTTTCAATTGTAAGTGGAACAATCGACAGTATTTTCTATGGAACGAAGAGAAAACGATAATTGTGTTCTTAGTTGACATACTTAGGAATCTTATCTTGTTGGAGAAATTCTCAAGTCAAAGCTTGCATTTTCTCAAGAGAAAATATTTAAAAGTTCGATATTACAAACACTTAATAGATATATTTTATAATATAATAATACTGGATACTTTTTACGCGTTTATAACGCAAAAAAATATACTAGCCGTGTCAGCGACTTCGTCCGCGTATAATAGTGATTTTGGGCATCCGAATTTGTTTTTGCAAACTTCCTTTTCATCTTTATAAATTTAAACCGCTTTCCACATCGACATCGGACGCGTCCAGTCGCTCGCAACCCGTCGTTCTTGCAAGTTAACCTAAAAGATAGACATACACAGTCGCGGACATTTTTTTTAGATCTTTTAAAAAGGAATCATTCTTTCATACATATTTTTTGAGTATCTTGAACCATTTCCCGCTGCTTCTTCGCTCCTATTAGCCACAACGTGATGTTTTATAGAATTCCTCAATCAATGTTCTAACACAAAAATAATTTTCGATTCTGAGATTAGCGCGTTCAAACAAACAAACAAACTCTTCAGCTTTATATATTAGTATATTATGGACTACCTACAACCGATCTGTTCAACTGGTAGTCTCAATCGGACTGTCGCAAAAGTTTGTTTGCTCGTAAATCGATTATCGAAACGGAGATAAAAATTTTATAACAAACTTGTCTACTACTCTTATTTATTTATATTACTAAACTTTATTCAAAATTTTTTTTTTATTTTCTCGTTACAATACCTTGCTTTAAAATTTCTGACCCGAATCAAACCCGGGACCTCCTGCAGTGATGCGCACTAAACTCTAGACCAACAACCGTTCGATAACCAGTGCGTTCACCTCGTAAGGCCTGCGAAATTACGCGTAAAATAGAGACGTTTTTCGATTTCAGCGCATTTAACAAGCGTGTCAAATACTCAATAAGTACCACGGGGGGCAATTCCCAATCCGTGACATTACATTACATGACTCTTAAATTATGTCAGCGGCAGTTAAGGTGACAATTATTAAATCACAATAATTATCGAGAATAAGGTAAAATAAAATGTCAATTTAATTTTGAAATTTGTATTAAACTAGTAATAAAATTCGACATGGATTATTTCTCGCTCTGTTGAGAATAGCTCCCTGGTTAATCGTAAGTTGTAACGCTTACTTCACAAGATAACATTACACTCTTGAGTTATTGTTTAATGTAAGTATCATTGTTTTTATTTATCAATATTGCTAGGCGATTCTATATATGTAATTGTTTACTTTCATTTCTCGAGTGTAACTATAATATAATTTACCGCTTCAATTAAATAACACTATTTTAATTGAAATAAAACACTTTAATGGTTTCAAAACGCGATAATATTAGTTATTTTACTTACGGCTTATGTGAACATTATTTTACTTACGGCCCGACGTTCTGGCAAGTCTTAAAAGGCAGACTATATATAGATATAGTGTCAAGGACATGTTTTAGATCACTTAAGATTAACAAAGGAATCATACAATTCAATATTTTTTACATATATTTTGGATATCTTGAACCGTTTTCGCAGCTTACGCATCGGAAACTCACAGAAATGGATAATTTTTCCGATTTTTCTTCGCTCCACATTTCTTGCTGTTTCTTCGTTCCCATTCTATTAGTTAGTGTTATGTTTCATAGCCTAAAGCCTCCCTCGATAAATGCTCTAAGCAACACAAAAAAAAAATTTTCAATTCGAAACTGCAGTTCCCGAGATTAGCTTGCTAAAACTCCTCAGCTTTATATATTAGTATAGATAGTGCGCAGTACATGTGTTATTCTAGAATATCTAGATGCGAAACAGTGAGTGTTACACGTCAGAGCGACCCACTTGTTCAGCTCTCCACTCTGCTTCCATTTGTGGAAAGACTAACGCCGTGGGCACGGTCAATGGGAGCAAGACTTAAGCTTAAAGAAGAATAGATGATTAAAAAAACTTTAATTAAATCCCGTCTGTAGTTTTTGAAAATAATATAAAAATCTGATTACAGTGTTGACTACTTGTATGTCAATTTGGATCAAACAAGCCATATCAAATTACTAACGAAGATTACAAGTAGTTGATAACTAGTACCACGATGGTGTGTTAAACACTAGGGTTTAAATACTGTATGTAGATTACGCGAGTAGTACACATTTCAATAAAACAATTTAACGGTTTAAAACGAGATTAGTTACTTATTTGAGAATTATTTTAATTACGGTCTGACGTTTCGGATGCTTTGCAGCTTTCGTGATATATATAGCGTTTTAAACCGTTAAAGTGTTTTATTTACATACGAGTCGAAATTCGCGTACATATGTCTTAGTTGTCTAACTTAAATGTTAGTAATCATTACTTTACTTAAATATTAATAAACATTTAATTACTCTCAAACATACGTGTTTAATTAATTTAAGTTCACTAAAAGCAATTACATAAGCATACACTGGATACAAAACATAAACGAAAATACAATTAAGTTTTCAATTAAACAAGCCCAAAGAATAACGCTTTTTAACTACATACACAAATTTAATAACTCTATATTGTTGAAAACATTTTAACAGTTTAAAGTACTAGAAATATTAGTATTTTGTTTATTTGTAATTCCGCTTGCGCTTGTGGTCTGGACGACTAATAAAAGAATAAACTACCGGATGTACACGCACGTGCTTTTAGATGGTTCACTTAACCGTTCACAATAATTATTACTATGTACATCGTGTTGTACACACAAACACCAAAAAGAAACCCATGTTTAAGTTATCATTAGAAAAAAAATCATAAAGTCTTGAATAGAATATATTAGGCTAAACTAGCAATTTTAACGGCATCGAACTTAAAACAACAGTTAAGATAGGAATCTAATTGGACGTTGACTATGTTAATTTCGATCATGTAGTGTTTTGAAAACGTTCTTATTTTTTACGTGTTATTGCACACGAAGGCACTATATAAATTAAAAATCGAAAATAAATAAAAAAAAAAATCTTGTGGTTCCTGCCCGAGTCGAAAATTTTTTCAATTTATTTTCGATTTTTAAATTATGTACTGTTTTACACACTAATGGGTTAATACTGTCAGACTGATCTTGAGTAGTACACATTTAAATAAAACACTTTAACGGATTAAAACGCGATATACATTAGTTCAACATGTGAAAATTATTTTTAGTACGGCCCGACGTTTCGGATGCTTTGCAGCAGCCCAGTTAGACTAATATATATCGCGTTTTAAACTGTTAAAGCGTTTCATTTGAACTAGCGGTTAATTGTATTAAAAGTATAGTTGATGTTCTAAATTTCAATAGCAGTGCTTTTCGGTCACGGGGATATAGTTCTAATAAGAGTGGATGTTAGTAAAGTCAAATCCAGCGCCATCTGTTTTCTTAAAAAGCGTTTAACCCGTTTAATTTATTGTTTGTAAATGGCGTACAGATAGCAACGACTTTATGACGTTTTATGTAAATTCAAAGGCCTGTATATCAAATTTACCGCGAGCAAACTAACAGGTTCTGGCATGGTATGGCATGATGCTGAGTGAATATCAATGATTTTCAAAATGGAACGGTTCAACAGACGTTTTCTTTCCCGCTGTGACACCCAAAGCCCCAAAACACAATCACGGATTTCGGGAACGGGATGGCCCTTGTGTTTTGGGGACTTAAGCAGTTGGTACTGTTATTATTAATAATTACTGCCAAGTGTTTAACCCACCTACGCGTACTAAAGCAGCGTGGTGGTCTCCCTCTTCTTTATGAGAGTATCCCTCTGCCCTACATGAATAAGTTACAGAAGTTACAATGTTTACAAGGATTAACTCACTAAAGGCCGAAGAACTTTAATAAGCCCTTGTTTACATTACCCATTTTGAAATCTAGTCAACACAATTAACTCGTAATGATATTATATAATATAACCAAGTTTATAAATTTTTCAATTGGGGGGGAGGGTTTTTTTGTTGGGATTAATTTTTTGTGTATCATTTTCAGCATAATTTAAACAAGTAAAAATAAAAAGGAATTCCATTTAGTTTTTAGTTGGGTTAAATTAATTTTAAACTTTTTTCTAAGTTCTGTAATTATAATTAAAGACAATATTACTTCTAAATGGGTTTAATTGAAAAACACAATACTCCATATACGTTGGTACTGTTATTATTAAAAATTTACTGGAGGAAAGTGTTTAACCCACCTACGCGTACTAAAGCAGCGTGGTGGGTCTCCCTCTTCTTTATGAGAGTATCCCTCTGCCCTACATGAATAAGTTACGAAGTTACAACTGTTTACAATGATTAACTTTCACTAAAGGCCGTATAGAATACGATATTAATAAGTCCTTGTTTACATTACCCATTTTGTAATCTAGTCAACACAATTAACTCGTAATGATATTATATAATATAACCAAGTTTATAAATTTTTCAATTGGGTCTAGTTTTTTTTTTGTTGGGATTAATTTTTTGTGTATCATTTTCAGCATAATTTAAACAAGTAAAAATAAAAAGGAATTCCATTTAGATTTTTTAGATTAGATTAATTTTAAACTTTTTTCTAAGTTCTGTAATTATAATTAAAGACAATATTACTTCTAAATGGGTTTAATTGAAAAACACAATACTCCATATACGTGAATATTAAACTCATTATTTTATATCAAGCAAAGTATCAATTTACACAAATTTTTAATATTGCCCTACATTAAATAATTTTTAAAACTAACATGATTATATGTGCTTTATTAAAAAGGTATACCGCGTGATTAAATTTTTTGTACTTTATCGTAAAGTGTAACACAATTAAGTGCAAATAACGGCGTTGAATATGCAATGTTTTTGTATTGTTACAAAACAGGATCTTGTAATATAGAAAGTAGGTAAATACTTAACGGTGAGGTGTCTTAAATAAGATATACCATTACGTTTACGCTGCAATTAAATAACAATAGAAATATGTGTAAGTTGATACGGCTTTTCTATGCGCGGGCGCATTATTATTGTTAACATTCGAAAATACGAGACTTTAGTTGTATCGGACGCGTAAGTTTATGATAGTTTAAAAATCGAACACAATTACGTTCTAATTTTAAAACTTGAGTTTGTATTTCGAAGCGTGAAACAATATTTCTTACCTTCTAGTTATACACCGCACTCGCTAGCTACAATTATTGCGTCTATCGGAAAGTTCACAAACGCACTTGGCTGACCGTACGCCGCGTAACTGGTTTCTGAAGCGCTTCTCGAAGAGTTCCCCCCTCCATTTTAGCCTGCGGTCGCTCACAAAAGAAAGCGAAAACCACACGCTGTTCAATAGCCATTGATAATGGATTTTTACTTGGTCCAGATACCTTTTTGAGCAATCTTTCAACGCGTCTGTTTTTTACATTGTTTATATGTATATAACTAATATCAAGTATTTTTTTATATTAATTAATAAAAAGAACTTAAACCTCAGTCTTTTTTATAATATTGTTAATGCAATAAAGAAAATGCATTCAAACGATATTTTGAAGTTTATTTTTAAGCAACTGATTGCGATAAACCAATACTTATTTTCCGCTATGAAGAACAACGTGGTGACAGTTTTATCGCATATACCTCAAGCTTCCGTAAAAGCCTTGATAGTTTCCTCTTACTTTCTTAGTACCTTATACTTATTACGAATTTCTTTTTTAAAATCCATCGACGTAAATACACGAAAACTATTTTTCATGTATTCGTCGTTTATTCAGTGTTATTTTATAATTACTTCATTGAGTTTTAAAGCTTCATCTTTACAAACTATGTTAAATTATAAATACTGTTTGGATATATTTGGTTTTAATTTTTACGATGTCTTTTAAAAAAAGACATCAACGCGCTTAATTTTTCTTTTACTTTTTCTCTTGTATCTTGGTCTTTGTAAGAGTTGATTTTTTAAAATAGGACTTTACATTATTAGTGTGATATCCCGTTTCCCCTCGTGGGGCATGGGGCGAACACATTTCTGTGTCCGCTTCACTGATCCGTTCTTTAACAGACAAGTAGTTCGACTGAAACATTTTTTGTTTTCCTGTGATTCGAACCCAGAACCTCTCGCGCGTAACTCAATGATAGGCAACACGTTTAACCATTTGGCTACAGAGGCGGTTACATTATTAGGATAACAAACATTTCACGGTAACAAATGTTTTTGGCCTAAACATTGGAGCTAAAAGATCTTTAAGGTCAATAAGATAAGCATTATTTTTGTAAGTCTCAAGTTCAAGGTAAAACTACATAAAAATGCTTTTAAGACAAATTATTACAAATAAAAGCTGTGTTTAAGCTTTTTGTAACATTTGAAAGGCACACAGTTGACACTCTACGACCTTCTAATGATGAATCAGTTTTTTAACAACTTGATGCAATTTTAATTTACGGACCTTGAAAGTGTAATAAAAGTTTATAACTGTTACTGTTGTGGGTCTAGATGTTGGTTCTCTATTACATTAGATCTTACTAAACTAAGGTAACCGAGTGTAATTTTGTTGTTAATATACTGTTCAGTCTAAACTGTCATTTTCATGTTTAGCTTTAACAGTCTAAACTGGAAGGGAAGTATTTTTTATCATAAAAACAACTCGATATGTTGTATTCGTGTAATTCAGTATTTTACATAAATTGTGTAACTATAAATTATATACATATCGCCATAGCAACTACAGTGTATTAAAATATTACGAAAGTATTTTTTATAACAGATAAACGTTAGGTTCGCTTGATAAGAGTTGAAAGATCGTAGACATCTCATCAAGATTCGCTGTCGGACCAAAATTGGTTTTGGCTATTCGGATTTCGGAAATACAGTGACGGTAACCGAAACGCAATTAAACTTCACGGCTTTTCCATCATTGGACGGTGGTTCGTGATCCGTGAACTTCGAATTTTGAACTACACAATTAATATCCAGATATCTAGACAAAAATTATACGTTTATTAGAAAAATGTCGGACCCGGTGGGGCCGAACCCACAACCCGATGGTTATTAGCCATTCCTTGCTACCATTAGCTAACGCGCCATTCGAACTTACATATCTATTATTATAACTCTATTATATAAATATAAACAAGCGCTTGCTTTATATACATATAAAATTTTGAAGTATACGGATACAATCGCCCTTGAATATAATTCCAGTATTTATGTCTGTTTTATATTATTAAGTGCGAAATAGACGGACATATACAACGCAATACATTTAATTACTGACTAGATTAAAATAATTAAATAAGAAACACTTTAACTGTTTAAAACGCTAAGTTCCTTACAGCTGCAGCAAATAATTGTCGGGCCGGAATAGTTAAATGAAACTAAGTAACTTAATAAAAAAAAAATGCTCACGTAAATCACAGACTTTGATTAAAATATATAATAATAAATTAATTGAACGAAGTATCTGTTTGAAAGATGTACTTTATTTGCTTTATTAGTTGATAGTGATATAACTATATTAATACTTAAAATATCATTTTAAATCCAACTTATATTTAAAATTACAACATTTAAAACCAACAGTACAGTGTTTCTGATCCCGAATACGAGTCCCTATGAAGTTTTAAAATAAAGCGTTATTTAGATGTTTAAATGAAGATGATTTTCCATATCTATAAAGAATCAGGCTTTGAAAACTTATACTCGATGCATTTATAATACGAAAGACATACCTACAAGCTATAAAAGTTATATTTATTTACAAAGTATATTTAAACAAAATATGAGTGCTGGGAAGCTGGACAAGAATCTTGAGGTGGTGGATGAGCACAACCCACGAGGACTCTACAAGATGGCACAGGCGAAGGGGAATATTGCTGAAACAAAAACAATGGATTTGTATATGTATTACAAACTACTGTTAATGATTGTATTGTGTTATTTGCAATCATTACTGTTGTGCCAAGGTATAAAACAAATTAATATAAAACATTTTAACGGTTTAAAAGCGATATATTTTTGTTAAACTTTTCGAAAATTCGCAAAGCTCGCGAAAATTTGCGAAGTTTCGCAGTTTTTTACTTTGTCGTCAGAGACATCCTCCATCTTTAGTCTCCCGTATGTATATATCGCGTTTTAACCCGTTAAAGCGTTTTATTTACATGTGTACTACTCGCGTAAACCACAGACAGGTATGGAAAAAGTTTTTTTTTAATTTACATGCCGACAACATAAAATAACTCCCTTATAGGTTAAGTCCAGTGTAGATCACTAGGTTCTGGGTTTGCAATCGTGTAGTATTTGAAATTTGAATTTGGAATTATATTACCCATAGATTTAGAGTCAAACTTTATAAATAGAAAAATTGAAATACACTGTTCCGAGAAGCATTTGTTGTAATAATGCTCGATAGACAAATTAAAATTTTCGTAAATACTTACATTCTGACATGAAGCCAGCTGGTTAACAGTTATATTAGTGGTACCTAATAAGCGTTCTTCCCGTGTAAAATCCGGTTCTCGGTGAAAAGTACCTAAAACATTGAATCGTGCTTTAGTTTAAACGTGTTTTTTGACAATTTATTATATTTATATGTAGATTAATTTGGAAGGCGTGGGCGGTTAGTCAAATGTTTGAACTATAATTTCGGTCATAAAACTTGTTGTACTTAATGGTTTCCGCTAGTTATTATTAAATTCACAGACTGAAGCCGAAAAGTGATACAATTTGACAGCTTTCTCATCTATCGAGGGCGGTTTTATTTTTTTACTTTATTCGACAACCAGATTTTCAGACGAAGTCCAACATGTTGAAGTTCCAACATGATTAGAAAAATGTTGAATTTGGTGGTGATCGAATCCGCGACCCGTTCATTATTATATATTGTTATTATTACACCAACGAGACTGTTAAAATGAGAATGCAATTGCAACTAGGTAAGTCTAATATTGTATTTTACAGTTCATAAATTAATTTTTTAGAAAATTTAACTTACCATCCGATCGTGGTACCAGATCTGGGTTGTGTTCGACGCTGTCTCTTTTCCTTTTAAATATTTTGACACAGACCGCCATTCCGGACAGAGCAGCAGCTACTGCGACAATCCCCGCAAAACCTTCGAGCCAGTGTGTCCAGCTACCAGCCTGTGAGTACTCTTTCACCGCTGGGAAATATATGTTAAGTTTGTGTTACATATTCAACGTGTCATACTAAAACTTTAACTAAAAAGGGGAAATGTATTTTTTCTAACTTGGCAAAACACCACGACAAATATGGCCGATATTAAACCATAGATAACTAGTGATGACCTTTTTAGAGTGAAGTTGTTGCCACAGATGACACAAAGCTAAAGAAACATATGATAAAGTAAGATTCGACTGAATGATCTCAATATAAAAATTGACAGTTTGATGATGACTTTTTTTACATATTTTAGCGATCGTGCTTGAGTGGGACTTATAACTACTAAAGAAATTTTGATCTCTCCATTTATATCAATTAATTTTTAGGATGTTTATTATTTTGCATTAGAAAATAGTTTTACTAAGCAAATTTGAAATAGTTTCATTAGTATGATATATAATCCAGTATCTCAAAGTGTTTTTAGTGTAAATCTTTGTAAACCTCGTGAACAAATCACGATTTTATGTAAATCGTGTTTGTTTACAAAAAATGCCAAGTGTGAAAAATTGCACTATACTTACTTCACTTCCCGATGCTGTAAGGCTGATCAAAAATAAATAACTAAGATTGTTGATGATTTTTGTTTAAAATGCTTAAAGCTGTTTGATGAGAAACGTTCGCGTTAACTGATCATTTTTTATTGGTATGAGAATACATTCGTATGCATATATTATATTAAAGGTACCTGATGCACTTAAAGGTGTGATGGTCTGAAGATGTAGAGTTTTCAGCTCGCTCCGGCCTCTAGAACTAGCTGCATAAATAACTGCAGTTAAATTCCTATCGTCCTCTATATCGGGTAATTGAAAATGTCCGGCCGCGTTTGACACATTCTGGATGACTGTACCGTCTGCGTTAAGGAGCTCCAAGTATACAGTCTGTGGTCTACCTCCATCCCAGCCTGGAACAGAAATGTATCGTTAGACTCAACTCATCGAAATGTTGGTAAGGATAGACAATAGCTGTCAACTCTACACTGAAAATCAGCATATATATTTAGTTGACATAAATTTATTCTCCGTTAAAATCACCAGGTATTGCGGTAGGGCTAGAGGCTCTGGATTCAAATTCTGCTGACGAGTTTGTTTGTTTGTATGTTTGAAAGCGCTAAATATTTATTAAGAGCTTCTGTTGAGTGCGCTACAAAAACGATTTAAAAAAGCTAAAAAGTAATTAAATCTTCAAAAAAAATATCCCAGACAGTATATGTATTCAACAACATCAAAGATTAACTCGCAAGACCGAAGGGATTCGGACGAAGACGTGGGTAACGTATATGATTTATAAAGATGAGAAGCATTATAAAAAACATATTATGCCCATAATAACTAAGTATTCCACGTGGACGAAGTCGCGGGCATAACTTGTTAATCATATTTATCAGATAAATTATAAATACAGATTGCATACCTTTTTGGCATTGTACGCGCACTGCGTGGGGATACGACCTCAGCACAACGCAGTCTGGTGCCCTCGGGGGCCCACCAGCGGATATTGTATAAGAACATGGCCGCTTTTGTTCTCCAAAAGAATTCGTGGCTCGGCAGAGAAGAAGGCCCACATCGCTGTCCCGGGGTAGCCAGGTCAAAGTGGAAGAATATCGGTGGTGATGTCCAGGTACTTTCTAATGGAAAAAATATAGAATAGAATAGATTCTTTATTACGAGTTCTTTTTTTGTAATAAAGGAGGTTAGGTTAGATCGACAACGCATCTAAGGAAAATGCGCTGTCGGCCTATTCTAGCTTTGAATCGCACACACTAACCGAAACGCGATAAAACTACACGGCTTGTTTATCTGTCGATGGTGGTTCATGTTATATACATTTTGTTATTCATACCAGCCATTTAATATCCAGATTTCCAGACGAAGTCCAACATGTTTCAGAAAAATTAACTTAACAGCTTACCTTGACACTTGTATACAGTGTCCTTGAGTCAGCGAAGGTCCAACTAAATTGAAGAGGCTCTGGCGAAGCTTCCACAACACACGTCGCTGTTTCCGCTTCTCTTTCTATCGCACCAATTGTTTCTTCCCGAGTTGAGATGCACAGGGGACGGTCTGGATGAGAATTTATCTTGTTAGTTGAATCAAAATTCGATCAGATCTTTAACATATTCGCGTTGCATGTTGTTTATATTTTATACAAAGCCGCCTTATTGACGCTAAATAGTGCTGCTGTATAGCATTCTAGAAGTTAGTTAGTTAAATTAATTTTAAATAAGTTAACTAAAATATTTCGCGTTATAAGATACTCGCGTATATAATAAAATATTTAATTAATTTTCCAAAGCTTCTCCATGGCCTAAATAAAAGATTATTTTTTAAAGTACAGTATAGTGTAATAATTAAAGTAGCGAATTGAAAAGCTATCCTTACATCCCACATTGAGTGTCACTTTGTCTTCGAAAACTCCTGTGGGTAGATGAGAGTTGTGTGCTCTGCAGATTAGGTCATGTTTGCTGTCCCGAAGAGACGGAGCAAGTGTCAGTGAAGATACTGTGTAATTTCCATCATGCAGTTCCTATTAACAGAACGAGTGAGTTGAAAAAACGTAAGGTTGAATTGAGACTCCAATCCACAAACACAATATACAAGAAGAGTGAAAGAGGCACAGAAATATGGCTATTAACTGTATAATATTACAAACAAGGAAATAGATGACTACGAACGTTTAAATTAAATACTTCAACCGTTCTATATATGTATAAGTTAAATTTATTTGAACATTATTTTAACCATGCAGTCGTGGTCACGGGGATCCTATATAATTAAGTTTAACTATCGCGTTTTAAAACGTTAAAGTGTTTTATTTAAATGTGTATACAGTATTTACCTACGAACATTATTCGTAATGAATTAACAGTTTAACAGTTTGCAAAAGACATATAGAAATTCTTACCTTATGAACGGTCGGCCTTAACAACACATCACCAAGATGCCACGTTATGGAAGGTGGTGGTACACAACCCACGACTACGCAGTCAACCACCCTCGGTTGACCCGCCTCGAAATCAAAGTTGTTGTTCAAACGGATCTCAACTTTTATTGGTGGAACTGTAAATTTATAAAATAGAAAATACGTTGGTAAAATATTTCCACAACCTTTTATGATTAATATTTGAATTGTTTTAAATACAAAAGAATCGTTACGAGTTTATAAAAGTGGTAAACACTAAACAGACTGATTAAAACGTAAAATAATAAATGTAATTGAACCGCATTATTCGAATGTAGAGAGATAAAGGTATTGAAACAACCGGGAATCAAACCCCAAGCCTTGTAATCAGTTTCTCTGAGGTAGCTCTAATACTCTATTATTATAGCACCGTTAGAGCGAAAATAATTCAGATTAACTTACGATACATTTTGACGACAACGCTCGCGCTTAGCGGATCTGTGACGTCAGCGTTTTGCGCAAGACACTCGTAATGCGCATCGAGCTCATCCCGTGTTGCGTTGCGCAGGCGCACATCAGCTCGCAATACCCCTGGGCGTATAGTGTGCGCTCTTTCTATAACTACGCCGTTTCTACGCCAATACACAAGGGTATCTGGTTGTTCTGGTAACAAATATTCAAAATTAATCTATACTAATATATGAAGCTGATGAGTTTGTTTGTTTGTTTGACCGCGGTAATCTCAGGAACTACTGGTTCGAATTCAAACTTTATTATTTTAGACGGACCGAAACGCGAATTAACTTGATGGCTTTTTTATCTGTGGACTGTGGTTCGTGATCTGAATGGAATTTCGATTCCTACCACTCCTTTTAATATCCAGACTTCTAGACGAAGTCCGATATTTCAGAAAAATTATAAATTTAAATAAAACGGGTTAACATTACAAATTTAAATAAAACATTATAAATTTAAATAAAAAAAATATAAATTTAATAAAACGTGGTCAAACTCAAAACGTGGTCAAAGCTCGCGTAAACTATAGAGATTATAAATTTATTAGAAAAATGTTAACCCGACAATCGTTACGTTGCTATACGTTTCTACCATAACAACAATGTGATGTGGGAATTACTAGCAAAGACGATGTCAATTGCAATACTAGAAAATATATATTTCTAAGCAGAAGGGGTGATTAAAAATATCCTTACCATCATCTACTTCGCAGATTAGCGTCAGATCAGAACCAAGACTGAGTGGGCCAACATATCCCCTCTTTATTTCTTCACCAGCTTCATTGTATATCTGTGGCCGCCCGGGTGAATCTAACGATAGAAATATAAATTATAACTTTTACATATAACTTTTTCCTTGTCAAATTTCTATCATCATCATATATTACACAATTTTTACATACTTAAATTCATTACGTACTCCGTTAAATCCCTTAAAAGTATATGGAAAGTATTTAGTTTTACTTTAATTTATTAACATTGTTTGAATGCGCTAATTTTAGGAACTACGTGTTCGAATTGAAAATATCTTTTTGTATTAGTCTCGCTATTTATCAATGAGAAGTCTGAGCTACAAAACATTGCTATTAATAGGAGCGAAGAAACAGTGGAAAATGTGGAAAAGAGGGGGGGAAATATTTATTTATGAGGGTTTCCTTTGCAAATGCTGCGAATTTTAAAAACTTTAATATTTTTTACATGTTATTGCACTTTCAATTTATACTTTTTTTTTTCAATTTATTTTCGATTTTTAAAATAGAATGATTTCTCTTGAAATTATGTAAAAAATGTCTGCACAGCTAGTCATTAATGACTGCGATGTGCGTGATGTCATTTTTTTGCCATCTTCTAGTTTCTGACTTTCTCTACTAAACTTGTATATAAACAAAAAACCGCAATAAATGTATTAAAATATATTTTTTGATTTGAAGTAGTTTTATTATAGAGGTAGATTTAATGATATAACTTATCCTTTATAATCGAGAATCAAACAATCCTAAAACATTTATAAACACTTTAACGGTTTAAAACACGATATATTTTAGTTAAACTCATTTGACTTTAACAAATATATATCGCGTTTTAAACCGTTAAATTGTTCTATTTAAATGTGTACTACTCCCGTGAACTACAGACCATATTTAATCATCCTAAGGCAGTCAAAACACACTTACCGACCAATCTAATGTCAATAACAAAGTCAAGAGATGGCGACGCTTGGTAGTGGACTCGGCATCTGTAAATTCCGCTATCCTGCTCGCTGACTCTCTTCAATAAGAGCGAGGTGTCGTCATAGCAAGCGCCACTGTCACACGAAGTGCCATAGACACGATCGTGATTAAGTAATCTGTGAAGGTATTGGTAAAGGGTTTTTTATTTTATTTATCTGTATATTAATTTGTCATATATGATGGTGTAAGAAGGCCTAGGGTAAAAAGGTTGGATTTAGCTTCTATTGGGCCCCACTTTCATATTCTCTCGTAAGTTACACATCTAATACGACTAGAAGAACATCGATTTTTAATATTTGTAATATAAAAATGTTTTCATGTGTTTGTTCTCAAAATGCATTGTAATTTCTAATGGATAAGTAAACATACAAAAATATGACTCCTCAATACTCCATGCAATTCTGAGCAGTCTTCTAAGTTAAATTCAAGACTATATGTTATAAATACATGTGCGAATACATATAACATATGAAGATTTTTTACTAATGTTAACTACCTTCTTTCCGTTTCTTCATTTGGGAATCGATATAAAAAATCTCTATCGTTCTTCAACCATAGCACGTAGGAGTCTGGCCCATCTAAGAAGACTTTGCCTTGACCGCAAGGCAGTCTCGCATCTCGACCACGAACTGCTCGCAGAACTACCACCTCTAAAATAAAACAATATAAGTTAAATCATAGTGTTTTGTTATGCCAGAGGAAGAAATACTAAAATGGAGTTTACTTAATGCAAGGAGAAATACCCCAGCTATACGACAAGTATTGTCACCCTATTTTGGCTCTTTACATTTGGAAATCCACAGATAGCAGAATATCGATAATTTTACCACCCAATTCATTATCAAAGCCTTGCGTATTATTAATTTACTTTAAAAAAAGTTGGTAAGTTGTATAACATGTTATGGCATTTTTTTAAATATTATCCAACCAATTCAAAGATTTTTCAGGCGAAATCTAACATGTTTGAGTAAAATTGTAAATTGAATTTCAGAAACTATTTTACTATCGAGCCTGTCAAATGATAGCGTAGGAGTTGCGCGACCATTTTCAAACATACTTGGGTATCGATTCCCCAAACCTATGTTATTCGACTAAAAATATACATAATGACATTCTCTGACGGTGGAGGGATGGAAAAGTAGAAGGTTGCATGACGTCATAAATTAAAATTTTCAGACAGAAAAAACAAAGTTAGTCGCTTTCTCGTGTGTTATACCGCACGCCGGCACGGTGCATGGGACACAATTCTATGTCCGATTCAATGATCAATTCTATTTATAGGAAGTAGGTCCAACTGATCCTGTCAGACTGATTTATACATCCCAAGTTTTGAACAACACTAGGTAATGTATTTAAAAATTAAACCACGCGGTCGACGCAGAACTATACGTTTTTCAAATAACTTTCAATTGAAAGCTAAATTTAAGCCACCTTTTAATCGACTAATTTTAATTAATATAAAACGAGACAAGGACTTTTAATTTGTCAGAACTCACCCTCAGTGATTTAAACCTCAACCCAAACAGGACGAAAGGCAAAACAATAATCAACGCAAACAAGCGAATATATAATATCCGTATTGTACCTAGACACTTCAAAATTTCCGGCGGAAATTAACATAGCAAAAGGTATTAATAAAAGCGAAATACCTGGATCTGAAGAACAAGCTCCTTTGATGATAACAAAGCAGAAAAACACGAGACGGCTCGAAAACATTTTTAGGGCTGGAACAAACACGTTAACCAAATTGATATACAAATTAACTAAAGTATATATTGTTTGTAGTTCACGCGAGTAGTACACATTTAAATAAAATACTTAAACGGTTTAAAACGAGATATACATTATTTAATGTTTTTTGAAAATTACTTTAAACGGCCCGACGTTTCGAATGCTTTTTCTTCACGCCTGTTGCAAAGCATCCGTCGGGCCGTAGTTAAAATAATTTTCAAAGAAGTTTAAGTAATATGTATATACAATAATTTTTTATAAGTAATATGTACTATACGCGGGAATATATTGGTTATATATTATTTGGATATATTCTTTTTTACTCCCCTCGTTTAATCATGAAAACCTTATTAAATTTCGTGTATTTGTTTAGCCTGTTGTTTGATATAGGAAAAAGGTGTGTGCGTTTATAAATACAAGGGTAGAATCGGGCTAGTTTATAATTTTGAAACGAATAACACCAAGACGTGAATAAAATGATTATTAGAATTATAACAATATTACCATTGCACATAAATAATAAATTATTGGCTAGTTAACATATTTGCTGAGAGAGGCGGGACTCGATTCCATCACCTCAAAACCCGGAGTTGAAGGATTGAGTGTTATAAATGTTTATTCAAAATAAAATATTTTAGGAATATTACAATCAGCAATATAAAAAATGTACAAGACTTTTATATTCTTTTTTTATAATTGATTTTTATTTACTATCTGACGGCCTGCAAGATACATTTCTATGTTCGATTCCCTATCGATTTTATTTACAAGCCAATAAACCCACAAGTAACAGTTCGAAAATCCAAGTTATGCAAGTGGTTAAACAGACTACTGTACCTCGCTCGACTGAAACAATTTTTTGGTTCCCATTGTTCAGAAAATTCCTGAAATATGTTGCATTAGGTGTCGTTCGAACCCAGGCCTTCTCGCGCTTCATTACAAACCCTAGATCTTTCTAATTATGTTCAATTTAGGCCCACTATGAGTCACCTACAACAAACATAAATTAACACTACAAGGCACAACCCTATCCACACGCTAATGCCAGTTGTATACGACCCCCCCAGTTAGTTATGTATCAATGTACGTATACCAAATTACACGCAACTTCTGACTGTAGAGAGGTCAGTTTATAGTGGAAGTTTAGAAATGCATTCATACACGCAACCTCCCTCGCTGAGTGAGTCACGTGCGCTGCAAGTAGGGTAGAAATAGAAAAGAACCTTACGAAGAACATGAAATTAGCTAGCATTGAGAAAAGTAAGAACTTACTATGGAAAACTGTATTGCGTTCCTAAAAAAACCTGTATGACAAAAGAAACATACAAGTTATAAATTATTTAAAAATTTGAATTGAAAATTGGAAATATGAAATTTTGATATTGAAATTGTCATTACACGTAAAAAGAACTAAAATTATAAAAACAAATCAATAAACACAAACTTTTTTTTATCTGAAGAGATTTTACCAAGATTTTTTCTCTTACATATGTACACTTTATCTAATATGTAAAGCTGAGGAGTTTGTTTGTTTGTTTGAACACGCTAATCTCAGGAACTACTGGTTCGAATTGAAAAACTCTTTTTGTGATGGTTAGAGCATTTATCGAGGAAGAAAACATTGCGCTGTGACTACTGGGAGCGAAGAAACAACGGGGAATGTGATTAAACGGCGGAAAATGTTTATGCTTCTGGGTTTCCGTTGCGTAAGCGAAAACGGTTCATGATACCCATAAAATATGTAATATAGAATGATTTCTCTTTAAATAATCTAAAAAAAGTCTGCTGCAGTATATGTCTATCTTTTTAAAAACTTGCAAAAACGACGGAACGCGGACGAAATCGTGGGTAAAAGCTTAATTTTTGTGGTGCTGAACAGGAGGTTTGCAAAAACAAACTTAATGCTCTAATTAACTATTCTACGCGGCCGAAGTCGCTGAGCAGCGAGTATTAAATAAAACGCAATGTTACCTAGCTACTTCTATAACGAACTTTAGGCTTTATACTAAAAGTTAACTGAGATAAATTTTACAAAGTATTATACAATTAAAAATATTTTGACATTAAATTTTATTTATTTTTAGATCTATATAGATGAATTTCAATATTTTAAAATAATATAAAGAATCTCTCACACAGTATTATATTAATTAATATTCAAAATGTATACATTTGTTCAAGATTTCTCATAAATAATAATTATTTTTATTAGCAGCATAAATAATAAAAAATATTGTGTTGAGGTGTAAACATAAACTATTGTAAGTTTAAAAAACAGACAATACACATCGCAAATGCAAACAATAATATAATTCGCTATTCAGTTATTATATTTAAAGACAAAACCTATACTATACCTCAATCAACACTTCAATTAAAATAAGTGTCACTAAAAACGCGTGTGTCACAGTTCAAAACTTCTTTTCAAATAAACTTTTCACCTCCACTAACTAGGACTTTTAATGCCAGGTACAGCAGGGTACGATATAATTGTGTGGACATTCCCCATTCTCTATGTATACGTTTTATTTTAAAACATTTGTTTCGATGTCCTACTGCTTGGTACAGAACTCCTCTTCCATTCGAGAAAGGATCTTAAGAGCTTAAACTCATTATAATGCTCTGAATATCTCACAGTGTACTGTAGATATGCCATATGTGAGTAGGGCATGACTACAGGACAATTAAAAAAAATATAAATATATGTTTCTAATAAAAAATTGTATTTTTTCGATCCAGCCTGAAGTTCGTTGTCGATTGTATAAACTACCAACAAGACAGTCAAACTTTAAACCTAATTAATTAATCACATTTAATTTATGCACGATGAATTAAAATTAAAATCCATACTAAGCCAAAATAATATTAAGGGTTGTCGCATCGCATAAAACTTGTTCGCGGATTGTTTTAGGATTAAATACTTTATGTCAATGCAATAGAATTCATTTTTAGACCACAATACCTGTATTTACATCCGTATATTTATAATATCATGGATGACATGACACGGCAAATGTAGATGAGCCGTTGTCGCTTGTAAGAGGCGTACCGGGATAGGTCAGTGCTGACTGGTTTATATTTGGGGTGTTTCCTTGTTCCCCCAGAGTCGCATATCGTCAGTTCATTAAAACCGCTTTCATTAAGTGTGCATTCGTGCAATTACCATTAGGAACCCTTGACAGTAGATGTTTTTTGCGAACGGCGAAGATTTTTTTGCATTACATAATTCTAGCTGTGGCAGTGATTTCGTCCGCGAATATAAAGAAAATAGTAATTTTGGGCAACCAAATTTATTTATTCAAACCTCCGCGTCATATTTATCAATTTAAGATGTTACTCACGACGTCGGTCGCGTCCTGTTGTTCTAATAAGGTAACCTTAAAAGATAGACATATAGTGCCGTGGACATTTTTTTATATAATTTAAAGAGGAATCATCCTTCCATACCATATGGGTATCTTTAACCATTTTCGAAGCGTACACATCGAAAACTTCCAAAGATAAATAATTTTCCCCGTTTGTACTACATTTTCCATTGTTTCCTCGCTCCTATTAGTCACAGCGCGTTGTATGTTTTATAGCCTTCCTCAATAAATGTTCTAGCCAACACAAAAATATTTTTTCAATTTGAACCAGTAGTTTCTAAGATTAGCGCGTTATATAACTAGTATCATTTAGTATATAGGGACATATGTTTATGTTTTGTTTAGAATTTCAACACTTAGGCATGCGCGTGCTAACCAAATGATTGAGATTAATAGGGGAGTTATAGAAGGCCAGATTGTCGAACAAAACGTATGTACGGAACCCTTCCCAAATACGAAGGGACAGATCGAAATGTACTTAAGTGAGTGCTTTGACGTTGGAAATCAAAAAATTCTTCCTCTTCTAATTTTATAATAGCCTCACAGCGAGACGAAATTGCATCTTGACGAGGGTGGTTTAGTCTTCATAACGAGCTTTGGAAGCACAATAATACGATTAACGTGGCTATTGTGAAATAATCAGCTGGGTTCTGGGGAAACAATTAATAGCTTCATTTGGGCAGGGTATATACGTCTGATCAACTGCTTGCTTGTTAGCGAATGGATTGACTGATGACGTCATTTTAAATCATGGTTTTTAATATTGATTACTTGACCGCCTCTGTAGACAAACGTGTTGTGCATCGCGTTAAACGCGAGATCATCTGCGTTTGAATTCCATTGAAACAAAGGTTATTTCGGTGATCTGATCAACTGCTTGCACGTAAAATACCTGATCAGTGAAACGGACACAGAAATGTGCTCGCCCCAACCACCACGGGGGGAAATGCGTTCAGACTTTTTCAATATTTTAAACCATAATAATGGTTTAGTGCTAGCCAATTTTTAAACGAAGAACATTTTGTGAATTGTCTGTAGTTTACGCGAGTAGTACACATTTAAATAAAACACTAACGGTTTAAGATGTGGACTGATCACCCGTCCTGCCAAGGGTGTCCCCGATAGAAAATAATAAAAAACGGTTTAAGATGGGGAGACTCCCCGTGACCACGACGCTGCAAAACATCCGAAACGTCGGGCTAAGTCGGGTAGTCAAAATAATTTTCAAATAAGTTTAACTGATATATATCGCGTTTTAAACCATTAGTGTTTTATTTAATCGTTTTGTGTTTTGTGTGGAAATGGAACTCTAGACCAGACAGACCATCGACTATTTTTTGTGCCACTAAACACCGCGACCTATAAAAATAAAAAGTATATCGCCACAATGTTTCGACGAATCGTATGAACGTTTCGGGGCGTTGTATTTAAGGGGTGTATAGTGAGTCACGCATGAATCACGCTTTAATAGACTCGCTAATACGATTAGAGCATTGTCCCTAGCTACGTACTTTACCTATGACGTCCTAGCATTCGTCTGTGACAAAAATATAAATTTATAATTACACAGAAAATCAATTGCAATATTTACTAATTCATTACTTTATAATTCCTGCTTAGACACTGCTATTTAAAATATCAAATAGTTGTATGACAGACGAATAGTAGGGTTTTGCTGAAAATCAGGATATCATCATATACATTTATTTCTAATACTATTACTAAGGAATGTAACTAAATGAAAGCCAAATAAATAGATGTATTATTATAACACAATCAACAAACGAATTCTTAGAGGTTTGAATAAAACACGTTTAACGCGAAAGATACTAGTGCAACCATTTCTGCAAAGCTTTCTTCGTAGTTTAACTAATTTAATTCACGTTTAGAACCGTTACTTAAACAGATTTTGGTTATACCGAAACCATTTTACAAGTAGATCTTGGGTACGAGATGTTCGACCATCGTGGTTGAGAAAGGTGACTCAAGATAATCTCAGCTTCACTTTTAATTTAAAAAGGTAAGCATTTTTTTATAAATTAGGCGACTTCAAAGAAAAAAAGACTAAACCTTGTATACCACATGTCAGTTTAATTCATAAGGAAAAAGATTCACAATGTTTTCAAGCTCAAAATAACAACAATAAAATGCCTTTATATTATGAGTACGTCTCTAATTACAGATAATAGTTACAATTATCGTCTCGAGGGCACTACTAACATTAGATTAAGTAAGGGATTCGTTCGGAAGTCGTACAATACCATCGGGAAGCTAAGATTCTACACATTCATATTAATTGTACAACAAAATCACATTATCTTTAGCGTAACAGTAACGATATCAGTGGTAGATTTCATCTAGCGCCCACTGACGCCAATAAATAGTATAGAAAAAAAATCATAATTCCTACGCATTCTTAAACAAATGCAAAGATGACTTTAGATTTTTTACACATCTAATATTATATCTCTATAAAAATATTACCCACAATTGCAACCCGACGCCGGATCACGTTCATGTCTAGGGCCCGATTTCACTAAGAAATGATGACACTGATTAAGTGAATTTGTCTCAGATTTAACGGTCCGTCAATTTTAATCAATGTCATTATTGCTTTAATAATTCGGGTGTATGTGATGTTACTAAAGCAAAATTCATATTTAATAAAAAATATAATTATATATGTAAGTGATGGATGTCAATGATTTCTACGGCGGTACCGCGAAAAATATTAAGGGACGATTCTCAACTAAGTGACTAATAAAGCCTTTTTGAAGGTCAAATGACAAAAAATAGTGTTTCATGAATTTTTTTCGAGTTTTACCTATATCAACTAATGAGTGCACGTCTCTCGTCTGAATGTTGCTGAGAATTGTCTCTTAGGAAACGATACAGAGAAAACCTGTCGATTATATATAATAACATCACTGATATTTTGACTACTGGTATAAAAATATATTAACTATAGTAAATGTAAAAAAACAGAATCAATTCGCCAAACATAGTTGATTTTTTTAAAAGATTAAATCGATTGCGTTGTAAACAACTAAAATGCATAAGTATAACAGATTAATAAAAGCCTTTGGAGTTTAAACTTAAGTTAAGACTACTGTAATAAATTATGAATATTAAAAATACATTACAGCAACATAGACATCTACTACATAATGACGTGAGTTATGTCACGGGAATGAGGCGGAGTCGATGCTGAAGGGAGGGGGGGGCGATTCTCAAAAAAGTGACATGAGTCGCCAATGCCATATTTGCTAGCGACAAAAGTAAACATCACTTCTCTGAAAACCACCGTTCCGATAAAGGTTCAGTGAGTCACTTAAACATGCAATATACCAATCCGACATTCTACGCCTTTCCTTTCGCATCAGCTGAGACATTCCCCAAACCGCAACTGGGTCTTTAAACAGACCGTTCACGTAAATACAACATAATTACTAACTTTTCCTAGGAAAAACAAATAATCACCAAAAAAAATTTGGCATAAGTCATAATAATAATTTAAATATACATTTGTCGTCTTATCTAAAAATGTTGTAACCTGAAAATAAAAATATATTTAATGCATTTACATGCACGCGTCGCGAATGTTAACAAAAAAAAAAACTATATAACAGGATGCAGGAGTAACGTATATATTATCACTAACTATGTGTCTAATATTCACGAGTTACGTTGACCATGTGACAATAAACTCTAATTAAAATTGCACATTTCGGACATAGAGGACATTAATAAGCTTTAAAACATTAAAAAAACCAGAATTGGCTGAGATCATACAAACTTAGACCATTAAAGGATGTTCTAAAAGACTACATCAATACACTGTGCATTAAAGGTTAAGTCAATATAAGGTAAGGTCTATCCCCTTAGTCATTGCGGTACTGTGACTAGTATGAGCTTGACAGTAAACGAAAACGTTAAAAACAATCGCATTGTTGTCTATGGTTTCATTTGAAATGTCCTTGTGACCACAGTACGATTAATTCCGGTCTTGCTAAGTATTGAACTCACACTAGGGGTACAGATGAGAAGCGGCATCGAGTTGAATCTCTCAGCTGCGTATATACAGCCTTACATTACCTTATTCAAACACCTCTATATGTAGAGAAAATAGACGTATCACCAGCCTTAAACTTCGTCCACGATATACCAAATTTTAATACAATCTAGATAACTAGGCTTCTTTGAAGCTGTTACTTTATAAATTATTCTTCAATTCCACTCCTAACAATATACAATAGCACAATGCTTAATAACACTCCGTCATTCTTATAGAGCAAAATCGAGTCTTTAATATTTCTTATCCCCATCAAACTAGACACGACCACGACAGCGAAAACGAGGCTTACAAACGTAAAGGTGCAAACAATTATGCGGGGGAGATGAAATGGCAAGAATGAGTTATGACACTGTCTATCTAATGTACACCGATACAATAGTTATTAAATCGAAGACATTACCAAGTAACATTCAAATACGGAATTAAATCTAGTATGTGAGCGTTGCATTCGGAAACTGAAAATAATGAGCATTTAACAGTTAAACATCTAAGACTATCTACAATCCGAAGTTACACATCCTAATACACACAACACTACAACACATAGTAAGTTTCAAATCTCTACATCCATATTTAGCTATAATACTCTGTAAAAGTATAGAAAAAAAGGTCTAAACTTCGAAGACATTCCCATAGGCCATTATGGAATTAAAATCACTATTTTAATACTATTCAACTACAGCTGACCACGTTATACGAACGGTGAATGTCAAAATCAGATACTGGAAGTGTTAATTAAAAAAGCCCTGAACACTGGAACTTCTAATAATTTAAAAATGGAAAAACTTTAAAATTAAAATAATTAAGTAAACTTTGGATGTCTAAAAATGTCGGTTGTAGAAGTGAAATTTGGACGGCACCCAAATAATGAAATTCGTGTAATATAAAAGACAGCTTATGCTAGAGCAGTTTGGAAGTTGATAGTCTGTAACAGAATCGGTTAGTGATATATAACTAGGAAGGTATTCGTTTAAAGAGATCTGCGTTATTGAGGAAATGAAATAAGAGGAATTCATAACAGGAAACCGTATAAATAATTTATCAATTGTAGGATAAAAATATCTTTCAATTAATATAACATTATAGACAGTGCCAGGTGGCTATTGAGACACATTTAATTCGGGAATCAAACACGTAATATTTTCAATCATTTGAAAAATAATCCGATATTTTTTATCAAAAAAAAACTTTTATAGATTATAACGATTGAGGAAGCCCTCAGTCGAATGTCGTGGGACCATAATGGAAGTGTCCGGTGTGACGTAGCACAGACGCAGATCTGTGTCTGTCTGACTGATTTCAATTAAAAAAAAAAGATCCCCCGGTTGCTACACGATTCAGACACAGAGGTGTCAAGATATTTGGGGCATACATAGAATTGTATAGGGGTAACAATCGTATTTTTGAACGCAACAAAAGCTTGCTCTCCTGTTTGTTATAAAGCATTTATGTTATTTTAAACTCGGTGTCGATACGGCGTTCAAGCGCCATCAGTCCTTCTTCCAGCTTATGCTCATCAGCCGCTACTGCTGGGTCAACTGGGTACTGCTGAGGAGCATTCGTACGGTCTCCCACGGGGAAGCCCCTGTCAGCGCCAACTACACGCCTGTCACTCGGCATGTGGTACGCCTAGAAATTATTATTTATTTTGAAAACTTTAATATTGTTCACATAAAGTTTTAAATAAATTAGAAATCGATTTTAGAATGTAAAAAAAAACTAGATAACTGCGCGAGAGCTGCATGTATCGAAAGGTTGATTTTTTTTATTTTATTTATATATTATTTGTAATTCGACGATGACGTGTAGGACACGGTAGCTAAATTGCAACAGCACGGATCGCTGTGGATGCCGGTTTAAATTTGCAGGTGTTATATATATTTTTAATATAGTGCATCTGTACGTCACAATATTTATTTAAAAGCTCATATAGATTGTATTTTCTGACAATATTTGTTGATTAAGTTGCTAGGTTTAGTAACAGATTTTAAACGTTTGAAAAAAAAACTTACGTTTTCAGTTCGCGGAGCAGTGCCGCCTATAATAGGCAGAGCGTCGCGCACATTGCTGAAGTTATAGTTCTGAAAACAAATGAACTATGTAGAAAGGAAAGAGATGACATGTATGAATTTGGGGTAATTCCATCTCCTTCTCACAATACTTACAGATTCCTGTGGCGATGAAATGGGTGGCAAAACATCGCTCATTTGATTGTAATTGAAGGGCTGTAATAGAAAAATATATAAATAACGTCTTCTTTTAAATGAGTATTTCATTAAGAGTATAACAGATTATTCACCGAGGTGTTGCACCAAGCTGAGTCCATACGACGCTCCAGTGGAGGGAATCCGGGGGGGCTGCGATATCCAGCTGGTAAAGCCACTGTAATTAAAAACATTATTAATGAAGATGTTCTGTAGATTGATAAAAGTTGGTATTGAATGCATTGTTTTGGTAATGCGTATTGAATAAAGAACCTTATATAAAGATCATATGAAATTCGCGCAAATCTGACTGCTTGTTTTAATAACATATATTATTTTGGGCATCAAATTACACGTTAATCTCAAAAGATAGATATATGCTGGTCCCCGTTGATCGTAGCCTAATGTTTTATAGCCTAAAGCCTTCCTCAATAAATGGTCCAACCAATAAAAATAATTTTTCAATTCAAACCCGTAGTTTCTGAGATTGGGGCGTTTAAACAAACAAACTCTTCAGCATTACATTATCAATTATTAACTGATATCAATTTACACTTACTGTTATTATCAAAGGTGTACGTCGCATCAGACACCGGTATGTACACATTCGACTGAATCGTCTGTTGGATGGGAGCCTCCTGATAATTGGTGATATGTCCTGACGAGTTGGGAGCCTGGTACATGTGGTTAATGTACTCCTGCCCCTGGTAAATATTCGGGTTGTCATCTGTGACCACAGTCAAGAGGCCGGCATAGTTGCCGTAGAACGGCCTGTCCGGCACCGGCATTATCAAGTTATTGTGATTAGGCATCGGCAATTGAGGGCTCGGCACGATTCCCGATCCATAGACACTGAAAAAATTGTTAGACATTAGCGATGCCGCGATGATAAGGTTTATTTATTACAGCTTTATTATTCATAATACATACCACAAAACAAAAACTACAAGAGATTTTGAAGGGCAGGTTGCTCTAATGGTAGCAATGATCAACGGGAGAATGGCAAAACAACTAAACATCAATGCAACTGCGTGTGCGGTGCTGCTTAATTTTCATACGAGAGTCAGTCTGTTGTTCGGATGTCATATGATATGTTGTTAATATAATCTTTATAATGTAGTGATTATATTACTATAAAACAACGTCGCTTTTTCTGTCCCTATATACGCTTAAATATTTGAAACTACGCAACGGATTTTGATATGGACTTTTTTAATAGATAGAGTGAGGCAAGAGGAAGGTATATACAACTGTTTTTCTATAGTAGGTATATTTCGTATCAGCATTGCACCCGAGTAAAGCCGGGGCGGGTAGCTAGTAATAAACATAATATAAAAACGTCGGCTGTTCCTTTAACACAGAATTAAAAAAAATGGTTGAGTTAAGACGCATACGAGGAGGTAGATGATAATTTTACCTTGATGTACCCTCAGTGCCATGGCCAGCATCATGATAGTTGACAGGTCCACGCCTCGGCAGGCCCGCCGCGTAGATGCCTTGCTGCGGGGGAGGTCAATACATGCATACCTAGAAAAGTATTTTGTTTGTCTAATCGATATGCGAAAACCTTATAATTATTTATGTGACAATAATTCTGAAACATGATGAAAATATATAAAAATGAACAAACTTACACATTAAATGTGTATTTAGATAAGTAGGTTCAAAATGGCTGTTCTAGTTGTAGATCTACGTATTAACTAATTGATAAATATTAATTTGAGATTGTTATAATCAATAAAATCGCTCCATGTAAACGTAAGCGTGTTACTTAAGTGATTAGAATTCTCAGATTAAGTATTGCAAACGCCGGCAGCTGCAAAGTACTCGAACGTCGGGTCGTAGTTAAAATAAATTTTAAATAAGTTGACTAATATATTTCGCGTTTAAAACCGTTAAAAACGCAAAGTCGATACGTGACTGCGGATGTTTGCCAAGCATGCGAAACGTCGGACCGTAGTTGAAATAAATTGTAAATAAGTCATTACATTTCGCGTTTTAAACAGTTAAAAAGTTTTGTTTAAATTCTCAGTTCACGAGCGGAGGCCTTTATCTAGTACTTAGTCTGGATTCAAAAATTAACTTACGTCGGCCATCGTTGTAGATCTCATTTGAGGGCAAAGAGACAGGCCTCTGCATTCGTGATGGTTGCAATTGCGCGTTTTGGTCTTGAACGCTCGGAAAAAGCCGGATTGAAATCTGAGGCATTGCCTGCGGTCCAACGAACTGCACGTTCCCATTGTTATTGCCCGGGTTCTGGACTGCCCTGTACCTAATGAGATGGAAATAAACATAAAAAAGTGCACGGTTATATAAAAATTAGACGTTTATTGCAGCGAAAGTTTGACTTTCGGGAACTTATTCTCTTTTTATTGATTCTTAAATTGGCTTACTATAATGATTTTGATCCGATTTTTGACTGTTGAATTATAACCTACTTGCGAAATTCTTTGCCGTGAGATGTTTTTTTAACATTGTACTCGACTTTTATTTAGAACTTTTCCAGGAAAAATTAGTACCCGAAAAAAGTACAGCGTTATGCCCCAATTATCATCACAAATTTAGTAACATATAAAAACCCCTCCTAACTACACTTCATAAGTTTAATATTTTTATAAATACGTAATATTTGGTAGTTAAATAACACAAAACATTCAAATATCACAAAAGCATTGGTACAGCGTTAAGATTAGTGACGGGTCAAAAGATGCAACAACGATCATTCTCGTACGTATGTTGTTTAATACATAAGCACATTCATCGTTACATATATAAATCAGCTAATTTAAAACCAAACATCGAAAACGTTTTAATAGGGGATCGGTCAAAATTTTCAAAATTTATTTTAATTGATCTTCATCTTCCTATTTCGATAAAGATTTTTTTTTAATGATTATGATTTCCTACGAATGACGTCACGCACTGAAATTGTTTTAAGATAGATAAAAAATATCGTTCCTTTCAGAACATATAAATCAATACTTTTCTATAAATCATTGAAAACCGCATATTTAGAACTAAACTACACTTTAAACTACATACAAGATTTCCGTTTGATCACTGTCCGGTCCCCTATTGAAAGTTAAAAAACAAACGTATAAAAAGAAAACAAATGAACACCACAATTCAGAAGAATCACAATAAGAACGCATTTAGACTGTCATTCTAAAGATTATAGGGCTTTAGTTTTGAAGAAAACGGTTTACATAGAGACAAACGCCCCTAAAACAAAAAAAGGCAGATCCAGAACATTCATGATCTAGTCTTTTCATATATAAATATTACATGGATAACTAGTTGATAAGACTTCTGTGCCCTGCTCGGCCGAAACCATTATGCCACGGAAGCATTAAAAATGGCTGATCCCAATTAACTTACGACGCGGGCAGGACTTGAACCACAGCCTTCCCTATTGTTGTTCTAACCAATTCAAAAAAAAATTAAAGTATTCAAAAAAAAATATATATTTTAAACCTTTACGATAACTTTAGCGATGTATGAACAATAATAGACGAAAATAGCCCAAATTATTGTGCCTACGCAGTTGTAGCTTACGTCGTTAGCAACTTAAGTCTGGTTGTTTATTTAACGAACGTTGATGTAAACCGCTCCATCTCGTCTTAAGAGCTGGATCCGCCCTTAAAAGCATCATAACAAACAACACCACCGACATGGCATCTCATTCCATTCCACATAAGATTCTTACCTTACTGAGTAAGTGGGGGGTGGGTAGAGTGCCTTGTACCTTTTACGTGAATCACAAATTAATAAAATGCCAATCATTGTCACACAATTATGAGAGAGTAATGGGATAGTTGTGTGTTTGAATCATACAGATTCGCCATAAAATATTTTTCACAGGTGAACCCTAAAGATCAGTAACTTATATACAATGCTGCTAACGTACTCAAGTAAATACTAAATATAAGATAAAAGCCTTATTCGATTGTACGAAATATAACAAGAATTGTGAATAATCTGCCAATTTTTTGTATTGATATTAAATTATTAAAAGGTTTACTTTTAAAATCTTACCTTTCCATGTCGTCTTCCACGTGGAAAAATGTACAACCGCTGCCGCGAGGACAGCCGGCCCTCGTATTCGATTCCCGGCAAAAAGCCACTTCAGTTTGTTGCGGTGATGACATACCACCCTGAGGAGACGGCTGACCTGTTAACAATGAAATTTTGCATAGTTAAGTAAGTATAAATTAAATCTAGGAAATTAATTAATTGAATTACGAACATGCGCGCGCGAAAATTTGTCCAAGCTCAAGGTGATACACGATGTACGTGTTGTTTAAGACTAAACAAAGTTTAGACAGCTAGGCGTCTGAGAGCCATCCGGCGGATAAGATTATATTCGCAGAACCTTTATTTTGATTACGTGTCACACTGTTTCAGCAGCTTCATTTTCTAATGATCATTACCATGAACTTATTATTACTTGTCTGAGGTTCCAGGTAATAATAATCTCATGTGCTGATAAAAATGACTGCAATTTATTCACGTTTTATCAACTTTTACGAATAATATCTCACCAAATAAAATAGAATATTAAATCATTATATTCGCTTATCTTGCAATAAAAAAATAAAATAAAACACAATGCCACGGCTGCAATAAGTATCCAAAATATTCGCGTTTTTAACAGTTAAAATTGTTTTATTCAATGTGTTGCGTAACTACATCCACAATAAACATTTCGCAACTTTACTATAATAAATATGATTTTTTTAATGCTGACAAATAAACATTAAATTAATTAGTTTGACAAAATGCTTAGACACAAATGCTTACTGTATTCCCTGCCTACACTTTTCCCGCCCACCGACAACAATATACGCGGTATAAAGTTACATATTCATCATAAGTCTTCAAATTATAAAATTACATACAGTAAGCTGTATCAAAAATGTATGTTTCTTTATGTATGCCCCTTTTAAAAGTAAAGTAAACAAACATTGATGGCGTGTATTTGTATTTGTCACAAGGCACCGATATTTTTAAAATTCTTAAGTATTATTTAATATAATACAAATTGATTCGATTTTGTTAAAAAATTATCAACACATACAATTTAAATATACTAAGAAATTGATAAAATTAGTTACACTTTAGAAACACATGTACAAATTAAATAAGGCAAGAACTTCAAAGACAAAATTTATCTGTACTCACACATAATAATATGGAGAGAAAAAATGTAATAAAAAGTTCGGATACATTAAATTATCCTTCTGCGCACAATTAATCAATACACAAATTCCCAGGGGTTGCATCCCCCGCCTACCGTCGAGGTCTCTACTGGGCTAAAATAAGATCCTAGACCAAACGCTAATGACACGCGTAATGAAGAATGTATTCAAAACAACGCATTATTACTAAAACAATCGGAAGTACAGTTTTGAGTTTAGTTTGGCTCACCATAAACATGCACCATTATTGATTGCTTCCGAATGGCAGACGGCCAAACAGCCGTTTCACTTATCCCCTGGATAACGTCCTTTAGATTGTTCTACTTGTTATAAACAACAACCACTGTTCCAACTACAAATTTTTAAAGAACCATAGTTCTACAGCGCGATTACACGTTTATTTGAATATGGAACACTTCCTAAAAGGAACGTTATGACGTCTATACTTCCGATTGCGCAGATGCGCGAAATCTATACCCAGAAATAGCTACCGAGGCCCGGGCAACCCCCACCCTCCGACCACTAGCACTGCATCCAGGATGTTGTTGCAATATTTAATTAGCATATCTATTTAAGTTCAATCGACGGAATACTTAAACTTTTCAAAATAACGTCTAATATTCGAAAAATACGGAACACACTTTCTTCTTCAACAATATCTCAATTAGTAAAAAAAATCCGTAATTTACAATTAAATAAAATATTTTCCTTCTTCAATTTTTTTTTTTAAATTAGTTTCATAACCTGACCTGAACGAAAGCAAAAATGCACCACACATATCCCTCGACGGCCTTGAGCACTAAATCAATAGTTGAACATATATTATCATCTAGAGCATGATTGATTGAAAGCTCGGACACCCCTACCCCGCTGCTCACCGTGACAAAATTGCATTACAGCTAGCGACCCGTGCAAACCCTTTGCCTAAGCTCTATAAGAGCTCAGCGTGGTCATATTATTGTTTACCCCAACCCCAAGCTTACATCACGAGACTACAGGTCAAGGACGCTGGTTAAGTAAATCAATGGAAAAACAATCTAGACAATGGATAATACATTACCGTGTTTTTATCAATTCACTTATATCGGAGAAGAAATACGCGCCAAGCACAGGGATATGAATTAATTATCGCGGACTAGCAACAGGCTGTTTCTAGCCGGCCGGGTTTGGCGGCAGATAGTTGCACGGCGCATCTACTGCCAGGACTGCAATACGCATGTGGGTAGTTTACAGTGGCGGGCATGTAACGGGAAACGCGTGGAATTCATTTACAACGAAGTGTGTTATAAACGAATATCGCTGTCCTATATTGTTATTTTTGAAAATGGAATCGAATTATTATTATTCAAATTTGGATTTCGTCTGTTTACAAAAGCCAGACGAAGAGAACTACTCGTCCTGAAGAATAAAACTTAGTTTATTATATTTGAATACTGTCGAAAATAATGCATTATAATAAATGTTTCTTATTATGCATTTGTTTATGAAATCGTATATACGATAAATTGGATTATATTTCGTGTACAGATAAGTTAAAATCTTTAATATTTATAATCATAAAGTCATCCATTTGAAAACAAACAAAAAATAATGTTCCGAGGACCGCTTATACTTTTGGGCCACGCGAGTAAATTGTATACCTATCAACAGTATTGAATGTGTGACTAATGTGCCAAGTTATACAATATTCAATCAAACGACGTTGGTAATAAGGTTCAAACTACTGAAATACAGGTTGGCGCGGGCGTCATAAGGGGGCCGTAATATCGATAATGTATGATACCATAAATCTATACAGGTGTAGCTTTCGAATCCAGGTATTTCCAAATCTATGAAACAAATGAAAAACTCCAGTACTATAAAATAGTATCAATAACTATACATTCTAATTATATACAATATTTATGGCCTTTTCATACATATTTCACAGTATGTAAAACTGTTCATAATATCGATTAGTTCCAAGTGCGCAGGTTTTTGGATTTTTTATTACGAATACAGTCAATATTTAGCTTTTAAACAGACCTCTTGGGCCACCTATCAGATTTTATGTCATCAGATGTTTGATTCATATATAAATTAAAATAAACAAACACCCGACTACACGAGCAGAAATCGGTTGCACATAGCACACTCTACAAGTGGCATATCACTTTTAAACTTGTTTGTGTACCAGTTTTATAATCTTTACAAGTAAATATTATAAAACTGTTATAAAGTCAAGTCTAGACTAGTAAAAATTTTGTGATGTTTTGAGGGTTGCTTTTCATCATTTATTCTTAATCATAAAAACATCAAGTACACAAATGTCCTAAGGAAACAATAAGCCAAAATTGAAAAACTAAAAATAATATAATACTACTAATACCGAGGAAAAAGATATCGACAATGTCCGGTAGATGGCTGTACTTAAAATTAAAATTGACGACACACATTCCATAATGAAAGTAATTAATATTTTTTTGGTTAATATTAACCAATTGTTAAAAGTTTGTAAAATAAGTTAGTGTTAAGAAAAGTTTAAGTTGGGTTTTTTATTAAGGCGAAAATCAACTAAAATTAAGCATAAATGATGCCAACACAGCAGCTGCCTTTGGTCGCACCGGCCTGTCTTGAAAATGACGATAACATGACAGATAATCCAAGTCGAACTGCCTGCTACAGTCGTATTATACAGATCTTCCATTAACTAAATATTTATCATAAAATAGTTCGCAAGTTAAAATTAAAGTTAAAAAGTCAAATAAGGTGCGAGTGTGACAAAGATTAGTTATATGCAATGGATTACTTTGTCTTCAACCTAATATGAGGCTGATAAAGTCAGAGTGGCCTAACAACAATAAAGCACAATTTTTAATAAGGAGGAAAATAAAAATGCACACTTAACTTACGTGAAACTGTTTAGACCATAAACATATGAATAAGTGAAGTAAAAAACAAAAACACAGTTAGGCTACTGTGGCTCATATAATATACATCCTATATTCTTATTACTTATCGAATTGTTTGATAACATTTTGTATAAGATACAACACATAATATTTTTTTACGTAATTTCAAGTATATTCGAAAAGCAGTTACACTCGCAGATAAAATAAATTAATGAAGTCGTGACATCAGTACCAATAGCTGTATAATTAAAAATTAAGCATAATTTTAAAACAATCGCAGGCAAAAACATACCACAGCATTTTCTTATATAGCACACAAGGTAATGGGATTAATTCTTATTATATCTAGACAATTATATAGAATTCATTATGAGCCTTGGAGGAGATTTCACTGCCTGGTTTGACTTTTAGCGCTAAGCAATGCGTTAGAAGCCTACTTAGGCGATTTCACGATCCATTATCTGTAGACTAATTCTTCTATATCAGCATTTCAGAATTTAGTTTATACAAGAAACAATTTCAAACGCTAGACATATATGATTAAACAAAGCACGCTAAGCAATAAATATTTTGGATGAGCACATAATAAAAAACGCTAGTTAATACTTTGTCCTTCTAAATTACATTGCGATGCGAAGACAAATGACCAAATACGCATTTTCTACTTACCTTACGTGTGAGTTCCAGGGTTCGTTTGATTGTTTTTTTTTAATATCTAAAATGAGCACTGAGTTTGAATGCCTCTGAAAGCGCGTTTTAAAGCAACACGTATATACTTACTTGTACTTGTTTCCGACGATTTATCCAGGATTATATGCTTCTGATTGTGGTTCGAGTCACGCGCTGTCGTTTGCTGCTGTAGATAGCTTACAAGGCCGGAAACAACGTCTTTAACGGCCGTCAATATTTCCGCTAGCATTTGCCATGAAGGACTCTTAGCGTCTAGAAAAATTATAATGTCATGAGTAATTAATACTAGCTAAACAATAAAGTACATGCAATAATTCTTTTATCGTTCTTAATGTCAGTTATATTAAGGATCTCTCTTTTCCAAAATTGCCTCAATAAATTCAACTTTTTAGTGACTTTTCGGAATCGACACAGTAGAAATTATTCATAACTTAACACACATTTAGATACAAATTTTTTCGAATATATGCTGGTAGCATTGAAATAACGATGATGAGGTAATCACAGATCAGGTTACAGATATTTTTTCATCTTGTCAGATTAGAGATCACATTAAATCAAATAGTAAAATTTTTGTGGCTCGCTACCATCGCAGTAATTTGCCGTTTTTTTACAACTTATTACTGCTAGCTACTGTCCAAATTCACCTGGTGCTTTAAAAATGAAGTAACTCTTAACATAATATTAAATATTATATAAAAAAGATTTAAGCTCTATTTATCAGCACGCGTCTTACCGGGGCTCGGATCAATATTGGCAAGCCTATCTAGGGGCATGCTCATGACGACCAGCTGGGCCGGGTCTCCGGACCTCTGCAACGCGATGAACAGCTCTTGAACCGATTGCGCAAACGACTGCGGCGTCTGCAGCTTGTCTATGATACTCTGCATGTGGGACTTATGCGCGGTGTCCCCATACAGTAAGGCACTCCATTGGTCGGGGGCGATCCTCAAGCCCGCCTCCGTAGCTATTTGTACTATCTGTGCGTCGTGCTCGCGCCGCAATGACTCGTAGGTCCGAAACTCCTCTTTCAGTTGCATCAGGGACGAATCACATTCGCGTTTCGATACCTGTCAAATCATTTTTAAACAGTTTAAAAGCCAAGTATTATAACCCCATGAGTGTGAACTGTGTGTTTAAATGAAAAATAAGCGACTTGAACGTATGCTATTACAGTGAAACCTGGTTAAATGAGATTCGGATTCTTTCAACAAAGACTTTTTCAATGTTTATAATTGAGAGTCTATAGCTTAGTTCTCTGTATACGTGACACAAATTAATCAGGTTTTAAAACGTGGTATGTTTATTTACAACAAATGCGGCGGCCACTGTAATTGGCACAACTATAATTGGATTATTGGAATCCCTCAATAATTACCAGGTTTCTCTGTATTTAACAAATACAGAGAATACGTTTATTCAGAAAACAATACAATAATAAACTAATTTTACAAACAATATCAGAATTATACAGTTGCCTCTGAAGTCCACTCAGCTACGTTGGAATTAAGACATGGTGTCAATATTAAGCATAGTGGAATCGGGCCATTTACTTATTCTTCGTAATATTAATTAATGAGGCTGAAAAAAGGAGAGACAGTGATACCTTGAAGCAAGAAGCTCTGTACAACAGTTGAACAACGTGGCCTATACTCGTCTTGGACGCCTGTGGAAAGTCTCCCTCCAGTCTTTGCACGACGAACATAACCAACACCTGTGAAATAAAAGAACATATTAGTAATCGTACATTCCTAGTAGACAGGGGGGGAAATTGATGTACTACATGTGTACAATGTTGGGTATCTTTTGTCGTAGTAGAGAGTTATCGTACACCCACCACACCGAGATGACAGAAAACGCGTATAGTCAGTATTTTATTTTGAAGTTCTCTGTCTGAACCTTACCCACAATGTCACACGAAAGTCACCCGCAAATACCACTAATGAATCTAGTTGTAAAATTAGCATTAATAAGAAACCTCGCAACACATAATCTTTTTATTAATACTTATTATTAGTTTATATTTACGAACTAATAATATGAGGCTGCTGGAGGCAGAGTAGCCGAACTGCAATTTTATGACTTAAGTTATTTATATTATCACAGTCTAAAAATCTTAATCTACAAGGGCACAGTGACCGAAAATTGTTAACATAATTCTCACACAAACAGTAGTTCAAATTTATTTTTATTTTCCTCTTTATGACAATATGTTATTGTTATTAGGCAACTAATAAAAAATTTCCCAATAGTGGCGAGTATCGAGGGAGCGTAAGTTGCATGGGGCTATATAAACAATTTCCAAAATATTAGTTCTTATCGTAAAAGACGGGACACATATGATAGATATTTTTTATTTGTATAGCTGGCCGGGTGTTATTGGGTTTGTAACAACTTTTTAGTATACTCAAACCTTAATAATAATATTAGTGGTAAATAAAAAGATGCATGTATTGATCTGGTGGTTTTTTTTCTTAAATAAATAAAATATATACCTTTCTCGACAACGCGGAGCCATCTTCAAGTGCCAAAAGGACTAGCTTGAGGACCTCCTCCTGCATCGCTGGACCTAGGAACTGGCAGCCACGGGCGCGCACCGCCGCCCACAAATTCGCACTCAGCTGCTGAGGATTCTGTTCCAATTGGTTTACCTATTTATTCTTTAATTTGTTATATGCATCTACAACGTTTATTACTAAAAAATAACAGTAATAAACAACGCATACTTTATACTAGCCTTCAGACCTAAGATACGTTGAAACAAACAATCAGGAAATTGAAAAAGCTAGTTTTTTTTTAACGCGCTTATCTCAGGAACTACTGGTTCGAATTGAAATTATTTTTGTGTTGGTTAGAGCATTTATTGAGGAAGGCCGAAGAAACAGAGTGAAATGTGAAAAAAAGTAGGGGCAAATAACTATCCTTGTGGGTTTCCGTTGCGTAAGCTGCGAAGGTTCAAGATACCCAAACAATATGTATGAAATTAAAAAAAATGTCCGCGATGCTATATGGCTATCTTTAAAGATTAACTTGCAAGAACAACGGAACGCGACCGACGTTCTGGGTAACAGCTTAAGTTTATAAAGATGAACAGGTTTGCAAAAACAAGTATCGATACCCAAAAAGAAAAACTATTCTTCGCGAACAAAGTCGCCGACACAGCTAGTCATTTATAACATCACATACCTGATGCTGTAATATAAGCTCCGTGACCGATCTTTCGCCGAGCGATCTCGCTGCACGGGCCGCTCTCCCTCTGCCCTCTTCATCTGTGATGGCGCACTGCAGCAGTGTCACCAGTTTCCGTTGCATCGGCCGCGACAGACGGTTCCCGACGCTGTTGTTTGCTGTGGAATCATTATTTTTAATCTTAATTTATATTGCTTTGACAGGCATGAGGTATAAGTATTTTATGAGAAGTGCAAATTTATATAGAACACTTTTGACAGATCAAAACATGAAATCTATTAATTAATCATTTTTGCATTTGCTGCTGAAAAGAACATTATATGATGCGGGTAATAATGGGAAATCAAATATTTTGCATGAATAATTTTTTTTACAACTTTCCTACAAGTAAAACACTACATTCTTGCTACTAATGTATGCTAAAATACAACTAATTTACTTATTGTAATAATGTTCATAAATATAAGTTGTTAATATTCTCTATTTGAAATTTAAGAAAGGCCTACATAATTTCTCAAAAAAGTCTAGGTAGAGATATTATTGGTATGCAAGCAAAATGTGTTCATCTAGTTATTTTGAATGCCTGCTCAACTTCAACACATGACTCATATGCACTCTTTGTTCATGGAATAATACAAAACTCAAAATTGACAAACTTAAAATATTAAAATGATCTCGGATTATGCAATATTTAATCCATCAAACGAATGACAGTACCACAGAGCTTCAAATAGATTGCTAAGTGTTCAAGGCATCTGACTATGACGTCGTAGGCACGTTGGTCGCTTTCAGATAAAGCTTGGATGCATGGTGGGTGGAAGGGTTGCAATGGAGGTGTGTAGCCAGCCAATTGTAGCAGTGCCGTATTCACAGCCAATTCCTCTGGTTCCGATTGTATGACTGTCTGTAATTCATTATTAATATTTAAAGACTATATGAACTTGGTAAAAACCACCTAACTCTATATAAACATTCAATATCTTAATCTTTAAAAATTATTTTTAGGACTGCGGATAAATTTTCAACAAGGTTCAGCAACATAACCTTTTGGGGTCATAAAAAAAATTGAAGTACCTGATCAAAAGGGCAGTGCTTCCTATGTAAGTGTTTTAGACAGTGTTCACATAGAGTGTGGCCACAGCCAAGACTAACTGGGCTACGTGGTGAGGGACCAAACTCTCGGAAGCACACTGGACAATTGAGGTAGTCCGTCCAATGCGGCGCCTGGATGGGCATTCTGAAGACAAAGAAGACACTTAAAAGAATATCCTCCATATTTATTTGTTACATATTGTATCTATGTAGACTACTACTTCCATAGAAATATTGTTTTAATGTAAAAACCACAAAAAATCCTTAATTCGATATTAGGCTATCAGAAACATCCTCCACAGCCTACATCTTAATAGTATTAAAGTTTTCAAGTTTCTAAAACCTTTTAACTTATATCACATTAAAATAGATTACATTTTATGATCAATAAGGCACGGCAACAGCGTAAGTTCCAGTTTTACATTTATTGTTTATTATAGGTTTTATTGCTAACTATACAACTTGATTTATAATATTTTCAATGCAGGCTAATGTTAATTGTGTAAATATGCAATAATTCTAATTCATTATGATTTAAAGACTAGTGGATATTTTAATAAAATTTTAGGGGCATATTGGATGAATTAAATAAAAAAAATAGCTTACAAATTATAATACACTCATAAAAATCTACAAACATATAAGCAATAATACAAAAATAAATATTTACAAAACAACAATGTACCTTTGCTATAAAAAGTATTTAACTTTGTTACTTACTATAAATTTAAAAAAAAAAGTTTTTTTTAATAATACAGTTATCGAAAACTACTAATCTCATAACTAAAATACAGTATAATAAATTATTGTCTCTTATGATTGACATTGCCTACTTATAGATGTACACATTTAATAAATAAAAATTACTATTGAATTTATATTCATAATATATATTAGCCTTGTTACACCAGTATTGCCTTATTATTCTTTATAAATATTCAAATACAAATTAACAATATATTTAATAATACAATATACTTTAAATATATAAATAGGATTACATTTTTTAAATAAACTATAAATATGAGCTATATTCTTATATGGATATATTAGATTTTTCATTAAAATGGTGTAGCTATAATATGACCTGCATAGTGCATAAAATTAATGGGGAAAATATTGTTTATATTATTTTATAATTTATAACTGGCGACAATTGTTAGAGTCGTAATTTAAATTTTTAAGACTAAATTTCACATTAGTGTATATTATATATCGACGAATAATCGCGTTAACTTAATTTAGATATGTTAATACCCAATACAAAAGTCCTATTTATTCAACCATCTGACAGAAAATATCGTGTCAGATGTCGTATTATACGTATTTTTTTTCGTCCAACAAATAAAAGCATTGTCATGAAATTCTATGTAATAGCGATAAAGAAAATAAAGGCCAGAATATTCTAAAAATTTGACATCCAAAATTGCCACCTCGGCACTAGATAAAGATAGCATTGAAGGACAAAAAGTATTTTCGTTAAGCAGAAATACCAATTCAGCAAAAAATTTTACTTTTTACTAAGCAATTGTTAAAAGTACCTTCAAAATTATATGAACACTCATCACAAATTTATCACATTTATCTTCTTCCTACTTCGAATCATGATCCGTCATCACTCAGTAGTTGTGGTGTTCATATTGTCATCTAGCGACTGTCTCTTGTCAGCGTTCACTTGTGACTTATGTCAAGTAAACCTTTCATTTATCAACTGTGTCACTTATTTTTCTTAATTCCAGAGGTCAATAATATAATAAAAAAATAACATTAACAATTTATATTATCGCCATGTCATTCCTCCCACAGGCACATAACATTGGCAGAATCCATACAGAATGGGAAAGCTAAATTAAGAAGAAGAAGAAAGATTTGTTAAAAACTACTATTAGTATACAACTTCAAATTGCATAAAATGCTTTACCTTTAAGCAATTGTCCATAAAAAGTTTACATATTTATTTTATAATTTTTACAGATATTCTGTGGCGGGATTGTACTTAACTGCTTACACATATATTTTTTTGTAATATCTGTGGTTTTTTCGACTGTCATATATATTGTCGTCATTTCCCGCGTTCATTTCAAGCTTTTGAACACTTTTGGTATTTTATACATCTAACGCAACTAAGCTATATAGCTTAGCGTAGCGTAATATATAGTAAGAAAAGTAAACTAGAAATTAAAACTGCTTGTTATATCGCTGAGGAAATTGTACGGTAATAAGTCTTTTATTACATTAATTCAATATTAAAGGTTTAAGCAACCCTACTTTTTTCTAGAAAATGGAAAAAACAAGGAAACTGACTAATGAATCATACAACAAAATAAATGTAGAGCTTATATTTGTTTTAATGCGCTATAAAAAAGCAATAGTATAAGTATTACAAATTAATTATTGTATTAGGGCCTAGTGGGTAAAGCATATTTATCAATAATTAGTATCTAAGTGAACGAGTGTTGTATTTTCTATGTAAATAGTATCTGATGGTTTAATTTCCGCTGGTGGAAGACAAAATGGCGGCGGGTGGGACCAGAATCCGTTTTCTGTGCAAACGATAGATGACTCTCCCAAAACTTCATACCCCGTGTTACAAGTATATATTAGTAGATCCCCTACGGGATACTTTCCATCCTTTGACGATGTTTTAGTCAACAGTTGCCCATGTTCCGGTATTATGGGATCGGGACAGTATATTGCTAAAACATACAATAAATATTGTAGAAATAAAGCTTAAGGTTGTTGAATCCAAATTATACTTATTTTTATATGAATGTTTTTTACTCTATATGTTGAAACGATGTTATAAACTAAGAGGAGAATATAACCCCCCGAACTAAACATAACTTTTTATCTCAAAGCAAATCTAAAATGTTTCTTTTTTTCACCACCGCCAACCCAATGTCTAAGTCAAGTCAGATAATATCGTTAGTACATTTTGTGAACTTGTCCTTACGTATGCATTGTGGCATTTCTCCCGACCACTGGCCGTCGTGTTCACATTCTAGTCCAGGAGCCCCTACGAGACGATAGCCCCAGGAGCATGTAAATACTGCCCTACCTCCAAATGAAGAATTGTGTTCAATAATACTTAAATGCGGGTTGAGTGACGTAAAAAAGGGACAGAAGGTCTCCTCACATGTTGGTGGTAAGGAGGACCAGTGACCTGTACGTTAAATATAATATTATTTGTCATTCGTTTTATATTCAAGTGGAAATAATACAGAGCAAGTTTTAATGACTCTGTAATTTAGGACTTAAGACTAGATTAATGCAGTAAAGTTAACGCTATACATTTTTTTACAGAAATAGTAACAAAAAAATCGTATTTAAATAAAACACTTTAACGGTTTAAAACGAGCCGTGGTCACGGGGAGACTCCCCGTGTCTCCCCGTGACCACGGCTGCTGCAAAGCATCCGAAACGTCGGGCCGAAGTTAAAAATCATTTTCAAATAAGTTTAACTAATATATCGCGTTTTAAACCGTTGAGGTGTTTTATTTAAATGTGTACTACTCGCGTAAACTATAGACAGTATTAAAAAATATCGTATCCTTAATTGAGGCTGCTAGAACCAGAATGGCCTAATAACAAAAAACATGATTTTCAACTTAGGCGAAAATTAATTTGTACTATTAAACAAAAACACAAATGTGTTAGGATTATGTTAACAATTTTCGGTCTCTGTAGACTAACATTTTTAGACTAGCAAAATATAAATAAGTCAAGTAATAAAAATCGCAGTTAGGCTACTCTGGCTCTAGCGAACTCAATTATTGTAAGAAATGGAACTTGCTGTGCATCTCTAAATTCTTTATAAGGCCCTTTCAAATCTTTAAGTATGCAATGTTTACCATCGCCCATGCAATGGAGTTGTGGTGCTCCATTGAGATGAAAACCCGGTTCGCAGCTAAAATGAGCTGTGTTGCCAAGCTTGTTGCCCGTGGTATACTGTCGCATTGGAGGTGAAGGTATTTCAAGAGGACTGCATACTACGTCTACAGAAGTAAATTAATACAAAAACTGTAAATGATTCCGAAGTGAAATATCTTTTTGAAAAAGCAATCGTAGCAACTGATCCGACTTGAACGCGTGAGTATTTACTCATGAAATATGAAAGTGAAAAAAAAAAGAAGAAAAAATGAAGAAAGAATGAATAGTTATCCATAATAAAGAATTTTTGAAATTTGATTGACATATTCTTATATTATACTAGCTGTGCCAGCGACTTCGTTCGCGAGAATCGCTATTCACGACGTCGGTCGCGTCCCTTCCCGTCGTTCTTACAAGTTAATCTTAGAAGATAGACATATAGCGTCGCGGACTTTTATTAGACCATTTAATAGAACGATTCCTCTAATCACTCTTTCATACATATTTTTTCTGTATCTTGAAACGTTTTCGCAACATCCGCATCGGAAAAACACAGACATGAAAATTTCCCCCCGTTTTGTTCTCATTTCCCGCTGTATTTTCGCCCCTATTAGTCACAGCGTTGTTCTATAGCCTTCCTCGATAAATGTTCTAACTACACAAAAATATTTTTTCAATTCGAACCAATAGTTCCTGAGATTAGCGCGTTCAAACAAACAAACTCTGCAGCTTTATATATTAGTATAGATTAATAACTCAAAAAGCTAACTCACTAACAACTCTGATAGTCAACTTATTTGTGGTCCCAGTCGGCGTAGCACATGTGAATGTTTCAGTAAAGCGAACACTAAGTTTGGGTAGTGTGATTCGAAATATGTTGTCCACCTCATTCAACCACTCTGCGAAATTTTAAACCATCTGATTGATTTATTTCAACCTGATAATGTCCCACAGCTGGGCACAAGGGCGTAGATCGACCATACTTCAGTACGGTCTGACGGGTGGGTTAATTTTTACCGTCTCAAGCCTTATGACGTTAACCGGGGCCGATAGAGATTATATATATGTAAATTAACCCTATATATCAAAAATACCTTTAAAATGCCCTAAAATTATGCTTTCAAAATGCCCGGAAACATCGTACTACCGTGACCCAATGACGTCACGAATTCTAGAGATCCAGTTTACTTTTAGTGGAGTTGAAAAAAAAAATGACTTCTAAGTTTCATAAGTGCTGCGGAGTGTATATTGCATTCACATGGAGGTTCCATGTGAAAGCAATACAAACAAGACATGAAAAGTTGTTTATTTATGTTTCTTGTTCAAAACTGACTAAATTCTCTATTGGATTTATATTGGCCTTCTTTGACGCAAAATTGTAATAAATTTGCAATAACATTACCTTTTTTATAGTTTTCCATACTATGTGTCCAGGTCCATTCTGGTTCTCCAGCTGTACGCAGTGACATGCAATCTAGCCATATTGTGCTATCTGGATATACGTACAATTCCCCATTTGGCTGCACGATAGCCGATCCACTGGCAATTTCGAACCGGACAGTTGGAGGGGCGTCCCCTGGATAGATATTTCGAAATACAAATTTTTTAAATTGGGAGATCCAAATATCGCTATTCTGTTTCAAGTACTTTACAATATAAAATTGATATTTTCCGTATTTCCCAAAAACCTATGCAAAGTTATTGCTTAAGTTATTTTGTTATAGAAGGAGTTAATCATTATAATAACATAAGTTTAAATTAAACGTTGCACTGTTTGTTGTTTGTTGAATAATTTGGTGTATTATTATGTGTATGTGAACTTGCCTGTGAAATTTGTGATTACAGTGGTCGGGACACATTCCGGGAATTTGGGCATCCATTCCCCATTTTCGCAACGGATCTCGTTGTCTCCCTTTAATTTATACATACCAAAGTATTTGCATCTCGCCTTTACTGTCGTATTATGGGGGAAGTTTGTATCGTTCTGTAAAGTTACGTGGACTTTTTATATGTATTTTAAGGGGTTGCTATTTGCTCCTATAGGTGTACTAACCTCGATTGAAGAATTTTTAAACGAAACTTGTAACAAAGGAAAATCATTATTGTATGAACACTCCTTTAACAAGGTCTTAAATCTGCCGTCTGAAATAATAATATACTAAGTATTGTCTGTAGTTTCACAATAAAACACTTTACACTGACTAAAACGCAAAATATATGGGAATTTATCCAACCATCTTCACTTCAGTTTACCATCTCACCCACTTTTTCTGTCCCCCAGTGACCACGACTGCTTGAAAGCATTCGAAATGTCGGGCTGTGTGGTTAAACGTATTGCCTAGCATTGCGTTAAGCGCGAGAGGTCCTGGATTCGAATCCCAGGGAAATAAAAATTGTTTCAGTCAGGCAGGGTCAGAAGTCAGATCAACTACTTGCCTGTTAAAGATCGAATCAGTGAAACGGACACAGAAATGTGTTCACCCCATGCCCCACGAGGGGGAAACGGGATTTCACACATTTTGAACCGAGGTGTCTCTTTCTTACCTGGTGAACTCGAACATAACGGGCCCACCCAATATCCATCTACGCATTTTAATTTACATATATATTTCTCCGGTAGAGGCCCAAACGATATTGGAAACTTAATCTGAAATAAAATAATATTATTATGAAGTACCTTTTGCTTTAATAAAGAAACTAATTGAATTATTACCTCTTTAACTTTAGCGAAGTTTTCCAAAAACTGCTGCATATCCAGATTTAAGTCATCCAGTGTGAGTTCTGGTAATGTGCATTTATAGTCCTCTAAAATGAATTTAAAAACCATTATTTGATTAGCTGTTAAATATGCTGGTGCCAGAAATTTTGAATCCGTCATTTACAAAGAAAGTGATCGTGAATAAAACTTGTCTATACCTAGTCAAGTTATACTATAAACACCAGTAGCGTAGCTAAGTGAACACGGGCCCCGGTTTTAAAGAAAAAATGGACCCTCACCCCCCTTTTTCCGGGTTGCTTGAACTTATATGAGGCCCCAAAAATTATAGGTAGGTTCATTTAAAAACAAACAAAATAACTTTTAATTTTCTTTTACGTGTGTCCCTTTTCATAGATGTGGGAAGAGGGCCCGATACACTGCACCAACTGACCCTGCGATAGCTACGCCATTGATAAACACTCCATTTTGTAACTTTATTATAATTATCTTAAACGCCTATTTTCTACTATTTATTATTATCGAAAATTAAACCTTTCGTTTTATAAGTGAGACCCACTTTAAATATAACATTAAGAAGTACATATTTATCGATATGTAGCGAGCTGAACGACATCGTTTAACTTTTTAGCCAATCGCCGTTCTCGAAACTCAGACTCATGACAGACAGACAAACAATTTAGTTTTTTTTTACCTATTGGGTATGAAATTATGTTTTACGAAAAGAGCGGGAAAATTGTGTAGTTTACTAGTGTAAATCCTTTTCCTGTATCATTCTATGAAGAATCATTTTTATAAAGAGTAATTGAATAATATAGTTAAATTGTTGAGGACACCCATTTATAGGTCACGTAATACAAGGCATGCGCAGCGTCAATGAATAAAGTACCTACAAAAATAGGTAGAAATACGTACAATTGGGATCTGAATCTGATAAAAAATATAAATCCTTACCATTACGCTCATTAATATCTCCGTTTGTCGAATCTATTGTTATGGTAAAAAATAATAGAATCGCAATGAAGAAGGGATTTCGCCACATTTTAAAAGTATATTGTAAATATTTCTGTGATAACTTTTGATCTCGTCTACTTGTCGTCTAAACTTATATTAGTAAATATTTCTCAAATAAACTTATGACGATCTGCACTGTGTACCGGGTGACAATATGCAGCTACACTGTGATTATCGACGTAACCAACTCTACACTTATGTATTTTTAAAGTGCAGTTTTAAAGGGTTCGATAGTATAGTCAAATATACATAATACATACTTTATGGTTAAATTATTAATGCAGTAAGCTGTTTGAAGAAGGGTGTAGAGTAAGTAACGTCGCGACAGTTTTATGTTATAATTAAGTTGTGTTAGTCAAACATATCATGAGACGCAGCGCATCGCGTTAATAATAAGTAAAATATAATTAAAATAAACCAAAAGATATCCTTTTGGTTCAAAACATAGTTTATTAAGACTACTATAATGCCTTCGTATTGATAATTTTTTCCGTAGCCATCTTAAACAAAGTATATTCTTGCATGTTTTTTTCACATAGAATCATTATTACTAAACATTGATGATTGTGATGTTTAAATTTCGCTCCAATGGTGTAATCTAAATTATTCAAAGTTGCAACACACTATTAGTAAGGTGTCTGTAGTAAATTGCTAGTAATCACGTTATCTATGTACAATTCTTAGATGTCTGTGGTGTTAAGCGAGCCTTCTTATTTAAACTGTGGTTGTCGTTTTTTAAGCCGAAAATATTATAGTCTATGCGATTTTGTAATGGAATTGCGTGGGAATTGCTGTGGAAATTTGTTTGGTGCATCTTAAATCTTAATCATACCGTAATATCTTATTTTCATTGCTTAATCTATCAGTCATTATAAATCGTTTTTGTATTATTCTTGATTACCAACCGCATCGCTTGTTCGTGCTTCGGAATTACGGGTTCCTATGTCATTACAAACGAAAACATCGAAATGTAAAGAAAAACTATTTCATAATAAATAGCTTCCAAATAACGGTAAATTAGTGGTAGTGTAAACAACGAAAACCGACATGGAAGAGTTACGAGCAACAAAACAGAAAACAATTCAAAATGCACATCATATTGCTTTGGATTGTATTCATCCACAGGTAATCATATTATATCTGAGTCAATACATACCATCAGCATTTTGATATATATGTATATTATATATGTGTGTAAATATTACCGCTTAGAATATATTTTGTATTATACATATTACCTTTTATAAACTGTAATTTTTTGTGGTAAAACTTGTATCCAAATATGTGTAAAAATCAAAAGTATGTATTTAATATTGTGAGAAATGCACATGTTTTGGATATGTTAGCTTTTACACTCTTTTGCTTCTTTCGTTTCCTATATAGTATGTTTCAGGCATAAGGTCCAACTTAGAAAAGAGTGTAAAGTACACTTGTGTTAAAAATAAAATTGTGAAATCTATTATAGTCTATACATATGGAATATCTGGATTTATCAGAAATTTATTTCGAAAATACACATATCAAACAATAAAAGTTATAAAGTTAGTTTAATCTCTCTTCTCACTCTGTAACTTTAAGTGACACTGCTAGCATTTGTTCACAGTGTGGTTTGTTCATCTATGTCTGTATCCTTGGAACGCACAGTCAGCACATGGATCTCCTTATCATGTACACCCCTATCCCTCTCCTGTCCGTCTCCAACATGCATTCCAAGCTCAACAGAGCCCCAAGATGTTTCATCCAAAAGGGCTTAAGTCACATCTTGTAAGTATTAGTATTTTGATTGCTTTAACATGAATCAAGTCTGTTATTTTAACATACCAATTAATTGTGCAGGACTGCAAGGCTTTTGGAACACCAAATGATAGTCCAATCTTTGGCCGAGCACTATGTCTTACACCCCGTGGAAGCCCCCTTCCAGGTCGGGTTTCCCACTTAAATGAGAAGTTTCAAGATACTTTAACACTAAATTCTGATACTGAAGCCCTAGTTGCCAAAATTAGTGCTATGTTTCCAACTGTTAGTGAGACACATATCAAGATATTGCTTAAAAAGTAAGTGTTCTCTAAAATTTACAGTATCGTAACAACAAATAATGTAAAGTCAAATTTTTATTTTTTAATGATTGTATATTGTTTATAGGTACTATAATCGTGAAGCAGTAGTTATAAGTGCTTTGCAAGTGGAAAAGCATCCAATTACAACACCTGGACCACTAGCAGCATCACCATCTGTCAATCGTCTTCACAAAGGTGCTGTGGGGGTTTACTCGGCTTTACAATTAGCGAAAGGAGTATCGAGCTCCTTACATGGATCATGCCATTCACCATTTACATTGACCCCACAAGGTTAAACATATTACTCATACTATGTTGAGTTTAGATTTTAGCATGCATAATATAGCATGCGTGTATTAGACTACTAATAATGTGTGTGGGTTTTTTAAATTTATTTTCTCCAATGATTGAGTTTAATTTTTTATGATCTATAACGTGAATACTTAGAAAGTATGTTTTTTAATCAGGTTCTCCATTATTACTGCGGCCATCTTCATGTGCATCTAGCTATTATGGCACAGTTAAGTCGATGGACGGCCAAGTTGCTAGACATCAATCACCAAAAATGAAACTAAAGTAAGTTATATGCATTTTATTTAACATGTTTGTATTTATCATCAGAAATATGAACCCTTATTAATTGATAAGCTTATAATTTCTATTATTGTAACAGGTACATGAAGAGTGTCTTTCCCAAAGCAGAAGAAACATTAATCTTAGATATATTGGCGAACAAGGACAACAATGTACAACTGGCGAGTGAAGAGCTAATTTCGATGGGATTTAACAAGAAGGAAACAATTATAAATCAAAATAAGAAAGAAGTAGAGACACCACTGCCTGTTAAGAAAAATGTTACAATTATGAAGACTACTGAAGAGAGAAATAAGAGTAAGACATCTTTTTTGGTCGTTCATAAAATCAGTTTTTGTACGTGTATTATGTTATGGGGAATGTAACAACTTTGCTTATTATTTATGATTGAGATTCTGAAAAAACCTAGTAATGATTGACTATGTGCTTGATAGTGACAAAAGTAATAAAAAAAACCGAAAACAATATTGGTTGCTAATTATTGAATAAACAAGCTTACAATATTTTCTCTGTAACAATTATTATTTGTGAAAAATGTTAGATTAGGTATTTCTCAAAATAATTACATTTACGAAAGCTAGTAATAACTTCGGTAGTCTGACATAAATTTTGGTAATACTTATAATTTATAATGAATTACCTTTTGTGTACCAAACATGAATTATTTCATAAACGCCCGTGTATCTATGTAGGTCAGACTCTTATATTTGTCACTAAATAATTCGTTTTTTATTGCTACTGATAATATAAGATTATATTTGCAGTCAAAGAAAGTTTCCAGAAGAAATACAGTAGTATAGCAGAAAGAGTAGTCTCCATTGCATTGGAAAGTGTGGATTACAATGAGGAGAGAGCGGAACAGATATTAGATGCAGTCCTTCAGGAAGACCAGGCACCAAAGGTTTCAAAACCAATAGATGTTAAAGAAATAAAGAGAAGCGATCAAACTGAAAGCAAGAGGTAAGCTTGAAATTCTTATGGGGTGAATTAAAAATACCAATAATCAAATTATCCAAGTAGACAGGATTCCAGAGAGAAGCCAGTGATAAGAATAACATTTACTTTCTACTCCGTAAGATGCTTCTTAGCTTCTCATTCGCACAGCTGTACATTAACCGCTTTACAATAAAAATAAGATTTGTATAAACAAATATTTACTATTAAAATCTGATACTTTTTAAAGGATTGTACTGTTTGATAATGGAGTCAAGAAACTTTTCATCACTCGATAACATTTACATTAATTAACCGTAAATCCGTAAATGAACTATTTGTTTAGTTTTGGTTATCCCACTCTCGTGCCTAATGCGAAAATATACGGTTTTCATCTATGGACGGTGATTCGTAAGCCGAACGTAATTTCGATATTTCTACCGCCCATTTAATATGCATATTTCCAGACAAAGTCCAACATGTTTCACAAAAATTAGAAGCCTACTGGACCCAGAGGGGTTCGAACCCACGACCTGTTAGTAAGTAGTACATTGCTAACCACGAGCACGTAAAACTATTTTGAAAATTAAAGATGTTAATTTTATTCTACAAAGAAAATAGCGGAAAAGTTGATGATTTTTACCAAATCTTTAATGTCAGGACTTGATTTGTAAATTAAAGAAAATGATCACATGTATTTCACAGTTATAAATGATTAATTCTCCCATCTATTCCTTCAAGTGTCTGTTGGTACCCTGATTTGTTTTATTATTACTAATACTACTAGGCCGACTTTAATGAAGTTTTCAGTCAAGTCACTTAACATTTATAAAATGTCTGCCGGTAACCTGTATATTTAATTAATTATTTTTTTATCAAAATTGGGTATAGTTTAATTGGGTGGGCTTAAGCTTTTACACTTTTATATTACAGTACTTTACACGATTCCATTTATATTAAATATTTTAAAGCTGTGTAAACTTTATAAATAGAATAATCTCGTTGTTACAATACCATAGACTTGTTTTCACGATATAGAGAATAGATCAGATTTGTTTTTACAAATTCAACGAATCATCTGTCACTTAAACATTGCCCGGTCAGGCGGTATGATAGATAGTTTGCGGCTATCATGAATATTATCTATTCTCATCACCCATACTCATACCTTTGAAACGGTTAGTTTATCCATCAGCGACGTGGAGTACGAGCCGAGACAAACGCCAGCAGCTGTTGTTACACGCCGTATCAAGACGTGGACCGAGCACTTGAAGTATGTCTACTTGCATGCCAATGTCACATCTATGTACAACGAGTTTTTAGCTAAATTTGTACGAAATTTACTATGCATGCTGGGTGGTTTAAATGTGTTTCACAGAGCTAGTTATCACAACTATACAGATAGTATACATAGTAGTTTTAAGCTTTGATGACTACAAATAACAAGTGTTGTATTTACTACAAAGGCTGTTCAAGTATTACGTGGGCTTATTTTTTACATTCCTTGACCTCCCCTTGTCAGCAGAAACAATGCTCTTATGCTTATAAAAGCATTTGTATGTGTATTTTCCTTTGTGGAAGGTATAAAACCCGTGCTAGGAGAAATTAAATAGGTTTAAGAAAAAGTTCATATTAAATTGTGTAAGAATTTCACGGCCATCGTTCAGCATATCGTTGTTTTTCGAGCTCGAAGAATTCTTCAAGCAATCGAGGAGCTAATAACACCTCCAGATGATGCCGTCCGCTCGTGATGGCTTAACGTCGAGAATTGCTTCTCGCTCACGTCGGCCGAACAGCCTGAAAATCAATGCTATAAAGTTCATATTGTTTAACAAAAGTTATGAATTATAAAAAAAAATTACATTTCTATATATTCTTAAGTTACTACTAGTAAATACTGGACTAGTAATCAAATCCAAGAACCCGCCCTCTTATTGTTTACGTAACCCTTGAACGGCCCCAGATTTGATAGGTCAAGCTTTCTGTACATGTAGTTTACGCGAGTGTTTCATATTTAATAAAACAGTTTAAAACGCGAACTGTATTAGTTAATGCGACCAGAGCTACTGCAAAGCATTCGAGACGCTGGATAGTAAGAAACAATAATTAACTAAAATAGTTCGCATAATATACAATTACTAAAATAAAGAATAAAATACTTAATGAATATTCCAAAGTAGATTGTCTTGTTTCTTTACGCGCCGAACGACCGAGAAAGTACGCGACATTGTGCTAATTTAATTACATATTATCATTAAATTAGCTCGGTCTGTAGGTCTGTATATAGTACACAGTTTTTTTTATATCGTTTCAAAATTTTTTCAATGCTTGAACGGTGAAATAATTCCTCCTTGACTAAAGGAAACAATGCGATGTTGACATATTGAAATGTTTAATAAATAAAATGTCATAATATTTATTCTAGATGGTAATACATCTGCTAGGGTTTATATTGTAGGTATATTTTTTCATATCATACTTCAACCCAGTAGATATATCATCACCATTTTATGATTTTCTGCCTTAGTAATCATTTGTTTGGCAAATATACATAGTTTTTAATAGGCATTGTTCAGATGTCTAGATTTATAAAAATAGCATAAAGGCCTGGGTGGTTACTGCGTACAAACGTTAGTATTAATGATATAGATGTCTCTAAGCATTTTAGATTTTATTGAGTATTTATATGTATAAATAATGTATTTTCGTGTACCTAAAATTAGCCTGTACAATATTTTGTATTTTGATATAGATGCATGGATCTAAAAAATGTCGTGTATTTATAAAAACATATCAATGTTTATTTTTCAGACCGATTCTCAAGTGCAGTACAAACCTGGAGTCTAAATACAGGTCCCAGTATTCCGTACCGAGTGTAGGACCTAACCCTTCTTTAAGACAAGGACCTAAGGACAATCTGCTATTGTTAGTACACCCTTTGATTTTATCTATGTTCTTATGTCTATGTTTGTGCAATAAAGAGTTTTTATTATTATTAGGCTGCAAAAGGAAAACGTTTTTAATAATCTCTCTTGTGTATTTTAGGGAGGATTATATGGCATGGAATGGTCCGAATCCCCAGCTCCACCTTGGTCAAGCCGTGAAACCCGAAGGCCCGGAGTTACGAAAGTCGTCACTGACTACAGTGTGTGGCCCTTCAGGGAGCGCAAAGGGGCCAGCAGGAATTGCAAAAGGATCGATGTATAAACTCAACAAAAAATCTGCTAAAATGTATGTACCCTGCATTTGGTATTATTAATTCATAACTATTCTCTCTCAGTCGTATCAACTTTGAAAACAATATAGATTAGTGGTTATTTGTACAACATTTCATTACACAAAATACCTCTATTGTTACGAGAAGTATACGTAGAGTTTAATTCATTAATTAATTTAATTAAAATACACGAAGCCCTTAAATGCTTAATTCCAGGCCAAAAGTAGATATCATTTTTTATGAAATCCTTTTTGTTATTTATCACAGAGGCGATTAAGGCAATGGTTGTTAAATTGCTAAACATGAGGATAAGTAAACAGGGCCTTTCATCAAATATCATATTCAGAGTAAATCAAGCCAAATGTCTTCCTCAATACTCATTTGTTTTTTTACAGTGTGGTGTAACTCTATATGGAACCCACTTCGAAAACAATTTATTTTTGTAAGTCAACATATTATCTCATTATAAATAGGGGATCAGACGGTAATCAAACAAAAAGTTGAAAAACAAGCTGGTTCAGGCTAAGTCAAATAAAAATATAACATAATTAAAATAAATAATTTCATAGGAAGTAATAAAATGTTGTTAATTCGAATATTTTTCACTACTGTACTAAAACACCAATCACAGTGCGTGACGTCATTTGTGGGCAATCATTAAGGGCACTTATTACCTAACTGCGAATATAACGATATACGACTTCACGCTTTTAAACGAAAAACCATAAAACACAGTTTCAAGTACTTCAAAGGCATTAATAAATAAAATCTCATTTTTTAATTAACTTAAAACTTCATGGAAAGTTTACCGATCCCCTTTTTTTTGCTATTGCTAGATATTGTAGTGCATAAGACGGAAATATTACGATATTATTGTGTTTTATGTCCGACACTTATGTACACCATTTGTTTAACTTATTAATATTAGTCATGTTCAACTTGCTCAATAATTTTTGAAAATCTGCAGAATGTATGTTAGCATTATAGTCCTGTCTAGTCTGTCTAGTCCATAACAAGTGTTGTCTACGTTTATTGCGGTATACTTGAAAATATTTACATAGTTTACGCGAGAATATATTTTAATTAAACACTTCTAAAGGCTTTCAGCGCAAAATATATTGACTTATTTTTAACTACGACCCGACTTTTCGGATGGTTTGCAGCAGCCATGGTCACGGGAAGACTACATATTCGAGTCCTTTATGTCAAAAACAAATCTGCTACGCTAGCGCCATCTATCGTCGTAGTTAAATATAAATTACTAATTTATTACGCGTTTTCATGGTTAAACGTGCTTAAACTATTAAATATTGAAATATGTACTTTAATTTATACATTTCTTTCCTTCGCCTTCAAAACAGTGTTTTTGCATTTTAACTTCTAATCTAATCTTCGATTGTTTATTTTTTTTGTTGGCTCTACTTCATTTAGATTGGGGAGCCATTTTTTATACATTTAAGCTTGGTTTAATATTTCAACAATGATATTTTAACATTGTATAGAGTTTTGGTGTTAGTTGAAGAATAATGCAAATATTGTTATTATTTTAATATAGAACGTAAGAATCCACAAATATCCTCCACAAAAAAAAAACTTCCAAATAATTTAAATAGTTAAAATTATTTTCGTATGTCGTATATATATTTTGTGCGTAGTTTTAAGAATATCGTTGTGCAATTGTAGAAATAATGTAATTTTAACCGTAATGATTTCAACACCTTAGATATAATTATTGCAGTATTCAGTATAAAGCAAAGGTTAAGTGAAAGAAATACACCTCGATCGGCCAAATGTTTTGGGAGTGAATTTCGTTTCAAAGCTTTTAACATTGTGCCAAATAAAACCGTTATAATTATTTAATTGTTCAGGTGCAAATTATGTAAACTATTGCTCAAAACAATATTATTAATTTTTAATGTTGGCAATACTTAGTGAAAGGTAAAAAGTTCTTATTGATAAGGTGTTTATGATATGATACGTCCGCTTTCTAATAAAAGGGAAAATCTAGAAAAATAATACTACAAAAAGTAGGTAATACGGCGAAAATTTGCGCCAGGTTCACATTTCTGCTATTTACATGTCGTGAGAACCACTATGACATTCGAACTAAATAAAACTCGCTTATTGGTGTTAATTCTAAATTTGGTAACCGTTCGGTTGACTATTAACGAATTAGCAGGCATGGGACTCTGGTTATTATATTTAGTCAGTTTGGTGTCATGCAACTCCTATTAGTAAAGGGGAATTTTTTATCTTCATCATATTATTAGTCCTAGTGTGATCTAGTCAGTTAGGTTAAGATACTAATGTTTAATTAAACAGTATTAGTTATCGTCCAATCAAATTAGACACCATATTTTGGTAAACATTAAAGAACTTGTAATTAAAATTGGTCTTTCATTGATGTAATCTTTCAGACCCACCCTTCAAGAATAAAAGGCATAAGTGTATCCTAATGTTTTATTCACTCAGCATTTTGTAACGGGAGATTCATTCATAAATATAGATATAGGGATTAGCTTCGACTAATGCTATGTCCTTCTCCAGTTGTCGTAGCTCTTGTTCCATTTTCGTTTTTTTTAGAATCTTCGGAATCGTGTCTGTCAACATTGGTAATTGCAAGAATGCTTTCTGCATCACCTTCCAATTGTGCTTCAGGTCCTGAAAACGTAAGGAATATAAAATAAACCAAACAATTATCTTGGTTACTAACTACTCTCTGTCCATAGTATCCAAGCTAAATGTTAAATGTATGTGTTTAAGATAAGGATCTTAAGATATATAATAAGGTGATATAGATACCAGACTTAAATTAAGTTTGCCTATGAATTATGCTCATTGTAATAGAACTGTGTTTAAAATTTTTTTTTTCACATTTTGAAACTACTAAATGTCAAAAAAATGGAAAAACGCAGTTGGCAATTTTTGTAGCCATAATCAGATGTTCTTTGTCGAAAAAGAATTTCCACGCTTAAACTAAACTTAGCTTAAAATTATCTTTCGACACCTGGTATGTGGCGTGAGGTATAAGCGGACTAATGCAAGTTTTTGGAGAAATACTGCGTACGTCGTCCCATTTTGCATCGTCAAAAGTTTTAGCGACTACTTCCGTTTCCTCGACCCGTCACCCTGGCTACTCCACAAATACCAAATAGTTATACAACCGCTTCCTTTATTAGTAATAAAATAGGCAGTGACTATTCACGTTTTCACATCATTTTAATGAATTAGAATTTAGTTTAAAAAAAAAAAAATTATTTAAGTAATTAACCTTAGTTAAAGAATTGAGTTTATATCTTGAATTGTTTAAAACAGTGCAGATGTATTTTATTTCTAATTATTTTGATATTACGAATAACCGGTGAAATTATTAGGATAGGTGCCAGTATGTCAGACTGGACAGAACGGTTTTGTAACTTGATTGTGTTCTGGTATTTGCTGTATTTGATAAGGAGTTCTGGAAATAAGTGTAAATAGTGTGTCGTTATTTCGCTAACCTAACCTACGTTATAACAAAAGCTATACCTATACTTTTAAAGAGAATGTAAGTATGAGTGTTTACACTTTTTTTTATTTTTTTCATTATTTTCCTAATCATTAATTCTCCTTTTGTGGCCTGAATGGCTGATTCCCTACAACACACTATCTAGGGTAACGTACCTCTAGAAGCTTCTGTCTTTCCTCTTCGTTAATCAGCTTACAAAGACTCTCTTTATTTTCTTCAGCGTATCGTATTTTCTCAATTTCTCTATGTATTTTACGATTTCGCCTCACCAAGTAGGCTGGCATTCTACCAAAATCTGGACGCAAGCAATACTCTGGTACCTCGCCGGAGCCTTTGATTCTTTTCACGTGTCCATCTCTTGTATCTACCAATCTAAAACGATATAGAGACGTGAAGTGTTTTTTTCTAAATTACCAGTCAGGAGCAAAGAAGCAGGTACACAATCACTAACTTTTGTAGGTTAGTCGCTGAAGTTCGAACTGGAGCAGCGTGGTCTATGCTTTACAAGCTTTACGAGAGAGAAAACCTAGCAGTGACACAGGTTTCCAATCTAGTTGGAGGAAGGTCTATAGTGAATGAAGTTTAGTTTAGTTTGGTTGAGACGAAACAAAGTTCATTTTCAAAACCTTACGCAGCGCACTACATAGGGAGCTCCTAAATTTTAGTATATTTTCAGTTTTTATATCTTATTCTATTATTTTATATCTTTGCTCTCCGCTCCTTATCGCAGTGAGATGGTAAATGTAGTCTTCACACACCTACCAGCGAAAAAGTTTTCAGACCAATACTTTATGGGACTAGCGAGTTATCTGAACTTCTCACGTGTAATGGGTTACTACAAGTAATTTCAACAGTTGTTACCAACCTTGGTTCTACTGGTTTGCCCTTGCCTTTGATGGCCTTTTTTATGTTTACCACTTTGAAGTTTACTTTTGGTTTTTCGGGTTTTTTCCCGGGGGGAGGACGTTTCGGAACGGGAGGTAGATTCCCAGAAACGAGGCATTTGTGATCGGATTTTTTTATTGGCTGGCCGATGCCCTCGCCCTTTTTTAAAAAGTCTTCGGGTGGTTTTAGCGGTGTTTCGGCGTACCCAAAGAGACGTCGCATTTGCGGAATTTTAGTCTCTTTAAGCTGCTTCTCTAACTTCGATTGATATCTGGCAAAAAAAATCATAGAGATAGAATCTATCTATTCCATACGTACATGTAATATTGTTGGATGTCTTTGTCTTAATCCAAGATGCCAGAAAGTGTCTGAATGGCTTGACCGATTCGTATAAAATTTGATTTTATACGAATCGGTCAAGCCATTCAAATGTGAAAGAGTCATAAATCTATACTAATAAATGAAGCTGAAGAGTTTGTTTATTTGTTTGACTGCGCTTATCTCAGTTACTTGTTCGAGTTTTAAAAAATCTTTGTGTTGGTTAGAGAATCTATTGAAGAAGGCTAAACGCTATATCTAAAGCAGGGGCCGGAAAACTTTTTTTCAAGCCGGCCGGTAAATTAAAAAAATATTGCCGCAGGCCGGTCAAATAATATCATTCAGGGCAAGGCTACAAATCTAAAAGCTTTAAAACATTGTTTTTTGAAACTAAAATATATTTTTTTTATTTCTATACTTTTTCATATAAAAAAATTGTCACCTTAGCAGAATTGCTATAAAAAGAACGAGATATTTATGTTTTAAATGTAGATAAAATATTTTAAGTTCCAAATAATATGGTATAATTTGAATTTTTGATGTTAATTTTTTTTGCGAAACGTTCGGCGGGCCGGCTCCTGCCCGCGGGCCGTAGTTTGCCCATCCCAGATCTAAAGCATGTGACTGAGAAAAGAACCAGCGGGAAATGTGAAAAAAAATGGGAAAAATCATTCATCATGGTGGGTTTCCAAAGCGTACACTGCAAAAACGGTTCAAAAAACATGTATGTAAGAATGATTTCTCTTTAAATGATCAAATAAAAAAATTCGCGACGCATTATGTCTATCTATCTTTAGATTAACTTGCAATAACGCCGGAAAGGGACCGACGTCGTGGATAACAGTTTAATTTTATAAAGATGAAGAGGAGCTTTGCAAAAACAAATTTGGATGGCCAAAATAACTGTTCTTCGCGGAGAAGTCGCTGACACAGCTAGTATAATACAGTAATACTAGGGGATGTTAAGTTTAGGTCACTATATCTCTACCAAACATTATCTTACCTGGGAGTTTTAGGCGGTTCAGGTGGTGGCTTATCCAAAATTGTATAAATAACTTCATCGTGATGTGTAATTTCTACTACAGACATGAAGTATTTTTATTATAATAAATCAAAATATAGTTTTCTCTTGCCACAAATAAAGTAAAAAACTAATTTAGTTAAAAAGATGCGATTAAATGGTTGCCATGCCAACCAAAAAAATCTATTATCTCAACGTAATGACATGTAACAAAATTTATAAAAAAAACACTCTTTACTTTAAAAACACTATTTACTGTAGAAATTTATAGACAAAGAAGGAAATTTTTATTGCGTACTAGAATATAACATTTTGAAACTCACAATTTAAATAAAAGCGGGTCGTTAAGCCACAGATTATTTATTAGCGGTGGCGATGGGTAGACGTCATTGGTTTTAAATGTCATATTCGATACATTGAAGAATAATTTTATTTATCTTCTTATATTACAATACTTATTTTAGTAAATGATATTAAACTAAAGATCAGAAAAAAAATTATTCTGAGGTTCGTTAATGGTTTAACTAAATTCCACAATATACCACAGACTTATATATAACCTGTGGAAAAATATTTATTCAGAATGACATAAAAATTATAAAAACAAAAATGGTGAAGATGTTTGTCAGACAATTTAATTAATATATATAAGTTACCCAGTATTACACAAGCACTAAAGAAACTTTGTTGAAATTAACAAATTCCGAATAATTTAATTTGTGTATTAGTTATAATTAGACAACATGTCTATAAAGCTGTTGATACTGGCTTGTACTATATTACTTTCTTTTAACTCAGTTTCTGTAAGTACATAAGAGAAAAGGAAGTTTTTAAATTATTTTTAGATATAAAATGTAAAATTAATAGTTTTGTATATAATATCAGTTGTCGACGTGAGTGTGAACTTAATCTAATTATCTTTCAGGGATCATATGATGACAAACGTTGCAAATGTGTTTGTCCTCGACCTGCAGCCGTATTGAATAACACAATAAGCTCTGATCGTACTCTTTACATTGGAAATGTTCCACCCAACAAATGGTAAGTAATTAATTGCACTGGGTTCAATGAATCTAAAGTGAAAAGTCCTTTGTAAATTGTTAAACAAGATTTATTTCAATCTTGATTTTTTTCCAGTAACTGTGATGGTATTATCCTTCCTAAAGTTGGGGAATTGATAAAGGGTCGTGAACAAGAATTTTGCCCCCGTTGTGAATGTATCTATGAAAATAGGAATACAACAATAATTCAGGTACTGATGCCTATTTTTCTTTTAGTCTTACAAATTCTTTTCCCAATGCAATCTGGCTATTGTAGACTGAAATCATTAGTGAAGTGAAATCTCTCATTAGACACACATTTCTGTATACATTTTAATTGACAAGTAGTTGATCAAACTTCTGTGCCAAGCAGCTGAAACCATATCTTATCACTGTGGGATTGTAACCCAGGACCTCTCATGCTTAATGCAAAGTTAGACAGCATGTTTAAATACTTTCTTAAAAGAAATATTAGTTAATATACATTATTTTACAGGTTGTTGTAATTATTGTGGTTTGGGTCATCATGCTACTTGTAGCTTATATGGGTTTCCTTATCTGTCTCGATCCGTTGATAAACAAGAGGGCAAAAGCTTCATACCAGGAGCACACAAATGAAGATGTAAGTACTTTTACCAATATATAAATTTATTCAACATACAATGGTTAAATGTATTGCAACAAACGCCAAAAGTTTACTAACTTTACTAGATTATCTTGTAGTGATGTAATAAAACAAAACTTGAGATGAACGGTTTATTTCTTACCATGTTTGCATTGTTATATTTTTAGAAAAGCAATTATTATTGTTTTAATGTCTGCTGCTGGCTTCTTATTGCTTTGTCATTTATTTATTGATACACATAATTTCCATTTTAACAGTGGCAGTAAACTATATTATCAAGTACTACAAAAAAGAATTATACATATTAATAATCAACTTTGGCAAATAAGGCTTGTAAAACTCCCTTAATCTTAAAGAGTATGTATTCTAGCACCTAGATAATTTGTTTCAGGATGAGAGTACACTGGGTGGACCATCTCAACAAATGGGTGCACGTGGAAACGTTCTGAATCGTGTCACCCATCAACAGGATAAGTGGAAACGACAAGTTCGTGAACAACGACGCAATATATATGACCGACACACAATGCTAAATTAGAATGTTAGCTATCGACATACAGTGTAGTTTTTGGGCAACTAAGTGAAGTTAGTCTCTGTAACATTTGGCTGCTTTGATTATTATTCATCTATGTAATTATCAAACTGTACTAGAATTTGTACAAACTTTTATGAATTTGACTTTCAAGCTGTATTTTTTTTATATCAGTTAATCATGAATGACACTAATTTTACCAAATATTTTATAAATTTCATATTTAATCAATTTATTGTTTCATTACTTATGTAAGCATATATATTTTTAATTGACTTTAGATAAACTTCGTGTTCATTTATTAATAAACTTGTATTAAATTCATAGACATAATATGAAATTGAAATAAATGAAGGAACAGACTTTTTTTTATTAATGATGCCTTAGTAAAATAATGCATAAATGTAATTTCATCCACAGTTTAATAGGTGTCCCCGACAGAAAACAAAATTTTGTCTTTACATCTTACAGGAAGGAGAACCATCTTAAAGGAAAGGGACATACCAACCAATATTATATTATAATTACTGTTCTTATTAGATTAATGAAAGCTAATACTTTAATTGAATGAATAAAACAACGATCTTTGTGATCATCTTCCATTAATAAGCTGTAAGTTTTATTAAAGTACAGTTATATATTCTGTAATAATTCTAGTAAGAAAATTACCTTAATATGTATTCATAACAATTTACTTTTAAATATGTTGTTTTGATTTTATTTCATATGGTGTAATATAATAATTGTGTGATAGATTGACATTGATTTTTTTTTTTAATAATATTTAATGGCCTGGTAACGAGACCTTTAAGCCAAGTCTTATTTTAACATTGATTTTTATATTATCCCATAGACAAGGCACAAAATGTGATCACCTTTGTGGCTATGCCACAATGATAAATTTAAATTCATTTCAATGGCCTCATAGATTGCCCCCGTCGAGGTCCAGACTCGCGAAGTTTGAACAGAAACAACTAAAATGTTTATGGATAAAATATTTTTGTTGTTTCTGTTAAAAATGTTTTATACATGTTTGTTGTAAAAACTTTATGTTAAAATAATCTATGACTTATGACATTTTACCGATAGAACTCTACAGTAAAAATGATCTTATATCTGTAAATATTTATGCTCTGTAGTATATTCTTTGCATCTGTGCTCCACTTCAAAAATACCCATACGTTTATCTTTAATTTTACATGTTAGTATTTCCTTTTTTTAAAACCATTAACTCGTAATAATTACTTCGAGTATTAATAAAGCATAAATCTTATCATGTCATCAAAACTGAATCATTTATCAGACCCATTAAAGTTGATTTAAGAAAACACAATGTTTTTCGGAAAGGCCATAATTTTACTTATATTTATGTCTACAGTAATAACGGTAAGAGTATTTCTTACAACTCGTCTTTTTCTAAAATATTTGTATTGTGACAAAAGTATCTAAACCTAACTCTTTAAAAATATCTTGATCAAATGGTTATTTATAACTTTTATATTAATACATTTATAATACTTATTAAAATTGTCATCCCAGGCCCAATTCTATGAAAACCAAAGGTGCCGATGTGTTTGTCCTAGTCAAACATCTCTATTTAATACAAGCTCAGAAGATATCGCAGATCGAAAATTGTACATTGCATTAGTGCCATCCGATCAATGGTAAATAATAAATTTTACAAATTACTACCTGTCTATAGTTTACGCGAGTAGTACACATTTAAATAAAACACTAACGATTTACGGCAGCGTGGTCACGGCTGCTGCAAAGCATCCGAAACGTCGGACCGAAGTTAAAAATCATTTTCAAATAAGTTTAACTAATATATCACGTTTTAAACCGTTAAAGTGTTTTATTTAAATTACTACCTCCAATGATCAGTACTAAATACTAAAATAAAACATTGCCAACCTTAGCCCCGGAAGTTCTGTATGTGTTTTTGTGGGAAAAATAGGAAGTTTACTTATCTGTAAAAAAATATGATCAAAATTTTCCTGCTCCATAAAGGGGACGCAGGATTCGACACTTTTTTATATAACACATGGTATAGTTGTAAATGTTTTATCAAAAAATTTTCGTTTAATTACATATAGTTTAATATTTACAGTACATGTGACATTGTCATTTTGCCTCGTGTAAGTGATGAAACCAGGCGACATGCACAGGTGTTTTGTCCGAAATGTGAATGTCGCTATGAATCTCGTAACACAACTATAATTATGGTGAGATCTGAAACTGTATTGGCTATTATAACTCTATAAAACTATGTGTAATATTGAATTATTATTTCAGATTGTTGTAATAGTAGTGCTGTGGACACTCATGTTACTGTGTGCATATTCAATTTTTTTAACCTTGCTACAGCCTCTAGTTGGGAAGAGAAAATTGGCTATTATATACAGAAATATGGATGAAGTAAGTAATATGTTTTGTGATATTTCATTTCCATTCACCGGTGCAGGGGTTTTTATGGTGCAACTTCTTTATGCTTCAAAGAAAAGTGTCAAGGAAGAGTGTTATATTTACTTTTGACTTTGATGTATAGATTTTTCTTATACAAACCACATTTAAGCATATTTGATAATAAATATTTTAAATATACAGTGTACGCTTTAGTCTGTAATGTGATATCTTGGTCTTTATTACCTTTGTTAAGCCCATTGGCATTGTCTTAAATAAGACTGACAAACTGGGAGCAAGGTTCCATAAGTACTTTGTATCACCTAGATGTTTCAGTAGGGTACAATAAAAAAATACTATTGCAACCCGCAAGATGTAAAACAAGCAGACAACCAATTTCTTGTATATTTTTATGACAATGACATACTTGTAAGAGAATTATGATACTAGATTATAAAAAAATATACATGCGTTTTAAAGACATATTTTAATCTTTTTTTCTCACAACAGGCTCACAGACCCTTGATGGATGATGATTTTGAAGACTGAATCAAACCTTATGCTCCTGAAACTTAAATAATTGTGATAATAATTTATTGTAATGAAACTTAAAAAGACTTGTGTGCATAATAAAAGCCTTCTAATTAGAAATAAGCTAATGTTTTGTTAGTACTTTGATATATTTTTATAAAAAAATCTTTTGTTAAAAAGTGCAATGTAGAGTTGCTTTTTGTTGTAATTTAATTTAAGGATGAATAAAAAATGTTTGTCAATGATTAGTTTTAATTCTTTTAATCATGATCAACACAATTCTAACTCATACCTATGAAATGGATAAAGCAGATATTTCTTCAAATATGATATAAATAATATAATTATAACAAACTAAACAGATGTCAAACAAAAATGGTAGTAAGAAAGCTTCGGACTAAAGACTTACTATTCTGGTTGTTCATTACAATTTATACCTCTCTGAATTAAAATTTCGCCATAACTTGACTTAATTCAATGATAATAAAGAAAACGAAATAAAAGAATAAATATTAAACTATAATTAAATAAATCATGTATTTTCCTTTACAAAATATTAAGAAAACAGCTATAGTGTAAACATGTACAAACAAAAAGGCATTTTTAGCGAATATGTTCTGATTTTATTTTTAAACACTATAACTATAGTAAATCTTGGCTATATGAGAACATATACTTTGATGACATTATTTTGCTTACAACACAGGATATCAAAATTAACTTTCCATATAACTAAGCCCGAAACTCATATTACATAATAATTTTAGCAGAGTCGACAATAACTGTTGTGAATATCTCATAACTACAGTGAAATATTTCACTCACAATACATTATGAATTGATGATTACAACAAATTGCTTTAGCCAAGACATATTGTAATTGTTGAAATATAAATTTGATTGAATTGGAAATCTGTGTGAATATACAAAACCAAGCTTTTTGTACCTGTTGGAGTTTGTATTTCTGTGAGTACATTTCACTTGTTTCCTAGACAATTGTAATATTGTAAGTGGTATATGTTAACCAAGAAGTAAATATTTATTGCAATCCCCAACCCTCATATCAGAGTCCAGTCCCTTTAAATTTGACCTGACAAGTTATGGGCCTTCATACTGACACTCTGCTCACCCACCCATCTTAAGTGGTATGGTGTGTTTACTAGAAGTTAGGTTATGGTTTACAAATCTAAGTTGGTTTTGAGTGATTTGATTAGGAATGTTCAGTATTGGTTTCTATGCAATTTGTATAAGGTATCAATAGGTTAAGATGATGCTGACTTATCATTGTATAGTCGAAAAATTAAGATATAGTATTTAGAGGTTTGTTATGTATTATTTAGTCAAGATACACAGGTTGTTAAATTAATCAAGAGGGAGGTTGAGGTTTTTAACAATATACATTAGAGTGATGATGATGTTTAGTCAAGTAGGAGTTGGACAAGCAAGAGAGGATTGATTTGAGAGATTGAATTTTAGTTAACATTATGGGAAATATTTAATTATTAAACTTCAAAAAGTGAAGTGGAAGTATTTGAGTGGTAATAAGATTTCAATGAATATTCTGGTATATATGGAAGGTGTTTATATCATATAATTAATAATGTTTCAATTATGAAGGTGAGACTATTGAGTATTAAGTAAGGTATTTCCTTTTGCTTTTGGTATAGTGTCATACATTTTTTTAGTAGTAAGAGCGGGCAACGCTTGCCATGTGTGTAGATAGTTTTCAATTGTAGGAATATCTATTTCAATATTGTAAGAGATAATTGTTTTAATTTGAGTACATCTCATTTCTATTGTCGAAGCGAAAAATCTAATCCTAATAACATGAAAAATTAATTATGTATGTGTATAAGGGTAAAATATACATTAATCATGAAGTACACTTTTTTGAAATTCCATTCACCTGAGTCCAGTCCCCTACAAATTTAACCTACTAACACCAAAGTTACATAGTACAGTATTGTGCGTATTTTGACATATTAAGTTGAATTAATTTAATCATAGCGTAAACAAGGAAAGTATAATCAACCAATGTTTCGGAATCTAAAAATGGCGCTTGACATTTTATGATTTGAACTAAAACTTGACAGCCCGTTTTAACTGACACGGCAAATTTTGTTCGCGGTAAATCATCATGGTTGACTATGACTACCCCTTTAGCATCAGCTAAATAATGAATTTACATCTAACTATAGATCGGGGAGTAGATAAGTGATCTTCAGTTTCTATCGTCTTTTCTTTACCGGGCGTTTTTATAACGTTATTAGAAACGCGGATGCAAGTTATGGCAAATAAAAGGAGTTCGGATGCCGTCGTAATGCCGAAAACTGCCGAAGTTAACGAAACCGATCCTTTGGCGATCGTGGCCGAGCATGATAACGATGATTGTACCGCTGTCGAAACTGTTGCAGTGGCGAGTTCGAAAACATCTTCAGGTCTCAAACTTTCTAATAATTCTAGTGGCATTATCACAGTACCAGTGTCTTTGCCAGTTGGCGCCCTCGTGACGGGTTGTTCTTTCAATGTTATACCATCTGAACCGTTGCCGCATTTTAAGCCCATGTTGTGCGTGGATAATGGGTTTATTTCTAGTGGCTCGCTTAACCAGAAAACCAAACCAACACATATCGTCATCCAGGATTCGGTTGGATCGACGTTGAATGATTCCAAAGACAGCGAAGAAGAAATTTTGCCGTTCACTCGAAATGCGAACAATCAATCCTGGCTGAATGTGGCGAGTATGCCCGTATTACCTATACGTTGTAAAAATACTTCAGCAGAACTCCATAAATGTAAGTTGGGATCCGGTGGTCGTGGTAAATGTATTTTTTATCGTTCAGAGTGGTATACACCAAGTGAATTTGAGGCACTATGTGGCAGGGCATCTAGTAAAGACTGGAAAAGGTCTATAAGATTTGGTGGAAGAAGTATTCAAACATTAATTGAAGAGGGCATTCTCAAACCACATGCCACAAGCTGCACTTGTGGTTCTTGTTGTGATGACCTAACAGGTGAGTTGTTATTTTTTTGTAGTAATTAGTTTTATATTTGTATTAATTAAAAGTAATTTAATAGCAAATAAAAATTTATCTTTAGAGAACTTAAATACTGTCAACATTATCTAGATTCTAGAACAACCTAGGATATATTTATTAGTTCGTAGGAATAAGGGACAAAAAAAAGCTTATGGTTCTAGTATTGGTATGGTATAGTTTATGCCTCAATCTATGTATGTTGGTAGTAATAATTTTTTAACCTTAAAAATTGCGTTAACTTAACTTTTGTTGCAATTTCCTAATATGTAATATATAAATAGTTACAATAAATTAACAAAAATATTTTTGCTTATTTCTGGCTAAGTAGAAACTATATTTTTTGCTGATATCTAAAATGATTCTCTTCTAAACATACTTAGGTATTTTTTTATTTGACAGCTACTGGTCCTGTGAGATTGTTCAAACCATATCAAAGAAAAAGACGTAATCAAGACTCTGAAGGTATGTAGTTTATATTCTACTAAAGGTTTGTCGGTTTTCTCATTGCTGACAGTCGATTATTAGGAATTTTCAATTGTATGTTTCAATAGTACATTGTTTGGTTTTCAAACATTTGTTTTGTAATATTTAGTAATTAAGTATTTTTTTTTTCTATTTATTTATTTTATGTCATCTTGCAGATGATCAAGTAAAACTTTCAAGAAAGAAACGTATTACAGAGGATTCCAATATAGATAACATACATCAGACAAGTAATAGTAACTCCAAAGAGGACTGGCAAACTCTTGCAGTTGATCTTGATAATAATGAAGATTATAACTTATTAACAGATGATCCAACTTCAGAGGATATCTCCAGTAAGATTATTTAATGAATTAAACTGATTAAAAGCTTCCTTATGTATTACATGTTATTGTACATGAATATTTTTTTTAATCAAAGCAGAATTGACTATGTATACAAAACAAAAGTTGTGATCTCTTCAGGTCACTTACCATTTGATAAACACCCATTTCTTGTGTCTATTTTCATAAAAGTTAATATATTTTGCAACAGTACAGTTAGCGTACTCAATTGTTACACATATTCATATGTATAATATTTATTTCATAATACAAAGTTATACAATATAATGCATGTAACAAGGAATGATAAATTTATTGTAAAACATAATATTTCTCTCAAGACATTCTCAGAGTGGGTTTGATTGGAATTGGGTGCATTTGGTATATTATGAAACATTAAGATGGACCATATTTTCTACTATGATATATTAAATCAATAACAATTATTTACCCCAGCAAATAATTTACCAGTTTTTGTGATGTACCATAATCTGTGATACAACATAAATATGAAAACAGTATGTCCAATACCTACATAACCTAACTAACTTTATGTATTTGTCTTTGCAGCATCAGTGGAGGAAAGGAAGGAAATAGGTTAGTGTTTGGGGAAAAAATTACATTTTTTATTAGTCTAGAAATCTTAGTACATACTATATACTGTTAACTCTGTTAACTATGGACTGTAAACTTAATAATTTATGCCTGGTTGGTGACAGATAGATAGAGATACAGATAGCAAAGGAATAGAACATAGTAATATTTTTTTATCGTTTAGGCAGGGGCCCCTAAAATTACACCTGTTGCTAGAATTTTTCATTAGAAAATGTGACATTTATCTGTAGTACTAATATTGAGAGTGTACTGTACTGTTTGTTTTTTTATTAGACACTCTTGTTCTGGAAATTGAATATATTGAGTAATTTTTGAACATCCAATTTAATGTTTGTAAACAACCTGTCCTAACTGTACATAATTCACTCAAATACTTTGTGCCTCTGTTCCTATATTATTTATATTTTCAATAACATTTCAGAATTGCCTGACATGAGTTCTGTAATAAAGCGAATTGAAGACATAGGGCAAATACTATTAAAATTAAACGGAGAATTGAAGCAATGTGCTGAAGATGTGCGCCTGATAAATACAAGGCAATTGGAGCATATAGATCGCACCACTGAATTACTTGCTGCTGCCACAAATGCCTCCAGTGGTGTTGATGGGCAAGTTGATGGGGAGGAAGTATCATTGCAAAACTCAGATAGTGAGGGTACAAAAAAGGTAAGCTACATGACACTAAACTTGACAATAGAAGGTGTGGCGGCGAGTTTCTTGCCAGTTCTTCTCGTTTGTCCTACGCCCTTAATTTGGGAACTGGTAGTAAATGTAAATTTAGAGTTTACAATTTTGTACCGTTTTGACGTTAATACGTGTATGTAGCTACTACCTGTATGATTAATGATTTCTGATTTGATATGATTTTCGTCTTACAGTGTGCCAATTGTAACAGAGCAGCGTCGGCGGAATGCTCTCTATGTCGAAGAACGCCGTACTGTTCCACTTACTGCCAGAAAAAAGACTGGGCGTCACACCAAATAGATTGTTTGCGGAATGTGCCTCAAGTCTTCAACTCGGAAGGCTCCTCGCACCAGTCGATCATGCTTATAGTGGAAAATCCACAATAACTAACGCAACTTCTGAAGTTGATAGCGGAGGAATGTTCTAGAGATGTAAACAGATGACAGCCTTTTGCTGTCACAAACATAGTACAAAGATGTTTTGATAACTCCATTATAGTAAGGTTTTATGATATATTTTATAGAGTCGCTAGAAATAAGTATAGATAGCCGATGATAGCTGAAGTCTCTTGTTAAATTGAAGTATAATGTGAAAAATAGTTTCAGCCGTTTGGTATTCACTGCTTGACACAGGCACCCCAAAAACTTCCAGTACGACTGGTTGTTCGTAACTGCGTTGTCAGTCCACCTGGTCCAGGAGGACGTCCAGGTTTTCGACGTCCGGTACGTGGTCTCCACTCCAGAACCATTTTGTTCCTAAGCACATCAGTTTTACGAGCGTGTGTCCAGCCCCCTGCCAATTCAGCTAGCTGATGCGAAGGGCTATGTCTTGTTGGCCATTTTCTTAGCACGCTGAGCGACGCGTAGTCTGTGCAGTAGCTCGCAGAAGGTTTTCAGAAATCTGCTTGTCGGGTAGCTTGAATTCATCAAGCCGACGTTCAAAACGATTTGAAATTACCATTGAGAACAACTTGTTGCCATGGATCGGAATCTTGGTGTAGTTCTTCCGGATTTGTCACCTTTTATAAAGAATTGAACCACTATGTTTCTGTGTCATGCCTCTTAAGCAATCTGAGAACTGGTATACCTCTCTCAGGAGCTCCGTATATAGCTTTCAATTGCATGCTGAGCGACGCATAGTCGCTATTCGGTCGGTTAGTCGGATTTGCCACCTTTTTTAAAGAAATGAACCACTATGCCTTGCTTGTGTACCGCCTTACCTTACCTCAGAAGCTCTGAGGTATTTCGACCCACACCCGGTGCCTTGACGTTCTTAGTTTTTTTAGGGCCATCCTAATCTCGTATAGACTGATGATTTGGTATCTTTCGTCATGCTCACGACGGGGTTGGCAAGTAATGAGTAAAATTGCTCGTAGAACCTTTCGACTTCTAGCATACATTACCACCCTCCTTTAGCCTAGTCCAATAGACGTATCTCTTGCCTTACCTTTGTACCGTACTGCTTCCTCAATACATTAAGGGAGTGGATATCCCGCCTCAAAGATTTTGATATTTGTCTAAAGAGCTCAAACCTGTTTTGTGACTCGTATGGAAATCCAATATTCACCACGACATTGAATGTCCAGATTTAGGCTACATGTTTCATTAGATTTCTAGAAGCATGTTGATTATACTACCATCGGATCAACGAGCGTATCGTTTTATTATATTATCTTACCTTCTCTTGGGTACCATTAGTTTTTAAATAATTTAGTCACACCTTATCTTTCTCTTATTGTTATTTCGTTTTAAAATATGTCTAAGGCGTAAGGACCAATCATAGTCATTGCAACAGTCAGCCAGCACTTTGCTGCAGTGTGAATAGATAACACAGCATAAATGATGTTATGAATAGAGCAATATTAAAATTTTATGTTACTTTTGTAAAAATTGATTTATATTTATAGTACTGTATTGTGGCGGCATGAACGTGTTTAAGACTGATTAAATTAAACAAACGATTATAGGCGGGAGAGGAGTAGGAAACATTAAAACGATGTTAATTGATTTGAACATTTATTGTAACTATTGTGATAATATAGATGCAATACTATTATATATTTAATAGAAATAAATTTAAGCGGTATAAGAGTAGTTTTATTTTAGCCACCTGATTCTACGCCGTATAGTCAACTCCATTATATAAAGGATAATGGTACTTTTTTACAAAATTTGTTGTCTCCTTATATTGATTGATCTATTTTGAAAAGAGGCAGAGTGGCCTATTAACAATAACATGATTTTCAATGAAATAAAAATGCACAATTAACTTAGGCGAAAATGGATTTGTACTATTGTGTAACGATTATGTTAACAATTTCCACTGTGATCTTGTAGATTAACATTTTTTTTACTGAAAATATAAACAACTCATTTTATAAAAATGCGGTTAGGCTACTTTGCCTCTAGGGGCCTTAAAGCCATTTTTTCAACAATATTATAGAATATAAACAATGCCTGAAGATATCGTGCATTGAGTATGAGAGGTTGTGAAAATTAAATAGTAAAGAGTATTTTTTTTAACAAAGCAAAAGACCACAACAAACATTGACTATTTCAAACCATAAAGAACTAGAGATGACCGTTTATCGTTGACCGAGTGAAGTCCTTGCCACAGATGACACAGGAATAAGGAAATATAGATTATACAGGGTCCAAACGACTTCAAAATTTAAAACTTGTATAATGCACCTTTTTATATATTTTTTATGTTATTATTATTTAACTTGACGTTTGTAACGCTTTTCGTTTAGCGATTAGCGGGGCTTTCACTCTCTATTGTCGTTGACTTTGCTCACATCCCACCCTCGTGTTAAGGTCAAACTAAAGAAACTTTATTCTGGTCATTTACGTAAATTAATTTTTAAGTTCTTTTATTTATTTTAGAATGGAATTGTCATGTTTACTACGTGAATTTAAGGTACTTCATTTGTTTAATATGTAATTCAGTGTCTCAAAGTGTCGTTAGTGTAAATTAATGTAAACCTTGTGAGAAAATCGCGATTTCTTGTAAATTCTTTATCAATAATGCCAAGTTAGAAAAAATACACTATAAGCGTATGAAACATGATAATGAAGGTCCAATTTTACCGAGCAATAATAACATTGATTGAGCAAGTTAACGGCAGTAAGGATTACGGAATAATTAAATTGATATAGTTGTGAAGTGTAATTTTCTATCAAATTCGTTTGGAGTAAAATTGGGTCCAAAACAGACTAATCATTGGGACATACGCCTACATGAGTGTTGCGTTTGGCAGCATTGAGGGGAATATTAATGGGTGTGTTGTTTATAATGATGTTGCGTATACATCCAGTGAAGCCTCGCCGGGATCGGACACCGCGGACCTTGTAGACTGGACGCTCGTGTCCGCCGATGTACAGCGCGGAGCGTGTGTCCGTTGACCCGGACTGTCCGATACCCGCATCTGACAAATGGCCGTCGACTCCCACGGATACCACGTGACGAGACTTCACAGCTGTAAAAATATCCCTTTATAGTATTTTCTATGTGGCACGTTATTCGATAAATTGATTAGAACCACGGACTCGGTGGGGATTGAAACGATCCGATGGTTATTAGCCATGCATTGCTATCGTTACACTAACGAGTTCATCAAATAAAGGATCGGTGAAACGGACGCAGTAATGTTTTCGTCAAATGTTTAATAGGGTAAAAATTTATTGTTTCTCCAGGATTAGACCTACCTAAGAAATGGCTCTTACCGTATATCTTGTGCCAGTTTCCGTCACAGAGCGAGAACTTGTCGCCCAATTTGTAGCTGGCGTGGAAGGGCCCCTTTCCGTTCTCGACGTTAGCCACGACCTCGTTCTCCAGAAGCTCCAAAATCATGAAGTCCCGTCGCCCGTGAACGCTCAGGAGCAGACCGGTCGAGTTGCGAGGCTTCACTTCCATGGATATCGATATGTCAAAGCCCACTTTGAAGTTCTCCATGAGCTGAAAATGTTAAAAGTTTTATTCACATCTTAAATTGTACTTGACACGGTATCCTTACTGTCTGTATTAAGAAGTGTTTTATATGTGACCCAGTGTGTTCATTGTATGTAATGTAACCCGGATCCCACGAATTGTACGTAATATTTCATGAAATATTATATAGGGGAGAGGAAATATGTTACTTTACCTTTAAGTAATTGCTGTGAGCGTTATTCGAGGGTCCGAAGTAGACGCCATCCTCAACATTGTCCGTGCAGCGGAGCGAGTTGACCCGAGCCCGGATGTCTGTCACCAGCTGACCGTTCATCAGCAATCCCTTGAGGCAACCCATGAAAGGCTGGTAGAAATCCTGAAAGAAAAAAATCTCAATATGATGAAAAAGCCGTGAAGTTTAACACACATTATGCGAGCCCCATTGCTTGTCTAACATAAAAATAATATAGTCTTATTTTTTTAGAAATAATAAAAAAAATCCTCCTGTGTCACAAATTATTTCAAATCATGTTCAGAGTGATCAAAAAATGATTTGAAGATGAGAAGTGAGAATGAGCTATATGACTGATTTTTAAAATTTACATTATTTTATTATATATATAGGTAGATGTTAAGCAACCACAGAAAAGTAGTATTTTTAAATTCTAATACATATTTGCTGAAATATATCAAACTAAAAACCTTTGAATAGCGCGCCTAAACGCTAATTTCGAAATAAGGCTAGTGACGTCACATTGGCCATTGGTTATATCGATAATGTTGCACAAATGTTTAAAATGTAAATTTTGCAGTATTTGACGCTATATTTTTCGCATTGTCAAATAGCTTAACCTTATTGGACTTACTTCAAGATTCTGGGTGATAGACCCATTCAGGTTGTTCAAACCTCCGTAGTAGTAAGGAGGAGAGAGGTGTGCGGGCGCGAAGCAGGTGACACTAGTTTCGCCAACGTGGTCAGAGTCAACGGTCAACTTGCCGTGGCCGCCATTCCGCACCAGCGTGACCGTGTGCCATTCCGTGCCGTTGTATGTTTTGCTGGATGACACTAAAGCAGTCTCACCACCGCAGTTAAAAGAGAAGTGTAACTGAAAAAGAAGTATTTGTGTAATCTATACTAATATATAAATGTCTATATTTTAAGCTTAACTTGCAAGAACGTCGAGAAGGGACGCGGTCGACGTCGTGGCTAACAGCTTAAATTTATATAGCTGACGGGGTTTGCAAAAACTAATTTGGATGCCCAAAATAACGATTCTCGCGAACGAAGTCGCTGACACAGCTAGTATGCAATATATGTAATAATAAAATGTATGGAATTTTCAACAAATGAATGCCAGCTGGTATTATAACATTGTTAATGCAGTCGTTCACGTATATCGTGAGGTACCGCGTTCGAATCCTGTAAAAGATCAAATTTTAATAGTGTATTTGAAATATTGCTAGTTTTTTTTATTGTCAGCATAATTAGGTATCGGTCGACAGTCTCATTTAGTATCGACCTCATTCAGTTAAGTTAGTCGCTCGCCAATCTGCCCTGGGGAAATGTAAGCTGAAAAATCCTAAGAAGAAACCTATGATATACCCCAGGACCTAGACCCAGGCTAACAGTTGGATACTAATAGGTTGAAACGAATTAAATTGGAGTTTGTCTTTACCTTAGCGTCTTTCATATATAGAGCGAGAAATTGTGATGGCGCGCGGTCAGCGTGGGCGTAGAATATCAGACCTCCATGACGGTCGAAGGTGCGGAAAGTAATCGTGAGGTCGAAGCCTTCCAGCTGTCTGCCCGGCAACTTGCCGTACTCTATGCGGCTGTCATTCCGAGAACCTAAGAGACAAACACAATAAAATATATGAAGATTTAAAATAATGTTTTTCTTCGTTAGCACGAAATGCCTGGGCTAAGTTCTAGAATGTATTTTTAACGAAGAAGACACAGAAAGCTTATTTTATACTAGCAGTGCTCGCGACTTCGTTCGCGTGGAATAGTGACTTGGGATAGAATATTTAATTTATGGCTGTTTATTAATTTTTATGTAATTGCGCATTTATCGCAGCCAATCTATGTTGTAAGTGCTACTTTGCCGCAACACTCTCACCTCACATCACTCCTACTCTAACTCCCACTCCTATTGCCAAAAAGCCAAAGAAGAAAGTTTCATTGTTCAAGCTTTAAAAACCACGAACTTCCATACAAACTTTCACCCCCCCTTTTAACCCCTTACAACCCAAAAGCCTATGCTCTTTCTCAGGGTCTAGACCATCTGTGTACCAAATTTCATTCAAATCCATTCAGTAGTTTAGGCGTGAAAGAGTAACAGACAGACAGACAGACAGAGTTACTTTCGCATTTATAATATTAGTAGACAAGGATATTTGTTGGACGTGGGTGAATTTTTGTATACGAATTAAAAAAAAATTACGACTAATGTTTTTAACAAGAGAGAAGGACAGAGAAGCATGTGGTTCATTTGATGGAAGGTGAAATAAGCAATCCACATAACATCTAAACAAGATGCGCTGTCGAGTTAATTTGTCTTTGGACATTCGGAAATCCAAAGACTGAAACCGAAATGCGATAAAACTTCACAGCTTTTCCATCTGTGGACGCCTGTTCGTGATGCGGACGGGATTTTGATATTCCTACCAACCATTTAATATCCAGATTTTTTCCAGACGATTAAGGTGTTTTAGAATATTTATAAATTGATCAGATACATGTTAGACCTGGTGAGTCCTATGATGGTAGGATTAAACCAACGAGCCTATGTTGTATGGCCTTCGTTGAATGTTGTCTGTAGTTAGAAACATATCATCATATAAATGGAATCAAGTTTTATTAAACTTACCGAATCGGTAGCCCTCCACTGGATCTCCTATGTGATATTGCGGATCGTAAGCAAGAGCGCAACCCGTTTCTGGCTGCGGTGGTGGTATTTTAGTGGTGAGTCTCGGTGTTGGCTGAGTGAAGAAGGTTGCTCGAGTAGTGACTGGCTGAGGTGTGGTTGTAGCAACCGTGGTCTCTTCGGGGACGTATTCTGGAACTGACAATACACGTATATTTTAATTTTTAGAAGTTTATAAAAAATGCGCGAGTATTTGAACTACTAATGACTACTTTGCGCGACTTCGCGTAAATTATTTTGAGAATAATATTATTCATTTTTGCAAATAACTTTCCTAAGCTTCCATTTTCCCCTCTGTTTGTTCGCTCCTATTGGTGCAGCCTGGTTTTAAGCCTTCTTCGATAAATGCTCCAAACAGTTTTTTTCAATTTGAACTTTATTTCCTGAGATTAACGCGTTCGAACTAGCAAAAAAATCCTGCGTGTATACTCCTGGGCAAATTTCGATAAAATTTTGCAAATATACTGATACAATAGGGCGTTCGTTTTCAATCGAAACTCCCTATTTTTTTAAACCGAAAGTCTCTCCTCCTCAAATCGATTCATAAGAACAACGTTTTAGCTTCTATAGCCAGTTTCATCTTAAACTCTAATATGATAAAAACTCCTACCCTTTGGTCCCGTATCCTCAGTTATGGGTTGCTCTGGTTTTGCATTAAACGTGGGCGTCGGCAGCACGTCTTCTCGGGGTGGGGCGGGCCAGGCCGATTGGTCTAAGATAACATATAGTATGATATAAATACACATATATTTTATGAACGTTTCCTTATAGTATTGGGGATATTTTTTAATGCTGATAAATATGAAATGAAGCATTGTGAGATGTACACAGGGGCTAATACTTTAGTGTACGGTAGTGTGACGGTAAATTTTGCATCGTAAATATTTCCAAATTCAAATTTTACCTGGTGAGACACCACCCGTGGTAGTGGTAGTACCACATCGGCCAAATGTTACGCTATGATTGCTGTACGGTTCCAGCAAGTTGAGGACTCGTCCATTCACAGTTGCGTCTGCTATGCAACCCTTGAACGGCACCTTTGAACCAACTTTACCCCCTACGACGTAACCTGGCTGCACGCCCCCCACAAATAATACGCCATCCAATATGTGGAGCGGAGCTGGTGCTGTATCCGTACTGTAAACGGAAGTTAATGTATTACAATAGAGAATGCGTAAATAAGATAAACCCACAATGTTTGGCGTTAGCCAATACGGACTAGAAAAACACTAAAATAACGTTAAAAATATATGGCGGTACTTGTTTAAGTTTATTTTAAGTTTAAGATCATAACAAGTATAATAACCATATATACATAATATTATAAGATAAGTGTATAAGGATATACTTTTTAATGGATCTTCGGTATGTAGTTCATTAGAGTTCCGAGTAATATTCGATGATTTTTTTTTAATGTATACGATTTTTAATTTTTGTCATCATGTCAAAAATTCATAAATGAAAAATAATCCTAAATATAAAAAAAAAGTTTTCAAACGTTAATTGTTTCGCTGTAATTTCATCTTAAGCTGCAAAGCATAAGATATTGAAACTTAATTAGCAAACATTAAGGTTGAAATTACATTGTGCGAAAGTTGCATGTATCAATATGTTGAAAAAATCGATGACGTATAGCACTTGATAGCTCAATTGGTTAGAGCATAATGTAATGCTGTAGATGCCGGTTCAAGTCCTGGCCGTGTCGAATTTTTTTTTCATTTTAAAATCGGTTTTTAATTATAACTCAAAGTACCCAAGGGTTTATGGAAAACCCCTCTTTTCTCTCCCTAGAATCGTAGTCGAATCGTTATAATATACTACACGACGCATTTAGTGCAACAACAATGAAATACCTGAAGTAGTCAAAGTCGTCAACGACCAGCCTTAGCGCCTTATTGCTGTGAGTGACGGCCACAACGTGCCACTGGGAATCGTTGTATGTGCTGATACCGGTGTCTAGACGTTCGCGTTGACTCATCAGCACTAGAGTACCTGAAATCGATAGGTTCCATTGGAGACACCAATTGAAGTCTGTCAGTGTACAAACTGCGTAAACAATTAACGGTTTTAAACGCGTCGTATTATAGTGACCATACACGGCTGAAAATAATACGAAATAGATCCTAGTTAAAATTAAATTCTTGTTTAAAACCGTTCAAAATGTTTCCTTCAATATTTACCACTCGTGTGACTAGAGAGAAATACTGTAAACTTAATTGTTTTTGTCTATATATTTTAATCGTCTAAAATGTTTTATTTAATGGTTACCATTTATGTTACTACAGACAATACTATTAATATAAAATTCACACAATTTCCCTCTACGGAGAAGGTTAGATCTCATTGTGTTTTTCAAAACTATCATTTTGACTCAACACTGAGTTTCATTACAAATATAGTATTTTTTTATTAATTTAGGTACACTCTCCTACTCCGTGACTTTGTGGTAATACAAAATGCCTAATAATACGTGAAACGGCTGTGAATCCCGAGAACAAACAAATATATTTAAAAAAGTACCCTTAATTAAAGACAACGATATGCTATCAGGCATGGTGTTCGTCTGGGTTCTGCTTAAGTACAGGAACAACAGTCCATCTGACATCGACGTCTTGAATTTGAGGGTGAGCTGCAGGTTCTCCGTGGTGATGTCGACGAAGCGAAGGTAACTGTCTTCACCAGAGAGCGATACGAGCGACGCAAACTGGAAAAGATTTTCTGGTTTAAGGCTTTTATTTAAGCAAAAAATAAATTCATAATTTCACAATTTACGAATACACAATTTTAATAGATTACAAATATTAAAACACAACACCTTAACGGTTTGAAACGCGATATATATTAGGTAAACTTATTTGAAAATTATTTTTAACTTCGGCCCGACGCTGTGTATAGCAGATGGCACGGAGCTGTCTCAATGTTAGCTTTTTTTGGAAATAAAACCATCCTATATGAGGGAGTGTATATATATAATAATTTGACTAGCTATGTCAAGAGTTCGAAAAATTTAACTACGACTACTTAAGTCATATCATTAACAGTAACTATCGTTTACCCTAATATTATATAAAATAGCATGAGGTACACCGAAATCATATATAAAACAATAGTATTTCTCGTTTTAAGTGAATTGTGAAAATTCCTTAATACCTTTTTTTATCATTATTGCTTCATATTACTGTTACTGAAAAGTATATATTTTTGTCAATCAGATACGCACTTGGCCGCTTTTTAATAGCCACTCCTGTTAATTACTAACCTGACATCCATAAGCAATGCCCACAGACTCAACATTCTCACTCAAGTCAAGATTTATTCCATCTATACTAATCTGACGCATACAGCCGTCGAAGCCTTTATCTGTCACTTGTATTATTCCCTTATTATTTCCTCCGAAGTTCATTGTGTCCAGGGCCGGGATCTCTTTCACGGCGGACGCAGACGCCATCTTTAATATCTCGTTGTCCACTTTGAGTGAGCACGAACTGAAATATCTTGCTGCGTCCAGTCTGTGCCATTTGCCATCGTTGTAGGATTTCGTAGTGCCAAGTATTACCATGTCGTCGGTGTTACCAAGGGACACCTTTGAAAAGTTATTATAAAAGAGTTATAGAAAAATATGTTATAGATATTATAGATAAGATATATACATATTTAAGATTGAAAAAAAAAATGCGACACGGGCGGATCCTTAGGATTCAAGTCCCGCCCGTAACACCTATGTAGGTGTTAAGGTTGAAATTATAATGCGCGAGAGGTGCATGTATCAATAAGTTGAAAAAATTCGACTATGAGGTGTAGGACTCGGTAGCTCAATTGGTAGAGCAACAGCACGGAACGCTGATGATGCCGGTTCAAGTCCTGCCCGAGTCGAAATTTTTTAAAATTTATTTTCGATTTTCAAATTAAGTCAAAGATGTTTCAAAAAATTTATATATCAATTGAACACGTGGAACGCGGTAAAAATCAAATTCACAATCGTCAAGACATGTAGGGCTTTCCTACGTACCTGCAAATATACGCGTCCATCCTGCATTTGTATGGAGAAGAAGTGCTTATTCTCTCCAACAAGGTATATCAGTCCATCAGGCGCGTATGTCCTGAAGAATAGGAACACTTGGTTCTTCTGCGGTCCAAGGTAGCCCCTACCAGGCATCGTTATATGTGATCTTCCATTGAACCTGTATTCTTGCGGTCCTGACTGTGACGTAATTAGCTTATCTCTGGAAATGTAAGAAGAGATTGGGAATTTTTCTTAAATAAAACACTTTAACGGTTTAAAACGCGATATATTAGTTACCGTTAAAGTGTTTTATTTAAATGTGTACTACTCGCGTAAACTATAGACAGTATCTAATTTTTCTTAATTTAAATATTAAACAAGTTTTACTCGTTTGACTATAACACTCTAGCGGTTTAAACGCGATATATATTGCTAAGGCATCCGAAACGTCGGGCCGTACTTAAAATAACTTTGAAATAAGTTTAACTACTATAATTCGCGTTTCAAACCGTTCAAGTGTTTTAATTAAACGTGTACTACTCGCGTAAACTACAGACAGTATTTAAGTTTTACTAGATTAGAACATGGTTTATAATGGCATAAAATTCATTTCTCAACTAATAAAAGTGACAACTGACAACATTTTGGTATTGTTTAAGTCGCAAGAAAATCATATATTTTTACTCAAATTCTTTTGACACTGTATGCTATAAACGTTCTCTTGCACATTAAAAGCGTCTTGAGAAATATTATTTTCTAATGATAAAGGACAGCGTGAGGATTCCTTAATGGGAGGTGAAATAAGCCAATCGTATACTATTTTGGCTTAGGATATTCGGAAATCCATAAACTGCAACCGAAACGCGATTAAACTTCACGGCTTGTGACCCGGACGGCATTTCTATATTCCGACCACCCAATTAATACCCAGATTTCCAGACAAAGTCCAACATGTTTCGGAAAAATTATAAATTGACTAGAATAATGTTGGTTGGACCCGTTGATTATTGCTACCATTAGACCGACAAGCCCTTCAAAATTTGCTAATAGTTAAATAATTGTAATCGTAATTTGCTGTGCTATTGTTGAAATTGCAATAAAACATATCTCTTGGCACGGTATGGTACGGCTACAAACGTACTCTATCACGTTTAAAGTTCTCAGCGAAAAAATGCTAGAATAATATTCAAACACCAGCCCATAATTATAATAGCTTATTTAGCTTCAAAAAATTCTATAAAGCATTTTTATTAAAGTACCAGAACGCTTTGCCGCTGGGCGCAAGTATTTCACCCTACTATCTACGCCATTAATTGTTATTTTTATAAATAATTACTTAATAATGTTTCCCGCTAAAGTCACTGTTATATAATATCAAATGCTTGTATGGGCGCTGTCTAACAGACGAACAGTGGGGTTTTGCTGAAAATCAGTGTTGTAGTATAACTTATGCTGACGCAAGACCCTTTTGGCATCATTTTGACTACTTCTAACGAATGTACAAAATGAATGCCAAATAAAGAGATTAATTATTAATATTAAAAGCGACTAGAGAAATATAATTTTACCTCTGCCTTGCGCCCTTAAGGTTAGCAGCTGTACGGAAGTTCCAAAGTCCCACCGGCGTATCGCCGATCATTAGCTCCTCGATCTGACCCTCAAACGCAGGGAAGCTCACCCCTTGCAGCTTAGCATCTGACGGGACACCGCCAACGTACAACTTGGACTTCTCCCGGTCTAGATTGAAGATTGTATGCTGTCCGGGAAGAACTGCTTCTTTCACGTGGACGCTGTCCGACCCATTGTCTAGGCTCTCGCGTATCGACAGTTTCACGTTACGTCCGATTCTGAAGTAAGAACGGTTGTTGTTAAAATTATTACGAATCACTTGTTGCTTTTTCCAACAACAAAATCAAAGAAATTTTAGTGCAAGTCAAAAAAAGAGTGTGTGTTGTTGATAAGAGCACAGCTTCTGTACCAAAATAGATAAACGTGTTGCTTAGTATTGAAAAATCATGGTTTCAAATCCTGGGAATGCGATAGATTGTTATGATTGGGACGAGCGCAGAAGTGTGATTAACTTGACTGTAAAAGAACCGATCATTGAAGCCCACGCCCCATGTTGAGCACAGGATTTCAGTTAAGAGTAAAAACAATGATTCGATTGATTTAAATAAAAGACTTTAACGATTTAAAACGCGATATATAAAGTTAAACTAAATTGAAAATTACTTGTCTTCCTGTGACCACGGCTGCTGCAAAGCATCTAAAACGCCGGGCCGTAGTTAAAAATACTTTTTAAATAACTAATATATATCTATACGTTTTAAACCGTTAAAGTTTTTTTTTATGTGTACTACTGGTGCTACAGACAGTATTTAATGTCGAACTTACCTATCCACAATAACCTGGTACCATCTATTGTCAGCAACGAATTTATCACTACCGATTCTGACTGGTTCACGACCTGACTCCGCACTGTCTCCGATATCCATAGCTAAGAATGGGTAGCCATTTTGTATTTCCAGCACCATGAAGTCATCCTGAAATTGATGATTCATGATGATGAGGAAGAAGAAAGATCATTTAAGAGAAGTAGGCTTTTAGTAGTTCTCTATCTTATTTAATGAAGCGTTTTTGATAACTTTGTTAATTCAAGTCGATGATAATAAGGAAATAAGGAAGAACAAACACAGTACATTTATGTGATAAAAGGAATTTATAAAATATATGAATTTATATAATATTTAAATAATAATATTAAAAAAAGTGTTTCTTATGTTAATTTAGTCTCTGTATTTATGAAGCTAGTATAGTTTCAATTTTATCATTAAATATATATATATATATATATATATATTACGTAACACATTTGCATTAACATAATAAAATTTAAACAAGTCTTTTTTACTAACATCATTGTCTCAACTTACAGATTTAGTTCTCCGCAGCATAGTGTCCTTAGGGTTGCCAAGGTAGAGGAGGAAACCGTTCTTCTCCTTCGTGCGGAAGTATGCAGAGACGTGCGTGGACGTCGACATCTCGTCAACGGTGTCCGGTAGTCTTGGCTGGAGTGTGGTGTGCGTGTCGAAGGTCACGCCCATGGGCATACGGTTTGCTATGGTTCTAGCCTGGTTTCATGAACAAATATTATTAGTGTTATGTATTTAATTAAAATGTTATATAGTATAGCTGTGAAAAAAATTGAAAGATTTCAAGCAAAGCATCCGAAACGTCGGGCGAAAGTTAAAAAAAATATAATTTTCAAATAAGTTTAACTAATATATATCGCGTTTTAAACCGTTAAAGGGTTTTATTTAAAAGATTTCAAGCATTTAAGCTAAGCTAATAGCGAAAGTCTTATGCAAAATAATAGCATTACCTGGTCGATAAGTTCACGAAGCTTTTGTAGTTTCTCATCTGCGAATTTCCTTCGGTCTTCGAGACTTTCTTGTTGCATCTTCACAGTGCGATATGTCGACTCTATGTTTGGCCCCATGTTTTTGATATCGTTAACTGTAATACAATGATATATATTAATATTTATCTCTTCTTACTCTTTATTGAAAAAATGTGTAAAAGAAAAATAAAGAGATCATTATTAACTTGGATCAATAAATAAGTACCATAGAATACAAGATTCCTCACTCTTGCAACAAGCCAAGCCAAGCCAAGTCATCAATAAGATACGAAATCTCTTACCCAAGTTATGAACATTCAGCGTCATCTTCTGAGCTTCATCAGCAATTTTGGGTAGAGTCTGCGCCCATTCTTTACTTGCTGCTAAATCATTGCCAAGTGCGGACATAATTTCTGAGCTCGACTGCACGACGGCAGCAACTCTATCGGCCTTGCGGGTTTGTTCATCCAATGATATTTGAGGTGCTTTCGGTAAAGCTCTAACGGAAAGAAAGCAGATGCTAGTTTATCAATTTAGAACTAAGTATATAAGTATACTGAATAGTATAGTAATATTACTTTAAATAAAACAATTTTAACAGTTTAAAAGCGGAATATATAAGTTTACAATTTTTTTTAACGGCGGCCCGACGTGTCGTGGTCTCAGGGGGATTGAAGTTGTCGCGCTGCAAGTCCAAAAATGTTTATCTACAGATAATACTCATTTTAAAATACTGTTGCATAACCTATAAAATCAATTGTTTCTGAACTGAATCTTTTTACCAACTGACAGTTACGTCCATTCATAGACATCATCTATAGACATTGTACGGTGGACGTTGATACATTGAATTGTAGCCGGTAGCTACTGGTAATACCAATATTGCGTACCGATTTGGTAGCTATAATTATTATTATAGCCCATACTGATACTCACAATTGCACAGCGTGGTCTTCGTCGTCAGCATAGCCAAGTGTAGTGGTGGCATTCTTCAACTTGGCTTCAGCTTGCGTGAGGTTTGGTCTTAAGGTTTGCTCGACCATAAGCAGAGCTTGGGTGGCTCGTTCTGATAGCGTCAACGATCTATCTCTTGCTGGCATCACTTGCTCGTTAAGGTCGTTGTTCTAGAGTAAATGCATCTTAAGTGAGTAGGTACTAAAATATTTTAGCTTCAGTCGTTCGGAATATTCAAACATAAAGAAACCTAAAAAATACGTGTCACTTTTTGTTCTATGGGAGTTATTTTGCAACCCCGTTGAGAGTTCATGTCCTCTTCCACCATTTTAGGTAATAGGAAAATAAGTTTCATCAATTATTGAAAAGATGATGATGGTATGATGGGAATCGAATCCATGATCGTATGATGAAAATTTTTATATCAAGAAGCACAATAAATCTGTTAATATTTAATTTCGCTTTGAGACTACAAAGTTTATAGAGGACAAATCACTTACGATGGCAGTAGCGTTGGCGATAGCGGATTCAGCTTCATCAGCTGCTTGCTTCGCGCCACCGATTTCTTGCACGATAGACTTGTAAGCGGATGCTGCGGTGTAGGCGTGTTGTGTTCTTGTGTTGTTATTTTCACGCTCTGCTAACGCTCGAAGACTGTCCGCCTGGAGTAGATAGAATCCATGCATAAAAAAGGTTTCGCCCTTCGTAGTCTCAAGTCTTCAGAACTTAACTTACAATAGGTTCAACGTGTGTATATATATGTGTAATGATTTCTGTTACTATACGTTATACATTATTTCTATCGTTGTCGTGGTGAAGGAATATGATACAATACTACAATCACATTAAAACACATTTTAGTTAAATAAAATTAAATTACATTTTAACATTCTTGTAAGCTTGCGTTTGCTTAGACGCATTATAAATGAAATAACACTTTCGAACCTCTATGAAAATTTATAATACCAAAAACAAGTGTTCCAGCAAGATAGTATAGATATATAACTAACAATAGTTACAAAAGAAAGAATAAAAGACAGCAGTCTCTTCTTTTCTTCTTTCTATGCTTCCAAACAACTTTTTTAAGTTGTGAATTGACAATGGACACCAATACGTGGCCATACATGATGGCTATATGTGTGACATGGGTACTTTAAGGTACCGTGGACGAATACTCACCCTAGTTCTCAAATTCCTCGCGTGGCTCAAAGCCACACTCGTTAAGTTCTCCAGCTCGGGCATGTCGTCGCCAATTATCTCCAAGTTATCCTCCATCATCTCCTTGGTATTGTTCAGATCTTCCAGCACCTTCGTCAAGTTCTGTACTACGCCCCGCATGAAGACGTTGTAGTATGTAGCGTTGTTTATATCCAATGCTGCATCTATCAAGTCCTTCATTGCCGCGCTGCTCAATTGTGTCACCGACATCACTTTGTTACCGAACTTGGAGAGTCTGAAAAAATTGGTTTGTTGTTATTAAAAGAAACAGTAAACATGATATAAACGTAGATTATAGATCTCACTTTTAGTCATATGAGTATGGCAATTATATTTTCTACATGTTAAAGCATAGAAATGCATACTACAAAAGGCCACGTTGTTAAAAAATTTACCACCATTGGCTGGTCAAACTGAATTTCCTAAAATAGAGTTGATGACAAAATTTTAAAGTGATTTTAATATTCTTTACATATTTTAACTCTATATTTAGAATCGAAGATGAAGGAAGTAAGAAAGGGACGAGATATTAAAAAAGTATTACAAACAATACTATAGCAGTCTCTGTCGCGATCTTTACGCGAGTAGTACACATTTCAATAAAATATAAAAAAAACACGAACAAACCGCTTTATTTAAATATAATAGCAGTAAACTCACTTATTTTTTTCATTAAGGTCTTCCGCCTCGGCCGCTTTGCGTTGTGCTTGGTCTATGAATTGTAACATGTCGTCCAATTTATCCTTTACTGTGCTGGTTTCGTTAACAACCTTTGCAAACTCCTAGAAAACAACACTAATATTAGACCTTACATGAAAACAAAGTTCTAAATAATGTAATAATTGCGTCTTGGCATAACACATGGGTTTAGGCCATGTGGGTTTTCTTACAATATTTAATTATGTAAAGGTCAGAATATTTACAAAGACAAATATATGTACGACAGGAGATAGAACCCCCAACATGACATAGTTCATAATAATCACTACATAGTATAAAACGTCGCTTTTTCTGTCCCTGAGTAATTTAAGTGGAAGGATTTTTAGTGTATTTAGTATCAGCATTGCACGCGAAGTCGGGGCGGGTCGCTAGTGTATAATAAAATAAGACGATCGTTACCTTGGAATGATCATTAACTGGTTCAACAAATAGATTCATACGTTCGATTTGTTCCGTTGCGTTTGAGAAGGCATTGAGAGCTTGTTCTTCCTTTGGTTTCAGGTCTTTGTCTGGAAATAATTTTATATTAGTCAACATCATCATAATACTATAATTTCAAACGACTTAAGTGGCTAAAACATCTACACAAAATTGTGGATTGAAAGAGCTCCAAGGTCATAGGTGAATTCTTAGCCAGCAAGGTCTGGCAGACCGAGGCTGCTGTGGTGGGATGGAGTAGTTGATGACTTGGTATCCTAGGAAAGATCGCGTGGGCGGAAAAGACTGGAAGAGGTCCAGAAGGGACTGTACATAATGTACATGCTATCAGTACAAATAGTACTCGAAGTGCAAGGTGAATCGTGACTTTGTTTTTTGTTATATAATTTGGAGTAATTATGCATATTATAAGTAACTTTTCCTTATATACGTTGGTGAAACATCAAACTAGCCTATAAACAGGCGTTACAGTAACACATAACGCACCAGCAATATCGCTCTTAATCTGCTTCGCTTCTGCTACGGCGCTGTCGACTTTCGGTTGCTGGCTCAGTTCGAGGCCGGTGGCTAGTTCCGCAACGTGCGACACAATATTTTTCGCCTTGTCGCCGTTCTCTCGAACTGATGCCAGAATTTGGTCAGCGCTGGCTGCGAGTTCAGCAGCCCTAGTTATCTGCTTGTCACTGTCTGTTGCAGCAAATTCGGCCTAAACATATTAGTTATTATATAGATAATATTAGTTAAAAATGATTCCATGTTTAAATTTATGGTTACCACTACTTTCGAACGACCATTTTGAATAATCATGTGAGTCGCTTTGTAGCAATTTAATAGTATTTAGAAGATGGTACCACGTTTTCACGCTCGTTGGTGTCAGGTACAACGTATGGCTAATAATAACGGGTCGTGAGTTCGAACCCCACCGGGTCCATTATTTTCTAATTAAATTATATTATTGCTAAAAATTTTGGACTTCGTATGGAAATCTGCACATTAAATGGGTGGTAGGAACATCAGCATTCTGTCCGGGTCACGAACCATAGACTAGATGAAAAAGTCGTGAAGTTTTATCGCGTTTCGCTTGAAAAAAGAAGAGTAAGACGTTTGAACTGTTACTTTACGTGTGATTGCTGCGGTAGCTCAGTTGGTGGAATAGCAGTACAAAACACAGTGAACGTAGGTTCGACTCTCGCCATAATAGTTACGTCATTTATATTAGATAAATGACATTATATATATATATATATATATATATATATATATATATATATATATATATATTTATTGTTCTAATATACAGAAGAGATATCGCTTATGTAATATTTTTTTAAGTCAGTAAGCTAAAATGATTCAATTCGTTTCACTACATCTTTCCGTTATGATATATAATATGAGTAAGATTGAATAAATTCGAAGGAAAATTTTCTTACGGATCGCAATAGATTCTTGGCGCTGGTCTCCAGCGTTTTAACAGCAGACGTGACTTCAGCTACATCAACGTTCTTCAACTCGGCCAATTTCGGCCGAAGCTGTTCTGTTTGGTTTGATATGTAGTTGAGGCGTTGCGTTGTGAAGAAAGAGTCTGCTTTGTCCTGTTAAATAAATAGATATTTGATATACATCATATATACCTTTTAAACAAAAAACGTTTTCGTATTCAAATATTAGTTAAGTTATTTTTATAGGGACATTGAAGTTGACTAATATATTTTGCGTTTTTAACTGGTAAAAGTATCGCGTAAACTACAGATAGCTTAATTTCAAATTTCTCATCTGTACTTCGCTGGCCCTCTTCAACTGTTATTGTATTTATTTCATTGTACTGACTCACCTAAGGATATAATTTTGATAACGATGATAAGTAAATAAATTTAAAATGAATATGCTAATTTCGACTACACACTTTCTTGCTTTCTTTAACCAAAAGTTCACTTATTATGCAAATATAAAATATATGGCTACATGTGCAAAATCTCTGTATTTGCCAGATAAGAATAAATAATTAAATAACCCCCCGTGTCCTCCCTCCCCAGTGGGGCATGGGGCGATTGTATTACAGGCAAGTAGTTTATTAGAGTTTAGACTCTTGTGTCCTGTCCGACCGATACAATCTATTGTTATTTAAATACACACAACACTTTAACGGCTTAAAACACGAAATATATTCGTTAAACCCCTTTGAATTTATTGCCAGTTTCGCGAAATACGAACTTCGACGGAACAGATGGCGTACCAGTTTTTACTTTGTCATGATAGACACCCTCCATCTTTAGTCTTCTCGTGACCACGGCTACTGCAAAGCATCCGAAATCCGTCGGGCGGTAGTTAAAAATATTTTTTCAAATAAGTTTAACTAAACTACAGACGATGTTCGATCTATTGTTTCCCCGGTATGTCTCGAGCTTAACGCATTGCTAGGCAACACATTTCTTTGAATTGCAATTTGAGCAAATTTCTATGAATTTAAAATGAAATAATATTTATATAAGTATTATCTGTCACCAAAGAATTTCATTACCTTAAACTCTTGCGTCTCGTTGGCTAATAAATCACGCATGTCTTCCACAGATGTTAGAAGAGCATCGGTACAAGAGTCACACTCTAAACAACCCTCTTGAGGTATCAGCACCCATCTAAAGTAAAATAGTTTTATGAAATCCAAGCCAAGCGTGTGCCTGACAAAAGGTTCCCTGCTAAAATAGGTACATACACGTCATATTGTTTCTCATCTGTTGTTCTATCGCTGCTTAAATTCAATTTTGTTACTAGTATTTTTTTAAGTAACAACATATATGATGTAAACACTATCTATTGCTTAGCTTTTACCATTTCGTTACGGAACTTCTAAAAACAACAAATATTTCAAATGCAATCGTGTAAAAGAGAATAAATCTTTTAATAAGTAATTACACTACTTGTAGATTTTAATTAGATTATGATGATTTACAGATGTACACATCGTTATTCTATTAACTTATATATTGTCGCTGTTGTAAAGTCTCCCTTGATATATCTACTTAGTAACCGTATATGAAAAAATAGGAAATAAAAATATGTAGTAACTTTACCTTTCCGGACAACGATCACATTTCTCCCCAATAACTCCTGGTAAACACTCGCATTGGCCAGTTGCGTTACACATAAAGCCGACAGAATATCCCGTGTTACAGTTACAATCTGTAATAAGACAATAATTATATTTTATAATTTATCGTACATTGGACAAATATGTATCGTATTACAAGTAGCATAGATGGGAATGTATTAATCTGTATTAATTTAATTCTTATAAACAATTTCAACCATTTCCACACAGTCTGTTTGTTTATATTTTTTCGACTGATATATTTATATTCGATTCGTGATGATAGAACGGGACGTTTGATTAAATAAATCTCTTTACTCACGATCACATCCGTCTTTAGAGTAGTTCCAATAACCGGCTGCACATTGATCGCAATGTCTTCCAGTCACTCCTTTTGCACATCTAAAGAAAAAATAATCAACAATACTAATAATTAACAATAAATCTTAGGAAAAATATATGTCTTGTGTTAGGTAAGTGCAACAGTGTCTACAAAAAGAAGTACAATTCTATAGTATAGTATCTTAATCTGAAAGAAAAAGGCGGAAAGCAATTTTAAAGAGACCGAAACAGCTTTATATTTGACTGGCTGTATCAGCGACTTCTTCCGCGTAGAATGGTTATTTTGGTCACCAAAATCTGTTTTTGAAAAACCTTCTACCCATAACGCGCATCCTGCCGCTCTTGGAAGTTATTCTTTAAAGGTAGACATGTGCTATCGCATTTTTTATGAATCATTTTAAAAGTAATTACTTAGATGATTTATGACGCGCACGCAACGGTAGCCCTTATATATGAATAATTTTCCCCGTTTTTTCCACATTCACACTGTTTTCGCTCCTATTGTTCGTATCGAGGTATTTTATAGCTTTTCTCAATAAATGGTCTAACCTCCACAAAAATATATTTCTAATTCGATCTAGTAGTTACTGAGATATCGCGTTCAAATTCTTTAGCCTTACAATATTAGTATAGATAAAGTATGGTGGGTAAGTTTCTGAACTGTCTTTCCTATGCTCAATAGACCATTAGAATATAATATATGGACGATTGTATACTTAGTATTACCTGCACTGTCCAGTATTATCATCGCACTGAGCCGCTTCAGAAGCAAGTCCACAATCACAAGGCGTACACCCTTGTCCCGAATTAAGTCCCCAATGGTTCAGTTCGCATTGGTCACATGTAGGCCCAATGACACCAGGTCGACAGATACACGTGCCCGTCGTCGGGTCGCAACGCTCCATACCGAATTCATCGCAGAAGCACGCTGAAAGATCGGTTTTAATGTTTGAGACCTACACGTCATTGTCAATTTTTTTCAACCTATTGATGCATGCATCTCTCGCGCATTGTAATTTCGACCCTAACACTCGCGCACTAAGGTTCATAGTCTTACGTTTTGCAGCTTAAGAAACCCATTCAAAACTTAAGCAAAATAAATTAAACAAGTAAGATAAAGTAGTAGTTTTCTGACCTGTGCAGTTCTTTGAAAATATAGCGTCACCAAAGAAGCCAGGCGCGCAGAGATTGCAAGCGGCTCCAGCAGTATTGTTGACACACTTCAAACAATCCCCACTGATGCTGTCGCAGGAACTAGGGTCGTTTGTATTGATGTTACCGGAACAGTTGCACGGCTTACAATAGTCACCTAATTATACGAATTCAATTGACAATTTTCAAGAAATAATTTAAAGTTCAAACACAGAGTATATTTTTTTTTTATTTATTATTTAAAAAAAATGATTATAAATTGAAAAAAATTACGACACGGGCAGTACTTGAGCTGCTTCCACAGCTTCCGTGCTGTTTGCTCATTAGTCATCATGTTCCATAACATAGTGAAAAATATCAAGGTTAATAATTTTTTATTTCTAGGCCTCGGTGTTTTGAATACTTTGTAGTAGCCAGGGTCACAGGGAAACATCGTTAGAAATTATAATTAAAATAAATGAATATCTTTCGCGTTATAAAACCAGTTAATTAGAAGGGCTTCATGAAAAAGAAAAGTAACAAAACATATTTAACAAGTTGTTTTAGTTATTACACACACACACACACACACATATATATATTTAATCAATACTAAATATAACTTACCAATTTCTTCTGGATTTCCGTAGTAACCAGCAGCGCAATATTCGCAGCGGGCTCCACCGTAGCCAGGTTTGCAGACACACGAAATCAATGAACCGTTCTCGCTGAGGTCACAGCCGATAGCGAAACTAAAAAAAACGCGTCACAGGCTTAACACAAATATAACGGTTCCAAAGAGCCGTACAAATGCATACTTCATATGTATACGTAATTTAAGTTACAGCATGGCTTTCGAATTGTCAAACATTCTATAGACTTATACATGTAGAAATAAATAATTAAATAAGTATAATAATTTATTTACTAAGAAATGTTCTTCAAGTTCAAATAAAATGCTTATATGACAATAATTGTAACCTCACATAAATAATATTAAATATTAGCTTAAAGCAAGAAAGCAACAAGATCTGAGCCTAGGAAGTTGTTCAGTTGTTACAGAGGTAATTTTTATCAAACTTACTTATTTGAAACGTAGGGCATAGGACAGGCACATATCAGACAGTCTCTGGGTGTCCCGATGGTTGCGTCACCGTGATATCCTTCTATGCACATCTCACAGTGGTCGCCCATTGTATTGTCAGTGCATTCCTGCAAAATATGAGACATTTATTACTTTTATATATTAAGTAAATGCTTGATCAAAATGTCTGTCCAGGTTGAGTGATTTTCTAACTTTAAGATTATCTGGGGCACTATTTCATTCCAGACAAGAATGTATCATGGGTATATTAAATGTAGTTTGTTCCGCGATTTTTAGATGTTGGTTGGACGATGGTTAGTGCAGGTGAGAAATTACTATTAAATATACTGTCTGTAGTTTAACGCATTCAATACGCGATATATATTAGTTAAACCCAAAGACCAACTTCGACGGAACAAATGGCGCTAGCGTAGCAGTTTTTACTTTGACGTCAGAGACATCCCCCATCTTTAGTCCCTTCGTGACAGCGGCTGCTGCATTGCATACGAAACGTCGGGCCGTAGTTAAAAATATTTTTCAAAAAAGTTTAAGTGACAAATATCGCTTTTTAAACGGTTAAAGTGTTTTATTTAAATTTATATTACTTACCAAGCATACACCAGTATTAACGTCACACTCTTTAGAATGGCCGTTACACTGGCACGGCACGCAGAAACCAGCATGGGGCCCGGAACTGAGGCGGTAGTAGCCTTCCGCGCACTGTTCACACGATAGGCCCCGGTAGGCCTTGGGGCATTGACACTCCTCAACAGATGTGGCCCTACGGTTAGCCTCGGCGTATTCTTCGACACCGACATCTAGCGTCACTCCAATTAGTCTGAAAACATTTCAGATTAGTTCATTCGTAATATAAATTTTGCGCGATGCAACTTTTTATAAATAGATTTGTTTGTGGCTTTTGAGATGAAAGTAAAACTTTGATTTTATTTTAATTCCCTGGGGGCTACATCTGATCGTTTAATTTTACTGTTAACTTATTAAGACACTTTGTTTTTAAACATCAAACATAATACAATTTTAATATTATAAATAGTATTCCAATTTACTGTATTATTGAATTTTTTTTTATACTGTCTGTAGTTTACGCGAGTTTTATTTCATCAGCGCGCAATATGTTATACTTGTTTAAAAATTATTTTTTACCACAGCTCGACGTTTCGGATACTTTGCAGCAGCCATGGGCACGTGGACACCAACTAATATATTTCGCGTTTTAACCCGTATAATTTTTTTATAAAGCTTTTTTGACATAATGTTAAAAGAACTTGTACATATATATAAGCTCTTTTGACTTTGACACTTTTTGGCCCGGGCTGAAGTTACGCTATTTACCTTGTTGTAACAGCCTCATGCCAGTACGTAGCCCTGATGTAAATGCTTGTAACGTTAACCAAGACGTTCATAAATTGGTCTCTCGTCACAGCTGACCCGTCCAGATTCGTAAACTCGTCCTCAGTTATCCTAACGCTGTGCAGCCAGTTCTCCAGGGACGGAGGCTGTTCTACGCTATTATGGACTATGTAGCCGTTGGAACCACCGATTATGACGTCAGCGGCGGCAATTGCATGGCCGTCCTCTCTACTCGTGTAGAAGATCGAATAAGTTAGGTATCCACCATACGAAGTTAGCCGTTTTCCTGAAAATATTGTAAGTTATTTATTAAATGGTAAATGACGCTGTTTACTTTATCAAAGGAGTAGAGTGAGTAGGGGAGGATGTAAGAGTGAGAAAGAGAGGGAGTTGTAAGAAAGTAAGAAGAAATAAGACACTTACCAAGATAATAGTCAGGTGATCCGAAATAGACAACTTTCTGCAGTCCATCTTCATTGCTGACAAGTTCCGCACCGATCACCGAATCGTTGAGTATCGTCGGCGAAATTGTTAGCGGGAATATGTTTAGCGTTCTGTTCGCTTCAATGTTCACTAGATACCAATCTGCCATACCGTTAATCTACAAAGAAACGTTATTCGATTTTCAACTTACATTTAACGTCTATGGAACATTGTTATATGAAAAAGTGAAATCTTGTTCCCCCGTGGGGTATGGGGGCAAACATAATTGTCTTCCACTAACCAGTTCTTTTACAGGAAAGTATTTACAGCGCTGCCTATTGTTAGGGATTAGAACCCCGGACCTTACGCCCTAACGCAATGCTAGACAACATATTTAACCATTAAAATAGTATATGTCTCAAGCTGTGGCAATTTTAAAGTAATTATAATGCTTCGGGCGTCAAGCTTTGTAAAAACATCTCGATGGCAAATTTATTTTTCATATGAGAAAGCAAGCAGCGAAAACCAAATAAAAGCATAGGACCTTGAACCTTAACACGTAAGTGTTTAGGTCGACTTTAGCATTTCACTACGAAATTCGTACTTCATTGGCCATCAAAACGTACCTCAGCCCACGACAAGTAAGAACTGCCGCACCTCGTAGTCTTTCCAAAGCAATAACATTTGGTACAGCCGTCTGGATTCTCCGGTTGAAGATTAAAGTAGTCTTCTTTACAAGTATTGCAGGCCTGGTTACAAAAATTCAACAATTAACGGTAAAATAAATAAATGTTTATAGTACAGTCTATATGCGAGAACTCAATCAATTTATAACAAATATAAAAACGGTTTGAAACTTTAAGTCTTTTAAGTTGAGAAATACCGTAACTAAATGTATTTTTTTTTTATGAAGGAGGATTGTCTATCCTGCCATATAACAAGATGCGCTATCGACTTGTTTTGGCATTGGATATTCGGAAATCCACGAACTGAAACCGACCGTCTGTGGACGGTTGTTTGCGACCCGGACATAATTTCGATATTTTTATCCAACTCATATGCAGATTTCTAGACGAAGTCCAACATGTTTCATAAAACCTATAAATTGATTAGAAAAATGTTAGACCGCGTGGGGATCGAATCCACGACCATATTGTTTATTAGCCATACATACAACATATAAACAAGGTCAAACAAATTGTTCTCACCTGTCCCCTAACATGCTTCTTACAGTAGCACTGAGCCGTGTTCTGATCGCAGACATCGTCGGTAGTTCCATCCAGGTCGCACGTACAAGGGAAACAGTCCGGGAAGGCGTAATGTCCGGGCACACAGTGGTCGCATACACGACCTATTACGTTCTCTTTACATCTGAAATTATTATAGTGATATTATATTATGGAATTGACGAATTATGAATTACGAATGACAATGTTTGCTAGTTTTTGACTTCTTGCTCCCGTATTTAAAAAAAGGTTAACGCATCCCTTACCCCCTGTTCAATATTTAACACGTAAGAGTCTAATTTTAACATTGCGCATTTGTAATCTCATGAAAGAACTATCAAGACACCCTCCCACCCTCTTGCAAGAAACAATATTATAACATTCCAGTTCATAACAGCTGTTCATTTAATTCAAACATCATTGGTTTTCGGTCCGTCAACTTTGATATCATTATTTACAAATTTAAAACGGCTTTAAATTATAAAAAAGCAATTTCAGAGACTTGGTAACATAAAAAGACGATAGTTCACATATGATTTTAAAATGAAACTAAGCCGTATAGTAGTAGTAGTTTTACGTACATTAAAAACTTTGGTGTTCTGACCGTTTTTAGTACAAATTTTTCGAATGATTCCGAGTGAGACTTACGCGCAGTTTCCACTGTCCGCCTCACACTGTAATTGGTTGTCAATGACACCGAGCGGATTACAGTTGCAGTCGTCGCAACCGCGCTGAACGTCGAAGTTGAAAGTGTACGGCTTGCACCGGTCGCAGTTTTCACCCTCCACGTTTTTAGGACATATGCATTGACCTAGAACATTATCCATTGGAAGTGAGTATTTTATTTTTGAATTTGATTAGGCTTTACTTTTTCAAAAATTCTATATTAAAAACTGATATCACTTTTAAAGTTTGTTAAAAGGCGCGCTAATCTCAAGAACTAGTGGTATCGAGGAAAACTTTAATCTCGTCTTTGTTGCGTGCGCTGCGGAAAAAGGTTGAAGAAACCAAAAAAATAGTAACACTGATTCCTCTTTACATGATCTAAATGATAAAAATGTCCACGACAGTATATATGTATGTTTCAACATTATAATATTAATCTTGCGAACTACAAAACGTTTGCCGGACCAGCTAGTATTTCAGGTAAAGAATTTTATTTGAATTCCCACAGCGCCTATATACATAAAACTTTACAATTACTAAACTCAAATATTATACATGTCTTCGCTTACCGTTATCATCACAAATGGCTGTCGAAGGGCAGTGACACGGCAGACAGTTCGGAAATCCATAGTACCCGGTACGACAAGAGCTACAAGTACGACCAATGACGTTAGACTTGCAGGGACATTGCCCACCGAAGGTATTGCATTCCAGCTCCGTAGAACCCATGAAGTCACAGAGGCAAGCGAGGGCCCCGCTGTTGTATTCCGACGTGATTGAGAACATGGCGTCGCGGCAAAAACCTGGTAAATCGAGATGTTTTTAAGATTACTGGAAGACTAGAATTTGTTTGGACGCAATGGTCATAGTCTATCAAATTTGGACTTATAATAATTAATATTAATTGTAAAGTGCAATTTCATTTTCTCTATCCGGGGCTTGAGACGAAATTTGTTAGTGGATTGACCAGTATTTTATTCCGTGCCGGTTCAAAGGTATTACGATTTCCAGGATATGAATTTTGAATCGCACCTAACGCAACCTTTATGAATTAACCATCACTTTACCTCAACTAAAGTAAAGTCGATCTCTTAATCAATTTCAATATTAGGGAATTATGTAGCTTCGTACATATAAACAATATATTCAATACACTTTGTACGATACTAACCAGTTTCGTTAGAACTAATATAATAATGGTTCATGGCGCATTTCTCGATGAACTCCCTCGTATAGTCGACCATGTTTGCCTCCTTAAGTGCGCTTTCGACAAAATCTGACTCCGCCACTACAAGTACGTAGTCCAGCCATATACCTTTGTGCTCGCCACCCTAGAATAAAACATACTCTCATTAAAATTCTTCCGAAATACAGGGAAACGAGAGTTCAATTCCCCGGATTGTAAAAATGCAATAGGTTTTGTCCGCCAATGGGCCTATAGTCAGGGTGCTAGATGGACCCCTATAGGTATAGGCGACTTGGAATTATAATTTATAGAAGTTGATGTTAATAAACATATATTTTATTAACAATACTCATTGCTTTAATTGGTTAGCAACAGCACAGCAGGTTGTGGATGCCGGTTCAAGTCCTGCCCGTGTCGCAAATAGAATAAATTGACATGATAAAATATTAATAAAAATCGATTTTAGATTATTTATTTTTTTGTAAATATTAAACTAATTCCTGCAATAAAAATATACGTAAATTTATTTTGACTAAATTCTCTGTCCATCAATCAAAAGCATATATTCTTTACTTCTAGCCCACTCACCTTAAACGTGATAGTGAAGTTTTCATTGATTGGAAACTGGGTGTTACCATCTGCAAGTTTAAGGAGTGCCCTGCATCCTGAATTAGATGGACAGTGTTCAACGGGTAATTTCGCTTCATAGTTCTGTCCGTCTGCCGTTAGCGTTACATCTATGCTGCTCTCTGAAAGATGTATAAACATTAATTACGACACGCAACGGTTAAAAACGCGTTTATACTCGTTCCGATGTTTCAGATCGCTTGCAGATTAGATTTAGTTTGGATGATGAGGAGTATTTACTGATGTGGAACTTATAGACAATAGCAAAATGTTAGTGTACAATTTGTAAATAAGTAACTGAAAATTTGAAAGACTGAAGGTATATAGTATACAGGACGAATTAGAACCCGAACCGCTCTAAGAGTCTGTAACTATTTCTTTTAAACATACCTAAAACAAAATGGCATAAGTATTTTTTATTCCTTCACAATTTTGAAACAATTTCATATCTGAGAAATTACATAATATAATCTATTTACTTTATTTTTATTCTATGGTGCTTTACAGTTGGTAACAAACTGTATAATAACAAATTATATTTATTTTATTTGGTAACGAAGCAAACAGTCACATACAGAACAATATAACACTTAAAATCTTAAACAAATGACCTAGTATTCTCTTATTTACACATACTTGACAAAAATACAAGAAAACACACACATTGTGATATAATGGCAATAGTTCCACTCACCCGGATGATCAGGTTGATAGTAATGCACTATGAACATGTAGTCCCCTGCTGATGGTACTCTGGACTCGATCTTGATAGGCTCCGACTGGGAGGTCAAGTAGACAACGACGGTGGAGTTATCCAGGATAGGCGGTCGAGTTTCACGATCACCACCCAATCCCGTTTCTACTTCGACCTGAAAACGAAAATACTTATAGTCTTTTCACTTTGTTGAGATAACAAAAAGCTAAAGAGTTTGTCTGCAAAAATAAATAAAATGATGGCCTCAATGGCTATTCCAAGGCATTTACGACACGGACACAGCTTATTTCAATATACAGATGAACGTTACCTTTTTAGAATCAACCGCAGCCGAGAAAACGGCTGGCACACATTTCCCTTCCCGTCGCAAACAGTAAGGGCGCGGTGTTATATAATCTAAGTGCCATTCAGATTCAGGTATAGCGACTATTGATTTGATTCCCGCTAACGTTCCAACATCGCCCTAAAAATATTTAAATATTTATACACGTCAATAACACTATAATAAAAACAGTATATCCCTGTAGTTATAGCTATGGCATCAGACAAAAATCTACTAAGCTGATTTTGATAAATGTTAATAAAACACGTTAACGGTTTAAAACGCGAATTATTAAAGTTACACTACTTTGATTTTTTTTTTACATCTCTACGAGTCTCCCTGTGACTACGGTTGCTGCCATGCATGCGAAACGTCGGGCCGTGGTTAAAATATTTTTTAAATAAGTTTACCTAATAAATTTCGCGTTTTAAAACGTTACAGTGATTTTAATGTGTATCGCGCAAACTACAGACAGTACTTGATTTCAATAAAAATCAGTGCAGGATATTTTTAAGTATAAGTATTTATACTGAAAAAAAAATAAATACGTACATTGAGGTATATAACATTGTTTGCGTCGTGTACATTGAACACGCTTATCCGCGACAGATCGTCCAAAATAACCTGCCTGCATGGCGATGTGAAAGGACAGTCGTTCAAGTTGGCCAAAGCGAATGACTCTTGGCCATCACCAGACTGAAATTTAATCACTACTATTCCTTTAGGAGAGAATTTATAGCTCTCATCATCGTTGGTGGAAAACGTTAGAGACGTCAAAGCGGTTTTGTTGATGGGCGTCACGTATTCGATAACGAGGATGTAGGGCCCGCTCGGGTCAATCTTCAGGTTGAATTGTAGCTCGCTTTGAGCGTCATTCAGTAGTGGTATGTCGCTGGGGCCGGCGTTGTATTCTTTTAATTGCTGAAAACAAAAGACGGTTATAATAAGAACTAGAACAAACCTGATTCGAAATGGTGCGATCGTCTGTGGCCACAAAAAAATACTTTCGCATTTGTTGGGTAATTTGAAAATGGAACGATCTTCTACTCTACGACATGGCAACCAAAGAAGGTCACTTATTAAAGGTTTAATTTAAATTTCGAACTGGACATAGAAAACTGTTTAGTGAAAAAAAAATGATGTTTTTGAGATGAATAATGAAATACAAATAAAAATATTAGAAATAAAAAAAATAAAATAATGAAATTAAAAAAATAATTTGAGCTATGGTTATTAGTTGTTCCTCAACTACATCATTGGTTTTATAGTTCTCAATTGTACTTGGTTTTTATTTTCGAGCGTTATTTGAGAAAAATACTATAAAAAAAAGTCCAAAATAAATATACAAGCCCCGCAACAAGGCATTGATGGAGTTACGAATGTGCCTCGGCTTTCCCTTACCCAACATTTACACGTTTGTCCATCAAAGCCTCTCTTGCCGACCTCTGCACTATTGTATACTTATTTAAAAACACGTGAGCATATGAAATTATTATAACCGTGACATGTAAAAGTATTGGAAAAAAGAAAAAGAGTACCTCCGCTTCGCTAATATATTCATCGACGGGGGTAACCAATGTAGTGATGTCAGCAGTAGGTCTTCCGTTAAGGCTGGGGTACGCAAAGTGTCGACATAACTTTCTATCGCCAATGATACACGGCTTGTCGACTACTTTAACTAGTATTGTGGCTTCGTAGTATGCTTCGGGCACTAGAACGAAGTAATCCTGGGGAAGAAGGAACATGGCATTATGGAAAATACTCTTACGGACGTATATATGAAAAAATAAAACATAAAATATTACACATTACTTTAAAAACTCAAGAACGTAGCACGATGACAAGACCGGGAAAAGTGTTAGAGCTTTAAACAAAAATCTAACGGTTTAAAACGCAACATATATTAATAATTATTTTAGGTACGTTGAAATTTGGACACCTTTGGGATAACACTGGGTTTGTTGTAAGTTAATTGTTAAAAAAAAGTTATTAAAGTTATATACTAAGCAACGGGTTAAAAGCTAGTTCTCTACTGCTACATCTTATAATGCAAAATAGATACTTTACAAAAAAATCTAATGAAAATCTCACTTTGAATTCAATAGTTTTTTTTATGATAGAAGCATGGGGTTGACACTTGATGGTAGGTAAAACACCCCAGCCATATAACATCTAAACAAGATGGCCTACCTATTTCGGTCTTGGACATTTACAGACAGAAATCGAAACACGATTAAACTTCACGGCTTTATCTGTAGACAGTTCGATATCCCTACCACCTATTTAACAACCAGAATTTTAGATGTAGTCTGACATATTTCATAAAAATTATAAATTGAATACTGTCTATGCGAGTAGTACACATTTAAATAAAACACTTTAACGGTTTAAAACGCGATATATTAGTTAAACTTATTTGAAAAATAACTTTTAACTTCGGCCCGACGTTTCGGATGCTTTGCAGCAGCCGTGGTCACGGGAAGACTGGACAGTCCGAAACGTCGGGCCGAAGTTAAAAATCATTTTTCAAATAAATTTAACTAATATATTGCGTTTTAAACAGCTAAAATGTTTTATTTAAATTATAAATTGATTAGAAAAATGTCACCCGATGAAGTTCGAATCCATTGATTATTGGCCCTACTTGCTCTATTTGCTGCCATTACACCAACGAGCCCAAAACCTTCAATATACTGCAATAGATTAACTTGCTTACTAGTCTAACAATCTTTTCAGCTTGACAACAGATTAAGATAATTTAACTCACAATCATAATTTCCTTGGTAGTCTTAATAGTGACGGTCCAGTTACCAGCGTTCATGACGAAGGGCGCAGGGGCATTGCCTTTCTCCAACTGCACGGTGACCAACTGCGGTTGTATCGTAGGACGTAGATTTACGTTGAACCTGTTTTAATTATAACGTGATTTTTTTTATTTAGATTAAAAGGTGTTCAAAAGTAAAGTCTCCTGTGGGCTGTGTACATCCGGTTTTGATCCGGTTTCACTGCCCTGGATGACTAAAACTATTGTATCCTCTGGATTCGAATCTAGGACCTCTCGCGCTTAACATTAACGAAAAGGGGTTGGGAATATCAAAATGACAGTCTCAAAAAAGGGACACACAAATATGTCTGTCCCTATTTAAGGCAAATGAATGTACCTTTGCTGAGATTCAACAACGCTCTCCGGCGTTATAACGATAGTCGCCGTAACGGGGTCACGTAGTGGATTCGCGTACTTCAACACGATGCGGTATAGAGATGACTTGTCGATGTGTACTACGTTGATAACTTCATTCTGTGTAAAAAACAAAATAATTTAAATTGAACTATTAATGGTAGGTACTAATTATTTTTTCTTCATATGAATGTCAAAACAAACAAAAAAAAATTACATTTACTAATCTCATATCAAGGGCATATATTCTATACTAATATGAGCTAATCTTAAAGGAACTACTGGTTCAATTGAAAAAAGTAAATAATCTGGTGGTTGGACCATTTGTCGAGAAATACTTTAGGCTATAAAATATCAGGCTGCGAGCAACAGGAGCGAAGAAAAAGAGAGAAATGTGTTTCCGTTGCGTGTACTGTGAAAACGAAGTAACCAAAAAAATAGATATGAAGGAATGATTCTTAAACCGAAATAATTATATATGCTTAATAAAACGTGTTTAAATACTATCGTAAAGTCTTAGGTTACCTGCAGTAGAGAAAATACGACGTAACCTTTCCACGAATACCCCGGGAAGACATCTTCAGAGTTCCTGTATCGGACCGGTCCAGACTGAGTTAGACCCTCCTCTACTTCGTACTGGAACTGGTGCAGCGTCGGGAAGTAGTGAGCTCGTATCGGCCGGTCACACCGTCTTCCTTCAACTCGCGAATGACACCGACACTGACCCGTATTCTTGTCGCAGTTGTTATCGATTGAGCCACCAATGTCGCAGTCGCAAGCTAAAAATACATCATTTAAAACGGTTTAAAACACGATATATATTAGATAAACTTATTCGAAAATTATTTTAACTACGGTCCGACGTTTCGGGTGCTTTGCAGCAGCCATGGTCACGGAGAGACATACAACATTTACTTCCGGTACATCACGAGAGTTCCTGGGTTTCAATTCTGGGAGAATAATAAATTATCTCAGTCGATCAGGGCAGAGAACCTGGCTAGTTACCTGACCTGTTGGTAAAATGATAAACGAAATTGATACAAGTTATGTGTCCTATGCCCCAGAGGGTCAATGGTATTTCACTGTATTAGACATCTTTTGTCATATGTATATGACTTCAGAACTCTCAAAGAATGTTTGAGAGTGTTAAAATCATATCTGAACTCTCAAAGAAAAGGATCACTTAACTAAACCATGGTACAACAGAATAAAAAATTAATATTTTTAAATACATTAGTAAATTGATTCTCCCTACAACGCGACATTTTGGAAGTTTTACTAATGTATCGTTAAATGTGTATTAAATGAAGAAAAAGAAATTAATTATTACATACAAACGCTATGAAGATACTAATATATGCAGAATTTAAAAAATGCACAAGAATCTCACCAGTACATCCAAAGAGGTCGTGCGTCCGTAGGCTGTAGAAGCCATCTTGACAGCTATCACATTGTCTCTCTCCTACGTGCATCTTACAAGTACATTGACCATTGCGAGTGTTGCAAGCACCCAATCCACCCAGTGTTCCAGCGACGTTGCAGTTACATTCTATTAAACGTAAATGCATATAAGAGAAGAAAAATACATTTTGTTTTTCACCTAATGACGTAAAATCAACTCTTATATAAAGACAGGATAGACGGCATAAATTCACTTGACAGATGGTGAAACCGAGCCATGTAACTTCTAGACACGATGTGCTGCCTACTTGGCTTTAGTTATACAGAAACGCTATTAAACTTTGTGGTTTTTCATCTGTGCTTGGTGGTTTAAGAGCCGGACGGAATTTTGACTACCACCTATTGTCCAAATTTTATTTTATAAACATGCTAGATATGGTGGTGGTGGTGGTGTGGTAATTGAACCCATGTTCATGTAAATCGTTCAAGTCAGACAGTGAGACCAATTAGCCACCAAAAAGACATGTTTTGTCGCAGTGCTGACGGCAATTTATTTCTGTTATGTTTTTTTCTTCTGTTTTGGTACTTCTATATCATCTTTTAACTTAGGCTGAGGTATAAATTCACCATAAACATCAACCACTCTGCTTACTAATGATGGAGGTGTTTTTTTTGATTATTTAAGATACCTTCACATCCATATGGATTATATTCCTGTAAGTTCCAGAACAGAGATTTACAATCGTTACAGATGCGTCCCTGTACTCGTTCTTTGCATTGACATAACTCTCCAGCAGGCACTGAGCCACAACCTGTAATAATACCAATTATGAGTTAAGGTTTTTTCTTCCACAAGAGAGAAATCTAGAAAATCTTGGACTATACTTATTTGATGACTTATTATTGACAATTTCTTAATAGTTCTCATACATTAATAAAAATATTTTGTTTATTATTATATATTTATAGTCTACCTAGCTGTCTCAGCAAACATTGTTTTGCCATACAATTTTTTTCTAAAACGTATTCTTGTAATTACTTATGAGTGTGTGAGGAAGTAGTACGTTCTTGGTTAAAGCATTTTGGAGTTCACAAACAAACAATTTTATATTATGGAAAAATTATAAGATCTATAAATTTTAGTTTAAAAAAAAGTTAACACTATTTTTATACACTACAATTTTATCTTAATGTATAACATACCGGCAAATGAAGCGATGACACCTCTTGGATCGCAGTTGCATTCCTCACATGCTGGGTAGTTGTAGAATTGCTCCTTACATTTGTCACATTTGGTACCATCAAAGTTGGGTTTGCAGTGACATTGCCCATTGTCATCACAGGTTGAACCAATTGTACCAGATTCATCACAATTACATGCTAAAATTTATTCATAATTGAACAAGGTTTCTCAAGGTAGAGTATTGAATCATCATCACATCATAAAACTATCGTCACACCATAAAACTCCATGGGATTTACCAAATAGCAAGCCAATAATAATTTGGTGTGATGACTGATCTCCGTTTACTAAACTCTGGGCCAGTGTAGAAATTTTCTTAGAAAAATTTCAAATACTGAAGTAATGTTTTGCCCGACCCAGAGATCAAATCCAATGAGGATAAGAGACAATGCATACTTGTTCTGACCAAATAAACTTTTAAATAATGTTTAAAACATAATATAGTTTTTCCCTTATTTCAAATAAAATTGTTGCATAAAACCAAAACATACCCAAGCATTCAGGGTACTTATAATAGCCAGGAGAGCACTGTTCGCACTGTTTGCCACCAAAGTTTGCAAGACAGTTGCATTTGCCATCTGCTGAACAGCTAGTTGATGTGGATCCAGTTGGGGAACAGTTGCAAGGAACACATGATCGCTCACGACCCCTCAACTCCATATAGAACCTATTAATAAATATTTTGTAAATCATAATAACAGTTGATGCTTCGATACATTATTATTAGGAATTAAGAAAATGTATTTTTTTTGCTAAAAATTGTCTGTCTGATTTACAATAAGTTTCTTAGAAAGAAAATCTTACCCTGATAAACATTGATCACATCGGGCGCCACCAAATCCAATTTTACAAATACATTGACCAGTGACATCATCACAAATGTTTGGTTGGGTTCCACTTGTGTCGCAGTTACAATCTACAAAAATAATATAATAATATGAATCGTAGTCCTTCAGTTGTACACAACTGCAAACAACAACAATTTTACAAATTTGCTATGAAAAATCGAGAAAATTACTATATTTAATTGTTGTTTGAATTCTGGGTTTGTAAACAAAATAAAACTTTTACTTTCATGATAATTAACCTTACTTACTATATTTACGAGCACCATAATTAGGTAATTTTCCGTTTTATACTGTTAGCGGGATATTTAAAATAAATTTGACGCCATGTTGACTTTATGTATAAAGTTTGACATTCTCACATTGACAACTGACATATAAGCAGCCATAGATTATAAACTAATTTTACTAATGAGTAATGGTAGTTATGTTACCACAACCGTTACTTAAAAACAATTGTGATAAAAACTACTAATAGATTTTATAAGTATAATTTCCTTACGTTTGCACGTCGGATAATTGTAGTAGCCTGCTTCACACTGATTGCATGTCCTTCCGCTGTATTTGCTCTTGCAAGTGCAGTTGCCTGTATCTTTATCACAAACTTGAGAAACAGATCCCACTGAGTTACATTCGCAGTCTGTTAAAGAAAATAAGGCTTTATTTATAGCATCGAAATAAAGCGAGAGTAAAGAAATCAATCACAAATACCATGTTTTCCGATTCCATTTAATAAAATACTCACTTTTACATTCCGGTGAATAATATCCATCGGCGCATATTTCACAAGAGGTTCCAGCGTAATTATATTTGCATGGACACTATATATCGAAAGAGGGTAAATTATTAGTAGCTGGTAACAATTTTAATTTGAAAAAAATTGCTGAACTGTATAGAGATAAAATACTTTTTTATGTTTATTTTTAGTCTGGCTAAGCTACAGAAGAAACACATACCACTCCATCCGTAGGCGTACAATGCTGTCCTTCAGTACCATTCAAGTTACAGGTGCATGGTTTGCAATTAGGGTAATCAAAATAGCCGTATGCGCAGGAATCACAGTTCGGTGGGTTGAATTCTTTTCGGCATTCGCAGCGACCCGTCTCTTCTTCGCAATTACCAGTTGAGTAGTGCAGATCGCAGTTACAAGCTATAATTTATAAAAGTAATGGAAATCGTTCTATATTATGTATATCAGTAGGTATAGGTGTATTTAATAATATTTTCTATATACGCCTTAAAGAAAAAGCTCGAAATCAATTAGATAGCTTGGGGAAGCGACAACACTTAATAATACTAAACTTATTTAATATTTTGCCCTATCTGTAATAGATATGTACTAACTATAAATGTATGTAATCTATTATATGTACTTAGTTACGCGGTACGTATTAGTACTTTTATAATTAAGTAGCTTACTTATTTGTTGTTTCCTTAAATTTTATTTTTTTTTTAATCACAAAACAATAATATATTTCCTTTTATTCTGCAAATTTAGTTATATCTTTATTTTGGTACACTTACGTTGGCAAACATCGATTTCACCCCATCGCTTCCCGTACGGGCGATAATATGTAGGTTGGCACTTGTTACAATTAATTCCCTCGGTATTATGTTGACAGTTTTTACACACTCCCCCGCCTTCGTAGCGGCCATGTATGTCCAGAGATAGCCTTTTCTCATCAATTTCAGTGTCATATTCACACTCTGTCGTGTGATTGTGGCAATTACAGGCTACGAAACAAAAATATGTCTGTTAAAACAACAAAATTAAAAAAAAAACTTTATCGTGTTAATTCTTCTTTTCTTAGATTTGAGTTTTCAGATATTTTAAGAAAATATAAAACAACTCCGTAAAAAAAGTAGTCCGTATAATCTTAGAAAAAAGTGATATGATAAACAATTGCTAGCTAGCTTAATTTTATTTATTCTTTTGAGGATACTCACGTTCACAGGCGAAACGATCCCAATTCTGCGATATACGCCATTTCTTTTGTTCGAAACCTGGACAGCAAGCAGCACATTGAGGACCGCAAGTGTTATGCTGGCAGCGGCATACGAGGATACTCGCGTCGCTTTCAGGCACAGCTGGATCACAGGTGTCGGCATGACCGTTGCACATACACCGACCTCCGATACTTATGTCCTTTATACTGTAGAAGTACTGTCGGAGAGAAAAGCAATGCTTTTAACTTTTGTCAGGCTCGTTTGTGCAATGGTGATAACAAATGCTTGTATACTAGAGGATCGTTCGATCCTTACGATACCCCACCACCAGAAGTTTGAACTTTTCTTGCAGAACATTCTTTTGGAATCCATTATGGCTTTTCTGGCTGGTCGATGGACGTTAAGAAGTTGTTCTTGTCGTCGTGCCACAAATGAATAACATCATCAGAACATTTAAATAAAACACTTTAACGGTTTAAAACGCGACATATTAGTTAAACTTATTTGAAAATGAAGTTAAAATTATCTTCAATGTGTACTACTCGCGTAAACTATAGGCAGTATCATCAGAACATATTAATTGTTCCTCGACTAAGCGAAGACTGATTCGTGGTGACATAACGTCGAGCTCTATCACGACGGCTGAACTTTCAAGAAGCTTAAATTATTATTAAGAACAAAATGGTCGCGGAAGGTCGCTTACACAAATTTCTTTAAGTCTTTTGCAAAATAAACAAATGAACTTACTCTTCTTGTAACCGTAGGATCCTGACGTGCAACAGACATAAGGTGACCTAATAAGTTCTTAGTTCTCAGCAAGCGAAGTCTCACGTTCGTTGCTCGCGTCCACTCTTGAAGAACTGACGAGTTGAAATATTTGTTCGCAGACGGACGATAATTTAAGAGAGATATTGGTATCTGAAAAAAAAATTAGTGATGGGATATTCTTCCCCGACATTCAGAAGGGAAAATAATAGCATGTAATATTATGTTCATTCACTCAATAGTAATAATACAAATAACTAATATATAGGGGTTTAAAAAAATAGATTAACCGTCAAGTTAAATAAACAACGATTACAAGACGATGAGGGTAGGTGAAGACTAAAGTGTCAAATATAAATAACCTCAGTTTCTCAGTAAAGAGTTGTTAAAAAAGAGGAATTAATTTCAAACGTAATTAATACTCACTTCTCCACCCTCTAAAGGCACAATTTTAGAGTATTCCGTGCTGCAGATAACCGAGTCGTCACTTGTGATGGGCCGAAGACTTTCCTTTCCAAAATAACGTTCGCAGTCTCTGTTTTTAAAGAAAGTATCGTTAATGTTAGCGCGGTTGTTTTTCAGCAAATTAATAACTATATTACAGGAGGAAGTAGTAGTATCAATGTATGTCAATATTGTTTACTTACTGCGGAGAGTCGGAAAAATACTGCCACGGTTTGAATGTTTTTCCATAGTCAGTAGATTTTTCGAGCGCCCATAGACCGGGTCGTGGTGAATTACCCATGCGAACGAACACGTAGGCTACGTGGAATTCCTAAAAAGACAACAATATTTTTTTAATTAGAACTGTATAAGTAATACTTATAAAGAAAACCTTTACTTAAACATTTCATTTGTTTTTAAAGACTATGTACGAAGAGCGATCATACAGACTTTAAAAACATTATCTTTAATAAAATTAAATACATGTAAACATTGTAATTATAAGTATGTGTTCTAATATATAGCTAAGCGTATGTTACAGACCTAGATCTATTTTGTTCTAGTTCGGTAATATAGTGACAATTCTGCAAATATAATGCATTAATAGTTATTTTATTAGTATCATTCATATTATTTATATTATACGTAATACATTATTATAAACTTTAGGTAAATAAATACTTAAAGTGTAAAATAATTGGAAGAGCTTTCCGCAATTTTAGCAGCATGGTCATTTATAGTAAATCTTTATCGCCGTTATCTACACAGTACAAGTACCTAATCTATCAGCTAGCTTTTTAACGTTTTTACCTATCTTAAAGTACAGACGACCTATATACACTGATTTATAGTACATACAATTTTAAGATTTAACTTTCATAAAATTATTTAATCAACAATCGCAATGCAAATATAATAATGCAATAGTTAGTAGCTACAAGATAATTCGCGATTTACTCACACAAAGCTATTATGTTAGTATTTCTTTTGACTACCTGTACTAAATAACAATTTCCACGAGATTGTTTTTTTCTTGATGAAAATAATGAATTATTCCCATAGTTCTGTATAGAAAGAGTATTTTAAACATAGCATTTTTGTCTTGTATGCTTATTGCTGACTTTTCATAATTCACTTAATAATAAAACTTATATCTATTAACGTAGACTCAATGCAGTGATGTCATCTTAGGTCAATGCACTTCCAGCAGAGTGTGACTATTTTCAGAGACAAAATGTGCTATATTTTATGGGCATTTAGGAACCGAAATAGAACAAAATCCGTCAGTGGCTAGTGCTCCTAATTTAATATTAAATAATAAAGAAAAAAATCATCCATGGTTGTTTTTGTGCATTAAGTGTACTTTATTTTCGCTAAGGAATTTATAAACAGCATATATTTTGTGATAGATGACAAAAAGTAAAGATCACCTATTAAGGGGCACGAAGAATTACTCTTTGCAATATACAAACATATCTACTAACAAGTACACCTTCATGAGCCCAAAAACTTTTCTATTCGAATCCAGCACATCTCTTGTTTAACACAATGTAAAGATAGATGATATGGTAGAGATAATGTAAAATTCGCTTCTTCACTTGATGATGGGCATACGAAACAATACAAATAGCAATAAATATAGGTAAAAATATTGGCAGTATGAGCGAGTATAAACGTATACAATGATACATAATGAAAATAAGAGCCTTACAAGTAATATTTCAATGATTTAACGTATACAATTCAGAGATTTTCTACAGAATGTATAAAAGTCGATTAGATTAAAGAACAAGAAACAGCTTTACACGTTTTGTAGACTATGATGAACCTGGGATTTCAAGCTGTTCAGTCGTCATCAACAGATATACCCCGACTAAGCCAAGACTTGTCTTCGTTTTTCGATAGACTTGTTTCAAGAATCGAAAACCCACTTAGCTTTGCGAAATATTTACGAAAGCCTTTTGTTAACCAAATACGTAATGTAGGATTTTCTAATTTACATGATGATTGTATACCTGTCCAAGGTCTATAGTTAAATTGACTTCATTATATTTCATTCCCCTTGACAGCGGAGGACTCTGCCACCAGGTCTCCATACCGTCTACAGCGAATTCTGGTGGATGTTTCTTCACTTCATTTGTCGAATCACAGATGTCGCACACCTAGAAAAAAAAACGTTTCTTAACAATCGTCTAATGGTTATAAGACTATATAGTATAACAGGGGTTACAATTTTTTAAAGTAAAACTCCGTTTTCCCCTGAGGGGCATGGGGCAAATAAACTTCTGTGTCCGCTTCAATAATCGTCTCTTTTACATGCAAGTGAATGATTATCTGCCATGTGAATGTCCTACCGACACAGTTTATTGATTTCCCGGGATTCGAATGTCGAACCTTTCGACATATGCAATGTTAGGCAAAACGTTGAACCATTTGGCTACAGAGGCTGTTACAATATTTACGTTCTGCTTATAAAGACAAGTGTTTATTATACAAAACAATTTAGACCCACTACGCTGCTCCAGTTCGGGTTGGTGGGCTTTAATGACTGTCGTAACTAAAGTAGTGATGATAGCCGAGGGAATTTCAAAAATTCAAATTTCGAACTAACATGACGCCAGACTCTGTAGGTATTAAATTTGCGAGTTATTATTGTTTTATTCATACTATAATCTTTCCACAGAATTACGAAAGTATTAGCCAGGTAGCTCTTTCCAATGACACCAAACATCAATGAGTCTGTACACAAAGGCGTTGTTCGAAATCTCCATAATTTCATTCACAGAATACGGGTCTTCCTTTTTGGTACAATAAGCTTGCGCATACAAAAAACAAAAAGGCATTGTGCGGCATTCGGGTGAAACAAAAGCGATTCAGAGTCGAGATGAGCATTTGGCTACCACATGTCCATAAAAAACGCGAGTTCCGCCGACCTTTGTCGAAACGGAGCGAGGTAAAATGAGTTTTGGAATCACGGAATACGGACGTAATTATATTTCGCTATGTTAGCTATCGCGTTACTGTTTGTGCAGTGTACAGGCTGTATTTCAGTTGATTTCGCTATTACGACATTCCTTAATAAACCGTTTACGTGGTCATTAATAATCATAATGGAAACTAACTTAGTGTTATGTCATTTTTCTCTTTGTTTTCAATTCTCATCAAAATTAATTAAGTAGTAACTTGTCGTCATACGGCAATTATGTTATAAGGAAAAATTACGTATTTGTTGAACGCAACCCGTTAAAGATTTAACGGTAAGTGCGAGTGGTTGGGTCAAATCCCGGGAAAAAAATATCGGCAGGATATGGCGCGGAAGTATAAAGAGCTAAATATCTTTAAATAAAATAAATCAGTGAATCAGACTCCCAATGTTGTGCTCTAAGTCCCATCCCGAAACGAGAACAATTAAAAAAAAATTAGTGCATTAATTTTTAGATCTAAGTTCGATCTAAGATCTCTGCCAATTGTAAAATGTAAAAAGAATGAAATATAGTTCCAGCTTTTGATAAGAACAGTTTAACGGCCTACTCTTGATACGTGAACTTTGACCCAACTTGTCGGAATTAGAATAAGAATTGTGTGTAACTGATAAAACATGTTTATATTATAAAAATTTACAGTATCACCCTTATATAAAAAAACTTTAGTTTTGTACATTGTGTAACGCAGCCATTTATACATACATTCTTTATCAATGGGTGCTGGGCCAACAGGACGCGAGTGATAAGGTCCTATCAGCACCCCGTTTATCTCACTTGTAACGTTGGGCCACATTTATAGAAGATCGGGATATTAATTAACTCAATGACTTCAGTCAGCGATGATGAAGAAAAGTTTTATTATCACTCAATTATTTTTTATAGGAAAAAAAAAACAGCTTATGTCCGAGCTAAGACCAAATTTCACCGAAAATACTCCATATAGAGTTAGTTAGCGAATTGATGTCTTATATCGATGTCATACTTTTGTAAAAATATGCAGTCACTGTTATTATTGGTGAAAAGGGTAATATAATACGAATATCTAGTAAAAATAAAATGTATAGTGTATCTTCATCCGATCGCGACAGTAGCATATGAAAGCCAACGAACTATTTTGCATATGAGAAATTAAAATTACCTGTCCTTGAATAACATGTTCATCGTGATCAGCATTGGCTCCGGCAAGTTTGCAGTAAAGTTCGGGTCCTTCATCTCCACAGGTCGCTGTCGCGGTAATCTTTTTGCCGAGCGCCAAGTTGAAATACGGGGGTGTTAAAATCTCTGCGCGCGCGATGCTTGTGTACAATAAAAAGAGCGCGATGACACGCGCCATGTTGCGCGAGCGCCGTCCCGCCGCTGAATGAGATAGTGCAAGCCAGCTTCGGGAAGGGTGGCAACTGACGAGATTTTTTATCAAATTCAGAGAACGATATCGCCGGCGGGACTCGTTTATAATTTTGGATATAATTTTGTTCCTTTTTTTAAACTTTAAGAGATGGCTTCTTACGAGAATCTCTCTTCATTCGGTGACTTACCTCGTAATCGGTTTAATATAGATTGAAAAAAGTAATCGACAAGTTATGTTATCTTTTTAAGAAATAGCTGGGTATAGGAATGAAAATCAAAATAAAACGGTAAAAAAAACGTCTTCGATTCCCATTATATATATTTAACATGCTTCCAGATGAAGTATTGATAACCTTGAATAGATATAACAAGGAGAAAACTTTCATTTTGAGGTTTTTATGTAAACAGGCAACGACTTGCTAAAAATAGTGTAATTTCCACTAAACGTTGACAGATGTGAGCTAAAACAATATTTCATCTACAAAGAGCATGTTTTTTGGTTGTGAAGAACAAACATTCTTCTTTATATTAACATTTAATGGGAAAGACTAAAACTCGCTTCGACCAAAAATGTACACTACTTTCAACGTAGACTAACTGTCACTAATGCATTACTACACTACACTACTATATAGTATTATATACACAATAGCTACAGTATACTATGATCGGAGAGTTTATTTCACTATTTACTCATATTAAAGTCCTTTTTAAATAGACTTCTTGCATTAAAGGGAATACTGGTACTTGTGACCGCCTTCTTTAATCGATGACTTATCATTTATACTTTCCACACTGCTCTGGCGTTGCATCTTTTTCAAAGTTTCCCCTTTAACCTGTCTTTTAACTTCTGGTCTTTCTTTAGGCGTCGAAGTGAAGATAACATTTTCTGTTTTGCTGTGCTGGAGTATTTCTTCGTCACTTTCCGTTGTACTTATCGTGATAACAGGTATAACAGAACTTATTGAATCCGATTGTTTTGATTGATTGCTAGATTGGGATGTTTGTTTCTTACTTAGCTTTCTTTCCTTATTCTGGTCCTCTTTTTCTTCTTGGTTAGGTTTTTCCATATCGACCTCATCCAGCGCAACTATGCCTTCTTTTATGTTGCTTTTGTGAGTATCAAAAACTTTTGTTTTATCGAACATAATTGAACATTGATTTTTAATATCGTGCTTTTTTGATACCGTTATAGCTTTTATTTTTAACATGACCTTAGGTAGGGCTTCATGAAAATCAGTATCGGTGTCGTCACCATTGTGCTGGTCTTGTGAGGTCTCTGACTGAGTTCTACCTGTCGATTTTTTGTCTAGAGCTAAACTGACTATTTTGGCAAATATACCTACAAAAATAAATTCTTGAGGACTGATTATACAAATTAAATTAAATGTGTAACAAAATTATATTTTAATACCTTTTCTTTTAGCTTTTGTTGCATCATTAGGGTTATTTTCATCCAAACTTGTTTTCCTATCTTCAGAATCAATTGATTTGTTTATTGGAAATGAAGGTAGAGCCTTTTTTCCACCTCCCGAATGGCGTATTATCAATTGACGATGAACCTCCTCTCCTTCTGGTGTCTGCTAGTTGAAACATCTTTCTCCTCTCTTCTGTTCGCTCTCGACGTAATTGAGTCTGAAAATTTTTGAACAAGAGATATATTTTTATAAAACAAGTTACTTATGTCTATTATTAATTTAAACATTTACTTTACCTTTAAATCATTGTTGGCTTCTCTTAGTGAATTAGTTAAGGATGTTAGGTAGTAGATAATTAAAATAAGTAAAACTAGTAAAGGAATAACTATGGCCGGCGATGCAATATATTCCAGGGCAAAATTAAGGCTTTTTGGAAGTATACTGTATATATTAGTTGTTAGTATTTTATAAATCTTATCATATTCTGAGAAGGGCCCACAGTGCCATGAGGGTTTTACCCAAACAATTGTATAACCAACGGGTAAGACGCACAAAAATAACATGGTTAGTAAAAGGGCTAAATAGAAGTTATTACTTTTCGATACTCTAAAAACAACTTCGTGTGGCACGTTGCAGGTCATCACTGCCCACGATCGAAGGTACATCATAATCATCAATTTGAATACATTAAGCACAACCAAGCCAGGTGAGAAAAACATTCCCATCCAAACCATTCCTTGATTATTGATAAGGTGTAAAATATTTTCGGCTATTTTGAAGTCTCCGTACTCCGGCCATTTTTTTTCTAGGTCCCAACACCAACATTTATTCATATATCTTACGAATAATGCCCGGAAAAAGTCCCAAAACAAAGTACCCAAAAGAACAAAAACCTGAAACAGTATTTCTTTAGTCAAATACCTTTTTTTTCTACAAAAAGTTATACAAAATACGTACCAAATCCATCATAGTAAGTTTTATTAATTCTTGGCCAAACATAGTTTCCCAGCATAATTTTAATAATTTTCGACGAGTGGCTCTTGTTAAATTATACATTTTTCGTTTATATTTATCAAGATATACAGTGTCCCCATTCTGTTTCGGTTCCCTTGAAATACATTGTTGTACAGAGCATTTCACATCGATTAGGGTACAGTTTGATATGAAAAATGTTTGTGTTATATTTTTGTCACAGCCATCAATCGAACATTCGAAGGTTATATTCGGATAAATTGTATTATTATCCATTTCAACGGAGGTAGAGTATGGTGATTGTGAAAATCCCGAATCGAAATAATCCGTTGTAGTAACCTTCCAGGAGTTGTTATTAGTAATCGTTTCTATTGATTCACTCATACTTTCAGTACTAAAATTTAAGTCTGTTTGATTTGCTTTTTTGTCATTTGCGGTTAAGCTAGTTGTCGTGGAGCTATCATCATCATCGACTTCAAGCGATTGTGTTGAAGTTGAAACATAGGAAATTGAGGATGATGAAAAATTTTCTTCGCTGATAGTTGTTTCAGATTTATAGTATCCATCGGTAATTGAATAACTAGAACTAAACGTAGTTGATGCTCCATCATTTTTGGTGATATCCATAATAGTTGTATCATCAAAAGTACTCTCATATTCTGATGTTGGAAATGTTGTAAAGTCTTCGATCGGCACTGAACTTGTTGAAGATTGAATCGTGGCCATTTCTGTATCGTCATAACTCGAGTCATAAAATTCATAATCATCTGCTTCAGACTTCTCATCGTTATCTTCGGTTTCTTCATATTTACTTAAATTTCTAAGCCTTTCCATTTCCTTCTCTAGAGCACTGATATCATTATCTTGATTTTCATTTCGTTTCACTCTATTATTGCGCTTTTTTGGATTTTGTCTTTTATAGATCATAACACTCTCTGTGGTTCCAATATTTTTTAAGCTACTTTTTGGCATGGAAAGCGACTTTAGGTGGCAAGGCAGACATGGAACAGGCATTTGAAAACAATTCGTTGTTTTACTTGGATTAAACGTGTCATCGTATTGTAGATCCCCATGAATATTATGTGTGGCATTTATAAATCGCGTCGGTTGTAGTGATTCTAATTCTCTGCTCATTCCTTCGATTTTGCTGAACTGAGCAAATATAAGGGAGTATAAATTTAATAAATTCAACAACATAATTCTGAAAATTGTAATTGAATACGTTAAAACAAGCATTTCAATTGAAGATACAACGCGTAATGCAATATTTGAGTTTCACCTTGCTAATTGTAATCTGAGTTGTTTTCTTGGATGAAAGTGTTCAAAAATTCCCAGAAGTTCAAAAAATATTGGGAATACTATGGATATAATTGATACAACGGTGGTGGTTTCATTTTCGCGCCACCAGTTCGGTACTTTATCGCTATTGTCAGATCGGGACACCACTGTGACTACAGCGTAAGCAGATACTGCTAAAAGGATTACCACACAGATGTTTACCAGCACCCTTAGACTTAGAGTTCGCCAACTGTAAAACAGAATCGTATTAACCTAATCGTACCTGTGAATATCTTCCATAGCATCTTGCTGAACTTACTTTCTCGAATTCTTCTTCTTCTCGGCTTCTTCCAGTAAAGCCTCTTTGAATCCCAATATAACTGAGGCTATTCGGTTGTGTGCCGTCTCAGTATTTCCAATCATAAAGTCCCAACCAGTGAACAATTTCCAAGAAAAAATGCATTCGTCATCTTTCTCAGATAGTTTAGACATCCGCGAATTTTCTGCCATTCTGTTAATTATATAGTTTATTCGGAATGACAGTTTTGAATTACAAGCAATCCGAGAAGTTTAACAAATTTTAATACATATTATAATATAAGTTTTAATAAAACACAGGTTCTGCAGTAAATAATGAATAAATATTGCGTTTCAAATTGCTGTGTGTGGTGAACAAAAGTGGTTTATTTAATGTGTGCTAGTGGCCTCACAGAAATATAGTTTAACACAAAAAAAAGTTTTACTTCTATCATTATATATAACAATAACTTTTCCTTTACTCGTCATAAAAAATCGCATATAAATTGTCGAAATAAAATCACTATCCGAATAATCACTTATCTATATATGTATTAGACATAGTATAGGACAAATTGAGGATTATAGAGAACATATCGTACGTTAACAGGACATTGCACTGTACCTATATAATCTAAATATATCTTACTTCTTCAATATGGCGACGAAGCTATAAACGTAGACCACCAAGCCAGTAAGGAAATAAGCTAATGGCATTTTGTACTCAGATCGCTCCACATTGCTGTAATACCCGTAAAATATTGGGGAATATTTGAGGACTCCTTCAAACTCCCACAGTGTTAGAAGATTCGTTGCGTTGCGACGGTCTTCTTCCATAACGATTTTTCTTTCACCGTCCATTGTAGGATTCGCTGTGAGGTACTAAAATCATATACATCATTTATTTATTCAAACCTAGAGAATCGAACACAAGACTTCCATAACGACGTTCTAGTATTAAGTACTACCTAAAAAGCCCTAAGAAGTAGTATTTTTTCGAATGTCTCAATAGCAATATATATAGGATAGAAAACAATGCGTTATATATCTTAAAACGTAACATATTTTACTCACCTCTGGTACTATAACAAACACCAGCAATATGAAACCTATGACTAGGTTAATCCAAAAGAGCCACCGCAGAAAGGTGAAATATGAGGCGACAACAGATCCGAAGTGTGACTCAATCTCTTTTATACGTAACTCCCAAGGTATGAGTAGATTTGATGTATTGGCAGCTTCGCGTTTTAACTGTTGCCATTTCTATAAACATGATATTATATAAACGTACTATGTTGTGGTATTTGTGTAAAATTTAAGCATAATATAAAAAGTAGATTTCAGTTTCCACCACACATACATTCCTCCTCCTTGCATCTACTTACATGAAAAATATACGGTTGTACGAATATTTATAGAGTAATAATAAAATATAGTTTAATTAATTATTTTTTAACTAATAAATCAAATGTCGACGACATGAACTGAAAAATAAACCGATCCCCTATTATGTTATGCCGATATTCAAAGTTATAACCGTCCTTAAGATAATCTTTTAAAAAAATAATTCAATTTGATTATATCACACAGACGGATTCAAAATGTGTGACCTCAAAAGGTTTTTAATATCGCATTTTGTCGTTTCAATTTTAGATTATTGTGTCACTTTTCTTTTAATCTTTACTGATAAAGTTGCTTCATTTCGTACAATTCATACGCTAATATAAAACATTCTCATATCGCATACTGTCTGTAGTTTACGCGAGTAATACACATTTAAATAAACGTTCAACGGTTTAAAACGCGATATATATTAGTTAAACTTATTTGAAAACCTTTAAACTACGACCCAACAGTCTCCACATGACCACATGACCACCGATTTTTATAAAGTTTGTCTGTCGATTATGTAAGAGGGAAAGCCAACATCTATTCACTTAAATACTTAATCACAATATAATAAAAATAAACTTTGTACCTTCCAATTTAAAAACCCTCCATACCTCAGCTTTTAATTAGATTTTTTTCTAAAAACATTACACTCAAAAAATCTTTTAAGACCAGTTAGTAATATACCACAATATGTTAAACACAAATACATATATAAAACTTACAGTTGCGATGAGTATATTGAATCTTGCGTAAATGTCCCTTGTACTTTTCGACTGAGCTAATCTTTCTTGTAGTTGTCCTTCGTGCCGCTTAATATAAGCTTTTGCCTAATAAAGGTTATTTTATTATTATTATTTTTAAACAACAAACTCCCTTTTCATTTTTTATCTATACTAGTATTATAAATTGACGAGTTTGTTTGTTGCTACTGCTTAGAGTTGAAAAATTATTTTTGTTTTGGATGGATTATTTATCGAGGAATGCTATAAGCCATAAAAATTAGGATGCGACCGATATGAGCGAAGAAATAGAGAAACATGTGCAAAAAACGGGAAAAACTATTCATCTGACCGTTGCGTGCGCTGCGAAAACGCTTCAATAAATAAAAAAAAATGTGTGCAAGAATGATTCCTTATTCAATGATCTAAAAAAATATGTGACGCTATATGTGTAACTTTTAAGATTAATTTTAGTAAGATGAGTAGGTTGCAATCATATCAAAATATTTGAATGCCCGAAATAACGCGATAAAATTAATTTAAAACAAAAAATAATCTGTGTGCTTGTATTAAAGCTTTGTCCTTATTTAATTAATTACCTGATGGACAATTTTTAATTTTCTTCGCATTCCTAATGGTTGCTGTTTAGCTGAGCTCAGCACTTGTTTATGGAGGTGAATATTTTCAAAGATTTGCTCCTGAGTTACAACAGGCTGGTCATCTATAGATATTGCGGTACTGTGAACAATAAGATGACTTAAGATACAATTCCAGTGAGGAATAATGTTATATCGCGCAATGTATTTAGTGACATCATTTGCAAAAACATGTGAAAAATATTAAAGACAACGGCATTTTGTAATTTTTCTACAAGGGCAGCATTACGTACTCTCCAGAGCTGGTAGTAAACACTGATGAACGGCGTCGAGGGCGGGTCTCTTCGGGGAGAAAAGGTGAGGATGGACGCCTCGCTCGGCCCTTCCTGGAACGACGAACGCTGGCGCGTCGTTGTCTTATCACTGCACTTAAACTAACCGAATAGTCTTCATCGTCAGATCCATCTGGAAATTGTTCCTTTTTCAACGTACTTTTTTATGATAGAAGAGGACAGACATGGTATGCGATTCACTTGATGGTAGGTAATCTACCCCAGATGCGCTCTCGACCTATTTTGGCTTTGGTTATTCGGAAATCCACAATCTGAAACCGAAACGCCATAAGGCTTTTGGACGGTGGCTCGTGACCCGGACGGAATTTCTATATTCCACCCACTTAATATCCAGATTTCCAGAGTCCACAATATTTCAGAAATTGTTTAAATTGGAATTGTACAGCACATTTCGCGTCCTACACTAATAAGTAAATTACCAACCTGCATTCGCGGAAAATTTAACCTCACTGCTTGCAACGCCAGGTGCAGTCATGTTTGGGTCTGGATCAGCCCAGGTGACAGAAAGACGGTCAATGGACGGTTGGGGGGAGGACGGCGGACGATCACACGAACCCTTGGAAAGGTTTTTAGTACATACATATATTGCAAGTCTGTGTAACACGAAAATGTACTTAATTAATCTATACTAATATTATAAAGCTGAAAAAATTGTTTGTTTCGCTCAGGTACTACTAATTAGAATTCCGACTTTTACAAGGAACTATTTATTGAGGCAGGTAGGCTATAAAACATCAGACTGCGATCAATAGGACCAAAGAAGTAGAGGAAGGAAAAATGGGGAATATGAGTCATTTTTGTGGGCGCTGCGAAAACGGTTCAAGATACCCAAAATATATATTTGAAAGTATGTTTTTTCTTAAGAACGGGACGCGGACGACGTCGTTGGTAACTCTGTAATTTATAAAGCTGCTCATTTTGTTTGCAAAAATAATTAATATGATGCCAAAAATAACTATTTCGCGGGCACAGCTAGTAGAAGATAAGACGAGACTGTATTTTAATTCTCAGTTTGGATAAATTCGATAGATTGTGGACTATCAGGTCGTTTTGGCGCGATTTTGCGCAGAAATATACTACACTGTAGAAGTAAAAAACCCAAATCTAAATTATAGTCACCATATTGCACAAAATGACAACAATTCCAACAATATATATTCATTCATTTCTTATTCATTATTAAATCTTGTTGGATACTGCTGCGAAAACTCTTTCCGAAAAACTATTTAATAATGTTCCGGTAGTATTTTGCCCACATTTAAAGTTTTTGAAACAAAATTGCATAAAGTTACTTAGACTTTGTAACAGTTTTCGTAATTAGTTTAGATACAAGTTTCGGCAATTTTTAAAGTTCTATTTAAATATTAATATAGTCATTTCCAATCTCAACGACTAAGAAATGAAAATAATACCATATGGAACATGTAAGCACTGTTATCACTTGTTTATAATACACACACAAATCTGGTAACCTGGCAATCTTCTTTACAAGGTAACCTGACAATTACATAACTGTAATTATTATTTACTTTGCCCACGTACCTATATACCTCCCCTTTCACCAGTGGGGTTGAGAGATCCTTTATTGGATACCAATAAACTGTTAACTAGGACCGATGGTTAAAACTACTCTACGAGGTACGGAGTTGCTGAAAATCCAAATACTAAAATAATAAATCACCTGATCCCGGGATTCGAACTCAGGACCTTATGTTCATTAACCACTTCACCGTCGTCGTCGTCTTTTATTTCTTGTTAACTTGACCTGACACTGCGAATTACATAACAAACAACTACACAAGTGGACGGCGACGAAAGCACTGTGATTTTGACACGGGGGTACACCTAACTTCGTTATTCGTTATAGGATCACCGATAAATTAAACGATTTATTGCCCTATTATCTTTTGCGTTCTTTTCCGTAGCAAAAATATGCCTCGGATATATGTCATAGAAAATTCAGTTGAGGGTTGGCACTGACGAGATTGGATAGAGGAAAAAATATTGCGGGACCAAATGCATTATGTTCGCTTCAGAAAGTGTCTGATGATTAGAATTGATGTTACTACGTGAGTAAGGATTTAATTGATAAAAATCTTGTAAATTTTCATAATATACCTGCTAGGCCTCGAAATCATAATATAGCGGCATATGCATATGGGAGCCTGGTATGAGCAGCTACATATTTATATACTTTGGTTCATGTTATATATGAGCCTGCTAGAGGCAGAGTGGCCTAATAACAAAAAACATGGTTTTCAATAAGAAGGAAAATAAAAAGGCGCAATTAATTTAAGCCAAAATTATGTAAACAATTTTCGACCACTGTGCTCTTGTAGATTAACATTTTTAGACTATGAAAATATAAATAACTGAAGTTATAAAAATTGCAGTTAAGCTACACTGCCTCTAGCAGCCCCATATCATTCGACCAATTATTACTAACTAAAGAATAGTGGAACTTGTAGTCACTATTACTAATATAAATGTATTCCTTAAGTATTGTCTGTAGTTTACGCGAATAATACAAAACATAAAACCACTTTTAACGGTTCAAAACGCGTAGCCCAGTGATCACGGCATCCGAAACTATTAAATGTAGTTAGAGTAAATTAAAAATTAGTTATCTATACTTCGCATTCTAAATTGTTAAAAGTGTTTTATTTGAACTAATTTCTTTCTTTTTTCCTTCAAAAGACAAAAAAAATGTTTTATTTGCCACAATAACTCTAATTATTGTGGCAAATAATAATAGATATCAGTTTCAGTACATACAGATATAAAAAATATACAATACATATTATGTCCATGTAGTTACTAAAATTACGTATGGAAATAAACAGAGAATCCCACACCCAGTTCCCTATCGTGACGAGAAACAGTCAGTCAATTTCAAAGCGTCAACTATTGACCCTGATTAATTATTTTGATTAGGGCTGTCACTTTAAAAGAAAATATAGCAACCTATTGTGTTTCTGAATATGAGTGTTTAAATAAAACTTTTAAGCCACCCGATATTTGAGATACTTTGCAGCAGCTGTAGCTATGAGCTCTGGGGTCATATTTTGACATATCTATTAAATAGATAAAAGTTATCTAATAAATTTCCCATATAGCGTTAAGTGTTTTAATTTAATAGTACTAGTACAAGTTGCGTTAACTAACAACAATACTTAATTATTTATTGCGTTAACAACTTTAGCCGTTAAAAACAAATATTTTATTTGGGATACCGAAAACAGTATATTTTGGGAACTCTTATCAGCGGTGAAAGATGGTGAGGTGCAAAGTACCTAAAGCAAATTTATTAATAATGTTATTTTAATATGAACCAAACATTCATTGCAATAGTACATTAAAAAGCAACAAATTTCTATGATTTATTTAATAAGATCTATGACTGTTTCAAATCTGTTCTTTAAAAAACATTTTTAACATAAGCACAGAAAAATATGGCGGCAACCCTGTGCTTTCATTTCATTAACAAGAGCCTTCATCAGAAACACCACCCATAATATTGAAGAAGTGATTTTGAGTAGACTTTGTGAGATTGTCGTAGATCGCACAATACAACTTTAAATATTATTATATACGGCAATATACATCAAAACTGCTTTCTCTACTAACAAGTAGTTTATTAGACTTTGTGTATTATTTTTTTGGTATGATCGAAACGCGATTATATATTATTCGTCTGTGAACGGTAGGTCGTTATCCGGAAAGAGAAATTATAAAGCGATTAGAAACCTGGTGAAAATCGAACCCGTGACCTCCTGATTATTAGCCATACATTGCTATCATTGGACCCAAAACTGATACGAATGTTTCCCCATTCCCAACTTTAGCCTTAAGTCATAAAGTATAGAGGCTGTCATGAGAGACTAGCTCTAATTAGGAGATAATGAATACTAGCTTGTACCTACTGTATAAATAAAAGTAGTAGTAACGAAGAATGTATGTGTCGTTTGCACCTTCGAATCGCAGTACTTCGTTAATACCAGTAGATAGACGCAAAAGATGCGAGTCAGCTTGTCTTGTCTTTTTTTCTGTGAAGTGTAAAACAATTTTTATTTAGAACATATTTCTTTCCATTTTGACTTGCGACCCCCCCCCCCCCCCCCCAAAGAAAAAGAGAGGGGGGGTTTTTAAAAAAAAAAGGGGGAAAAAAAAGGGGGGTTTTTTCCCCCTTTTAAATAAAATTTTTTTCCTTTTTAAAACCCTGCAGCACAAAATAAAATAAAAATAAATAAAATATTTATTTATTTTATATGACACTAATATTACAAAGCTGCTTAATTGGCTTTTTAATTTTTTTTTACCGTAATTTTTTTTAAAATTAAAAACGGACATGTTTACAAAAAGGGGAAATCATTTATTTTTGAGAGCTTCCTTTGCTTACGTTGTTAGTAATAAATCTTATTATTTTTTGTATGGCTTATGGTAGTAAATAAATTTCTTTATTCCGATTCGTTTATCTTTTCTCTAAGTTGAGATAGGCATACTATTAATATATCAACGGATATTATATCAGTTAGCACGTGATATTCTTATTCTTATAATTAATAAACAAATGAAGGATTAAGTGATTGTGTCAACTGGCGACTGTCATGTTTGCATCAATAATAAACAAACACATTCGTTATATGCAAATGACTCTGACCTAGCTACTAATAGATTAAATTGTAATGTCGTCTGGTTATTCAACGAAATTATAAGGATTGCAATGTTTTTAGACTCCTCTATTTAAGGTTCTCCATAGCTCAATGATTAAACGCCTAGCAATGAGTTGAGCATAAGGGGTATTGTGTTTAAGCTCTGGACGTAAGTGGTAAGAAAATGAAATTTAAATTACATGATCCATAAATGAAATGTTTACAGAAATGTGTTCGCCCAATGCCCCACAGGAGAAGACAGGATTTATCTCATATCGTCCCTTAATTTCTTATCCTTAGTTATTCAACGTTTCTGATCACACACCACCAAGTAAGCTTTCAAATATCATTAAATGCAAATGGAAGTGAAACATCGAAAGTCTACGTCAAAAACTATAAATGAATGGAAGTCTATCGATTATCAAAAGCAGAGATAAAAATATACCAACGCTATAACATCACCACCTCGAGGAGACCGTGGTTCGATATATAAAACAAACAAAGATATATAAAAGACATATATGGTGGGACATTTTTTTACATCATTTAGAGAAGAGAGAGGACAAGAGGAATCATTTTTCATAGATTTTTTTTTGGGTATCTTGAACCGTTTTCGCATTTCAGCGTTTCAGCGTATTCATTGGAAACCCACAGAGATGAATCATTTTCCGCATTTTTTTCCACATTTCCCGCTGTTTCTTCGCTCCTATCAGTCGCAGTGTAATCTTTTATAGCCTATCTGATATTCGAACTAGTAGTTCCTGAGATTAGTGTGTCCAAATAAACAAACAAACAAACAAACAAACTCTTCAGCTTAATATAT